GTGCTTCTTTTTCTTAGCGCTTGAGTCGAAGAAAACTCATTCTTGGCATTTTTGAAGAAGAATTTGTTCGTTTTATGTGGTGGCAAGCTGTTTGGCACAGCTGACCCTAACACACGTCTCAAACCTCAAGTGCCTCTGATGCATATCAAGCTCCAGCAGACACATTGATCGAGTACCTTGCATAATTTATGTTATTTTGTTTCCCTTCTTTCAAAAAAAAAAGAATAAGTTCTAAAATGTTTGATTTGACTAGCCTTTTAAATACAAGGTTTTTTGTAAAAACTCAGAAAACTGAATTTTGATTGAAATCAAAGAAGAGTATTTTTGGCTAGAGAAATGACCATAATTGATTGTTAGCTCCGCTGAACAAAACTGAAAGTTTCGGTCGATTTCAGATAATATGGGACCTCAGGCTCTTTCATTAGAGTACAGGACTCGTCCAAGAACTTAGTGTGTAATCATAGGTCATAAATATTCCATATAATAAGTTAATAGTTGACTTATCTCTAATCGATACAATTATTATATGAAGCACACTTATTTGAAACTATGTTTATCCAAGAACTCAACGAGAATGATGAAATTGCAATCCAGAATGAACTTTCAAAACTTGGAGAATTTGATGCCCAACGACTTTCAATTCCCCAATTAATCAGCCTAATAAGAGAGACATCGGCACGAGCGAACGATGAGAAACTTCCGAATATGGTTTACCAATGTTCACGCCGAAGCGCTGTGGTTTTGTTCCGTCAAAAGAATCATCTCACCATCGCCATGGCATTTATGGACCCATGGCATTCTGCAATATTCTGGACTCTTTCGAGCCTGGTTATTTTCTATTGTGGATTTTAATTGGTGGCAAAATTCTATACGAAGATAAAAAGAAGAAAAAAAGATAATTATTCAGAAAATATTGAAATGCAATCACGTGGTCGTGGCCGTTCTTTTAAATACTATAACGACGGTCGAAGACGAAAACAACAAATGTAATATATATAGTACGAAAAAGCTTCCGCTCGCTTATTTATTGAAATTCTGGTAGAGCATCGAGTACAGGCATTTCAGAAGCATCATCTGCATTTTCGTCGTCGCGGGCAACGTAATCGCCAGCGCCACTTCCCTCGACATTATTGTTGTTACAACTTCCGTCACTTTCATCAGCAGCGCTATCTTCACCATCTACGCCAACATCATCATCTGCGCTAGATCCGCTTTCACTTGTCTTATACTCTACATCATTTTATTGCTAACATAAATGGATCCTAAATTACCTTCCTCGTAATTTCGGAGATAGTGGACTTGATGGTCCGCGCCGATCAAACTCTCAACTTCATGTGATCGGTGGGGTTTTTGATCGTAAAGTTCAGAAATTGCCCTCAAATAATTGGTGAGATCATTTCTGAAAGCACCAGGGTTTGTTCGTGGAAGACGCTGGATTGAACGATTTTGGAGCAAGCCGTTATCAATGATCTTTGTCGACAAATGATCGAAATGATACTCTTCTCACATTTGTTAGTCCAAGGAGCAAGTGTTCTTCGCAAAATTTTGCTCCGACGGTGGTTCGCCCTTTTGTTGCCGGCTCCCGTCCAAATTAATTAAAGATAGGCATTGATTCCGCTCAACAAAAACAAATGGTTGTCTTCATGGATGGCTCTTGCAAGATTTCGATTATCGACTGAATTATCAGAAGAAAAATATTCTAGGTTGAGAGCTTGCCAAACTTCGACCTTCTCAACAAAATAGCCCAGATGTTTCTCACGACCATCCAAGTGCAAAAATTCTACTATTTTATGTTTTGAAGCACATAAATCGTACATTTTTGCACAAGGGCAGTTAATTATTAAAAACCGCAACGGCGAAGATAGCTCCTGGCGAAAAAGTTCTCGCATATTCAATCGTTCGATCGCAGTTGGTGCACCTGGATTGATCTCCAAATTGGAAAAAAGCCCGTAAAAAACTACTGTACATTCGCATTTGCCTTGCCGCTACCGCATTTTACAAAACTATTTATATACTACATAAAATTTCTTTTACAAAATTTACAAAATATAAAAATTAAGAAGGTTCCTGTAGAAAAAATAATAAAATATTAAAAAAATTTTCACCCTTTCCTCAACCATTCAATCATAAAGTAAAAATCGAAAATAAAGCCTTCCAAATACTGTAAAAAATTTTCCGAAATTTTTCGCTCAGTGGGGGGTCAACTTAAAAGTTTTTTGTGACCACTGTCTCATTTTATGTCTTAGAAAATATTTCGTTGCAAATTTCCTTACACCGACCAAACTCTTATACCGACCAATTCCTTACACCAACCAAATTCTGAAAATGGTCGGTGTTAGTATTTGGTCGGTGTAAGGATTCGGTCGGTGTAAGGATATGGTCGGTGTAAGGAAACACCGGTTATCATTCGAGCTGCCCCTAACCCTTAACCTTACCCAGGTGGCTACGCCCCCAACCTAAGGCCTCTCCCCCTGGACCCCCACCCCCCTTAAGTTCCACGTCCCTAACCCTAACCACTAGCCCAGATTCAAGAGATATTGGATAGCTCGAGTCACAGGCTCGAATGATAATCCCTCTCTTCGGAGTTTGCTGCAGCTGAAATTTCGAGAAAAAATTTGGACGAGTAGATATGCGATAAATATAAAAAAGCTCGAATCGCTTAGCAAATCTAACATGGACAGACAAGCAATCAAACAATGATGGCTTTAAGAAAGATGTTCAAGACTGGAATCGACAACTTGTGTAGCAAACCTCAGTCAGGGTCTGAAATATAAGTTGCAAGAATTCAAAAACTGATTGTAGAGATAAATTTTCGATTCGGAAGTTGCAAAACCGATTTTCGGCTTTAAGGACCCCAGTCAGCTTTTTCTTTCGAAAAATGGAAATTTTAAAAAACACCACATTTTGAGACCATTTTTGATTTGCCAAAAAAACATTTTGCGAAATTTTTTTTGTGAGAAAATTGTTTTTTAATAAATCTCAGATTTAACAAATTTTTAAAATAATAAAAAGTTAGAATGCGAAATTTTATTTTTGCGAAATTTTTTTTTTAAAAAAGGGGTCATTTTGCGAAAAACTCGCAAATTTAAAACTCGCAAAAAAATAATTTTATATACCTAAAATAAATTACTATTTTTACTATTCTTACTAACTATACTTTCTACTACTTTACCCTACCACTATTTCTTCTGTTATTCTCTATATTGCGCGCGGAGCGCGCCCTTCTATAATTTTTTCGCCAAATTTTCGCATTTTTTCTCGATATTTTTTGTACCCATGTTTTAGTTCCGGGTAGGGGGTGGGATGGGGGTATTTTCATTTCTTCCTCTTAGCGTTTTCACAATTTTTTTTTCTTTTATTTCTTAAATTTTGCATAATCTATTTTCGACATTATGGGTGACTCGAAAATTATTGGGAGGGTTTTCTTTGGTGTACAATATTATATCTTTGGCAGAAGATATTTATTGTTTATTATTAACTCGCTTATTTGGCAGAATAGGCGATTAACTCCTCTCAATAATTTTCTGGTCCCATTTGATTTTCCGAGCTGGGTTATCTAGCCGCCTACACGCGCCTCCACTGCGTTGGTAGTTTTCCTTGCTACGTTACTTCGTTTTTGTTTTTTAGCTCCTTCGTGTCCGGTTGGCTTAGTGGTGTGCCTCTTGATAGGGCGTTTCTGGTCGGCGTGAGTTCGATTCTTGCATTGCTCGTGCTCTTTCGGACGATGATGAGGGCGTTCAACCACAACCCTGATACACGATCGGAGACAACCGAGGGTACGGACATATCTTTTGATGCCTCCATTGAGTCCGTTTTTGCTATTATTGAGTTTTTAAGTTAGTATTTTGGATTGCTACTTAAGTTTATTGCTAAAATATTCTCGGCAACTTTGGCCGACATGGAGTCGTAGGCGACGATTCGGCTCTATTTTGTTTGTGAATTTGGGTCGGGTCTGCTTTCTCACTAAAAATTCTATTCAGGAACGCCAACTGCATGACCAATCGAAAGCTTGTCATTGATAATTCGGCGCATGTCCTGGAAATAAGCCCGATCGGATTTTACGCTTATTTCTACTGCTATGGAATGCAAGGTATTATTTTTCTCATCTTATTTACTGATCCTCAGAATCTGGCGAAGGACAATGGGACTAGCTATGTGCGAGCTATGCTACCGAGCCGAATGCGTTTGCACCGAGTCAATCGGATACGTTCTTTCCTTTTCTAGGACTTTATACGATCAATAATTGCTGCAAAGGTGATGACATCCGAACTTAAGACAAGCATATGCTATCAATCATGTTTGTAGCAGAAGTTGGGACTGTCTTGTCTAGAAGTTTATGAAGATGGGTGGCAATGGATCTTGGTAGTTCCAATGATTTTATCTTATCGTATCTTTAGGACAATTTTCTACGAGTCTTGGTCGCCTGTGTCTAAATATCTACTTTTTCGAATACACTCCTGCGCCGTGCTGAATAAATAGTCGATGATTTAATAGTTTAATGTTCTTTTAAGTTCCTTTTCTGGAGATAACCGAATAAAACCCTGAACTGATCTGAACGTTAATTTGTATAATTATATGAGTCTTAACCCTGATATTGAATAATTATAATTCATTTTTTTATAGTCAACCCAAGTACTCACTCATTTCTTAGTGTGATTGATCTTTTATCCTATATAATACTTGAATCCGAAGACATTCCTTAATTTTAATTTGTATTGATTTTAATCAGAACGTGGCTCAATCCTATTGATCGTTGCATAATAATGGAATAGTGTTATTAAGGGAATGTCCCGTTTTTATCGTCTATTTCGTTGCATGTTTATACTGGAAGACATGGTGTTTGAACCTGTGGCAATGATACAGTGAATATGGTTGGCAAGTTTTTCAGTACGTTTGAGGTCTTCATTTTCCGTGGCGTGGGTTTTCTGTGGCGTATGTACAGTTTGTTCCATCTTGGCGTTGGTCTAATTTGTTTTATTATTATTTCCTTTTTTTGTACCTTATATTGTCGTTTCGAAGACGATGTTTTCTTTTCCGGCGTTTGCATTCATCATGGTCACGATCGTTTCGCATTCGTCTCTGTTATTGTTCTCGTTGGTAGGCTCTTCTGTTCCGCCTTCTTCTCTCATTTCGTATTGCTCTATATCCATCATTGTTCGTCTCAGCTTCTTTCGTTGTTGATTCCATTCTTTCATATCCATCTAATTGAATTTAGCATTTCTCTTTTCACTCTTACTTACAATTCCGACTAGTGTGTAAGCGACTATGCATGCAGTGTTGCAAACTCCAATCATCAGTATTGTCATTGCGCCGAGCCTACAATGTCGTTAATTTCCTGCTATTGTACTATTTCCTTACAAAACTATGTCTTCGGCGCAGGTAATGGGCATGCCTTCATACATTTCGACGTCGTTGGGAAGTGAATTGTTGTATATCGTGTAAATTCTGTTTATTTCACCTTCTATAGTGACTGCTTTCGATATGGTGTTGATAAAGGCAGCTAAGCTGGCGGCGATGCCTCCCCAGAATACTATCGAGGCCACATTTGTTCCGCGTTTTTGGGTTATTGCTACATAGTATTATAGGGGTTTTTTTTACATGGCTTACCTAGGAGTATTGCGACGGAGAGGATCGCTTCGATGGTTGTGTAGCTGCCGAGGCGATCGTACGGGCGGCATTTCTGCTGGAACATTCTTTGGAAGTTTGCATCTTCCTGTAGGCAAAATTCGCACCATTTGATGTCCTATCATTTGGTTATTTTTTTTATCCTTTCTTTTACCTGTCTGATTGATTTCTTCATCTCTTCCAAAATGCTTTCTAGCTCCTTTCGTGTTGTCTCCGTTTCATTCTCTGGTAACCTGGCAATTTCCTTCTCAAGTTCTTCCTCATTCAATTTTCGATCGTTCAGATGTTCTGCGAAATCTTGCTTTGTTAGTTTTTTTTTTTCCTTTTTTCTTATTTACCTCCGTCCTTGACTCTTTTGCATTTTTCTCGAACCCTTTCGCGAGTAAACGGCGCTGTTTTCTGCGGATGCTTAAACAAGATTAATTCCTTCGTGAATTGGGTTTTTCTATTTACTTCATCCATTACTTCCTTGATGCCGCAGACGAACAATCCCAGTAGCGCGAGGGAAATCACCATTAACTTCGCATCTCTTCGACAACTCATGTTCGAATATCTGAATAGCATATTGTTAGCGGTTTCAAGTAAACGTTTTAATATATTTGGTAAATTGATCGTTTGTGTTTTCAATAATCGTTATCATGAAAGGATTGTCAGTGTTTTGAGTTGATTTACGGTAAATAAAAATATTAATGACAATTTAATTTGATTTATATAACTATTAATTGTATCCTAATTTCGCGTTTCCGGTGGTAATTTTATATTAGATGTCCATGTCCTCCTTGGAGTTGTTTTATGCCGGCGGTTCTCTTTTATACGTTGGTCTCTTCTAGATGTGCGTCGTTGTTTTGTGCTGATTTTCGTTCTTCATTTTCGTCTATTTTGTTTTCACGTTTGTTGCGAAGTAGTGCGATGAATGCCTGCGCCGTGGCAGTCGTCATTATGAACGTGCACAATTTTGTCCCCTTGTACCTAGGATATCGTTACGATCTGGCGTGCTCTTTTGAATATGTTGTTTTAGTAGCTGCGTCTCACCGCTCTTTGATAATTCTTTGTTTCGCTCTGCCTTACCTTTTTGTGTCTGCGACACAGCATAATTCTATATCCGATTCTCCCAATGTCATTTCGTATTTGTATTTTGAGTAGTCGACTGTTGTCTCATCGTTGTCTTCTTCGCTAAGGATCTTTCCTAGTAAGGCCAGCGTTACTACCAGGAATGCTCCGTTCATCAGCGTCGTGGTCGTCCACAATCTTTTCTTGTGTTTGTATCCTATTACGGCTCCTTATTTTGTTGTAAGCGTATTCATATTTCATTATCTTACCTAGCAAGATGTTTCCATGTGTTATTCCCGCGATAAAATTGTAAATGTCATTTTCTGATTCGTGGTTCGCGCAATTCTCCTTGAATACTCGCTCGTATGCGGTTTTGTCTTTGCAGACGTCAATTAATTCATTCGCCTTAAAGTTCCTTATTTCTCTATTTTGTATATTGGTTTTCTTGCCTTTTCTTGTTCTATTTCATTCTTCCTTAGAGTCTCCATATCCAAAACCGCTGCCTCTATGACTTTTGCTATTTCATTCCGTGTCCATTCGAATCCCATTTTCATTTTTAGTCTCGTTTCGAATTCGAGAATTCTCTCTCGCTGTGTTGCTGTGAAGTTGAGGTTTTCTTATTTTCGTTATTCTTTTTATATCGTTTGTTCTCTTACCTGGTGATAGCACTGCTTGGCACAGAGATTCGTAACGTTTGGTCGAGTACGTTGCCCAATTCCTCGGAGTCTGAGTAAAGTATTAGTATTTGTTCTTTATTTTTTCCTCATGTTTACGAATTAAAGTAGCTTTTTTCCTAGTCTATTGTAGCCAGTGTTCTAAATTCTGAAAATCTCGATATAATCTACGAAGCTAGCTAAGCTGTGAGCTGACTGTTTCCGAATATTGCTACGCTTGTTAAGCTGTAGCTGTCAGCCTAGCTAGCTCAGCTTGATTTGCTCACCAGATTTAGAACTCTGATTGTAGCTCTCTTGAGCTTGAAGTAATATATCCTAGAGAAGGTAGTTATTTTGACTTGCTAACGAAAAATATATGCCTTTAAAGATTATTGTTTGGGGTTTAACCTACTCTATATTTCGTATTTGAGCTAGCGTCCATTTTCGGTACTCATTTATTTTTGCCTCTTACCTTTTCCAATGCCTGACTTCCCATCGTTGCGAGTAATCCAACAATCGCGGTCACAAGCATGGTAGTTTCCATCGTCGTCGATTTCATTTCGATTCTGAATTATTTTATTGCCACTGTTTAGCTTCAAAATTATGAACGTTCTTTTATTTTTACTCCGTTTTTTGTCGATGGGCACACTAGTCGTTTTACGGCGTTGCTTTGTTATTCTATAATCTACTTCTATACGATAGCTTGTTCATTACTACTTTGTTCGGGGTTTTGCGTATTTTTGTTGTCGCCGGAACTAGGAGATATGTCATATTGTTGGCATTAGTTATATTTGTTCGTCCCTATTTTAGGCTAAAGTTTCACGGTTGTAATGATCTCACCTGCTAGAAATATGAAATCCTTCTGTTGTGTTTTTTGGTAACTTTTGGGTACTTCTTTTCTATTTACTGTTTACTCTTTTTTCTATCTCTTTCTTTCAATTTTATGCGTGTCTCTGTATCTTGTTTTGAGAGACTTGCTCTGCGGGTCGGGCGAAAATGTACCTCGGGCGCCACTTTTCGCGTTTCGCATTGCCTACGCACCCACTCTATTCTCCCTCGTGATTAGCCTTACTCATATATGACTCCATTTTGGCCCTTATGGCGGTTTTTTGTGTTTTATCAGAAGCTTCCATCATTTTTATTGATTTTATTTTGTTTTAATCAGTGAATTCTGTTTACTGGCTCATTGCATGTCGCATCGTCCATGTTTTCGCCTTTCGATTGAATTCTTCTGTATTGTTCTTGTATTCTAATGCTTCTCACGGTTATATAGTTATCGGCTTCGCTTTACCTGGCGGATTTGTTGGTTCACGCGGAATGTATGGCTTTAGATCATACATTGTAGCTGCGAAATCCATGCATAGCTCACTGATTGTCCCGAGTGGCCTTGTCCAGGTCCATTTTCTTGTCGATCCAGGCGTACTTAGTACCCTATTTGGAACATCAGGAATGAGTAGTTCTCCTGTTTCTGGACTGACCAATGGATGGTAAATCGGCGTGAGAAATTTTGCAGTGAAATCTCCTTGTGGATAATCTTCCGTCATTTGTATTTGCAGAATGAAGATTCCTCCCTTTTCATATTTTAGTAGTTCGTCTTTTTCTTACCTGGTATGGTGTGCCCAGTGGTCCAAGGAACCGGATGTTCCATTTGTACGGGTCATTTCTGTCTATCAGTATTGTGAACTTAATATATCTGTATTTTTGCCAATATATTCATAATTACCATTGCAGCTACCATGTTGCCGTGACTTTCCAAGTCTCGACGTTCTGCTTCCAATCTGTTGTTTTGGTAGTTCAAGTTCATTTCGAGAGGCTTTTCGAGATTTGCGGTGGTCATATTGCTATTACCGGTGTAACTATTTTTTTTTCTTTGTTTGTATATAATCTCATTTCCTGATAAGACTTTGGAGTGTTTCGTCGCTTTTGCTGATCGGCTGAGCGTGGTTGTCTCTCCGACTTGTGTCTGAGCGGGCGGTGCCCGCGACTTGCCGCTCAACAAAATTTGTCCGAGCGTCAGCCTTATCTATCTTCCGATCTTTAATTTCTAATTGGCCCGAGTACCACCTGATTTGTACCTGGCTTTCCCTGGACTCATTTGTCATTTTGATTTTTTACAATTACTTTCAAGAGAATTCTTTACTTCGAGATACTATTTCATAATTTATCATTATCCACGCTCTATCGCTTTCTCCCTGCGTCGATCCCAAGTCTAGAAAATATATTTCTAATCGCATTACCTATTCATTTATTATTTTGAATCTTCCATTAACTTGTCGACAGTACTCCCTTACAATTGATAATTATGATCCAATGTGTATTTTGTTTTAACTATATCCCCTTATTATTCTTCCCTTGAAATTTTTCTGTTTAAATTAAATTTGTTTTCAGCTAAATTCGAGTCCCAATTTTTGCTTTTAGATGTCGTCTGATTCCGTTATTTCTAGTGAAGAATTAACTCCGCCAGTCCACTTCATCCCGTTTTCTGCTGATCGTTATGTTCGGACGGGTTTCCCCCATTTTCGGCGTCCTGGAGTCGTCATGTCTTACGCCGTTCCTTCGTTTACGTCGGATCCTATCCATACGAATGAATCGTCCGATCTTCTTTTTCCGCTTAGACTGCGCTCCTCTTCTATTAGGTAAATTTATTTTACTATTTTTCATAATATATTTATTAGGGATGGTCGCGCTGTCTTTCGATTCACATGCGCCCGTAGGCACTGCACTGGCGAGGAGTTTTTCTCTGGCCCCTCATCTATGTTGTCTGGTTCTAATGATGACCGGATGTTTCTTGAAGAATCGGCTTCGAGCGATTTCTTTTCACTCGTGTCGCTCTTTAATCCTAATGATGCCCACCAATATCACCAGTCTTCACATTCTTGTTGGCCCCTTGGAGAGAATTTCGCTGGCGAATTATCGCTCCAGCATAAACTTCGGGTACTTTCTTTTTTATATATATTTTTTAGTTTTTTTAGTCCGCTCCTTTCTCTCGCCGGCGAATCCATCTTATTCGGGAGTATATTCACACGACTATTGAGCAGGTTCGCGTCGAATATCCGTCTTACGCTCCTGTACGTCACAATGATCATTACATTGATTTAGTTCTTTCGAGACTTCGTTGACATTTACCGTTGTTTCTCGTCTTTTTGTCCCTTGTTTTTGTATGTTAATATGGTTAATTTTTTTATTTCCTTTTTTTTTTATTTCTCAATTAAGCTTATCCTTTCGTACTCTTCCTTGTTTTCATATAATAATTTCGCCCCCTTCTGATTAATCCTATTTTTTATCTCGTAGCGCTACTGTTTCACATGATCTAAATTATTTTGACTATTTTTCCTGCCAGGCAAATTCGTAGCACCGATTTATAGTCACTTTCATTAAAAATTAAATTTTGTGTTTCACTTTTTTAGATTCGATGGCTAATGTGATTGACCCAATTTTTATTCCATCTTGTGCGAGGAAAGAAATTGTCTTCCCGCATGTGGTTGGCTCTGGACTTCCTGCCGTTTTATTATCATATGTTCCTGAAGATGCGTCTTCTGATTTTTCTCCCGATCGGTTTTTCTTTATCGATTTAGCGCTACACTCTTCCGCCATAGGTAATTCTCCTCGATAACAAATCAATTTTGTCCAATTTAGCGATGATCCTGGTCAATGTGTGTTTCGTTTTGTTTGCCGTGAGCCCTGCTGTCATGCTAGTGAGTTTTTCGTTGGATCTACTGACATCCTCGTCCACCCATATACTCCTGGATCGTCTATTCGTTTACGTCCGTCATGTGTTCGTGAGTTCTTTGCTCGAACATCATTTCCTTCCGAGCACCATCCCACTCTTCATCGTCAAGTTGTTCATACTTGTGCTGGCTTAAACTCTGCCTATGCCGCTGATTATTTTTTTCGCCATTTATTGGTAGGTTCTTTTATTAACGCTCTGTGTTAATATTTAGCGCGATTACAAAGCCATCCGTCCGACCACCTTTCAAATTGAGCGCTATATCGACGAAATGATTACGAGGGTTCGTGAAACTTTTACCGATTTTGCTCCTCTGCGTGACAGCCTCTCATATGCTGCTCTCCTTCGCCACGGTTCTGGCGCCTTGTCCCGCCGTCTTATATAATTTCTATTTTCCCTCTTCTTACCAGTACCAATCCTCCTTTTGTTCCTACATCCATGTTGTTTTTTACATGTACTCTCCTCCTTGATTTCCATTTACATTTAGAGGGATAAATGAGTCATGGGTCGTCCGCAAAAAATCCATCTGCTGCTGCCAATTGTTTCTCCAGTGATGATGAGCGCTTTGCTGATCTTCAAGCTCAAGCCGAGGTTTAATAAGTGTTCATATCCATTTTTAATTTAATTAGATTGATGATCAATCGATCCACCCTGAGGCTCGCCGATTAAAAGGCAATAATTCTGATCCTACGGATAATTGCACTTCTATGTCGTCTGCTCAGCCTCCTGATAATCAACCTCAATCTTCTCTGACATCTTCCCTCAGGGGTCGACAGGCCTCGATCGCGAAGTCTAAGTCAATGGCGGGTCCTGCGTCAAATACTAAGAACTTGTCGAAATCCAGGGGATCATTTCGTCTATCCGATTCCTCAGCTTCACCTTCCCCCCCTCGTCGACCAACGTCTCTTACGGTATTATTATTTTTTATTTCTTTCATTTTATATTTAGTCTTCTTGTCGAACGAATCGGCCGAACCGCAATACTAAATGCAACTCTTCGCGCCCCATTGATAACCAACTCAACAGAGCCGATGTCCTTGTTGATCGTGTATTGCGTGAAAATGATTCCCGTCGCCCCCAAGCCTGTGTTTCTCGTGCAAATCCTCGCAATCGACAAATTCGCGTTACCTTTGATTCTGATGATGATGACCGACCCTCTCGTTCAACGACGGCGCCTTCTCGTCAACCCGGTTATCGACGTCGGAAGAAGATGAGCTCCGTTCCCGCTATTATTCAGCCTGATCCCGAGGTCTATGCTCACAGGGGTCGTAAAGCGCATCACCACTTACCCCCCGCCGCGCCCGATAATCAACCTTCCACCACGAGTTCACTTCCGTCGCACCAATATCCCGACATCTCTGACGCTGATCTTCAGCGATTTTTCGAGGCGCCTCGCGGGGAAAATTTTACTCGCGGTCTTGACCGACTGCAGGCTTCCCTCGAGGAACGGTATGCCCAATACCGGCAAGGTGCATTGCAGAATCCTGCTGTTGCGTCCATCATCGGCGGTGCGGCTGACCCGGCAAATCCCACTGAAGATGGTGTCACTCCTGTCGATCATGGTGATCATCGTGGCTTGACTTTTTTCCGCGATAATCCTGATCATATTCCCTGTTCCTTCAACGCTGATGCATTTGATGATCCTGCCGCCCACATTGAGCATGTTCGTGATGAATTTTCTCATGTTACCAATTCTGTTGTGATTGCTCCCTCCGACACACGCTCTGTTCGCCATTCGTACGTGACTTCGGCAGGAAATCCTTCGGCAATTCTATGCTATGGCGTGACACCATCTGGGTCATCTCTTAGCCAAAACGATGTTTCATCTGATTCAACCTCTTCTGGCGCTCCTGACGATTCATCTACTCCTGCCGGATCCGTCGCCGTTCAAAACGTACCAAATGGAAACAATCCGGGTCAACAGTTGGTGCTTTTCGATATGAGAAAGGGAAATTGCTACTTAACGTAAATGTGTTTTTATATTCTTTAATTATTTTTTTTTCTTTAAGGCGCTGTGGTCGGCTTTCCGTGTTTTACTTCAGATGTAAAAATTGTAATGCCGGCCGTGAGACTTTCTACGGGCTTCCGGGTCTCTTGGTTGAAACGAGTCCTGGATCTTACGATGTGAATCCAGTGTTTAGCTCGGACTTTTTTCGCCATGTCTTTTTTCATCCATCGTCCGTGTCACCGGATTTTGGTGCTTCTAGTCGTAAGAGTTCATTACACACATGTGGAGGTCTTTCACCGCAAGAGGCTGCTGAGCTTACCTATCGTACCCTGATCGATGTAATTTTTTATATTGTTTGTAGTTGTTAATTGTCGTTTAGGCTGAAGTTCAACGTAATGGAGCTAACACTACGTCTGTCGTCGTGAAAACGTTGTTTGAAAAAGTTCAGCGCGAATATCCAGGATACAAACGTCAGAGAGCGAAGGCATTCTATGCTACCCAGCTCGCCCAAAAAAAATTCCGCTTCAAAAAGATGTTGGAAGATGCCGATGACGAACAGGATGAACGATGCCCCCTTCTCTCTCGCCGGCTTTGTAACTTGCCTTATCAGGCTGGAATGAATCTTTCCGGTAAGCGGTTTGCCGCTCACCAGGACAATAGATGCCTTATCCGTAAGTTTTGCTATCGAATATAATATGAGCGGAGCGAATTTTGTTTTTAGTTTTGGATTGGGCCCTTATCGAGCGATTGCCGAAGAGAACGTTCCATCGTATCATGTTAGATGGTACTTTCTTCGTAGCCGGAAGCTTCTATCAATGCGTCACGATCCTGATGTCATGCGTTGATGATATTCATGGCGAGAAGCTTTTGCATATTGGCGGTATCTATATGCTCACCAAGAATTCTTTGGATTATGAGCATGCATTTTCCGTCTTTTGGGATCTCATCAAACCTGAGATGCGGCTTCTCTGCACCCACTGTCTCTTGCAATGTGATGCAGAGGGAGCGCTCTATTCCGGGTATATAATTTTCGTTTATTTCTTCTTATTTATATTTAGCTTCGAGTCCGCTCTCTCATCGAAGAATGTTCAAGTCTCTACCTTCCTTTGTTCGATCCACTGCGAACGGAACCTCTTCCGGAATCTTAAGAATATGTTTGGAAATAAGGCCGCTGCTCCTATTCGTCTCGTCTGCTGGGTGCTTAAGAATGCCGTAAGTTTTCCCTTTGTTTTCTTTTTAATTTTTTTAGCAATTAATGCGTGAAGATCTCACTAATGGACTTCTCCTCTACTTCTACTCGGTTGTCGCTCGTACTCCTCTATTTGGACGTAGACTGGCGAGATTTATCAAGAACTTCGCGATGCGGGTGCTTAGGCATAAGTGGGGTAAGCGTTGGCACTTGTGGCCACTGATTCAGCTCCAAAAATGCAGTGGAATACCATTGTCCCTTCATACCAATCCGGCAGAGTCTATTCACTCTGCCTTAAATTGGACGTACGTCAAGCGCCATGGACGGGTAATTTTATATTTTTCTTCTTTCATTATTTCGTAGCGGCAACTCTCTTTCCGGAAAGATGTGGAGATTTATAACAACTTCATGAATGATAATGGCCGTGAATATATGGAAGGCAAGTTCGTTGAGCCTTGGTGCGATCCTGAACATCACGAAGCGAACGTTCTTCACATGCGGCAGGTTATTGATCTCTGTGACAAAATCCCTATCGTTCCTGAACACGAGCCGCTTCCGACCGAGCATTTTCTCGATATTATGGAATTTATGCTGAATACGTACAAGGTATTTTGTTTTACTTACTTTCCCATTAATTTATAGATGCGAGAATGCAAACGGTTCGCCGCTATCGCCGCGCGCCGTCTTCGTCGTGAACGACTCGCTCAGTTGATGGCTGACAGTCACGGTCTCGACGCTGGTCTTGTTGCAGCTGTTTCTAACGATGATCCTATTTATTCTGATGATGAGATGGAGGATAACGCGGTTGACGGGGCGTTGCCAGATGAGGATATTCGTATTCCGACTGACTCGAATGCTACTTTTGTCGCTCCCGTGGCTGAAGAAACTGACGCCGATGCGCTTCTCACCGAAGATCATTACCGCGATGATGCTGATGGTTGGAATCTTCAGCAGATTCCAATTCCAACCGCGTCCAACAATTTGGACTCCCAGTTTCGGCACTCGGTTTCTGAGATTGATCTTGCCACTAACGCTTCCGGTAATATTGGCGCCAGTATTATTCCATCTTCATCTGTATGCAATATCTCGCCTCCACCGCCTCAGCGTGTTGCTGAGTCTGTGACTTCACACGGTCGTATCTCTCCCCGTGATTCTTCCGGACTACATTCTGACCATTGTCATATTTCTCCCCCTCTCTGTCCTGTTGCTGCGGCCGCCTCTGTTACGCCCGAGCCACGTTCCAATAATGAGCCGATGCCCTCAAGCGGGGGCGCTGTTTTCGCGGAGGGCGCCGCAATTACTACTCCGCAGTCTCCTATTCGTCAGAGCTGTCACGGCTCAAACATGACACCTGTTTCTGTTTCTCCATCGATGCCCGTGGCAACTTCCGCTCCTGCCATTGTTTCAACTTCTAATCCAGTGCAGCAGTCTTTATCACAACTTAGTGACACAATGGATGATCTCCATCTTGGTATATTAATTATTAATATTTTTTTTTCTGTATATTAGATGCGTCATCCGCTCAACATCAAGCAGCTCCCGATTCCAACCCTCCTTCTCTTCCTGGCCCTTCGTCCATGTCTAATTTACCAGATGTTGCTTTCTCACAGGTTCCTTCTGCATCGGCTGATGGTCGAGTTGGTCCCGCTCGATTTATGGTCGAAGCCCTTTCTCGTACGGCTTCTGAAAATGATTCGCCTTCGTCTCTACCTGTTCCCGCTCGTGGTCGATCTTCTTTGAAAAAAACTGACACGACGAATTCATCACGCCCCTCTACGTCTTTTTCTCAAGTAGTTGAGTTGTTTTGTTTATTTATTAATTCTTTAGGCCTGCCTCTCTTCTTCTGCGTCTCAATCCTTGGGTCATTCTGAGCAGCCCTCCCCCGGGTCCATTAATCGTGTTTTGTCCCCTCTTAAACGCAAGTACAAATCTGTTCGCTTGGATGAAAATGGTCGGCCTCGTCCTCCGGTAATAATTTGGAAATAATTTTTAATGTCATAAATTTCAGCATGTAACTACGAAGAACCCACGTGTTATTTCTTCAGTTGATGAGCGTCCTTTGTCCTCTAGCGCCAATTCCTCTCAACCCAAGGTTTTTACAATCTTTTTCATTGTATCTGTATTTCAAAGGTAACGAAGACTTCTTCTAAGAAGCCGTCACGGACGGAGGATGAACATCAGTTTATGAGGAGCGCTCAAATTGCGTCGGAGGCGGCGAAAAATATATCTGTCACGTCTATGATGGGTGTATTTACTCGCAAGTCTACTCGCCCTATGAAACCTGAGCTTCTGCTTCGTCATCAGCTCGCCGAAGTTGCAGCTCTTAACAAGACGCGTGCCGAGGAAGAAGCTGCCGGTATCCCTGTGTCGCAGCTCACCGCCGATGAAGAATTAGAATTGGGTCTGATTGCTGCTGAACGACGGTCTTCTTCTCGACAGCCGCGTTCCAAATCGAAAGCTCCCCCAAAAAAGAATCCTAAAAAATCCTCCAAAGTTTCCAAAACTAAATCTAAAATCGTTGCCAAGAAAAAAGATTCTTCGTCCGTTCCACCTGCTCAGGTATTTTTATTTTTTTATCTTTTATAAATATATTTAGCCTACTAAATCATCGCGATCTAACCCGTCTTCTCGTTCGTCTGAACGGTCGAAGTTGGCTGTTGCTTCGAACACTCCTTCTGGTACCTCCCCCATCTCTCCCGAGGTATTTCTTTCTATAATTTTTTTTTTCGAATATTCAGTGTCCATCCCCTGCTGATCCGCCTTGTGGCGAAGCCATCATCCCCCTTCGACGATCCGCTCGCAATAAGAAATAGTTTTGTTTCTTGTTCTGCTGACTTGTCTTTTATTTCTTTATTTAGCATTGTGTCGCTTATATTATATCTTGATGATGTACACTGCACATATTACTCATCCATATTTTTATCGTATAACCGAAGATTTTAAGCACGATGGAATCGCCTCTTTTATTCGAATCATTTATTCAACTTCACGATGCAAATCTTTTGCTTGCAGCTAATCGTCGATCTTTTATTAAATTTGTTTTAATTGATAACATCACTCGCGATCAGCTCTCTGCGATTCTTAAAGGTCCTTACTTTGGTGCTTATGTATTTCGCCCTCATTCTACTGAGAATTCGGACCCCCCTCTAAATTATCATTTTTTCGCGATGCTCTGGTTTCGCTCCCCTTCAATGATTCCTTCGGTTTTTACAGCTTTTCCTGCTCGTCGCGTTTGGTCTCCCGGCTCAACTTATTTTCTTGGTACGCTTGAGCTGTTCGTTAATTTCGTAACTGCTTATTTCCAAGGTATTTACAGTCTTATTTAATTTTTTTTTATATTCATTTATAGAAGTCAATTTTTTTGGTCGCCACAATTCTAATCTCTACCGTGATACTCATCATTGGCACACTTCTTGCATTGGTAACCGTATTCGTCCTGCCGCTTGGCCCCTATCTTCGTACCCGTTTCTGTCCCGTATCCCTTCCGAAAATAACCTTTCTTTTGACATTTCGTCTCCCATCGATTATATCCCTCTTTAACTTTTCTTCTATTGTATTGCTACTCTCTTCTGTGTTAATGTGCCTTTATTTAGATTGCATGTTCGAGTGTAGTTTCAGGAAAGCGGAAACACTCAAAAGATGTATCGATTGCCTGACCGCTTTTGTCGATCAAGCTATTTTCGATATATCATACGAAGGTATATCATGCCAATCTGTTGATGCTTCTAATTGTTCTCTTGTCCAATTGGTTCTTCGTCGTAATGGTTTTTCATCATTTCGCTGTGATCGTAATCTTGCGCTTGGAGGTATGACTTAATTCCATATGTTTATATTTATTTTTCTTTAGTAAATTGTGTTCGTCTCAACAAATTACTTCAAACCGCACGAAACGACGATACCATTCGTCTCTCCGCGGAGGAAAATCCTGACGTCCTCAACGTGACTTTTGTTCGGGTTAGTTTTATTTTTTTTTTCTTATTCCGACAAAAGATTTATGACTTATTTATATCCTTCAGAATGACAACAATAATGCCTATTTCGAAATAAAGCTTATGGATCTGGATATCGACCAGCACACCATCATCGACAAGGATTACTCGTTAGTGGAGGATGATTTATTTTTATTATCTTATTTAGCACTACTGTTACGATGTCTTCCGTCGATTTCCAGGCTGCCATTAAGACCCTTGCGAATTTTGGGGACGAGCTTAAAATTGCCGTGTCGACCTCTAATATCGCCTTCCAATCCCGTGGATATTTGGGTTCTGGTGAATTTGTTTTTTCTATGGCTTCTTCAGACGCGAAAGATCGTCTTTCCCGTCTGACTATTGATACGCTATCACTTGTGGAGTTAACCTTCGCTATGCGGTTAGTTTACCAAGAATTATTGTATCTATATTCTTCAGGTACTTCCCTATCTTCACTAAGGCCGTTTGTCTCTCCAAAGATGCGACTCTTCAACTTGGTGTTGATGTTCCCCTCTCCCTTCATTATAATATTCAAAATTTTGGACACATTAAATTTTTCCTCCCCCCCAAGGTCGAAGATGACGACTGAACTGTTCATTCGATTCCCTTTATATTATATCTCTATCGCTTTCTTTAATTTTGCTCTTTTTGTCAAGGACAAAATTAAGCTGTCCCCTCTAACGTATTCCTCGTTATTGTTTAGAATTGCTCTCGCTTGATTCGTCTTTGGGATGGTGTTTTTTCATGCTCGTTTCAAGTCCTCATTTCAAATTCTCTCACTTCTTGGTGATATGTCATTCTACCCGGATGATATCGACTGGTTTATTGCTGTTGATGGGGCGTCTTGGCGCTCTCCTAACTCCACTTCCTCCGTTTTGACCGAGGTCTACGTTCCTGTCGCTTCGTTTGCGACTTTCCAGCTCTCCGAGCCATTTCACTACTACAGTAGAGCACATTCACTGTTAAAAAAAAAATTACTTTGTTAAGTTAATTCGACGAGACTGCGTGACATTTTACTGGCTCTTCCTCATGATTCTGAGGTAACATTTTCCCTGGCCGGGCTTACTGACGATTTGTCCGTCTTTCTTCACTGCCAAGTATGTTTTCTGTGAATGTTTCGTGTTAATAGTTTCTAGATGAACAATGAACGTCACCATGCATTCCTGGCATATAATCCTCTGCCACCTCGACCTTGGCTTCCATTCATACCCGATTTTCGGTAGTAAATATTATAACTTCATTTATGATTTTTAGTTGTAATTTGACGATGCCTTCTGCGAATTTTTACATCATCCTTGCTCAGCTTCTCCAACATTCGAGTACCTGCAAGCTTATTGTGACCGAAAATTGCGTCAAGTTTCAGACGTCCAACCCCACTGGACAATCAACAGGGTTCATCGATTTGACTACCCGCATTGTACCCTTTGCACCTGGACACTCAATTCTCATTCACAGCAATGAGGATTTCGAGGTTTGTCATGACCTTCGGTAAGTCGTCGCTATTGCATAAAAATAAGGGTTCTCTTCAGCGCCATGGTCTCAACATATTTTGCTGCCGCTGCTTCTACCATTGTCACCGTTTCTTTTGGTCCGGGGTCCTTGATGCGACTCTGTCAAGTTTTACCCTGTGGCGCTCTTCTCAGCACTTACCTTGCTCCACTCTCTGAATGAATGGCTATCCCTCTTTGCCTACCGTTTTTCCCCCAGACCTTTATTTTCACTCCTCTTCATTTTTTAACATTCCCTAATCCGATAAGGGCTTTTTATCGACACTTTGTCTATCGGGTGTCTTTTATTATTGATAAACCGTTTTATTTTACTATGCGTAACCGTTCTTTGTTTAGATTGCATATATGTTTGAATGCGAATTTGACTCGGCCTATCCCATGAAGATTTTGGTTGATTTTATTAACGATCTCATGCATGACTGCTTGTGGACAGTTTGCGCAGATGGCCTTTTTCTTCAATCTTCTGACAATTCGAATAGTGTTCTTGTTCAAGTTGTTTTCCGTACAAGGGGCTTTAGACGATTTCAGGCCGACAAGGAATTAAAACTCGGAGGTTTTTATTTTCTCTAGTGTTCTCTACGGTATTTTTAGTCAAAGCGAAATCTTTTCACGAAGCCCTCAAGCATGTGAACAAGGATTACTCCCTTATTTTGAAATGCGATGACAATTCTGACGATATTTCACTTCATACATTCTGCACGGTAGTTTATTTGGTTTGATAATTTTTCTTAAATAATAATTTAGAATGGCGGTCCTTCAGCTACATTTGATCTTCATCTTATTGACTTTGATCGCGATGAAGTTGAAATCCCCATATTTGACGTGAGGTTTGCGTTATTTGTTTATTATTCTTATTAATATTATATAGTTGCAAAGTGTCAATGCCAACCTCGTGTTTCGTCGATGTCTGCAAACAGTTTTCAACTGTTGGGGATACAGTAACGATATCTGTCAAAAGTGACTTCATTCTTTTCGAGTCTGATGGTAACTGTGAAAGCGGACGGATTAAGGTGGCAAATTATTCCGATATCCGATTTCCAAGTGATTCGATTAACATTGACGTTGTCAAGCAATTGCAGCAAACATATTCGACATGGTTTGATTTTGAGTACCTTCAAAATACTATTTTTAGCTATTTCCGCCGTCTCTTGAAAATCGCCCCTCTTGCTAATCGGGTGGACATTCATATAGTGGAAGAGCTGCCAATTGCCGTTGTCTTCCAGATCGATGAGTACTCCGCTCTCAAGACCTTTATTGCCCCTAGACTTTAGTTATCTGCGCATGATTTGTATATCAACGTTATTCGTCGTATACAGTTTTACACTATTGAAAATTTTACCTTCAGATTCTTTCAATGAGCAATTACGAAAGTCTCGGCAGCAGGCTTAAAAACGATCTGGATTGCTGCGTTATTGCAGAAGGGAGGGAGCTGAATTCGATTTCGTGCTGTCCCAATTGCTCAATCATGGTATGCTCTAAGTGCATTGATGAAATTGCTGGCGCGTCATCGTATTTGAAATGTCCTCAATGTCGAAAGCGACTCAAAAAGGTTCAAATAGCTTCTGAGTGTCGTTACGATGTTCATTATAGTCACAATTTCTACAAATTCGCTGGGCCCCAGATGCTCTTCGCACGGTTTTCGGTGAGTTGTCGGTTACCTTCATCGTAATATATATGTGTTTAAAGATCTTGTTGATTGCTGCGATCAACAAAGACTCCAAATCGAAGATCTTCAGCAGCAGATCAAAACTTTGTCTAAAAATAAGCCCGCTACAACCCAAAATGAAGAAACTGGCCGTCGAATTTCTTCTTCTCAAAAAAAATGGTACTATTTTTAATTTTCTCTTGTTGTGATTTTTAAGGTTGGTGGTCAACAATATTCCCTCGATAACTGATCATTTTCCATCTAAAGTCGCCTCATTTCGACTCGGACATCAGGTTTTTATCATTCCCTTTAAAAGTTAATATTTCTCTTAGAAACCTGTTGCTGATGATCAAGCACCCTCAACATCTTCGTCGGGTACTCCTTCCGGTGGCAGCGAGACTGGGAATAGACGTTCACCCATTATTACTCGTAGTAAAAGAGATAATTAGACGAATAGCTAGCGACTGAGTGGTATTTTTTTTTACTTATAGAATGGCATGTGTGAAGTTTTACAAGCCTGCTTGGTTGGCACATATGATTGCAAGCGAGTATCTTACCAAAAATGCTGTTCGCTTTACTTTCTGTCATAATTTTTTCCGCGTTGCCCCTTTTCCGCCTTCGAAAAACAAGGATAAAATTATTCATTTCAAGCGAAGCTCGACATGTTCCTATGTGAATACCACTCGCCGTATTCATGATTTGATGGGTTTTTTAATTCATTAATAGGAAAATACTGCTGTTTTTAGTTTTCTCTTCTTCGTTGCTATCAATTTATGAGGATATTAAACGCGCAAAGATTCTGATGCTAATCATTGCTGATGGACCATACGATGAACTTCAAATAATGGTTAAAGGCGCGAATCTGCACAGAAAGCATTTCCTACCCATCAAGCTTATCATCCGTTCTTGTTCTCGCAGTATATTGTTGCCTCGACGATCACTACCTTCAAGAAAACCAAAAAATAACAAAAACTTATTAAAAGATACTAGGAAAGGGATGGAAATTTGAAATTCATCGGTGATTCATTTTTCCGTTGATAAAGCGATCCGTCTGTGTTGATAAGTATGTTCAAACTGACTTCCGAATCAATATTTCCACCCTCATTAGGGACAATGACAATCTGTCGAGACCTCAAAGGTATGACAACAATAAATTTTTATCATTTCATCTTTTATCATAACGCGATCACTCTTAAAACGGATTTAATAATTATTCACTTTTTCCTACTTTTCGCATTTTTAGCTCTTCTGTGACTGGAAACTATCATCGCGACGAGATCGTCCTCCTAACTGAAGCTGCTTCATCCTTGTCCCTCCGTTCTTGTCCTTATAAAAATTACTACGAGTCTGTATTTCCCCGAAGATTCGTGAAGGACTTAGTAACGCGTAATGGCAAATTTAACTTCAATCAACGTGACTTAAGGTAATATTTCCTCTTATATATATTTCGAGCGGAGCGAGCATAAAATAAGCTTAAGTTCTAGTTTTTGCACGAAATTACACAATCGTACAATTCGCCGACGAAACGAAGTGCTCCCCGATTTTTCCAAATTTATATCCATCATTTCTACATCCCTGATCACACGAATCGATATTGGGGGATTCTTTGCAACGTCGTCGAAGTGGCGTAGCGTTACTCATGATCCCTTTATTGCAAAAGAGGTACATTTATATTTGGTTTTTATTATATTTATTTGTTAGTTCTATATCGATATTGACATAACTGACTACACTTTCCGTCGGTGCTGTAGCGGCCGCTCCACTTGCAAAAAATGTTGGAAATTTCTACAGGTGGCGGCGCGTCTAATTGACCAGACTCTGCGCAACGACTTTGGATTTTCGAAAATATTTTGGGGTATTTAGAATGACTCAGTTTCTCTTTATGTAAATAGTATACAGTGGTTCGCGCGGGATTCACGCCTGGGTTCTTGACGACGAGTTCATGGCCAATTCCGAGTCTCGCCGAAGAACCGTTCTTGCATATCTATCAAAAAAAAACATGCCTTATTATGGATCCAAGCTATATCATACGTTTTATTCACGAGCACTTGATATTATTGACCCTCTTTGGCTTGAATTACTGGCCGAACAAGGTTTGAATATGCTATTTGTGATCCGTTTAATTTTTTTTAGGGATTCTTTCGGATTTGAGCACTCTTTCTCGATTACTCGACTTTACGTGCTTACTCGACGATCAAAAAGCTCATCTGGTTAAGGAAGTAACGGCTGCCAAAGCTGAATCCGAAAAATGGAAGCTGATAGAAGGTGTTCTTCAATCAGGAGACACGATGGATTTTAATAGTATTCGGGCATTAAAATTAAAAATAATGCTGCCAGAAATCGACGAGCAAGTTACACTTAGTAATTCCCATCTCATTCGTCTCCCGTTCAGCATCCACGATCACTCGCAAAAAGGTTTATTTTTATTTTTTTTTTTTGCAAATGCCATGGTTTAGTTGTATTGCCTTTTGATGCACCTTCGGCGAATTGGTCATTTATTGAATCCATTCCTACTGTCTTTAATGTCTCCAGTTTGCAAAAAAAAGTTGAGGATAGCGTTATTTATTTGTCAAGCGTACTTAAAAATTGAAGTTCTCTAGTCATGTTCTGTGTGATTTTAGAATGCCCCAAACGACGATGGTGCCATCATTGTCTTCTCTCACAGCAAACGTTGGAAGGTTTTCTCCCAGTTTTGCTTTTCTTTTCATATCATAATTTAAGAATCACTGCTGCTACCTGTAAAGAATTTTTTTTGGAGCGTCTTGCTCGTGTCGACTCCGTTCAAGAACACATCCATGTGTATAACATTATGCTCTCACTTATGGATCAGATGTGAGTGTCCTTTGTTTTTTTTTTCTTCATCATTTAGGATCAAAATCGAGGCGTACACCTTGGGGAGACATCTTTTGGTTCGTGTGGATACCTGTCATTTCAACGGTGACAGAGAGCTAAGAATCGGACTTTCTCCAGATGCTAAGAACGATGTGAGGGAACAGATTCAGCGGTAAATTTTTTTTCCTCTGTAATGCTTTTACTAAAAACTTTTTAGCCGTCTTTCAAAACTTGAAGAAGATATGTTTTGCTAAAAACTTTTATACTCGTGCTTATAAATTTTATCTGTTAACTGAAAATTTTGCATCTCCTATTTTGCTTTTCCTTTTATTTTAGAAATGAATTTTGTTGTTGAAGCTTCGCCTTCACTCGCGCTGATATTCAGAGCTGTTGATAATTTGGCTCTGGATCTCCGCCTTTGCTTCAGGAAAAAAGTTACTATCATCGGAACAGGTGATGAAGATGCAGTTTTTGTCGTCTACAATCCCAACTTCGACTACCGTCGTTTATCAAAATTATGACAACGTCCACCGTGTAGTTCAAGGTAATGACTTATTTTCTCTGTAAACTTATTCTATCTAGTTGTTGATCGATTTGATGTTGTCGACACGATTTGTTCTGCCCCTCCAGGAACTCATATTAGTTTCAATCTATCAGCAGCTATCGGCGACAAACTGTACATCAAGTTCAATACGAAGGAATATTTTGTCGAGCACTGGGTGAATTCGAAGGAGGTTTTTAATTCACAAGCTCCGGATAGCAACTTTTATGATAACGACTGCATCGTGTCTATTGACAACGATTTGCTCTTCCGAACCGCTTCCCACTTGGCAACAGGTATACAGTTATAAGAACTTTTCACAATTTTTGATAGTTGGCGAATACCTGACGATCCACGTTATGACTAACGGAAAGGTGGAATTTTCAACAACCAAGACAAACAGCAGCAAGAAGAGGGTCACTTGGTTTGATGATGACGCGGTAAAAATTGAGAATCCGGTCGAAGGTCGAAGTTTCTGCAGTTTATAGTAAATTTAATTTTTGTTTGTCTTGTAAAATCTTTTAAGTATACTCAAGATGTTGACGGAATTGTTAACAGGCGCAGAGTCACTACATCTTAAAATAGATGATGGTGCAGCTTTGGCCTTCAAAGCCAACATTGGTCGATATGAGGTAAGATTTGGGTTAATGATCTTAGATGATTTTAGTTATTTGCACAATTTGGCGAGATGGAAGAGCTCAAAATACCAGTTTCGTGCTCAACTCTACAAATATTATAATTAGTCACTCTTGTTGAGCATAACTTAGAGGGCCATTGTATGCTGGTAGATCCGAAAAATGTGCCATCTACTCTGGAAAGATATACAAGGTACTACCGATCTGCAAACGAAGAGGGCGCAAGCGACAGCCAATATTCAGCGTACGCAGTTGAAAATGGCGAAGTTCACAGTAACGGATTTCATAATCTCTGTTTTATTCGAAGCGCCACTTGTTTTGTTTAACTATAAAATAATCATAAGAATATCGCTTATGAACTTCGGAAAAAGTCAACGATCACAAGATGCAAGCTCACAAGTATCTGACCGTATACTTCCAATCTCTGATCAAGAAGAGATTAAAGCTGCTTCCTCTTCGCAGCAAAACGATCAAGCAATAACTTGTGCACCACACGCTGCATCGACACCTAAAAAACCCGACGCGCAAAAAGTTACACCACCTAGTCGCCCAAATGAGGATGATTTTGACAGTGAGTTCCAGGATGAAGAGATAAATCAGTGGGTTGAGTCACGACAGATGGAAACGGATGAATGACTGAAAATCTTTAGGGCGCCATGGATAAAAATAATTATAAATTTCACTGTCACGAGTATGTAAATTCAGTGTTATATTATTAAGACTGATGGAGCGCGTTGAACTTGCCCTAAAAATTTTGGGCAGTAAGGATGCCCAAATCTGTGCGGACGATTTTGATTTTTATTTCTCGAGTATTACAAAAATCTCCATTCGGCTTCGACTGCCACCGACAATCAAATCGATAAAGGAAAGGAATAAAAAGTAGCTTATATAATTGTTTATGTTAAAATTGAACTCTTAAAATAATTGCTTGCATTCCATAAAAGATCAACTCGCAACAAAAATTCTGACAATCGGTACTACAACTTTTGCTCTTTCACAATACGTGAAAATTAACAAAACTCAAAGATACTTATCGTCAGGAATTCCAGGCTCGACGACGGTATATGACGCACATTGGCCGTTTTGTCCCTTCATACGTTGCCGGAATGGCCCGTGTAAGTGAAAGGTACCGAAAATTAAAATGCCCCCTCAATTTAGTTAATATCATAGCGAAATTGAGTATTTGGTACGGGATGATGGCCACCCCGTAAAAGAGTACCTTGATGCTTTCGACGGTATGAAGGAACTTCTGGAGAAGGTGCGAGGTGAAGCTGGCGATCTTGAAATCAAAGGTTTCATTCATTCAATGTACGAACATAATCATTTATTTAAGAAAATCCTGCAGAAAAAGCAAGAAAAGCAGTTTGATCTGTACGAATCAACCCCAGTCTTTAAAGATTAATGATACCTTACGTATTACCTATATTAGACTGAAATCCTACGAAGGCCTGCAACATAATGGAGAAACGTGTTCCCTTTGGTAGTTTTGAGGTTCGGTTTGCCGATGATTCCGATGAAGGACCTTCTTCCAGTAATTCGATTTTGGCTGCAGCGACGAAATCGAAAAGAACGAGTATCGTACTAGCTGATTTAGTGCCGCCGTCACGTAAGTAGAAAATAATTATAGAGTGCACTTAAAAATAATAGAGCCACCTTCGGATGATGAGCCCAATAGAGAACAACCGCATTCAAGCGGTGTACTCAATTTTCATCAGAAAAAAAGAGCAAACAAACACATCAAGATAGGCTCCGAGGAACTTCGAAATCTTCTCACTAAGAAGAAAGCATCGGCTCCAATCGCAGTGGACTCTGATGTTCCACCTCCACCGAAAACATCGACCCATTTGGCCAGTCGAGCAATTGGTAAAAAGTGCACTCATTCCACCTGGGACATAAATGAAGGTATAAACAAAAAAATTAATCATTTTTATATCGCGCAAACATAGTAGGAAGAATGGACATCAATGGTGGAGTTCGAGCCAAGAAGAAAGCAGCTGGAACTAATGACGATCCATATGCGTTTGGCAGTGCTGACCTAGGTATAACATAAAAATTAACACGAACATAAAATTGATATTATAGATGTAAGTCAGTCTGTCTTCCGCCCTTATCGGGGAAATTCGGGAAATTTTTGCGACCGTGACAATTTCTCGGAGACAATTACAATTTACGACTCGCAAGAACGACCAGTGGGTAAGTTTATAATAATTTATAGAATAGAATAAGTAAAATTTAAAAATAGACGCCACCGAAACAATAGATTTAACGAAGGACAGTGTTGAGGAAAGAGTTGCGTCAACAGGATCACTCAGAATTACCATCAACGGTAAATATAATAAGATTTTATTAATACTTACGCTTAAATAAGTGAGTGCGAAAAAGTACGAACGAGATAACAAGGAACTCACCGTGAACGTCGACCTCGATGAAGCTACAGTAAAAATCGAATAACTGTTCAGCCTGACCTTACTTGACTCAAATTTCCATATCTCTCGCTCAAAATTGAGCTACAAATTTTTTACTATTCGGTCTCAAGTAAATCTGATAGGTCAGATTAAGTGATGGCGCTGTTGCCGGTGGACGACGAACAGCGCCGAAGAATCAAACACTACCCAAAAAATTTATTAAGAAACGTGAATGTTCAAGGCATACCTTATTGACGCGAATAGGCTGAGAAAAATGGCCTTTGCCATCGAGTCGGATTTTGGCTACTGCAACTTGATGGTAACTTCCAAAGAATTGCATATTCACAGAATCGGAACGCGATCAGGAAACAAGATGACAATACTGACAATCAATCGAGAAGCATTTCACGAATACGAATGCCAAATAGAAAAAAAATGGGCAGGTGAGAGATGCTATTGGGTAGACATTAAAAAATTTTATTTAGTATCAACGAACATGTTAAAACAAGTTCTATCCGGGGGGGACATTTACCACGATGTGCTTATCAGCATAGATTACGACCAAGATGGACCATTTTTACAGACGGAATACATTGCCAGGGTAATTGATGCATACTAGCCGCTTTAGACTGTTTATTAAGATGAACAACCCAAGAATCCAGGAGCCAAGCGAATGGATGAAGTTAGCTCTGGGCTTTAAATCGAAGCGGCGAATTCATCTGTCGTACGAATTGCAACACATTCCAGAAACCGTGCCCGAACCCGAGTACAAGTAATAAATTTTAATCTTCATAAACTAACTATTGCTAGCTGCACCGTCGAGTTAGAAGGAATAACCCTTTTGACGATATGCGATAGATTCGAAAATGTCTATGGAAAGATAGAATTGACAATCGATCAGCTAACGAGAGTAGTTAAATTTTCAAGCACAAACTACACATTCCTGAACACACCAGTCAGGGGTCAAAATATCAGCCGAAATCCTAGTGCGAAAGCGAACCATTTTTTTTTAAATTAAGCGGCTTCGCAAAAAAGCGAGTTCGCACTGCGAATTTAGACCCCTGCTCCAGCTATAACAAATCGGGCAAGTAACGATCGAACACTTCGATACAACTATTCTAACAGGTATCACACGGTGTGTGCAAAACTAATGAATGAAGGCGAATGGTGTTCATCGCGAGCGCAGAGCAGATTCCGAATCATGTGACAATCAACGCAGCGGAAGACAAACTTGTTCTCATGTATAGCGTGGAAGGAATGGGAACAGTCGCCTACCATTTAGATAATATATAAGAGGAGTAACAAAAGGCAAAGGTCACGACATGAGAGATGAAATGCTTAACACCGGCAATACGAAAAATTCAAAACATTAAGTTTAGATTGAGATATGTCAACTATTCCGCGAAATGATAATCGAATTCACAACAACGGCGCAGCCGACATGGACGAAACCTTTCAGCAACAAAATACAGGAATGGCTGAAAGAACAAAGCATTAACAAAAAAAATCATCCTCAGCCATTGAAGCAGAAAACCAAGTAGTCCAAGAATTAACTTCCGAAAACCGTGGTCCAGAAGGTAGTGAAAACGATGAAACTAAATTGCTAAAGATTAACCTAAATAGAGGACAGTTGAAAATACCTCCTAGCATTCGAAACGATCCAAGAAGTACCCGAAGAAAACGAACGGAGCAACGAAAACCGAGACCTCTTTGACCCAATTAATCAACAGGAGGAAATACAAAGGGTCATAATAATTAGAAAGCGAAATTTAGAGGATAGTATAAATATAAAATCAGCTCATATAATTATTGACCCTTCACTCAGAATTAATCTTATCAACAACTACTTCATTAATGAGGACCAGTGGAATGCCGTTTACAACTTCGCCGACGAAGTTGACCCAGAAAACATTTTCCTGTAAGCTAATAATAAAACAAAAGACCACCGTTTATAGGGACGAGATACAGCGAGAAGAATACATAAACGACCGACTAATCGCCATACCAGATGAGGAGGCGACCGAGGAACTGTGTCCTATTTGCTTGGAATCGCTCACCGCGACGAGATGCCAAATGGCAAATTGCACGCATATCTTCCATCGAAATTGTATTCGACAGTGGCTGAAAGAAAACAACAACTGCGCCGTGTGTCGGGCAGATTTCTAATATTCCCATAAAAAATCCATCCATTACCCTCCCCCCCCCCACTCTTATTTTTCATTTTTTTTTGTGCATTTTAACTAAAACAACTTTCCAGGAGAAAGCAAATGAAACGTCAAAAACACTCCAGCTAACCGCAATAGTTCCTAACTCGACCTGTGATTAAAATTCCGGCGTACCCATCAACATGAAGTTACAGTAGCGTGTGGAGTTGCCGCAGCCTTAGCGAGTGCTGAATTGCTGCACCCATGACCAGCAATTCATCTTTTGTTTTCTTCTACAGTAACAAATTAAAGCGACGGTTCTGCACCTTTAACCCGCTGTCTAGGGGTAGAGCAACTCCAAACACCACAGTTCTGCGACAAAAACACAATATTAATAATATTAATATTAATAATAATTAATAAAAATAGTTCTAGAATGGATTTCGAACTAATGTGCGCACGCACAATAGTTCGGCACGCCACAGGAGGAGAAGATATACTGCTGAAATATTTGACCGCAATCGACATGATCGACAAAGCGACGATCTTTCTGGTACGCGCAAGGAAGGAGTGTGTAGAAGAGGGCGACAGATACAGAATTGACGCAGAAACCGCATTTATGCGTAAGGAAATAATATCAAACGGTAACAGAATTAATTAAGGTGGGCGACGCGCAACGGTCGAGAATTTTATGGGGAGATTCAAAACGAATGGTGCCCAAATCAATGAGTACCTTGCAAGTAATAACCAAGGAAGTATCAGGTAGGAAAAGAAAAAAAAAAGAAAAAAAAGGAATTTTAAGTGAAAATCTCACTGAAATGGTCAATGAAAACGCACGCCCATATGCAGCCATCATAAGTACCTTCAGGAAGCATTAGCAATAACTATAAATATAACACACATAATTATGCTAATGGAAAAAAGAGACTTTGAATTACAAACAATATATGTTCGTGATAAAGTTGAGGATGCTTTGGAGTTAGCGCGAAGCATAATCGAATAAAAGAATTAATATTCATTCTCACCTGTGAAAATTAGTGGTCATGATTTCTGTCAACAACTATTCAGTTTTAGAAGACGGTTATGTGGAAACAGGACAAAAACAACGCTCCGAAAACATCTCACCCTAATCGAGGTAACAAGTAAATCGACATTACGAAAACATAGATTAATATAGTCGACGGAGAAAATGGAATGGTGACACCCAGCTCCATCCTCGCCACCATCCACATCGCAGGTAAATAGACCCAAATATTATACAATGCTATGTTCACGCAAAAAGGAGACCTCAAGGAATGCAATGAAGCGGACATCAACAAAGCCATAAGAGTGGAGGTATAAACCTAAAAAAAATAAATGATTAAAAAATAAAGGCACCCTTGGAGATGGTAGTCAAAACTCAAGGCGAAGGAGATGTCACCATGCTTCAAAAGAAGTTCGAAACCTTGAAGGAGGAGAAAGCGTTGCAGCAGAGTTCCGATGATAAAGAAGGAACAAAACCACTTGGAACCCACCTCTGCACTGTTCACATCGCCGGTATTAATAATAACCCACAACATATTTAATAACTTAAAATACACATAAGAAACGATTATTGACAGCATGAACAAAAAGAACGTTCCAACAGCCGGAAATCGCAGCATCCCCATCGAGGTACGCAGACCTATGAATAAAATACAAAATGATAAGACTACCGCGGACCTCAAAGTCCTCCAGGCGTTGTCCAACGGCGAAGCAACGCTCAGACAGACACCAGATAACTTCATGATGGATGGAACCTTCCACCTAGGAGGAACATTGAAGGTAGATAAAAATCATTCCATAATTTTTGAATGACGAAGGGAAACATCGATCTTACCGCCGCTGTGAACAAGACTGACAACGAAGGGGAAGAAATCAGGAAAGGAAATATGCTGATGGATGGAACGTTCATAACAACGGGGCTGGAAGGTGAACAGAAAGTATTGATGATGGACGGAACATTCATGGCGGGGAAAATTGATAAGAAGGAGGAACAAGAGGTAGGAAAAAAGATAGACAGAATCAAAAAATAAATAGAAGGAGAAACGAAAGAACGGAGAGAAGAACGATAAAAAGAATGAATTCTGAATAAAAGGAGAAGGCGAATGAAAATGTGCAAATAAAATAACAGCACAAGTGTTCAAAAATAAAAGGCAATTTCTTAGATTGAAATGTCGTCGAATGCAAGTGAGAGAGATACGGATAGGAGCATTCCAGCGAGTCAAAATGAAATCGATGAAAGGGAGAACGAAGGAAACAACGAAGAAGAGGAAAGACAAACTCCAACAATGAATGAGGAAAACAGGGCTCAAGAGCCTGAGTTAGGACCGTGATACCAATACGCAAAAAAATAAAATAATATAAATAAATATAGATATATATCACGGAAAGGATCACAAAATGGAAACATGGCCGACCAATACGAAGATTGGATGAATGTGTATGAGGAAATGTACGAAGAGTTCGTCCAACGCCAATCATTAGCAGAAAGGCAGTTCTAAAATGGTTTATTAAAAATAGCTGTGACTTATTACACGACAAAATAATTGCTTTTTGATCAATATAGACAACCACTAGAAAATGCCAATAAAAGACAAAACGAGAGTGGCAACAGTACGAACACCATCGGCATACAGGTTGACGTTCGCGTAGAACAGAGAATGAGAACAATGGAAAGATATGAAAGGACTGAACAAGAGAGTCAAGGAAGCCTTTGCCCCATCTGTCTAGAGGAAATTAATTCTGACGGAGTGCAATTACAAATGTGTGAACATCGCTATCATGGAGCCTGCATCGGAACGGGAAATGAACAATAAAATATAGAAAAGCAAACTGTGATTTCCAATAAAGAACGATGGCTTATGGAACGTAACTACTGCCCGGTCTGTGTACGTCGAATCTAGGATCGCTAAAGACGGGGATAAGCATTTGAGATTGAAACTATAACTTATAGTCTATAAGTAATAACCAAAAACAAGCATGTCAAATGTAGAGACAACCAGCAATCAAAAACATTCACACAATTGCATATCCATTGAAAGGAAGAAAATCGCCGACTCGCTCCGCTCGATTTATAACCAAGAAAGAGAGAAAAATGGATAAGGAGCTAATTAACCGAAATTATTTAGAATGCCACCGAAAATATACAAAAGGGAACATCGAGGAATTGGCCTAGTCGAATGCAAGGACGAGGAAATACTCGACGATGAATTGTTAAGATTCCCAGTCCGAATATATTCAAAACTTCCAATGGACACTGACTTCGATCTTGATAAATTAATAGCCATTACAAGAGCAAGATACTTGGCTCTTTGTATCATCGAAGGTATAATGAGTATGCCCACTCAAGTATTGAGAATAGAAAAGATAGACACAAACAAAAGACTGTGACCAGTATAAGAAAACGGCTATTAGGCTGGGGTCGGCGACTACAGAACTGAGTTGGCGGATAAGGGCCGAACCAGAAATGACCAAAGCTGAGGGAAGCATTGATGCGCGGGGAAAGCCAGCTCGAAGATGAAATCTCGAAAATGAGACTTTCTTGCGCAGATACCGACCCCTGATGTTAGAAGAATCATTTTTACGCGACAAACTTGTGAAATATATCGGACTGGAGCGATTGATCCCCACACTAGACGAAAGGAACAATGATAACGTATCGCATTGGACCTTAAAGATAGCAGTGTGTCGAGATCCAGTGCGTCGGGCTTGGTTTATAGAAAATGAGCTCAGATTGTTCGAGTATAGATATTCGTTGCTGAGCGAAAAAGCAAAAAAAAAATTCCTGCAGGTAATTTACAAAAAAAAACCATCATTGAATTTCATTAAGAACGCAACGAAAGGAATCGACGAGGTAAAGGCTGAGGAATTGACAACGGACCTCGCCAAGAAACTGAAAGAATGTGCCAATATGAGAACAGTGACCGTTAAAACATGGTATCGCATTCCGTGGACAGAAGTAGAGACTGTTGTCTCGCAGAGGGATTGTTTTCTACATCAAGGCAAAGGTAAACATCAGAACGTATAAGTAATAAATTTTTAAGCCTATATTGCCGAACAAGAGTTGATAGAATACGTTAAAAGTATTATGAACAAAGAAAACCATCGCTGGTTAGACGGATTCGCAGTTAAGCACGACGCAATGATGTACAATGAAACAGAAAGACTAGGTAAAACAAATTTAGCGATATGACGCACAAAACAGAATCCGAAATTCTTGCTAGTGACTATCGAAGTAATTAGATACAGCACAAACGCGATAATTAAGTGCCTATCCTGAAAGCGATAATGGAAGATGTAAAGCCGGAAGAAATTCAAGCAAAAACGAACGGTCTCACATACGACAATTTGGAATTCATGAAGAGAACATCAATGCCACCTTGTTTAAGAAATTTGTTCAACGGACTAGATAAGGATGGAAAATTAAAATACATGGTACTGTACTAATATATAAAAAAAAAAGTAGCTGACTGGGAAACAATGAGTTGAAAAACGATAAGAAAGGTTATTAGGGACGGCTGCATTTATGGTCATTCCTACGAAATGCAGGAATGACAATGGAGGATGCCCTGAAGCTAACAACAACAAAAATGCATAACTACCAAAATCCAGCAGCGGAACACGAGTATCACGTTAAATATGCATATGGACAAGTGGGGAAAAAGAGCCCAATAAGTAATTATGAAGCAAATTACAACAAAAAGTAATGAGTTTAGTATCCTACACATGCGAAACGAAAACGAAGATTGCAAAATCGAAGGAAGAATATCATTTGTGCCCATTTACAAACAACGAAGATCTCAAAACCAAACTGGAAAGTTGGGGAATATCTGAAGGAAGGGATTTTCAAAAGTACCCAAACAGAGAAGGCACGTAAAATCAAAGAAAAGACATAGAAGACATAATGACACATGCGAAGAAAGGTCGACCACAAAAAGCCTGTAGCGAATTTTTCCAAAGAACACACCAGAGTGATCAAATGGACAAAAAGACGGTTGAAATCAAGAGCCCCAACGAATATTTTAACATGAGTAGATTTTGGGGGAAACAAGAAAAAAAGCAATGACACTAAATCAAAACCTCCCACTATATTTCACTCGCGAAACAAAACACATTTTGATGCTAAGACACCGAATCCGATAATTTGTGCTCAGGCAAACCTTCATCAGGGTGGAACGTTGGGGCAAAAAATTAGAATATGGCCGCCCGATTGCCCGCCCGATTAAAATTTATTGAAGAAGAAGGACAATTTTGTATCCCGAGGAAAAAGGGCACTCATGGAGAACCGAAACCGGTCGTTCTTAAAGAAAATTTCAGTATTTATGTCCCATAAGATGCCATTTTTTCTTCCGGGCGCCGACTATTTTCCCGGGCCCCGATTTTGCCCGATTGCCCGACTTAGCCCGATTTTTACCTCAAAAAATCGAGCCCTACACCGCCCGATTTGCCCGCCCGCCCGATTTTTTGCCCGGTTTGCCCGAGTGGACCAGTCCCAACGTTCAACCCTGCCTTCATTGTATAGAACGCTCGAGTTTTCTCGAATTGAAAACGTGAGATATTTTAATAGGTAATTTAAGCGTGAGCTCATTTATCATTTTCTTCCTGGGTAATGATTAACACAAAAAACATTGCAGAATGGAGAGAAATAATGAACAGGTACAAAATAACCTAGGAAAAAAATTAATTAAAAAAAAAAGGAATATGGAAGAATCGGACATGATACTCGAGGGAGGAACAGCAATGCTCAACAAGATCGGGGCCAAGGTAGACTAAAAACTAACGAAGATTAATAGCGTAAATCAAAGATCAATTGATGCACGATGCCCAAATGAATCAAGTGACTCTCGATGAGTTTCTACGAAGAGATGATACTATGGACCCAAATGATCCACGCATGGAGGAATACATTTAGGGATATAAGAGAAAAGATAAGTACTAAGGATTATATTCATCGACTTATAGCCGAGAGATCATCAATTTTTACCACCGCCACATAGGAATTGTTCAAACCGGAAAAACTAGAAAGAAAACCGTTAATGAACAATCAAGAAACATGGAGAGCGCTGTACAACGAGCAAAGGCTACGTGCTGTTCATGGCACTAGGCGACATACACAGGAAGGCCGATTAGTCGACGTGTTTATTGAAACACAAGAAGAGCTCGAGAAGGAATGTTCAATCTGCTTACAGAACTTCACTGAGATAATGGCGAGAGGGAAAAACTGCCATCATCTCTTCCACAAAGAATGTTTGACAAGATGGGTGGAGCAGAGCAACCGCCGAAACCCATGTCCAGGAACGGTGATATAAATATAAAAGCGAAAGTAATCACAAAATATGCATCGCCGCAAACAGAATGCCGACAGAGACTTTTCTAAGAGAATACTGGGCCATAATTAAAAGCTATACAGTAATGAAATAAAATTATTAAGAATGTTCTACCCACTGATGCTCGCCCGCGATGTGGTCCGTAGGTTCACAGGAGACGACATCATCGTAATGCTTATGCATTACTATGACAACGTAAAGGTAATGACGAAATAAAAACAAGGACTAAAATAAATTCCAAGGACGCAATCAGACTCCTTCAAGATCTACGAAAAACTCTTAAGGATTTTGGCCAGATTGCAAAGTATACCGAGATCATAGAAGAACTAGGTAAAAGGAAAGCCAAACGTTAATAAAAAAAAAAATAGGGGAATTGCTGAACGAATGCAAGAGCAGTTACGAAGATTTCGAAGCCAAAGGAGGAAAGCTGGCGAATGAATTGATGAATGTACCCGAAGATGAGAGATGGTATGAAGGTATAAATTGCGATAACATCGAATTATTACAGTAATTACATCGAACACCAAGTCGAGAGTAGACAAGGAACAGCAGAGACGATCATTGCTGCACATGCAAGACTAGTGCTCTCCAAACAAAAAGCAGACAATCGAGTGGCCGCAGAGATGAAAAAGAAAAACTAGTAATAAATATGAGCCTGCGAAAACGGATTAAAATAAACCGACGAACTCATTGACAAAGAACAGTATCCAGTGAAATACACATATGGATAAAAATGATACCAATGAAACTACAAGAGCAGGTGTTACAAAAATAAAGCAAGTGCAAATAAGTTGTGAGAATAAGCATTTGATATGGAGGTTTCAAATTTGCCCGAAAATTGCGGCAGCCAAATCTCCGAGGGGCGAATGCACACCTCCGCCATAGAACGGACATGGAACTTCAATTTCCAGGGACATAATGACGACAGCTATTCTTGAACAAAAAACGGCGCTGGTATATAAATTTGATAAGAGAACTTCTTATCAGTTTATTGACAGAAAATATTGGAACTATCAGGAGTTTTATATTATCCGACTCCTCTCGACAAGCTCTTTAAAACTTGACAAGAAGTTTTTGATGGTTTCCAGGCCCGCTAAATACTTTGTTAAATCATCAAGATAAAAATAGCAGCGCATAAACAACACAGGGGCAGAAGTATGATGCAAGCGATTGAACGGTTAATAGAAAGGGCAAAACTCAGCAATGACATAATGAAGCGGCGAAGACCGATGTAATTAATCTTAATAAAAAAGTTATCAAGAAATGGCCGCCTACTGACAAAAAATATCCAAAACGGGCAATAGAGGTCAAATGCATAACAGCACCGCGAAAATACAGTACCTTTACACACCGGTAAATCAGTTTAAAACTGATCCGGGAATATAATCATTCGGATACGACCAGGCCACGCCACAAAATAGTTGAGGTCGAAAAGGCGAGCGAAATTAGCAAGCACAGCGAAATCGATCACCGAAAAAACTTGCAATCATATCAGAAATTCAAGCCAAACTAAGTTGATTATTGAATCATCTCAAGTCTTTCGAGAAGTCGGCGCGAAAAAAAAAGGCCGAGAAGCACTGCTGCCAGCAAATCAGTTGAGATTCGTTCAAAGTAGAATGGAGGAACGACAGAAAGAGAAAAAAGGTAAATTTTTGGCAAAAAAAAAACCAACCAAAATCACAGGTATGCAGAAGGAAGGAACGATAAAGAAGAGAAACAACGTATGGGCGCCGAAAATGACGAACCGCCAGGAAAAACGCGGAAACAATAACCGAAACAGGAGGGTTCTGACAAAAATCACAAACCAAAATTAGAGAAACTAGTACAATAGCACGCTCCGCGTGCATTATATCTTTTACGAGCTTCATAAGTCCCTAATGGATTACAGATAGAATGATGAAGTAGTGAACATCTGATTATAAAGAATCCGGAAAAGAAAGCCATACGAGGAGCTGTTGGAAGAGCACGAGAGAGAACAGGATGAACGCGATAAACGGGAAGAACGTAAATTAGAGTAAGGATAATTTATGAATTGGGACAAACAAGACCCCTTACAAAATTAACAAAATAAATTTAGAGCTTGGCTTCGAAGAAAAAGACTGGAAAACCTACGGATGGAAAAGGAAATCATAGAATTGCAACAGGAGCTCTTCCAGGCTGAAAAGGAAGCAATCATGAAGCTGAAAGAAGAAAGAAAAAAGATTGAGGTGAGTAGAGACACAGAATAAGCAATATGTGAATTAATAGGGGCGAGTCAACGCAAGCATGAAGTATGAAAGACAGGAATCAGAAGAAATGCAGAACGAAGAATCGAACGCCGAGATGGATATCAAAACGGAGACGCAAGAGTAAAAGTAAGACAACAAGAGAGCCCAAAAAACCTTATAAATTCAGACGGAGAGAAAGAAGAGAGAATGCCAAATTTCGATCAACTGAAACAAATAAAGAAATAGAACCAATATGCAAGAGTGGAAATTTATTTTCAAAAAGACCAAAGCAGGAATAAGAAAAAAGAGAGCAGGAGTAAGCATAATCAGGGAATCCAAGAACATCGACAAACTTTAAATATTCGCAAGAAACAATAGGACAGATAATAATCGTAACCGTGTTAATAGAAAAAAAAAATTGACAATTATTAATTGGTCTTTTATCAAAGACGCGAGAGATATTCTTGAAGCGGTGTCAAAACAACGGAGCCAAACTGAGTGAGAGATTCTTCAGGCTCCCATGTAGATTCAGATTCATCAAATCCTTCCCAATGAACCTATAAAAGAATTATTAAGACAGAAAAACTATAACGAAATTGATTGCAGACGAGTAAAATTATGGTGGCGATATTGTAGATACGCAAAATAACCAACCTTGTATTTACGAACGCCGTTTTCGGTTTTATGTCCAATAATCTTTGAAACAAGCCACTGCGAATGCTCGGAAAACTACAAATTATTTAACTAAAGAGCGAGAAAACATACTTTGGGTTCCTTCTTGTCAAGATGAAGAGTCCCAGGTAAAAGAGAACGAGGTTTCCGAAAAGACGCATCGTACTTTCGAGCTTCGAAAATCTCCTCATCAGTAAAAGCATAGAGCGGATAGAATAATTCCGGGCCATTATTAACGCTGAACTAAGATACAAATTAAAAGAAAGAAGTAGGAAGGAGATTACTTTGTAATGAAGAACTCCGTCAATTATTCGACGATCCTTGAAGCGGCCGCCCAATCCATGAGTATATTCGTTAGTACGATTGATATTCATACTCCTGAAAGTTCTTGCGTCAGCAATAACCTCACCTCCATCAGCAACTTGAGAAGAAACATCAGGGGGAATTTCTTGGGAAGAGGGAGTTATTTTACTCTGCGACATAGCGCTGAAAAATGAACTTTGTGAGCAATTGTGAAGGAAACTAAGTATCACAGCTAATGATATATCGCCAACTATCAGGAAAAAACACGAAGGCAGAGGGACAATCAACTTAAAAAAACCACGGCGAAAAACAATTCAAGTTCAAAGCAAAAAATTTTACAAGATAAAAAAATAACATGTTTTTCGCCACAGCAAAAACTTTGACGCAAACAAAAAAAAAACACATTTCCGCTCCTAATGACGTCATCAGGACGCTCGAGGAGAAATACGAACGACACTGTTTCTAGACTTTCCGGAGTTGAAACAAGATATCCCGAATCCGAGTTTTAAAAATCTCCGTATTGAATACAACGAAAGAGAATATTGTTTTGGAAGAAAATAATAGGCAAGAAACAGACTTTAATTAAACCACTAATAATTTAAAATCCATGTGGTCAGAAAAAAAAACAAAATGATAATGAAAACTTAGCCACGGCCACTGAGATGAGCAACTTCAACGGAAAGAGCGAATTGGAAAAAGCAATCACCATTCACTGCAATAACGATGCTTTCAGCCTTAGCTCATTGCATGACAACACATGTAAGATTGACATGTTAGAAAAAAAAAACAAATTAAGTGAGCAACATCGTAAGCACTCCAGGTTACTTCGCTTTAATCGTGGCAGGGGCGTTCCTTCTTGGAGTAGTCCTAACAGGTAAGACGAATAAGATATGAAAAACAATCGAAACACCACCTCGTAAAAAATGCAAAAAAACAAATCAACTAATGAAGACAAATCAAGATATCTTACTCAGAGTCCGTTAAGCAACGATATGCACATGCCGTTTTGGGCGAAAAAGGAAAGAGTTCAGAAACAAAGTCAAAGAACTCCGAGAAGAAAAAAAGGTAAAAAAAAAGGAGGAGAATCAATATTTTTTTTTAGGAAGACCGAAACCCACCGATCATTGTGCCAATAACGCCAATGAGCCCATTACCGCAGCATTATCCGGCACCACTGATTGTCACTGAAGAGATCCCAAGAGTGACTAGAAGTATCACGGACCCAGTACGAATGGTAAGAAGGACGATGTTTTAGGTTTTCAAAAAATACAATTCAGTCATTTGGAAGAATGAGTCAAGTAAGCTACGAAAATGAGTACCATTCGACAAGGGTACCTAATAATCAACTAGAAACAAAATATGCCAAAAGTAGAACTGGAAAACGCATATAATCAATATAATGAGAAAGAATACTACAAGAAAAAAATTTTAAATAAATACCCAACCCACAGACCCCAAGAAGATCGAAGAGAGGATATAACCGACAATTGAGCGCCAACATTTTTGAAGAGAATAAGGACCGGCACAATTATAAAGAATTCATCGATAATAACTTATCAGATAAAATTAAAAAAAAATTATTATGTGCAACGATAAAAGGATGATGAATACTAAACCGTAAGAAAATCAGAGAATGATTCATTTGTTCTATTTAGAAATAAATAATATATGCACCATGCAACATATTTGAATGGAACAAGATAAAACTCGAATTCCAGTTAATATACACATTATTATCGCGATGCAAGCCTTAATATCTACATAAAGTGAAGCACCGAGAAGCACCAAAACCAATTAATCATATAGAGAGAAAATCAATTATGAGAAAGGCTAATTTAAAATCAAGGCAAGACAGAGCAGCAATAAAGCATTAAAAACAAAAATTTCAAATCCAAGATAAACCATTTGAAAAAAAAAGAATCAGATTAACAAATCTCATATCGACAATTATAACAATATCAACCTGCAGCCAAGTATTTATGACGAAATTTCAGATTCAAGCATTTCAAATTCAGGATTTTAAGAAATCCAGGATTTAGAATCCAGGATTTTGGGAAATGCGGAAGTAGCCTTATTTTTATTTTTACTAGGAAAACTTTCTTGATATGATTTTTGAAAAACCATAACTTGTTTTCAATCCAAGCTCAATATAAATGTTCTTTCTACAACTATGGTTGGTAATAAAAAATTAAGTCATTCATTCGAATTGGTATTATTATAAAGTTAGCCATAAATCATATAATTTATATAATATAAAGATCAAATATTTCTTATATCAGTGATTCTAACAAAGCAAATTTTGGTAGCTAAAGCAAACGCCAGGGAAACGGTAAAATCATGCTCTATTATAACTGAAAATTGAATGAGCTCGATAAGAGCTCGATAAGAGCGCGACTCGATAAGTTTTAATATTTTTGGACTTTCTCCTAAAGATATTAAGGTAATTACAAAGCCACGATGATAATTTATACACTAGTCTGCCTCATTTTTTGTGCTCTTTCATATCGGCAAAAAACGAAAAAATATTAATGCCCGTCAACAAAATTTGAAATCGCCCTTACATACGCAGCGCGGTCAAATAATTGGTTTCGATTGTTTATTAATTCCAGGCAGTATTATGGTCGGTAACAGAAATAGCAGCAAAATGAGAGGGGGTGAAATTGGCTGAAATTTGAGTTGACGACGGTGAACCAGCTCCAACAAAAATAGAGGCGTAATGAGAATGATCACGACATTTACTAAAAATATAATGAAGCAATTATAAACTGATGAGGGATGGAAGGTGAGTCGACCACCCAGGGGTGTAGGGCGGCCACGTTCTGCAGGGGAACGGCGTTCTGCAAATGCAGCTTAAAAATGGCGCTTAAAAACCTGATTTGAAAAACCATAAGGCTTATTTTGCTTTTGAAAATAAGTGCTTTTAGGCGCGACAACTTTTTTGACAACAATTGGCGTCTCGTTCTGTTAAGCAGCTTCATGTTAGCAGGTAGAAATTTTTAAAATGATCGATTTTTAAATATATCCTCAAATTTCCAAATTCGAGTCAGTGTTCTCTTTGGCCGATGCAAATCTATATCACTAAGCAGGTAGCATTTGGCATTGTTGGTCTTTTAAGCTCCGAGCTCGCTAATTTAGCTATAATCATTTTTAAAAATCAGTTCGGGATGGCCAACTCACCTTCCATAACCTCAAACTGATAAAATACCTGGCAACGAATTGATCAACCCCAGGAACATCCAAATAGCAGGAGATGGCGTCAATAGTTGATTCTGAAGCCCATTTGGAACTTACAGAAGAGAAGCATAACAGTGACTTAATAAAACGAAAAGAATATATAATGAATGAAATTAATTAACGAGATGCAAATTGGTATAAGTCAGCCTGGACTTAAAGATAAGGGCATCTGCAATCTCTTCTTTCCGAAACAACAGCCCATTCTTCAATAAGGAATAGAGATGCAGTAACTAGACAGAGACAAATTAGTAGAGGATAAGTAGAGAGTTGGGAAACAAGTACTCGACTTTCAAAATATCGAAACCAATTGCCCGCCGGAGCAGTTCTACGTCCTCCAAATCAACCAAACCAAGACGAGAGGTAAAAGTCACACAGTGCAGATTGGAAAGGAGAAGTGCCTTGTCTAAAAGCATGGTGAAACGTTCGGAACGGACGAATCGAGCAACCCAGCCAAAAAAACAAGGCGAACAGGCAAACAGGCGGCGTAGGATTCATATTTATATGCTAAGAAGCAAAAAAGGTCAGGAAACGGGCAATATCGGCGCCAGGAGATAGTCTGGGCACAGAGTAATAATGACAACTAATGGGCCGTAAATACAAAATTATCACTAAAGCATCAGGAATCGGGTCTTCATGAGCGTCTTTCTTACTACGAAAAAGGAACTAATCTTTTTCCCTCAATATATACAGATTTTTAAATTTCCGGACATCAGTCGCGCCCGGGTAAATAAGGAAGGGAAAATATCAGGCAACTATCAGACCCGCCAAAGGAAAAAAATCCGGCAACAATCGGGCAGCCGAATACAAAAAAAAATTTGCCCGAACGTTCCACAATGCTTCGGTGCGGTTTACATTTTCTCCCCAAACTTGTCTATCACCATAAAGCAATCGTGCAGAAGATAATATAGAGAAAATGTTATTAACTTGCGCTTCATCATTCAAATCAAGGATATCAGGGTTAATAGCCATTCTAAAATAAAACCATAGTTAATTATTGACGGCTAAGTTCGAAACAACGTATAATAAATTTAAAAGAGATGTCCCATAATACAGATTATACCAGAACTTCTCAGGGCACGCGGAGAAAATAGGTGAGTACTTCATTCAAGAGATCAGTTAAAGAATGATGAAAAAAAGCTCTTTGTAAAGTAAAATCGCTTCAACAGAAAATAGAAGGTTAACCGATAGTCAGGATCGACTATGGCCTTCAATTACTTGCTCGGCTTTATTTGCATTCCCTCGCCTTCAGGTAAAGTGGCTTTTTGACTTGGAATTCTTAATCAGAAACAAACCTCGAGTTCTGGGCCAGCGGCTGCAGATTCAACTGTTCACTCTCGTTTCTCCGCTACTCATGCTCGGTAGAATCGTCGTTTTCCAAAAGATAACCGCCGTCCTGAGTGTTTTTAGGAATTGATTTGTCATTTATAACTTAGTCAAGAGAATCCACACATGAAACATTCAAAAACAAAAAACTATAATTAAAGCCAAGAACACACTCTTGTTAAAAAGATAAGCCCTAAAGCATTTTTACATTATTTTTCAAAAATCACCTTCTTTGCATCAAGAAAAATCAGGGACTATGCTAGATATAGAAAATATCGAAAGATCAACGTCTCGCATGATTAGCGAAACCCCTCCTGACTCACCGACTAACTCAACATGTAAGGCGATAAGTTCAACAGCTGTTTCGGTAGGTTTATAAGACAATACCAAGATTATCTGGTCCTTCCGTCGGATGAAATGGCGTAACCAGTGGAATTTGAGATTCTGAGCTTCGGTTTGTGTCTAAAATCATTAAATTAAACAACTACGAATCGATAAGTGCAACTAAAGTCACTGTGCATGATCGCTTTCTTCAGTGACATCAACGAGTATGCTGGCGGCGGTGTCCTCCTTTTCTTCCAAAGATTCTTTAGGAGTTCGTCCTCGTAGTACACATCGCAAATTAGCCGCAGTCGCATCTTGAAGATTCACATCATACTAAAACAATACCATAAAAAAAAAAGAGCAAATATAAGTTCCCGAAACAGTTGAAAAGTAGCCAAAGAACGATATTCAAGTATTCACAGCCATCGCCGATGAAAGTTTTTAGGCAGTAAAATTTTGAAGAAAATGAGCTTCGATTAAGGCAAGTTTTTCGGCGGAAGAGGCAAGGAGGGGCTCACAATAAATATACATAAGGAAAACAAAGATCAAACCAACATGTAAAAATTAGAGCCCGGCTTTCATGTGTTGATAAGCAGCAACACGAACTTGGGCCTGTCCAGCAAGATCGGTGGACAGGGACGACCAATTGATTTGAGAAACAATTTCATCGCAACGAACGAGAACATCGGAGAAGCCAGCATTATTGTCCTTCACAAGTTGCCAATCGAACTAAAAGCATAGATAAACTAGGGGCAAAAATAAACAAGTTAAAACAAAGACGTCTATGACAAATATTAATATTACACATTCCCACGAAGGGATACATACAAAAAGCTTCTCCCGCAAAGACTGGCCCAACTCATCGCCAAGATGCATAATATATATGGGATCCTCAAGAATGAGGAGAATATCGTCCATCATCGCAATTTGATAATTGCCCATGTTCGTAGAATGATATAGAATTTGGAGATCGACTTCGAGGCGCCCCGAAGAAACCGCAGGAACGACAATAGGGCCAGATTGAATCCGGTTTTGAGTACCCATACTAAAAAAACCCTAGGACAACTCTATATGAGTGAAAAATAGTAAATTCAACACAAAAATAAGAAAACATAATAACTGACAAGACTTTGAGAAAGTAGCACACAAAAATTGAGGCGTCCAAAGCTCTAGTTTTCGTCGCTAGAAAGAAAATAAGGATAAATAGATAAATAACACCCACCACTCGAGCTTTACAGCAACATTCTCATCACCAGAAGCATTGGGGGAGCAGGAACATTTACAAGCGAATGCCGAATCAGAAATTATTGGTGTAATACAGGTAACAGCGGTACCAAAACAGTAGGAATTTCCACTTTTGCATTTCAAAGATACATGGGGGTCAGAGCCAGAGGGTTGCCATAGCGAGTTCCCACGAAGCGGGAGAGTAAAGACTAATGAAGATGCCTCCTGAACAGCTTCCATAGAAAGAGAACCGAATCGTGTGGAAGAAGGCAGGCACGAAAAGGGAATAATATTGGATAACAGTGGACCAGAATTAAGTATATGAGAAGGACCAGCGCCATTCAACAAAGAGTCAAGAGAAAAAGAGTGAGCAGTATCAGAGAGGGTATGAAAACGAGCCAGGAGGGATGTAAAAGTTGAAAGATGAGGCTCATTGACGAAGTCGGACAAAGGCGGACGCGTAATGAGTTGAAAAAACTCATCTTTGAAGAGAGAAGCATTACGATTACGAGTATTTATAAGGGACCAGAGCTCAAGGTCGTCATGAAGGTTGGAGCCGCGGAAGAGAAGTAAATTTTTTGTTTTCCGAGAAAAAGTATCGTAGGCCGACTTCCAAAAACGTAGAAATGTAACATCATTAATATGCGTGAGAAAATACTTAGGATTCCATAAGTCAAAATTATTCCACCTCCGAAACCAAACAGGACGCGTGAACTCGAGAAGAGATGAAACAATTTTCCTGGGCATAATTTCAGTGTAGAGATGAGGCGCGCGGTCGATCGATGACGAGGAAGGAGTTGAGGTTGATAGAAACGAGATAAAATCCAATAAAGGGTAAACCTTACTGGAAAAGACATGTAATGATGGAAAACTTTTTGGCTCCATCCGCGCTTCACGGGAATGGTCGCGCTTCATCAGAGACTGTTTGGGACGCCATACCAACTGGTAAGAGGACTTCCCAGGAATAATGAGACATGTAGAACTGGGGTCAGACTTTCCAGTTGATGCAATAGAAGAGGAGGCACACACAGAAGAATCCATTGCCACAGCATTGCCAGTGAGACGGAAGTCATCAGGAGATGAATGAACAAGAACACCGCTATTAAGAAGATTCAGAAGAGCATCACGATTGAGACACCCATCATAAAGAAAGTTACGGAACAAAGATTCGGGGGAATGGTCATTAGAAGATAAGTTAGCATAGGAATCAGAAAAAATCGATCGATGAAGCGAGGTAGTTTTAGAGAGAATAGCACTCCAAATTGACTCCCAATCGGTAAACTGAGGCAGTGGAAAATCGGCAACCGGCGGCAAAACATCGATTAAGCCACTGGGAAGAAACATAACAGAATTAAAATGTGAAGAAAGAGTTGGACTATGAAGTTCCATCTCATTTAGAATCATAAATTCTTTAGTGGACGGAAAGGAGATAATAACACGGTCCATACAATGTGGCGCAGCAATATTATTAACAAAATGACAGACCTGAGAGATATTGCACGCACCGTAGACAATGGCAGTGGTATAAGATTGTGGAGGCGTCAGGCCGTGAGAACGCGCCTGGGTTAATAAATATGATGAAGCATAATTCATCTGTTCAAGAAAAAGGGTATCATCGTCATATACCAAGACCCGACAGGTATCTTTGATCCATAGCCAAATATCGACAGCATCCTTCGAAGGATTCCGACTAATCATACTAAAAACGAGAAAAAAACAACTAACACAAACATGCAAAAAAACAGAGAGAAAAATGCACAGCATCACAGAATATAGTATGAGAATAAAAAAAATAAACAGCAAACAAGGTAATAAAGAAATTACACGGGAGAATAGAGAGAATCAAAGTTGGCGCGTAGCCGCGAGAAGCGCAATGATTGGCCGCGGAGCACCAATGAAAAAGGAATAATATAAGCGAAGTGAAAATATCTAAAACGTTCAGAGAATGTTATTGACTTCTGCCAAAGACAGTAACATTCAGACCGTAAAAGATAACATAATTAATAACTATGGCTTGGAAAAATGAACCGTGAAAACTTCTGCCAAAGATTCCACGGTCCATTTTCATCCAAAGCAATACCTGTAGAAGAGTTGCAGAAATAAAGAGACGAATAATATGTGAAATAATGAGAGGAAGGAATCTAAGCTTCAAATTCATAGAGATTAAACAGCCAAAAAAAAATTTGGAAAAATCAAAATAATAAGTGAAAAAAAAATGATGAAAACGCTAAGAGGAAGAAATGAAAATACCCCCATCCCACCCCCTACCCGGAACCAAAGCATGGGTACAAAAAATTTTAAAAAAAGTGCGAAAAAGTTTTCGCGAAAACATAATACAGGGAGCGCGCTCCGCGCGCAATATAGTAGATAACAGAAGAGATAGTAGTAGTAGGAATAGTATAGAAATGGATGATTAGTGAGAAATAATATGTAAAACAATAGAGAAATTAGTATAAGGAAGGTATTAACTAAGTTTAGTAAGTTAGTTTAGTAAGTTGTTTAGTTAGTTAATTTGGTTGTTTAGTTAGTTTAGTTTAGTTAGTTAGTTAGTTAGTTAGTTGTAAGGTTGAAACTTATTATTTTAGAAAATAATTTTTTTTATGTTAAATTGTTTTTTTGCGAAAAAAAAGTTCTTGCCAAAAAACCGCACAATCCGATTTTCGTAAATTTAAAATTTCGCAAAAATAAAATTTTTTTAAAAAGATATTTTGTAAAATAAAGATTTCAAGGAAAAGAAATTATGCAAAAATAAAATTTCGCAAAATGTTTTTTTGGCAAATTAAAAATGGACTCACATTTTTGATTCTTAATGCGTTCTTCAACTTACTTCAAAAACTTGATAAGAGTAAATTTTGACAAAAGAAAATCAATATTTTTGCCAAAATAAGGGCAAATTAATTTTCGGCGAAAAGTACAATTTTCAAATGCGATTTTGAGGATGTTAGAGTCGAGGTAACCCCCAAAAAATAGAGCCTCAAAATCGTTTTTGGCCCGTTGAATCCATTTCCGGGCCAAAATTTTAAAATTCCGACATTTGATTTTTCGAAAGTTGTTGACGGGGGAGAGGGGTCCTATCTCGACTCTTGTACCCTCAGAATTGCGTTATAAAGTTGGCTTTTCGACGAAAAATGACGAAAAAGTCCAAATTTTGCTAAAATTTTAGATTTTTATTGGTCAAAAATTGCTACGAGTTTACATAATGTATAAAATTTTCGGGCACACTAAGAAGCGAAAATACGGCTGTTTTGAAATTTCCATTTTTTGAGGAAAAGTGTTGACGGGGGCCTTTAAAAAAACTACTCTGCGGCTTTTCGTTTAAAATTTTCCAGATTATGACTCAGATTTTCTATACAGGTTTTCGAGCCCGGGTTAAGAACATGAAAATCCAAGGTTTATTTGTTCGTATTACTTGTTCGACCAAAATCAAAATTAAAGAATTGACTTTGGTCTCTGCCTTCATCGCTCTTACTTGAGTAGTGAAGCTTATGGAACCGAAATGGGCTTTTCAATCTGCGACAATCGAACAGAAGCAACTTTCTTTTGCGAACATGATGACCCTAAGTTTGCTTTGAAGACATACATGAACAAAGATTATATAAACGAGAGTAGAATTTGGGAGCTGGAAGATCCGATGAGTCTGAGATTCGATAATTATTTGACAACGAAAGAAATAGGAAAAATTCTGAACAGAAGGCCGAGAAAAATACTGTAAGTAACATAAGTAAGGGGAAGCCTGCTTCATAGTCTATGAGTCATAGAGCTTTATTACTGCGATTTCTAGCGAGGCGGTTGCTCAGTGCAAAAATGAAGGTTCAAAACTGTACCGGCCAAGTAAATCGCACTCACTTTCCTTTCTCCACGAGATCTTACCGGAAGTCACACAGGATATCATCTGGATGAATGGATATCTCCGCGACACGAGTCTTTACGAATTCGAAACGAATGTTTGATTCTCAGTCTTTGTTATTTTATTATTGAAAATTATTTTAAGAGAAAACTGGAGAGAGATGATTTATTCACCAAGTTTGAAAGTATATTGGGGTTTTATACGGATAATGAAGTTTTTGTCAACTCCTATAAGTTCAGTGGAATTTCAAAGGATGGCATGTTTCAGCGACAAACTAACAACTTCCCGGAAGCACATGGTCTTTGTTTCGAGGTTTGCAAGCAAATCATCGATTAAAAAATACGTTTATCTTTTTAGACGATCGAAGAATACCCCGAAATCGAAAAATTTCCAAAAATATTTACTTTCTCTTCAAAATCTGCGCACTTTTTGTCTTTTTTGTCGGATTTTATATTTTTCTTTGAAATTCTGATAATTTTGTTTTAGGCTAAATAGATAAAAACCTAAAAGTTTAGAAACTTTGTCTTTTCTAACTGCTGATATTCTGTCGCGTTCTGATTCATTCTATGAATCAATAGGAAAAAATAGGCAATAAAACACATTTTTATGACCATTATGATGGTTTTCATGATCAGTTTTCTTTAGTTAAATTTCTGTTAGTTCACCAAATATGTCAGAACAAAATGAGGATGCTGAATCTTTTCAAACTTGCGATGATCAAACCTATATCTCAGAGAGCAGCGTTTCTTATTCACGAGAATCAGATGTATCTGTTCAAAACCGCCCAATGAGCCACATTGTCAGACTGGAGAATACTATCGCATCTCTTCGAGAGAAAGTTCAGCAGCTCGAACTTCAACAAAAAAATGATCTCACTCAAGACGATCTCGAAAAACTATCAAACAAGAAAATGCTTCAAAAAATAGATACTTATGAACATGGATGGCAAAATTTAAGAAATTGATAATTTTATCACTCTCAATTTTTTGTCATCCTTTAAATTGATTCTCGAGTCGCAAACGACGAATCAGATGTTTACCTCTTCCTGAAGGCAGTTGTCGCTGGAAGAAAGATCGTCAATCTGAAAATCGATTTCACCTCGGCAGAATTCTACAAAACAAATAACGAAGAGGTGTATCAACTTTTTCGATACCCAATTACTTATAACGACTTCAGCATTCAATTCTTCATTATAGAAAGGGTCCTTTGGACCGGCCCCGACGACCCAGAAACTCTCCTAGACTGGATAAGAGGTGTAAAAACAGAATTTTATAACGAATTTCGCTACAAAATTGTTCTCAAATCTCCCGAAAAAAGAAATTTTGAGATTTTCGCGCAGTCGTCCGACCCAAAAGATGAATTACGTCATTGGTCGACGACAGAAGAGGAGGAGGAAGAATTCGGCAGTAAAATTTATGTTTACGGAAAAACTATGATTGGCCGCGACGACACAATAACCATGTATTTCGGCGCCTTGACAGACGACTGGGAACATAAATGGAAAAGGAGACCTCGCATGAGATCTTTTCCAAAAATACCAATTACGTGGACAATAATACAATAACGAAATGAAACATAGTTGATGAAAAATATATTCTACTGTTTAAAATAAAATATTAATTTCCATCAGAAAATAATTTCGTTGAAAATGAGTATTTGCGATATATCGAAAGATTGCGTCGAATCACGTGTTTGATAACATGAAAGCAAGTTGCTCCCATTCATGATTTTTGATCTATCGACTCGGTGGCCTTTTTTATGTTCTCTGGCGTAGATTCGCCGCGGGGGTGATCGTGACGTCCCCGCGCAACGCTGTCAGGAGCTCCATCTCCTGCAGAGATTGAACTTCAATTCTTGAATAAATCCTAGTGATTCCAACTGGAGTCTTTAATATCGCCCCTGTACATTTCCATTTTGAGAAAAAAAAAGAAAGAGAGCCATCACGAATTTGAAACCCTAGGAGAGGGATTAATGACCAACCAAAAGATCTTGACTAAAAAACCTGTGGAGAAAACCTGTGTCAGGGTAGTAAGCCCGCTCTGAAGAAAAGCCGCGTAGCGGCTTTTTCTAAAATAAAGCCGCGAAGCGGCTCAGTAATTTTAACCCTCAGATTTTTATATGTGACTTTTTCAGGACCCTGACTCAGGTTTTCTGCGCAGATTCTCGAAAAAAGACGAAGATTTCATATCTTAAAATTTCCTCTAAAATAAACTTTTGACCCTTTTATTCTCAAAAATTTTTGCAGTGAAGTTTCAAAATGGGAAAACCCAGAACTAAGTTTTGTGAAAATCGGAAGGTGTTCAAATTTACACAGAGCCCAGCATCCGGAAGTCGCTAGTCCTATCCCATATCACAGACACAAGAAAAACCAAAAAAGAGAAACAAAATATGAAATTCGTCAATTTGGCCGTCCTAACAACAACTTTTCATTTTACTAACAGGAACTTGGGCTCAAATAAAACCTAACTGAAATCATAGAAGAGATTTTCAAAGTATTTTTTTAAAAGAAAATCGGAAAAAATTGATAATTCTAGCCCTGGAAAGCCTGCCATTGACAGACATAGTTTTGGAAGATCAGAATGCTATCTCAAAGATTCCAGAAATCACGAAGTTTGAAATCTCAGAAAATCTTGCAGACGATGATTCCCTCGTGGACAGAAGCCGTCGAAGTCTGAGACATGACCGCAAACATCGAAGAAGCAAGAAGGAAAGAAGACGCAAGGAGAAAGAGAAGAAAAATAGACGAAGAAGACGAAACAAGGATAAGGTGAGGCCAAATTTAAAATGTTAAATGCTTTCTACTGATGATAAAATGCTACATTTTATGTGTTTTTAGCAGAGAAAGAAGCGAAATAAACGGGTATTATGAAAATTAAAAGCAAATAATTGTTTGATTACGCAAGATTGATTTGATTGATATTCGAAAAATATTTGATTTTATTCCAGATTCCTAGAAAAGAAAAATGAATACCAAAAATGTCAAGATAATGATATCTACCTGGAAGATTCTTCCAGACTAATTCTTATGTGTGGAAGAACCATAATTGGCTCTTTTCTTTAAAATAATGAAAATTTTTGTAATCACGATTCGTCCGATCAAAAATTAATAGGTATACGAGCAAGTCGGATGGACTCATTATAATAGAATAGCCCTCAGATGGTACATTAATAAGCTGTATTTAGAAAAACAAAAAGGATCGTCGACTAACAAGCAACGTCGGATTCCACAAGCTCAAGAGCTGGTCCCTCAACCCGTAAGCCCCATTTCACAACTGCCTCTTCTTATCTGTCATTTTAGAGCTCCGACGCACGACCGTATCCGTAAGCACTTGTCTGACTTCTCCGAGCCGACAACGCGATATCGTCGCCCGCAAGTTCCCTGCTTCCGCGGTCTCGATCGCCTGAGCAGCGGCGGCTTTGCGTGTGGGCTTTATCTTTCGTAATTTAGAGAGAAAAAAGCACTTGCTGGTATTATGATGATAACGCCTAGGACACGGGATTTTGATAATTTAGAAACGCTTCTGCGGATAATCCTCGTAAAAATCCCGCGACAGATCTTCTCCTCTCTATCTCTAGAACTCTGGTAGTTCCTTATTCCTTTCAAGTTCTTTAACTCCTGCCCAGCCGAGTGGTTTCTTCCTCATCCCTTTTTTCTTTATTTTATGTCCCGAAAAATAAACATTCTGCCATGGCTGCGTCTTTTTGTAAAAAAAAAAACGAGTTTTTCATTCGATTTTTGTGTATTTTTTATTTCAGGCTTAATCTTTTTAGTCTCTTTTTCATGCTCAATGAATTAAAGCAGGTCAAAAATCGGCGATTTACCAGATGTTTCGGGCCCAGGCGGCGCAGGCGGAAAAGTCGTCGCCAACAGAGGAGCCGGCGGGGATTTTACCGTCGGGCATTTTTCCGGCCATACCGGTGGTAAGGCAAGTGTTCATGTCGAAGTTGCCCCAGTTGACGCTCTTGAGTCCTGAAAACGGTCTTTTGGGAAGAGGGAAGGGTGATTATACCGTGAAGTTGAAGAGCGAACATATCTTTCTTTGAGTTGCCCCAGACGGTGCCGGATGCTGGCTCACCAGCGTGTCTTAAATGAGATACAGTCAGACATGAAAAAAGGTGGTCTTTAAAAATCTGGAAAATAACGACTTTGACTGATAAAATATCTCCAAGTTTTCATTTAAATTTACCGGAATTGGAGAGCAACATTGGTTTGTGTCTTGTCAACTCGGTGGTAGACAAATTCTGGAGTGTAGTAGTTTCCTCGGTCAAGGATGTCCCAGGTTACTCGGCCGTCTTCGAGGGCTGAATATTTTGTCAAGAGCGAATGAAGAGTGGGTTTTACGTACCTCGGAGGAAGTCAATGCCGCAGTCTTGCTTAAAGAAAAGGAGGAAGCCAGTGTAATCCGTGTCGACGGATCCGTAAATAGTGAACTTGATCTTGGCCGAGTCGTCTCCAACTGCGCCTGGGCGGGGGACCTTCTTGTTTCGGTTGAAGGCGGAGAAGATTCTGGTGTCGCCGGAAAGGACGGAGTGGTCCAATGTACAGTCATCGACAGTGTTACCGACGGTGGCGGAAACGGCGCTTTTCGGAGCTTTTTAATTGAAGCAAAAAAGGCCTAATTCTAGAGCCAAGTTGCTATTGAAGTATATTCTCTGATGTTAAAAAGCTCTCCTGATGGCGGAAAAAATAGTTGACAATTTCATTTCTAAATTATCTTCAGACTGAATATTTTTCGCCGAGCGGCGCGGGGATATATTTATATCTTATCTACGCTCCCCGCGGACGCGTGTAATCATTATTTTGTCCACGGATTGAAGGGATGACTTCTTGATTGCACAACAAAAGTCATTATCTCATTATGAAACGAAATTCAAGAACGAAATTGGTAACGAGACACCCCAAAGCTGTTTTAAATCGAAAAATTATTTGAAATTTCAGACTTTTGAAAGTCGAACTTTCCGTTTTCAAGAGACCCAAATTTAGAAATACGCCTAGGTTTATTCTGTTTTTTAGATAAGAAAGAGGGATGAAATCAGTAAGAATAAAGAGATGACTGTAGTTCCCGCAGCAGAGCATCCCTTCTTCGTGCATCCAGTATTGCAAAGGCTGTCGTAGCATGTCTCCATATTGTATTTGTTCTTCTCTAGAATTATGATAAATAGGCATTAAAAATGCTCTCCCTCGAAAAAAAAATTTGAAAAATTATATTTTCAAAATTTTTCGACCCGAAAATGATTCGCTCTAATCATTTATATATAATATTTGGATCTATAATATTTCTATAATATCTATAATATTTGGACCAATCAGAGGCTCGTATTTGTCGAACCGGCCAATCAGCGGCCGAATAGCCGCCCTCGCAAATTTTGTCGCCATTATTTTTTTTTTGATAATTTCAATCGGAAGGGATTTTTTGCATTTGAACATACTATCGACTTCGAGATAAGCAACTGTATGAGCATCCATGTTCGTCGGCAGACAGCCTCGTTGAATGAATCGTAGAACCGGATCTTCATGCTTTCCTTGCATAACACTCATCAACAAAACTTCACAAGTCGCCTTAGAATAAAAAATTATGAGTCAGCAGTCTTTTCGGATAGATTGATAAGATCTTACGTCACATGGTCGGACTGGCTGATCGGTATTAAGACTTGCACATCCTTCTTCATGCGCTTGTGGATGCTGCCACTTGTTGTTCTTGTCTTTGTACTCGGCTCCCTCGCATTTGTAGCACTTTCCGGTGTCTCTATGATCAGGGCTAGACATTTTGTCCGGGAATAAGCGAAACTTTGTATTAATTTATTCAAGCCAGTCCTTGGCTCCTCCAAGTCAAGAGCAAAAAGCGAGTCGGGATAAGTAGCAGCTTTCGAGCAATTTGCCATTTGTTGGCTTCCACAAAGAGTGTCATCAATCTATTTATCAATCTCAAAGCGGCATTTTTAACCTCGAATCTTTACCTTGATCGTTAGCTCCGCTTGACGAGCGCCGGTTTTTCCGTAGTCGAAGAGGGGGTTGTAATCTGGGATCATGATGAAGTCCCGTTTGAGCTCCGTAAAGGTCGTCTTTTTCGTCTCCCCGGATCCAGTTGCTTTAAATTGTCGCTGACATTTTGAAGAGGATCAATGCTTACTATCGTAGCGAGTTCCGGTGATCCAGTAGGTGGCGCAGTCGTATCGATAGACGACGGGAGTTGGCTCGGTCACGTTGTAAAATCGGTTCGGGATGGTGATCTTGAACGGTTTCGACTTTTCTGGGTCCGAAACGTCTTGACAAGCTTCATTTCCAAAAGTGGTTCCATCGGAGTTCTCTCTGTAAGTACAGTGGTAGCAGTCCAATGGTTGGACTTTTGGGTCACCGATAGACTTATCCGGGGACCAGCCAATGGCGGAAATTCCAGTGAAAAAGGGAACTAAGGCTTTCATGCTTTCAGGGGATTGCGTGAAAAATGGTGGTTTTGCTTTTAGCGAGTTATTATTTTGAAGGTGTAAAATGCAAATAAAATCGTTATTTAATAATAGGAGGTGCTATCTTCGGTAGTAGAGATTTCCTTTTCGGCAAAAATGCCGCAAAGCATTTCCATTTTGAAGCCTATTTTCAAGAAAACTTTTATGCACAGTGCCGAAATGGAAATCATTTTTTTGGGAAAAACTTTTCGGCAGACCTTTTTACTAAAATACTAATGAAAGTCTCTTCTTTTCAGGAGGCTCAATATTTACTACGGGCCAAAAAATAAACCAAAAAATATACATACTTATTGATATCCCTTTTTCGGAATTACCCAAATAGCAAAGGGTCTAAATTCGAACCGGAAATAAACTCTTACATCAACTGACCGTACTTTCATTTTAATGAACGTCTATTTTACGTCGTAAAATAATGCAAATCATCAAAAATAAAATCAGCATTTTTTTAAATTAGCCAGCACGAAACCGACGAATTCCGAAACCGACCTGTTCCGCGACAACATCCGTGACCAAATCGACAAGTTCAGGGATCAAATCGACCAGGTCCGCGATCAGTTTAGGGACCAGAGCGACCAATTTCGTGATCGATTCCAATATCGAGATCAATATGATCGCAAGAAAGCGGGTACCCTCCTTGTGCCGGGAAAAAACCTGAAATCCCGGCACTCGGAGGGTAAAATCCGAAACGTTCTAGAAATCCCTTGTTTCCTGCTTTTTAAAGGTTTTGTAAACGGTTTTCTATAATATTTGGTCACCAGGGATGTAAAATAGGTGGTGGCCTAAAACGTCGTCCAGTTGCTGCATGTGCGGCCTAAAACGTCTCTCCTGTTCTTGCATGTGTAGGCCTAAAACGTCTTTCCTGTTCCTGCATGTGTTGCTCAAAACGTCTTTCCTGTTGCTGCATGTGTTGCCTAAAACGTCTTTTGGGCCCCTAGGCTAAATGAATGAGTGAGTCGAGAGATGCTTGGTAAAGCCACGTCGCCTAACAGCCCAATAATAGCAATAATAGCTAGCCTCGACGATGACTCGGCTTCTTACGTAACGATGAGACAGGAAAAATAGATATTAGCCTAGGGGCCCAAAAGACGTTTTAAGCAACACATGCAGCAACAGGAAAGACGTTTTAGGCCTACACATGCAAGAACAGGAGAGACGTTCAAGGCCGCATATGCAGCAACTGGACGACGTTTTAGGCCACCACCTATTTTATATTCGCAGAAATTTTTGCTTTGCGATGCGCTACGATTGCGGAATTTTTCGGGTGCGATTTTGCGCTGTTTTGCGCTGCGAAATCCGAAAATCGCGCAATTTGCGGAATTTTGCGCAGTTTTGCGGGAAATGGAAATTTCTTTATTTTGCGGAAAATTTGCGGATTTTGCGTTTTTTGCGGAATTGCGGATTGCGCAAATAACGCGCAATATGCAGAATTAGGCTGATTCTGCGGGATTTTTGCACATTTCGCGAAAATCTGCGATTTTTGTGATATTTTCGCCCCGTTTTTTTTCCAATTGACATGAAGAGATAAAATTTTAAAATTTTTATAAAAAGGGGACATTATAACGAGGTTATAAAAATTATTTTCAAGGTTTTCAAAAAAAACCATAATTAAGCTAAAAACAAAGATAATATGAATTTTTTAAATAATAGGTGTGGGTAGAACTGAGATTGATCAACTCAGACTTCCAAGCCTTTCTCAAGCCCCTTTAATTAAGAGATCAAGGAACGGGGCTGAAACGGCACTTCTCGAAAATAATCGAAAATAATCGCTTTCTGATGAGCAGATGGTGTAAATACAGAAATTTTTTCCGCAAATTAATGCCAAAGTTGTTGATTCGATGATAAATGAGAATCTGATCCGCCAATCTTCGCAAAAAGCGCAGAAATTTTGCGCAAAATCCATGAAAATTGCGTTTTGTGGATTGCGAATTTATAAAAATTTTGTGGAATATTCGCGCAAAATGCGCATTTCTGAAACCCACTGAAGAGCGTGATAATGAATAATACCGGAAGCATTTTACAAATAAAATCGAGCGTTTCCGCTAAAGTTCATTCACTTCTGTGAAACGCAAAGATGGCAAAAATATTCGATTTGACGAAGTCGATGATTGAGATCTTCAACGACCACGCTGGTGATGACAAAATGCTCTCCAAAGAAGAGCTCTTGAAGATGATGGCTCAAGGTAAGTTAGCAAAGTGCTTAAATTTTCTTAACAACAAGCTTTAGATAAAGACGAGATGTTCTCCTCCAAAGATATTTCAAATGGGCTCATGATGATGTTGGACGAGGGCCTCGACGAGAATATGTCCTTCGGTGAATTTATCGAGTTCATCGCTTTCCTCTGCGCTCTCATCGAGGCGGGACAGGAAGACAATGCAGACTATACTGATGGTCCTGAGACCAATTACAACAAACCTCAACCAGAACCAGGCACCCCAGAATGGAAAAAAATGGAGCAAGAAAAAGTCATGGAGAAAATAAGGAAAATATTGGCAGCAACGTTCGGCAAAAAGAAGAAAAAAAGATTTGCTGACACTAAATTCATGCAAGTTGTCGACTCAATTGCAAAAGCCGGAATGTAAGCAGTGAGCGTTTCCCATCGCCCTTTCTGTGCACGATCCGCAAGGATCACTCACTCACGCAATAGATACTCTACAAAACACACACTCAAGCAGGAGCCCAGTGATTTAACCACTGTGTAATAAATATGCTACAGTCACATTGAGTCCAGTACATTGAGCAAGGCAAAACTCAAAAATAAAAAAAAAATTTAAGAAAAAATTCTCATTTTATAAGCAAAAAAAAATTGGACCCTTCCAACTCACAAACAGTCAGGGCAAATTATAAACATTGTCACTTTTTGTCAAAATTTTCGTTTTCGTAAAGACTTTTCGAACAAGACCTCTATTGCCGCCGAATCCCAGATTCTTGATCGATCCTTTGTTTGACTCATTCATTTTAATTTTGCCATTTTTTAAAACAGGCTCTCAAAAGAACTTGCAGACTTCAAGTTGCAGTGTAAAATGCAGGGAGAATGTTTAATGGAAAGTTTCAACAATTAACCTTAGCCCGCCAAGATGCGCCACGCGACCGATCCTTGGTCATTCATCTGCTCATAACGCCCAAATGAGAATTTTTTATCCGAAAACTAAGGGTACTTTGAAAGAGTTTACTCGATAATCTTTTGAAAATTATCCGAAAATCGGCCTTGAAATGAGTTTTAAAACGTTTTTTTGAAAAACTGAAAGTGAAAGGCTCAAATGATAACCCCTCTGTGCGAGAAAAATACATGAAAACTAAAATACTGATACCCTTATTTTGAGAAATTAAGACAAGCAATGATGAGATGAATTTTTTTTATTATTTTTGATTTTTTTAGCGTAACATTTTGAATGGCACCCTAGTCGACTAGTGTATAATTCACAATATTAAATTATTAATTATAAATTTTAGTAATAAATTAGCGGGATTTTTTTTCTTAAAAAATAAATAAACAAACAGTGCGGAAAAAGGAAAGAAATCAGAAAGAAGGACAGAAGAAAAAAGTTGTAAAAAATAAAAAAAAAATGAAAAGATGTTTTGATGAACTTCATGGATTCAAAAAATTAAAAAATAAAAACTGAACGAGGTGAAGAAAAAAGATTGAAGAAAGTTTTGCGTTGAAGACTCTGCAGAATAAGAATAATTAAAAATTTGAAATCAACTTTTGATTTTGTCAGACATGTGGCTCGGAATGTGACTCCAGGGGTCTTTGGTTCCGTGGATGACGAGCTTCCATTTCAGGACTTTGGCTTGTTGTTGTTGCAGGGTTAATTCGCTCAAGGCGACTCGCACCTTCCATTCTCCTCTGGAACGCTCACCCCAGAACTGGACCGAAACGAAAGGCCATTCGTTCAGCCCAACCACGCTATCGTCATCCCTTGGCCTCGGCTGGAGAAGTTTTGACGCTGAAGTATTTAGTAAGTGTTCTTGCTTGTTCAATATTTTAAAACGCGCAATCAATCAAATATTTATTATAAAAGGTTTGTTCTTAAACTTATTCGCGGAAAAATGGATTTTCTTATTTTAACTAAGTGCTGTCAAAGGAGTTAAAAAACTTGGTTCGTTTCTTTGAAGCTTGGAAAATGATCGTAAATGATAATCTGGAAGTTGAAACATGGGAAGTTGAAAGGTCGAGGAGCTATGTTTTGATCCATCGTGACTTTTTGCGAGGATTATTTCTCGGCATAAAACCCATTTTCGAGGGAGTTTTCGTCCAACAAAACAAGAAGGAGAATCGAAAAATTATTGTCAAAGAAGAAAATGAAATCGAATTCTTCGAAAAGCTGAATTTAAAATCGTTTTGCGAAGGAACGATTCAGTTTTTGTTTGACAAAATCGACACTTATTACTTTGGCAAAAGAGAGAGGCTTTTCAAAAAGAGAGTGAGCTGATAAATAAAGAGATTAATATTAATAAAAGCTTGCTGTTTCTAGACAGCTCATGTGATTCTTGGATATAAGAGAAGAAACAGTCAAAAATGCCGAAGCAAAGAATGAATTCGAGTCCCTCGAGAAACAAAAACTAGACTTGAGTTTTGCGAAGGAACGATTCAGTCTTATATTTGGCTCACTCGACCGATAAATCTGGTATTTATAAAAAGATTCTCAAATGAGTCTGCTCGTCAAGGGCGAACTGTCATCAACAGAAAAAGATAGACCTACTTGTGCTCATAGGAGACGTCATATTGATCGCCAAATCTCCGCGTCGAGATGTTTTCACGGCTACAATTCATGTTTTGATCTTTTTGAAATCAAGGAAGAGTACGTACAAATGAAAGCTTGGACGTGTTCGATGTAGTTTACTTCATTGCTTTTTCCGGCGCAGGAATCTAGGAAAAAATTTAAAGGATGAGATAGAGGAAAGAAAAAACCTGTATTGAAAGACATTTCTACAGGTTCGCCGCCTGTAAATGTCATTTTGTCGATCTCCATTTCTCCAACGATGCAAGATTTTCGCTCTGGCGCATTTTTCCATTTCAAAGCTTCTTCAACTAGCGATCCTGCGTCGATCACTCCGAACCTGAATTCATAAAAAATTGTCTTTTGAGCCCAAAATTTTTCTACCCGAAAAGATGGTTGAATAAGAATCCAGCGCCATTGACCTGCCAAGGGTGTCGCGGATCCGAAAGCGTTCGCTTCTTTGATGTGTAAACGAGAAGATGCTTTCGGAATAGTTTTGAAAGTGGGGTACGAAATGGAAAAGTGATTGACTCTGACTTATGGGATTAATAATAAAACCCTCCTGAACGTCCCTCCACGTCAAATCTGGATTAGCTTCGAGGGCGAGCGCGATTACGCCAGCAGCTTCTGGCGCTGCGGCTGATGTGCCTAAAATTGAAAATAGCTTACAGTTACCATACTCTTTGTTCAATACTGTATCCAAATGAATCGTTCTTGGAATATTATAATAAACTAGTCAATAAAGTATTTACTGGATCTCTCTCTAATGGATGTATAACTGTAATTCCCCCGCTCGAGGACATGCCGGCCTACTTACCCGAGTGCTTCATTGTACAATTGCCATACAGATCAGTGGTGGCGACGCCCGCATTGCTTCGAGCGCCGACCTTGCCCGATGAAAAAGTCGATGCGACGATCGAGGAGCAGGACTCGTCGTAGATCGCCGTCTCGCCGTCGTTGACAGCCGAATTAATGCTTCATATCGAGTAAATAACTGCCAATATTCTTTCCACATATATATTAATTCGTTGATTCTCTTTGAACTCGAGCCTGATGGTCCACATGGAGCTTGCATAACCGTCTAAGTTGCAATCATCGAAAGGTCCTCCATCTCCGGATGCCCACACATAGATTGAGCCTGATGAGTAATAAGAAAATATTTCATCAAAAAGGTACCTTTTCCATTTCGACCCTTGTTAACTCCGTCTCGCATAGCTTGGAGGGTGAGCTCTCGGGGACCATCGACAGTTTTTCCATCATCTGTTGGCCCCCAGGACGCGCTGAAGGTTCAATGACTTATTTTGATAGAACATTTTTAACCTGTTTGAAATTCATAGATAATTCTTAGATAAAGCCCCGAGCGATCTTTTGAACGAGCTAATGATAACTCAAAGTTGTCAGAAACGCCACAAAAGAAAAAAATCCATAATTTAAAGCATAGAAACTAATTATGGTTTTTTTTTTTTGATGTTGTACAAATCATAATTGTTACCTGTAAATATCAATATTCTGCGGCCTAAAGCCCATGGAACTCGCTTCGATCGCATCCGTCATGTAGGGTTGATCGAGCATACGTACTGCCGCGATCTGAACATCATTTATTCACAACATCCTCCTTTACGATCAACGTCTAGCCATCAATTTATATATTTTTTACCTTCGAGTTGTATGCGATGCCGACTCCGCAGATTCCATTGTCAGCGACGGCAGCGATTTCACCTGCGCAGCGGGTTCCATGGCTGTTGAAGCCGTTTGAAGTCCAACGGGGGTAGGGATACGGGTCGTTGCCGGAGAAGTCCCACGAGTCTTCCGGGCTAGAATATTGCTTTATTCCATTATCTAGTTGCTAATCGAACCTGTAATTCGGGAAGAGATCAGGATGGTTGTAATCAACTCCATCATCGAGAATCGCGACTGTAACTCCTCTGCCAGTAAATCCCCGCTGCCAGACATGAGTCACATTCAAATCAAGTCCAGGTGTTCCATCATCTTGTCCGGTGTTTTGAATGTACCACTCAGCGTTCCACAGAGGATCCTGAAAAAATCATTGAAGAAGCGTTTTAATTATATTTATGCTGACGTCAGCAGCGCTTATCCGATTGTTGTCAGACTATCGGCCTTACTTTTGCGCAGCGCAAAAGATGGAATAATTGATGACGAAAACGAAAAACGAAAACGAAAAAATGCACTAACCTGACCGTGATAGCCACCCTTTGCCCGTGTATCCGGTTCAAAGGTATCCCCTCGCATGCCGCGTTTGTCACGCCTCAGAGGCTCCATTGGATATGTACGGCGGATTCTGTAGTCGCGTGCAAGTTCCCTCATGTAGTTTTCTGCTTGGCTAGTGGAAACAATAAGTAAAGACTCTGACACGCTCAGTACGCAGAAGAATCAGATTCTATCATTAATTATTAAACAGTTCTTGCTCAGAGTGTCTGTCTCTGTACAAAAGGCCTTGCTACAATTTGTCTAGCAGACAATTTTATTGGTTCTTATTTCAAACTTATCGAGAATGCTTATTATAGAATTTTTTATTGCGAAAAAAAAATTTTCTTCTCGAAATTTTTTTGACTTTGTTCAAAATGAACAGATAAGGGCCTAGCTCTTACCCGCACCCTAGAAAGTATACCTTTTCTTGAGCAAATTTGGCATGCCAGATCGCTTGAGCAAAAAGGTATTCTCCCCAAGAAGTCCATCCGGAACCGATCGCACTTCCAATCCATGTCGCTAAAATTCAATGTTAACCAACAGATTACTCCCGTCAATAATTAAAGCCTTCAAGCCTCGGGCTTTCAAATGGGACTTGACGGAGATCCGAAACAGAAGCTGGCTGAGGGATCGATCGATCGGGCCAATCACTGGCATACATTCTTTCATTGACCGAATGAAAGATGCATTCTGGGCTTCGGTAATATAATAATGACCTCATTTATAATTATACCCACTTTTGTGGCTTAAAAACACGCTTGAATTTGCTCAATTAAGGTCAGGTTTAGGCGAGATAAAAATCGATAACGACCATCTTAACCGCTCATTTTTATAATCAAAAAGAAAAAATAGAGCTATCTGATTTATATTTATAAAATAAGGATACCTTGAGAAGAGATTGAGTTTCAGGAAGATATTCAGGTTGAAGTTCGACAACAAAATTATTCGTTAAATAGCCACTAAATTCTCCTTTAACTTCAAAACTTATCAAATTTTTAAACCTTTTGACAGGGCTGAACAGCCCTAAAAGGCCAAGGCATTGTTTCATCGACTGTCTCCCAATCTGAAAAAATTTCTTTACAAGATGAGTCGTTGTTGATTTCTCTCCGGATTTACCAAAAACAACAATTCAAAAGAATGAAAAGAATGGGTAGAACTCACCGATAGCTGAGCGCAATGCAGCAGGAGAATTATCGGCCCGAGGCAATGCACCGACTCAAGCGCGCCCCGGGCGACGGCGAGTTTTACCCGCGGCCGTGAATTTGAAAACGACGTGGCAAAAGAAAACTAATAATATTAACAATACATCAGAATATTTCGATCTTCTTGTATTTTCATCTTCGTCGTTATGCTTGACGATTTTGACATATGTTTGATCATTCAAAAATAAATGAATATAAAGTGTACAAAAATATTTATATTAATTATAAAAATGTAAAAGAGAGTAAGAAGAATTTACGCAGCGACGAAGTGATTGCTTGCTGGATGTCTGTAAGAAAAACGCTCGAATTCTTTCGGCGTGTAGGCTCCCGGGCCGGGTTGACTTGCAATCTTTGCCTTGGTTAGTCGGGATGAGTTGGATTTGAACATGTAGCTTCCCATGGATTCTTTAACTGGGGATTTGTAGACCCCAACATCTAATAAACAAATAAGACTGAGAACAAAAAAACATCCTTTACCATATTGCCCCGGTCCAGGAAGAGGACCTGGTTTGTCAACTGGCAATGCTGGAGCGGAAATAAGATTCCATCCTCTGCATGGTTGATTCGTTGTATTGCTTTTTGAAGCTTTCAGATTTGTGCTGCTGGAGTACGCTGCCGGTCCTGGCCCATCTAGAAATTGAGATAAACGCTGATTTATTTAGTTATCGTTACCTGAGTACTCATTTTTCAAAGGGAATCGCTCAGCAGTATCTCTAAACCAGTTCATAGTAGAGGATTTCTTTTCCAGCGGCTTTGGATTGTATGCATTTGGCGCAACAGTGGAAGAAGCACTGGTCTTCAGTCCCCTTTTGCTTTTGCTTTTGAATACAGAAGTGGTTCCTTGTGATTTTTCCAGGTTTTGCAAGCTCTAGAAGAGGATAAATAAATGGGTAAACAGCCTATTTTTTACCTTGACAGGATCGTATTTGTTCGGAGCAGGAGTTTTCTCGGCAATTTTTTTGATTGGCTTTGAGTAAAAATTGATTTAGATTTTCAAAGTCTTCTTTACCTGGGTTCTTGGGATCTGAAAACCGTAGCTATAAGCTCGGGAGAAATCTTTTCTATCCGAAAAATTTGTTGAAATCGCGTAAGTACTTGCTGACGGGCCACCCTGCTTCTTCATCCGAGGTAAACGCCTAAAAGGTTTACATCAACCTAGAGTTAAGCGCGTGAACTCAGAATTAAAAGACGCCTTTGTCCGATTTTATTAGATTCAAGTCGCTGGAAAATTATTGTGATACCGTGAACACTATTTATTGCCTTGTATGTTCATTGCTTTATATGAGAGATTAGCGTCTTGTCCCCGAGTTTCAATGTTATAAAATGCGGTATTCAATAGCCGAAGACATATTTATATAACAACTTCAGCAATAAAACAATTGATAAAAACAACCTTGATTGCGAGGCGAAATAGCCAGTTCCACGCTTTCCAAAAGATGGCGATTCACCGACTCCCCAATCCTTCTGATTTGAGTACGCTCCTGGACCAGGGGTTTCTGAGATATTTGAATCTTTGAATCGGGCTTCTGTTGATGCTGAAAATAGTTAATTGAGAAATTGCTCGGAACTTCTTTTGTAATCAATTTTATAACAAGTCAACTGTCCAATTTGGTTTATAAATAATTCCAATTTGAGTATTTTTGGAAAGAAATTTTAGTTCAAGTTATAAGAGGAAAATAACTGACGGATAGGAATGATAAAATTTTTCAGTTCTTTACTTACAGAAAGCCTTTTTTTCAAGTGAATTGGGCAAGATCTGCACCTTGAATCTTGACGGAATCGACGGCCTTGACTGGCACTCCATGCTCGTAAAACTCTTTGCCTTCTTCTACAAAAATTAGTATTTGTTTGCTTTTTTATTGAACTCGTAAGTTTTGAAAATCTGAAACTCCTCCTGTTGGTCAATAAGCACAATTCGAGGCCATTGTGGTAGCGCTTGTGTTAGCACTACACTGTGCAGACAAAAGGAGACTCAAATAAAGAATAACTCATCTCAGAGTCCTCTGCCCAAACAAGCAGTAATTTATTCGACAGTTACACTCATGATTTCTATTAAGATAATTACCATTTTTTTAAACTGAATTTCAGATTTTCGATAACAAGGAAGAAAAAAATCTTTCTAGAAAAAAGTCAAAAAACAGTTAAATTATCCGGTGCTAAATATTTTTATGCGTAGTCAAATATCAAATCGGTTTCGAGGGCGTTTTGAATATTTGCATATCAATCGACTTGTACTCCTGAAAAACTATAACGATTTTGAATATCATTTCTTAGATGAGATTTCTCAGCATTTTCATATTTTTCGAGGGCGTGTTTCGCGCTAACTGTAGCTTCAGAGCACGCCCGTCGATTGAGAATAGAAGTGCTATTGTAGCTAAAGAAGATAAGTGCCCGTAAGTTACATAAAAATAAACTGCTCTGCATGAATCAAACAATAATTTTAGTGATGAGCACTTGCAAATAGAATGCGAGTCAATCTGCAGACTAGAATTCAATCGATGCCGTCTCCTCTGTGAGACGGAATACTGTCAATCCATTTGCGATAGGGAATACGACAGTAAGTCCTAAGAGAAGTGAGTTATTATCTTCCCCAGATTGCCGGAACGGCTGTCCTTGTGGAGCTGACTGTAAAGAAGGATGCAATAACTGCGAAAATACCCTCTGTCCTGTGGGTATTCTGGTTATCGGCGCGGACGTGAACGAGGCTTTCTCGATTTCTTTCGACGGACAGACGAGTACGAAAGCGACCATTTCAGCACCGAGGGACGACTACCTTGAATTGGCTCCTCATGCTCTTATAAAGAATGAGCTTTACATCTTTGGTGGGCAAAATACAATGAAAGTAACCAGAATTTTTAGAGTCAAAATTTTAATGAAAATAATTTCAAGATTGCGAAATTGGTTGGCTGCGAGTGGATAGAACAGGTTCCAAAATTAATCAACCCAATGAAACAAGAATCTGCCGCGCTGACTATTGACAACGGGACTAAAGCTTTAATTTGCTTTCAATATAGTATGAGTCCGCAACGATGTGAAATATTTGACACGACAATCTCTGTCTACACAAATTCAACCAGATATCCGCACGGTGGCGGGAAACTTGCCTTCTATAAGGGACAACCATTGACTGTTGGAAACTCCTTGAAAACTTATGAGAATATAGTCGAAACTCTGAGACTCACTGATGATCCGAGCTCTTCTGGTTGGTCTACTTTGGACGACTTTCCGGGGCGAACCGGCAATCACTTTTTGATCGGGCTACCTAGTGGAAGTGTTTTGCTCGCGGGAGGAGGATTTTTTGAGGGGAATGACTGGTTTTCCCAAACGGCGATTTGGCTTCTTCAAGATGAAATTTGGACACAAATCGGGGATCTTCAAAATGTAAGTCTTCAGAAAACTGGAACAAAAATTGATAACCTTCAAGGCTGACGCCCGCGGATCAGCAATCATGTACAACGATTCAATTTTCCTGGTTTCTGGCTACAACGATCCCTATGCGATTGTTCGTCTTGACTTTGAAGGGGATGAAATGGTCAATCAAGAAATCATCGGAAACACTGTCTCAACTTACCTTCCTGTCCTTCTTTTGGTTCCCGCGGATTTTTGTGTCTGAAGACTAGCAGATGCGAGACCAGAAAAAGCAAATCTTTCTATTTTTCGATCTCAAAATATATTTTTTTTCCGAAAATCCGAAAATCCACGCAAAGAGTTCGAAAGAGCAAGCAATAAAAAATTCCTTTGAGAACCCTAATTTTCTTCAATAATTGACTCGGCAAGGGCCTTGAAAACAGCGTGTTCATAAAACTCTCGGACAAATGATGGCGCTCGCGCTTCGTGATCGGACTATTTAACCGGGAATACCTCTTTCCAGAAACTGTCCAAATTAGATTTCAGAATTTGAAAAAAACTTCAATCAAAAGATAGAGAATGAAATTTCTTCTTTTCCAATTTCTTTTCTTGTTTTCGTTTTGTGAGTGTTTCGGAGACAAGCGAGTGGCACATCTTCATTCTGCTCTTTGTATGACTCATGGAAGGCAGATCTGCAACAAATGTCCGAAGATCATGACCGCTAGAACTCGACGAGGATTGAACAGTTCTGAAGAACTTATACGAAGAAGCTGCCCTAGCCTGGTGCAATTATGCTGTGCGGATAGCAGATTTATAAACACCCGATTTGCCTGAACGGAAAACTGCCATTTTATTTTGTATTTTTTTATCATTTTCCAAATTCAGTTAGAGATACGTCTTTCTTTCCTTTCTGTGAATAAACTATTTTTTAATTTGAATCCTTGAAATACTCAGTAAATGCTAATAGCAACTGATTGATTTTTTATTCTAAAATGAGAGGAGATGGCTCAATTCGACAAAAAATTTTTACCAAAATTTTGGTCAAATTTAAGACAAATAAGATTTCCGCAGATTGCCGGTAGGGCAAATCAGATTTCAGAAAAAATGTAAGGGCCTAACCCTAACCCTAACCAACCCAAGGGTAAATCTAACCCTAAGCGTTCAAAGGTCCAATCTGTACCAGGATATTTTTGTAATACTTTTGGAGAGCCTGATAATTTCGAAAAAGCTGCCAGAATCTATGCTGATATAAATTGGTCCTTGAAACTTTTGAGAATCTTGTGTTCCGCGTCTTGTGTTCCTCAATGTGCGTCATGTGTTGCTGAGTAACTTCTTCAAATCCTAAACACTCTTTCGAAATCAATTTGTTTGTTTGCTCATTCCATCGCCGCGATATAAAACCAAGCCGTCTTTGCCAAAAAAGACAAGACACTAGAAAAAAAGAAAGAAAACATCATGAAGATTTTTGCGACCCTCGCTGCTTCTGCCTCTGCTTTCGGCCCTCAATTTCCCTCCGAAGCTTCCAATAGCCAGTTTTATTTGAACGCTGTTTCTCAAGCCCTTACTGCTGCTCAAAATCAGGTTAAATATGAGAGGAAGAGGTGAAATTAACGCTGTTTCTAGGGAGATCTGCATGGCCGTGGAATCTCGGGCGTGACTAGTGTTCGATGCAACAGAATGGCCGACATTCGAGGCAGTGGCCGGGGAGAAGTTCATGTCAAGGTATATTTTGATTCTTGATGTTTCAGGTTTTTTAGTTGGGATATTAGTATACAATGTTCTTGTAAATACAAAACTTAAAAGAAGATCCGCAATTAAATATTTTATTTTCAGACTTATGGATAATTAGACACGCCTATATTTGCCCGCTATATTCTTATTTATATATTTAAGCATTGCAACGTCCACTGGGAATCCCTCGGCTGGGGAAGAGTCTACGACTGTGTCTCCGCAATGGAAGTGTCTGCCTGTTCTTACTGCCGAATGGCCCCGACTGCTGATAACTTCCGAACATCTTGCCAAGAGCAGCCCTGAAAAGAATACAATCCAAATAAAGCACAATTCAAATTTTTCAAATTCTCAATTTCAAAATCGAGTCTCTCTCTCTCTCTTGAATCCGCGCAGGGGGTCCAACCAGGTGACAAGGTCAAGTTCAGACTCAATCCCCGCGTCATCCCTTTCTTCTTACTGAGCTTTTTTCTCCATTTTTCGAGCATGAGTTTCTTGTTCATTTTTTTGCTAGAGATATTTGCACAGAGAGTGGTTGGATTCAGTTGTTTGCCAGAAGATTGCTCTGTTAGTTTTGGTACTGTAGTCTTTTTATGGAAAGTCTTTTGATAAATCGATTGACTAGTCTTGACTAGTTTAGGTCAAGCAAGTTAATACAAATGTAGAAAGATATAAAAATAGATAAGAAAAGGTCTGTTCTATTTCTATCTAAAACATCAGTCAAAAATTATATTCTACAAAAAGAACAAAGAGTACCATTTTGATAAGAACGATATACGAGCGACGCTGCTCAGCAGAAAATGATGATTGTGACGGAAGAAAAGTTTTTGATAGCTGTCACTGCTGCAAAATCTGCGGGAAGACGGAGGGAGAGTCTTGTGGAGGAATGTATGGACTCAGTGGTCAATGTGCGCCGGATCAGGGACTGTATTGCGTGATTCCAAGCAGCTTGAATAATGATGGAAATGTTATTGGCACTTGCAAGTCGTTAATGGGAAGGGTCTTTTCTAAGAAGAAATTCTCCTTGAGTCAGACTTTTTAAGATTCTCAGGGAATTTGTCTTGAAAGTTGACCTTATCAAATCAAGCTGGAAGATTTTCCTGACTCTTAACTGTCTGAAGGAGTCAAACCTTCAAGCCTTTCATTTTTCTTATACAAAAGATCCTCGGTGATAGACCGAAAATGACAGCTGCAAAATGTTCGTTTTCAAAGGCTGCGAAATTGTTGAGAATACTTGTGAATGTCGCCAAGAACAGAGTTGCATCGACCCATTTCCATTCCTGACGATTGAGGATTGCCAATTGGCGCTTATCAGAAGATGTGAGAAGAGAAAATGTCCGAGATATAAGAATAGGAGAATTTCGTGTCCGGTTGATAGTGAAATTCTACCAGGAAAGGGTGCATTAATTTAAGGGCTGGTTCATGCGGATGCAAGCCAATCAAAATCGAGCATAGATTGCAGGGGCCAATCAGAAGTCTCATTTTCCTTAGAGCTTCAAACGCATTTTCCAACCCTTAAAATCAGGCGAATGGAGCGATGATGGATGCTGTCCACAGCCCGATAGCTGCATCTGCAAACCCTGCCCGAGAACCCTCTGCGGAAATGGAACTCCAAAGATTCTGCTTCAGCAAGGAAACGGAATTCCCGGAACCTGCTGCGACGTAGAAAAATGCGGCGGCCTCTCTGACCTAAACATTGACTCGTCGATTTCCGAGGTGACTCCTTTCTGTGGCAAGCTCGACGGGCAGCTGAGAAAAGTCGGAGATACGTGGTGGTCGGATGAGTGTACAAAATGCACTTGCAAGGCGGATGGTAGAACTGACTGTGAGGCGTTTGCTTGTACCCCGGAAACGTGTCAGAATTATGAAAAGAAGGACAAGGCGCATTTTGATAAGTGCTGCAGGGCTGAGTGTGAGACCTACGATTATTTTATATTTGAAGAAGACACCTGTCCGAGGTTTGTAAAAATAATAAGAATTCTTATTCCTAATATATTTCTAGGATGCCCCGCTGCGTATTTCCATGCCAAATTGAGTTCGACTCCCGCGACTGCGAAATCTGTCATTGCCCCGACTACACTTACGAGGACGGACTGAGTTCGTCGTCAGAAATTATCACCAAAGACGGATGCCCGTCGCTATCCGGCTGTCAGAAGACCTGTCGCCGGTTTGGATTCAAGCGCGATCCAACTACGAAATGCAAACTTTGTAAATGCCAGAAAACTCCGCTCAAGTGCCCGAACCTGGGTGACTGTGTCAAGAGTAAGTGACGATGCGATTCTTTCCTTTTTTACCTTTTCGATAAAAACTTATCGCTTTCAACAACTTTTTAATTCTGAAATGTCGTCTAGTCTGCCCTTATGGTTATCGCCAGGACAACTACGGTTGCGAGATTTGCCAATGCCGCCGATGTCCGTCCTTCAATTGCGAATCACGTGACACTTTCGGAGTCATGACGCAGCTCATTTGCCCGCACGGCATGGTGATCAACGACAGCGGATGTCGAATTTGCCGCTGCAGGAAGAAAAATGAAAATGACACGGCGCTGACTGAGAAAAGGGCGGGAAGCGTTTGTACTGTGGGAACTAGTAAGAAGAAAGAGGGGGAGATGTGGAAATCAGGAACTGTTTCTGAAAACCATAATTGTGGGAAGAATTTTTGAAATAAAATATTTTTGATAATTTTTGAAGTTGATTCTAAAAACTTAATGTATACATCCTTTGCAGTTCTAAACCCGGTAAAAATAAGTTCGCTAACAAAATCAAAGGTTGTCATCTATGCTTCTGCTATTCCGGCTTCGATGAGAACAACGAAGGCTCGATTCTCTGCAACCTGATCAAATGCCCAGATGTCTCCGGCTGTCAAGCTGTCGTATTCCCTGAAGACTCATGCTGCCCACAGTGTTTGACTTTAGTTGAAAATACGAATTCTACTGAAATTTCTACATCATCAGCCGATTTCTTCAAACCGGTATTTTTTCCTTTTTTCGCATTATGGCAATCGTTTAGCAAAAATGCGACGAATTAGGTCTAGTCAACGGAGAAGTTTGGCGACCAACAGAAGAAAATTGCTTCATTTGCGGATGTATGGCATCTTTTGTCATGTGCTCCTATCATGTCTGCCCACCGGTCACTTGTGATGAGCCAATACTGATTCCCGGAAGGTAGATTTTTAGCTTTCTTGCGTGAAAAGCACCCTTCAAAAAGATTTTTGGGCATTACGACAAAGTACGTAGCAAATACGTCGAAAATGTCAGGATTCTTGAGACTAACAACTGACCTATCGTCAAATACCATTGACTCAAAATAGACTGTTCCCGAAGGTCGAAATTGAAGAAGAAAAATTAGTCAGCGCAGAAGCCAAAAATTCTTCCAAATAAATAGCTGAAAATTCTAGCTGCTGTCCAATTTGCGAAATCTCCAATCCTCTCAACCACCGCCTCTGTATCAGCGAAGAAAAAGGAGCGATCGAACATGGACAAAGTTGGCGAGTTTCAAACTGCAAGAGTTGTTACTGCGATGGCGGAGAGATCGTGTGCCGCAATGAAATTTGCGAACCAGTGGATTGCGAAAATCCGGTCATCAGAAAAGATACATGCTGCCCGATTTGTATTGATTTTACGCCGCCAGGGATTGGACTTGCTTTTGAAGGCATTTTTATTAAGAATTTTTTTGGTGAAATAATTTTCGAAAGCATTTGGAAGACAGTTGTATCGACAATGAAATGAATGACAGACTTTCTGAAACCACTTGGAAACGAGTATTGCTAGAAATTCCTTCCTCATTTCACCAACAATTTAGGATGTCTGTACGACTTGCCAATGTCTTCGCGGCGACATCAGCTGTTTTGTCGACCCCTGTCCTCCAATCGAAGCCTGTGAAAGTGGCTTGGAACCGATTTTCGCCGAAGGTCATTGTTGCAAAATCTGCCCAATTGCTGAAGAAGAGCTGTGCAAGACCAAGGAGTGCACGATTACTGTTGTCATGACGGTATTGCTTGTTTTGCTGACGATTCTGTCGATAACAGTCCTCGCCTGTGTGAGATACAAGAAGAGCAAGGATACATACGAGCCGGTGCCGAGATATTCTGATACTTACAGAACCAATGGCGGCGTGGTGCAGCTACCAAGAAGTCCAGCAATTGTAGGAAAGAAAAAATTAATTCTTTGTTGACAGATTTTCAAGGCACGAGTCGTCGCTGGAAATGACCCGGATGGCCGAGTAACTGCAACTGGCTACGCACGTGACCCATCTCACATGTCAGTAATGAATCTTCAGAATGCTACTTCTTTCGTAAGTGAATAGTTAAGGACCCCCCCCCCGTCAGCTTTTTTCTTCAAAAAATGAAAATTTTCAAAAATGCCATATTTTTGTTCTGAATGCGTCTGGAAGTTAGATTAAGTATAAAATCTTGACATAAGCAAGTTTTGACCAAGAAAACTCAAAAATTGAACCAAAAATTGCACATTTTCGTCATTTTTCGACGAAAAGTCCAATTTTCAAACGCGATTTTGAGGGTGTTAGAGTCGAGATAGACCCCCAAAAAATGCAGCATCAAAAACGTTTTTTGACACGTAGAATCCATTTCCGGGGTCAAAATTTTGAAATTCCGAAAATCGATTTTTCGAAAAAAGCTGACGGGGGGTCCTTAATAGCTCTTTCCATCAGCTTCTTCGAGTTTCTATTGGTCGAAAATCGACTGTTGATCATTTTGACCAATGGGAAGCCATGATGGATTGATGAAAAAAATCCTTATCAAGAATTTCTATTGTAGCAATCGCTTCCAAAACACTCCACGGCCACCCAACTGACCTCCGATATCGGCAAATTTTCGAGCGTCACTGCCCCCGATTTCGACGAATTGTGGAGAAACAACGAATAAGACCCCGTTTTCCCTTCCTAAAAATAAAACTACAGGCTCTTAAGATTTTAATAAATGACATCAATATCTCAATTTACCGGTGATTTATTACATTGACTTACGGTAAACATTTTGCCACGCGCTGCCTGTGGTCGCGCACCATGTGGCACGCAATTTGGCGGATGGATTTCACGCCGCGGTAATACGCGAATTTAGCAGCGAGCTCAGAGCATTCCAAGTTTTCTTCCCGCCACTTTCTAAATAAATATGAACGAGGTGGAGCATCATTATGACGGTAAGAAACAGAGAAAACCTTCATTTCCAAGAGAAACAAATCTAGAATGCCCGAGCGACTCGCCGGAGAAACAAAAGCCAAAACTCGGCCGCAAAATCTCCCGCGTCCTGTCGATCTTCCGTAAAGAGCCCAAATCTCTTTCAAAGGAGCCCGTTTACGAAGAGCTGCACGAAGTACACGATGGATCGGAGATTTCCGCGCCACAGTATTCGATCAGTACGATGGGAAGACTTGACAGTGGCATCTCGTCAGGGTCAGATCTGCTTGAGCCCAGCTTTGCCGAAGTTTTGAGGAATGGAGCGCCTTTTCCGCAAGTTGTTGCGCCGAATGGTTGGTGGGTCAGGAATTGGTCAAAAATCATTTTTTTGACCAAAATTATTAAAAAAAAAAAAGAAATTTTTATGAAATTTTTAACCATTTTTAAGTTTTTTGATGAAAAAAAAGTTTCTTTATGCTTGAAAGACCAATTTGGTCAAGATTTTTAAAATCCTGCCGCTAATTTTTTGACCAAAATTAAAAGAGGTTTTCGCCACCGAGCCCCTACCCTCTTCCTTCCCGTCGAAGAACTCAAACCCGTCGACATCGCCTACATCGATACATCCGTCAAAATCGACAAGAAAACACTATTTTACCGAGAAGAATTCATCGGAAAAGAACATCTCAATCTGGTCGGCTACAGTAGACTCTGGGGACCGCTTGTGCTTTCGATAAAGGATAGATTCTTAAATTTATTTCACGATAAAGCTTTTGGTGCTTTGAAGGTTCTTACGTCAGTTTTATATAAAAATGGGCGTTTTTAAAAATGGAGAATTTTGGGCCTGCAAATTTTCGTCAAAACCGTTCTAATAAATATTTATTACAGCTTTTAAAAATGAATAGAATAATTTTTGTTGAACACTTTTGGCTAAAATTATGCTTTACAGAATATTTTTGTTTGGCATTTTGAACACTTTTCGCACTCTATCTTAGGTTATTTTGGGCTTCTTCAACTGCACTAATGAATTTTTCAACGAATTGAGGAGAGTACCCTCCAGCGACGAAGTCAAAGTAGTATCGTCTGTAAAGTTCTTTTATCAAGTCGATTGGTATTTCTACGAATCCTTGGGCTTCGTGATGAAACCAGCCGGAATCGGGGTCTGGGCCGCCGTAGCGAGGGGCGAGCTCGAGAATGCCGGTCAGGCCCTGCTTGTCCAGGACCCAAGGCCATTCTTCTTCTGATCGACGGCCGTGGATGATGTATTCGTAGTCCATCGCACACTAGAGAATATTCTTAGATTGAAAGATGCAACAAATAATTCGACTTTCGGGACAATTTTTTTTTCTCAAATTTGATTGGCTGGCCGGTCGAATGTCGACATCTGGTTTGTCAAAAATCTGACCAAGATTTTGGTCGAAATTGTCGCATTTTTGCCTGGTTTTCGCTCATAAATTGCCAATTTTAGCATTTTTTCGAGGCTCGAATGAATATTTTGCCGCTTGATTTTGCTGTCAGATAGTATAAATCATCATAACGTCAAAATTGCGGAGAATTATAGATAAGAGATTTTCGTTTCGGAAAACTCGTGTTCAATGTCAGGAAATGACGAGATTTGGAAAACATAATGTTTTTGCTACTCATTCTACGAATTCCCATAAAAACTAAGCTTGTTCATGTTATGACTGATCGAAGCTGTCAAAACATAACCGGCGGTAAACCGTTGAACTTAGTCTTCGACAGCGAATGGTCAAAAAACAGGAACTTACAAAATGACAACATTCGTCTTGAGCTTTCCAATGTTGATTCATTGCCGCGTCGTTTGTGTCATGAACCAGCATTCGCAGCCATTTTTCAAGGGAGACTTTGAATTTTGGCGGAGCGGGTGGGCCAGGCTCTTTTCGGGCTTTTTCGATATAGGAGTTGAATTGTCTGTTGTTTGCTTCGTGCGCAGGATCTTCTGGGTAGTACTGGATTTTGTCTCTCCAGCCTAAAAGAAATTTAGAGTTTCATTATCTAAGAATTAATCTTTCGTTGATGATGTCTAGTGGGCATTTTTGATTCTTTCTTCTGTCGGAATAAGCCCGAGATGATCTCAAAATCTTGGAATCATGGTCCATAATATGGTTCCATGATTCATGGAAGATATTGAGAATTAAAGAAGGGTAAATTGAATATCGAGAGTCAGTTGAAAATACTTTTAACAACTTTGAATGAGAGTATCATTTATATTAAAAATCAGTCAATATTATCAGGATTTATAAAAATATACGATTCATTTCAAATATTTAGCAGAATTTGGCCGTGCGAATACAAAAAGTCAAGTTGAATACATTTTTGTTTTCATTTGTTAATCTGAAATCAAGTAAAATTTTGAAGAGCTATTTTTATTTTCATAAAAAGCGCGCCACCTCCTTCTATCTCAGGTGTTTTATAGGCCATCTGTTATGCAGATTTCCAAAAATCCAGCTGTTGATTATATCTATTTACTTTTAGGAGGCCTGTAAGTAATAGCCTATTACTAATAGGCCATAACTAATCGCCCATAAGAAAATTTTGACGATCCTAAGGGTCTCAGAGCTCTATCTTTTGACCACTTCTTTTTCATATTTAAAATATGATATTTTACCTGATCTTGCCCTTGTAAATGGATCCCTCGTATTTATATATCTCTTCTCCTTCCCCTGCAACAGCGCAGCATGCTTGACTGTATGAAACCTCGGAACAAAGCCATACAAAGCTGCTGGATAAAACACGTTTTTATTCGAGTCGTCCTCAAGCACGACGCCTTTTGCGGCCATTTCTTCTTTCGTCTTGGAAAGTTTTGCGAGGGCGATTTGCCAGTTGGATGTCCCGGCTTTAGGTGGGAGGCAAATCAGGAAGTCTTTTTTGACTTTTTGGGAGTCAGCGTGGCGTAAGGAGAAAACACTGAAATTTGGCTCCAAACTTTGACTTTTTTCAAACGAGATAGAATATTGGATGCTTGGGAATATTTGGAGCCGAATTTATCATTCCACTTGATCGGAGCCATCGAATCAAATCGCTTCCAAGAATACGGATCCTTCGGTTCACCGCCTGGTTCAACGGATAAACCTTCGATTAGTCTGTGAAAATCAAGTAGATCCTCAATCGTGTTATTCTTATCAGCCGCCATTGCGTAAAGTTGTTGTCGATATGTACAAGCAAGGTTTTTGACCAAATAACGACGGAGCATTCGCTTCTCGACCGACTCTGAAAAGGGGCCTTGAAAGAAGCTGCAGATAATTGTTAGCTTACCCATTCGTTCTTCTTGTTCTGGAGTAAGCGGTTCTGAAACGGGAGGGGAGGCTGCATATTCCCATGTGACAACCCAATCGAATTTGGAATCGCCAAGTTGAAGGGTGTAATTGAAGTATACAAGCAATATCTATATATAAATTAAAAAATAGTCAGCAAAAAATTCTTGTTTGTTGACTTCAGAATTTTCAGATTTTTCAAAATTCGGGGAAAAATTTAAGATAGACTTACGGTTAAAATTCCTATAAAAATATATCTGTCTTGAGTTGCGATTTTCTTCGATCTTTCTTCATATTTCGATGCTCTTATTAATAACTCGTTCTCTTCCATTTTCTGTTGTTCCTGAAATTTTCTCTGTCAAAAAAAAATCAATGAGGGTTTAGAAAATCGAATTCAGCCCGCGGGGCAAGCAGCGTAATAAAAAAGGAGGGTTGACTTACTTTTACAATTAAGCACCTGTCTTAATTTTAATTTCTAACTCATGAGAGTTTGTTGATTTTCGATGAGTATTTTCTTCCTTCCTCTCTTTTTTTTCTTCTTTCCTATTTCTCTTCTATCAAAAGAGTTTTCAATGCGCAAATATGCGAATATTTGTGCACTCCTTTTTGTTTGCTCGAGTGAAAATAGCGCGGTTTCTTAAACTGGTCTCTTTTGTTCAATTATTCTTTGTCAAAATTAAGCTCAGAAATAACGGAAAATCGTAAAAAATCTCCGAAAATTTTGATGATCTTCGACTTGTCAGCTCGGACTTCTCTTCTATCGATCTTGTAAGAATCTCAATAAACAGCTTGAAAAGGAAGAATACTCCATCGTCTTGCGATCCGTTTCTGGCACTGAAATTCGCCAAGTCGCTGCTCCAACTGACTCGATCGACTGGGCTTCTACTGTTTTCGGCTCCCTTTCGATGGACTCCTTCAGCCCCGTTGTCAGCCTCAATGCGTGGGAGACGATTTCGAGCTATGACGAGCACTCAACATCGAAAATCCACAACATCGGTCTTTTACTACAGTTGGAGAAGCAGTACGACTCGTTGACGATGGTTTCGAATGTTCAGATTTCGCGACATTTGACCAACTTTTTGGCTACTATTTCGTCGCCGATCAGAGGAACAGACGGTTCAACCGCCTATCATGCCCAGCACTCCGGTATCTTTGAATTCTCTCCTTTTTAAACACAATTTTTATCGAGAAATTTCAATCCAAACCTCTTTTTCAGAGCATAATCTGATGATCCACCCAGCGCCGATGATGAAAACCTTCCGCGAGCGACAAGAACGAGCCCTCGCCCCACTCGTCCAAATCATCTTCCAAGGCCATCAGACCCCTTTTTCTCCAGATCTTATGGGAGAGGACCGCGTACTTGTCTACATCATCGTCCAGCCTGTTCAGTTTTCTTCGAAAAACGAAAGCTACAAGATCTCGATTGTCGCGGATAAAAGCGTCGGTGACTTCGGACCGAAAATACCAGAGCCCTCGGTGGTTTCAAAAAAGAATCTGCAGCAGGTTTGATAGAGTCTTATAAATATCTTATATAAAAACTGAAAATAGACTTATACGTAGCGATTTTATAGTTTTATCGCGTTTTTATGGAACAGGGTTCAACGAATTTGCCAATAAAGTCGCTTTTTTTATGGGCCTTTTGGATGAAATTGCTTATTATTTAAATTTATAACATGTAGTTATATTTCAACTCTCAATTCCCAAGGTGCTGATTCCTCTTCTTATAAACGCATCAAACGCCGCTCTAGCATCAAAAAAGCTCGTATGTCTCCGTGCAAGAGCTCGAGCAGAACTCTTCGCTGATCTAATCGAGTCGCTTTCTGGCTGGGATGGGACTGGACAGCCGGTGGAGGGGCAGAAGATCAGCGAGCTGGTGAGACCGCCCGTGGTCAACAAGGAGAAGAAAAAACTTCTTCCGGATAATGATACTTACATGGTGTTTATGAAGGCGGTGGCGAATTCTGAAAGCTCGAGAAGCCGCGATTCAGGTATCCTTAAAAAATAAATAAACAAAATAACTCTTGTTAGGGTGTTCGTCAGGGAATTACTCATCAAATGAGCTGGAATCGCCAGTCACTCCGCCTCCAGTTGAAAAGCCCCCAAATTTACCGAGCAATTTGCCAGTTGTTACGCTTATCGAAAAGCCGGACATTTCCGGTAGGTATTCAAGCGTAAGTCTGCCAAGAAAGACTTCCAGGGAAAGTTGTTGCTCTCATGAGAGAGTCGTTTATGATATCAAAAGTAAGCCAGATGGAACGACGAAGAGAAGGCGGACGAAAACAAGGAGAAAACCCTCCATCCGGTACGACCCTTTCTAGTAGAAAAATTCAACACTTTCAGAGAGGAATCAAAGCCAAGAAGAAAACCTTCACGATCAGAGTCCCGAAGGTCATCGAAGAGCCAGAAACAGGATAATTTTCTTGAGCAGAAATCACAGTACGATCGCTTGAAGCATGACAGAATTGTAGAGCGATGCAGATCTCTCTCTGACCTTGGCTACAAGGAAAAGCACCAGTCGAGAAAATATGCTCAACTTGAGGACCTCGACTTCAACTGTACTTCTGATTCATCTGTAAGTTTTCCCAAAAGCAATTCTTCCTCTAAAACTTCCTAAGATCGATTCCCTATCCGACATGGACTTTACTTACGCCCTCAGCAAGCTAAAATTTCCGCCGCGAGAAGCCACTTCAAGCCGAAGAAAAAGCCGAATTCCAAGAGCAGCATCTCTAGCTGTTCTTCCAGAGCTCAACGAGTCGATTCCGATGCGGCCAATTATCAAAAATGATTTGATTTCTGCGAGAAAAGAGAAACATTCAGTTTCTTTCAGAGAATAAAGCGATATTGAATGATTTCTGTACATTTGACTTTTGGAATAAAAATTTTGGTGATTTTCGTTCTTTCGTCTCTAGAACTATGGTTATATTTGTCCATAGTTTTCATTTGTCATATTTGAAAAAATATATACACGATGAAATTCGACATAACAACAGTCAAAGAAGGAGAAAGTACGATCTATACTTTTCTACTCAAATTGAGTGGAACCGAAATTGGTGAGTCGTTTATAAATCTAGGTGTAAAGCACCATGTTAACAGAGTTCTTAAAAAGAAATCCTGCTTGTTCTTGCTGTAGCTGTGATTCTCATCCTGCAGAGTAGAAACATAACGAAGATAAAGAAGAAGATAGACTACGACAAACTTGGGAATGGGCATCAATTTGAATAGAATACTGTCGTTTACTTACAATTAGTCTCAAAGAAAAACAACTTTGATAACCAAAAAAGAGATCCTGAAGAAGAACCGACTTCAAAAGCTACAAAAAAGATGCCTGCAATGTTTAAAATGTACCGCAAAGTTTGAATAAAAGCACTCAATTATTTAACTGTACTTTATTATCAATAATAGTGATTTTTCAAGTTTCAAACATACAAAGCAAGGAACTTTAAATGGTCAAAATAAAGGTAAAGCTGGCTAAATCAGTATCAGTAGATTCATTCTTTTTTGTGCGGCTTTCGGAAAATGTGATAACTGGGTATCAGTGAGTGATTTTTTTTACTAAAGACAATGGTAGTTTCTAGTTCGGAAATGAGTGATGCTCATCTTGACAATTGTCAATTGAAACAAGTTTGAGGTAGATGAATTCGTGACTAAGATGAAGCCTCGTGGCTGCCGGAAGCTTTGAACAGCTCACTGTAGATTCCACCTTTAAATAACAAGTTAGGCATTGGCTCAAATGACTGTAGTTACCGTCAATGGCCTTGAGCGCAGTTGGGCTGTCAAACTCGGCGATTTTTCCTTTGTCCATCACCAGAATTTTGTCTAAAAGAAAGTTAAGTCTATCCGTGGAAAAATTAACTCACCGGAATCATCGATCGTATCAATTCTGTGAGCAACGGCGAGGATTGTGCAATCTTTGAACTCTTTTCTAATGGTCGTTTGGACTAGCTGATCTGTCTCGTTATCGACTGAAGCTGTTGCTTCATCCAGAATCAGGAACTTTGTCTTCCTAATTCAAAAAATAAGTCCTCCAGTCTCATTTCTTTCCTTACCTCAAGAGCGCTCTAGCAAGGCAAACTAACTGCCTCTGCCCAGCACTCAAGTTTCCACCACCTTCAGCAATTTCGTGATCCAATCCTTTCGCCAATGTATCTGTAAATCCCTTCAAATGAGATAGCTCGATCGCTCGCCAAATGTCCGCATCCGAGTATTCTCCAAAAGGATCCAAGTTCTTTCGAAGAGTGGCAGAAAACAGCGTCGCTTCCTGCGGAATAATCGTCAACTTCTTTCTAAAAAAGGAATCAGAAAACGAATAAGGACTCAAGAGCTTACCTGAGGTCATGAAGACCGATCTCTCTACAATCAACCCCGTCGATGATAAAGCTCGACTTTTCCTCCGCTTCGACAAGACGGAAAAGTGACAAGACAAAAGTCGACTTTCCGGAGCCAGTTCTTCCACAAATACCGATCTTTTCCCCACCCTATCGAAATAAGTAACGCTCCAAAATGAAAGATAAGAACCTTGATAGTGATGCTGAGATCATCAAGAGCTGGGGGCAAGTTTTTGCGGTAACGAAGAGAGAAGTTTTCCATCTTGAGTTCTCCCTTGTCCGGCCAGCTTTCCAAAAGCTTGTCTTTTCCTTCCCATTCCGCTTCATGTGGGAATTCATCTTTTTACGAGTTTTTCAAAGGATAGTCAAAATTGTAAAAATAACCTATTCAATCTATTTTTAACCCGATCCTTTGTCCGTATACTCCAGCAGCCTCTCCACCGCCACGGCGTGATTCTCCAAGTCTGATGTTTGTCTAACCGCCCAGTTGAGTGTTTGACTCATTCCGAGCGCAGTGGACAGAGCAAAGCCAACTTTACCCGCCGTGGTGTGTTCCTTAGCCCACACGAAGATTAGAGCCGCAGTCAATACGAGCAGATGTGAGAGAATTTCCAGGCGGACGGCGAGCCAACGGTAAGCAATTATAGAGCCATAGTAATTCGCTAGAAACAAGAAATGAAAAGAGGAAAGGGGAAATAAGCGGACCTTGATTATTCTGATCGATGAGCTTGAAGTTGTGGCTCTGGAAGCGACTCTTGTATCGATAAGCCCGAATGGTAGATGCTCCGTGAATCGACTCGCCGAAATGATTGTAAATTGGAGATTTTGAAACAGACTCGATTCGTTTGAGCTGACGAGTGGTTGCGACAAAGATTCGTTGGATCTTTCAAATGGGTTAACGATAAACGATAGCGAGAAACTAACCTTGAAGTAGACGATTCCAAAGAAAGGCAAAAAGACCAAGTACCATACCGAGCCAGAAACAATCGCAAAGACTCCAAAAAGAACTCGCAAAAAACAATGAGTCCACATTTCCAGCGTTCTGATCAGTTGCGCGTCTACAACATCGATATCCTTGCCGACTCTGTTGATGATTCGTCCGGAAGGAGTTTTGTCGTAGAAGCTCAGTGGGAAGCGGAGAATCGATTGAATAACTTGATCGTGGATACCTCGAGAGGCTTTGATGCCACCAAGGGAGAAGGAGAGAGCGACGACAATGACAAACACGGATTGAACAATACCGAATCCTCCGTAAACACCCAGACGAACGCCTAGCTAGCTAAAATTTCCGCCGCGAGAAGCCACTTCAAGCCGAAGAAAAAGCCGAATTCCAAGAGCAGCATCTCTAGCTGTTCTTCCAGAGCTCAACGAGTCGATTCCGATGCGGCCAATTATCAAAAATGATTTGATTTCTGCGAGAAAAGAGAAACATTCAGTTTCTTTCAGAGAATAAAGCGATATTGAATGATTTCTGTACATTTGACTTTTGGAATAAAAATTTTGGTGATTTTCGTTCTTTCGTCTCTAGAACTATGGTTATATTTGTCCATAGTTTTCATTTGTCATATTTGAAAAAATATATACACGATGAAATTCGACATAACAACAGTCAAAGAAGGAGAAAGTACGATCTATACTTTTCTACTCAAATTGAGTGGAACCGAAATTGGTGAGTCGTTTATAAATCTAGGTGTAAAGCACCATGTTAACAGAGTTCTTAAAAAGAAATCCTGCTTGTTCTTGCTGTAGCTGTGATTCTCATCCTGCAGAGTAGAAACATAACGAAGATAAAGAAGAAGATAGACTACGACAAACTTGGGAATGGGCATCAATTTGAATAGAATACTGTCGTTTACTTACAATTAGTCTCAAAGAAAAACAACTTTGATAACCAAAAAAGAGATCCTGAAGAAGAACCGACTTCAAAAGCTACAAAAAAGATGCCTGCAATGTTTAAAATGTACCGCAAAGTTTGAATAAAAGCACTCAATTATTTAACTGTACTTTATTATCAATAATAGTGATTTTTCAAGTTTCAAACATACAAAGCAAGGAACTTTAAATGGTCAAAATAAAGGTAAAGCTGGCTAAATCAGTATCAGTAGATTCATTCTTTTTTGTGCGGCTTTCGGAAAATGTGATAACTGGGTATCAGTGAGTGATTTTTTTTACTAAAGACAATGGTAGTTTCTAGTTCGGAAATGAGTGATGCTCATCTTGACAATTGTCAATTGAAACAAGTTTGAGGTAGATGAATTCGTGACTAAGATGAAGCCTCGTGGCTGCCGGAAGCTTTGAACAGCTCACTGTAGATTCCACCTTTAAATAACAAGTTAGGCATTGGCTCAAATGACTGTAGTTACCGTCAATGGCCTTGAGCGCAGTTGGGCTGTCAAACTCGGCGATTTTTCCTTTGTCCATCACCAGAATTTTGTCTAAAAGAAAGTTAAGTCTATCCGTGGAAAAATTAACTCACCGGAATCATCGATCGTATCAATTCTGTGAGCAACGGCGAGGATTGTGCAATCTTTGAACTCTTTTCTAATGGTCGTTTGGACTAGCTGATCTGTCTCGTTATCGACTGAAGCTGTTGCTTCATCCAGAATCAGGAACTTTGTCTTCCTAATTCAAAAAATAAGTCCTCCAGTCTCATTTCTTTCCTTACCTCAAGAGCGCTCTAGCAAGGCAAACTAACTGCCTCTGCCCAGCACTCAAGTTTCCACCACCTTCAGCAATTTCGTGATCCAATCCTTTCGCCAATGTATCTGTAAATCCCTTCAAATGAGATAGCTCGATCGCTCGCCAAATGTCCGCATCCGAGTATTCTCCAAAAGGATCCAAGTTCTTTCGAAGAGTGGCAGAAAACAGCGTCGCTTCCTGCGGAATAATCGTCAACTTCTTTCTAAAAAAGGAATCAGAAAACGAATAAGGACTCAAGAGCTTACCTGAGGTCATGAAGACCGATCTCTCTACAATCAACCCCGTCGATGATAAAGCTCGACTTTTCCTCCGCTTCGACAAGACGGAAAAGTGACAAGACAAAAGTCGACTTTCCGGAGCCAGTTCTTCCACAAATACCGATCTTTTCCCCACCCTATCGAAATAAGTAACGCTCCAAAATGAAAGATAAGAACCTTGATAGTGATGCTGAGATCATCAAGAGCTGGGGGCAAGTTTTTGCGGTAACGAAGAGAGAAGTTTTCCATCTTGAGTTCTCCCTTGTCCGGCCAGCTTTCCAAAAGCTTGTCTTTTCCTTCCCATTCCGCTTCATGTGGGAATTCATCTTTTTACGAGTTTTTCAAAGGATAGTCAAAATTGTAAAAATAACCTATTCAATCTATTTTTAACCCGATCCTTTGTCCGTATACTCCAGCAGCCTCTCCACCGCCACGGCGTGATTCTCCAAGTCTGATGTTTGTCTAACCGCCCAGTTGAGTGTTTGACTCATTCCGAGCGCAGTGGACAGAGCAAAGCCAACTTTACCCGCCGTGGTGTGTTCCTTAGCCCACACGAAGATTAGAGCCGCAGTCAATACGAGCAGATGTGAGAGAATTTCCAGGCGGACGGCGAGCCAACGGTAAGCAATTATAGAGCCATAGTAATTCGCTAGAAACAAGAAATGAAAAGAGGAAAGGGGAAATAAGCGGACCTTGATTATTCTGATCGATGAGCTTGAAGTTGTGGCTCTGGAAGCGACTCTTGTATCGATAAGCCCGAATGGTAGATGCTCCGTGAATCGACTCGCCGAAATGATTGTAAATTGGAGATTTTGAAACAGACTCGATTCGTTTGAGCTGACGAGTGGTTGCGACAAAGATTCGTTGGATCTTTCAAATGGGTTAACGATAAACGATAGCGAGAAACTAACCTTGAAGTAGACGATTCCAAAGAAAGGCAAAAAGACCAAGTACCATACCGAGCCAGAAACAATCGCAAAGACTCCAAAAAGAACTCGCAAAAAACAATGAGTCCACATTTCCAGCGTTCTGATCAGTTGCGCGTCTACAACATCGATATCCTTGCCGACTCTGTTGATGATTCGTCCGGAAGGAGTTTTGTCGTAGAAGCTCAGTGGGAAGCGGAGAATCGATTGAATAACTTGATCGTGGATACCTCGAGAGGCTTTGATGCCACCAAGGGAGAAGGAGAGAGCGACGACAATGACAAACACGGATTGAACAATACCGAATCCTCCGTAAACACCCAGACGAACGCCGATAGACAGCGGCTCCTCTGGATCATCAACCATCAGATCTTTGGCAGATTCAAAGATATCCGTCTCTCGCCGATATCTGGTGACACACTCTTCGACGGTTCCATTTGCTGGCTTTGTACTGTCGGACCAATCAGCCAGCCAAAGATTCTCGCCGAGCCAGAAGCCGTATCTGATTGTATTCATAAGCATGGCGAAGAAGAACTGGAACATTCCAAAAGCCTCGAGATATTTTCTCAGGACGCTGAAATCGATGGTTCCGCTTTTTGACTCTTCCTTCTCCGTGATTTTGCCGTCCAGTGCTTTATCTTTCGACTCCTTGACCGACAACTTCGACTTCGTTGGCGCCTCAATTTCTTCGGCTTTCTTTTCAGTAGCGGAAGAATCAGCCTTTAGAATCATATGAAACTCCGGATTTCGCGCCCAAATATCTTCATATTTTCCGATGTCAAGAATCTTTCCTTTGCTCAACAAAACAACACGGTCGCACATTGGCAGGAACTGCGTCGCATGGGTCGCTAGAACTCGCGTTTTGGATTTGAGAATGGACTCTCGGCCGATCAAATTCGTGAATATTTCTTTTCCTACATGAGGATCAACGGCTGACAACGGATCGTCGAAGAGAATGATGTCTGGATTGGAATAGGCGGCGCGAGCGAGGGAGACGCGCTGTTTCTGGCCTCCGGAGAGGTTGATTCCTTTCTCGCCGATTTCCGTCTGATCTCCGCTTTGGAGAATGTCTAGATCATCTCGAAGCGATGCCGCAGCGACGCACTTCTTGTAATAAGCTTCGTCTAGTTGCTTGCCGAAAATGATATTGTCCTTGAGCGTGGCATTCTGCAGCCATGCATCTTGGGGAACATACGCGACGGTGCCAGCTAAGGCTACGGATCCGCCGAGCTGGTCCATTTCGTTGAGCATGGCGCTGATAAGCGATGATTTTCCGCTGCCAATGTGTCCAACTATGCCGACGAGTTCGCCCTTTTTGATGTCGATAGAAATATCCTCCAGGGTCGCTCCTTCGGATTTCTTCCAAGTAAAGCTTCCGTTTTCAATCTTTACAGTTCCCGACTTTCCAGGAGTCTTTTCGGAGTCCTTGAGTTCTGGAAGATTGAAATAATTCTGCAAACGGGTCACGGAAACGCGCGCTTCGATCACTTGCATCAGCATCATTGGAAACATCTGCATCGGGAACCGCAGCAGATTGAAGTACATGATGGAAACGAAGGCCTTCTCAGGGGTGAGGACGTTGTTGACGGGATCTCTGAGGACATAAGTGGCAAAAGCAGCGATAGTGATGAAGAACGGCGAGACCGACCAAGTCAGGGACATGAAAACGGCGACTTTTGCGCGTTTCCACATTTGGTCCAGCTCTTTCTGACGGATTTCGTCGATCCACGAGGCGAAGAACACCTCCCAGGCGTAGAGTTTGACAGTTTTGATAGCGGTTACAAGCTCGGAAATGGTCTTCATTCGTTTGTCCTTGGTTTGCATCAGCGCGCGCATGATTTCTCCGATCTTTTTGCCGACGAAGGCGTTTGCTGGGATGAGTAAGATCATCACGGCAATTCCGGAAAAGATCGCGGCGCCGAGCTCTTGCCAGAGAAAGTAAAGCGAAAGGCCGATTTGAAGGGGGCCAGACCAGATCATGTGAATGTAAGTGAAGATGTCTTGGAACTTCTGTGCGTCGACCGTCATCATGTTGACAATTTCTCCGTGTGTGAACATTCCACGCGCTTGAGAAGAAATGTTCAGTGATTTCTGGTAGAGAAACGAGGTGATCGAGTTTTTCACCTTCAATCCGGCATTGCTTCCGACCCAAAAGTACTGATGAAGCAGGAGTGTTTGAACAGTCGAAACGACAAAAAGCAGGAGCGCCAGAAGAACTCCCTCTTGGATCGACGTTGATTCTGCGCAGACACTGATCCAGCGAATAAACATCTTGAGGACTTGAGGGTTGATGAAGGAAAGCGCGTCGTGGAGAAATTTGAAACAAGCAGCCATTAGAGCAGGCTTCCAGTAAGCTTTGACCATCACTTTCAAGAGCCCCTTTTGCATGACCTTCGTTCCTTCGACTGGAAGATCAGATTCTTCAGCATCTTCTGGCTTGGTATTAATTTTCGACTTTTTCTCGTCGAGAAGCGCATCTTTTCATCAGCTTTTCCGCCCTTTTCCTTGCTTTTTGCACCTTTTTTACTCTTAATTGGAGCGATAAATGTCCAACTTGCTTCTGCAGCTTCCCAGCTCTCGCAGAATCGATCGTGCTCCTTGTCGGACTTGAGGTGTTCCGGAACCTTTGGAAGATCGTCCATTTCTAGCGGCTTGTCTGTGACGCCCATGATTCTGCCGTACCAGTGGAAGAAAATTCGGGACGGAAGACTAGCTTCTTCTTCCCAAGCGTTTTCGGACGCTAAGAATGGGTCAAATTGAATATTTCGAAAGTTATAAAGCTTCATATGATATGAATCATATCTCGAAAAGCTGCGTAAGAAACCTGAGTTTGGGCAAGAGATCTTGTTAACAAAGCTGCAATTAAAGCTTTTTCAGGACCCTGACTCAGGTTCTTTTCACAGCCTACCAAGCCTAGATAAAGGTCTTACTGAATCTTATGTACAATTTTTTCATCTTTTCGTATTTTCTCTGGACTTTGGATTTCGCCCAGAGAGAAAGATAGAAGAATATCCTAAACCAGAAGCAAATATGAACCGCGCAAATAAGCTAGTCTTGTAGAAACTGACCCATTCCTTCAGAATATTTGGCGCAAGGGTTGAGGTTATTCGGTACCAAATGCAGCACCATTCCAATCAGCAAAAGCGTTTCCTGCCAAACAGCGAATTTCAACGACCGTTGCAGGACGATAGAATCGTGGACGGCTTCTGGCGAGTTGAAGTAATGTCCAGCAGTGATAAAGGTCGGGAAGAAGCCGATGAAGGAGACGAAGAAGAGGAGTAGGACGAGGCCATTTCCGTCTTTTGTCGTTTTCTTCGATTCCCAGAGGATGAAAATTGTTGAAAAGGGTACGAGGGAGTAGAGGACCGGGCCGAGGAGAGCGAGGTCTTCGGCGTAGCCATCTTTGTTATAGTCGATGACGGAGAGGATTGATTCGGACCAGGATAGAATTACTTTAAATAAGGTTATTTCTAAGGAATATAAAATTGGGTACCTAAGGCGACAGAAACAAAAAGGCGAAGATAGAGGAGAACCGATGGCGTTTGGTTCTTTTTTCGAATGCTAGCGAAGAATTTGACAGCGACGAGAAAGAGCACGGGCGAAACTAGAATCGTGGCAGCTCCGATGAGCAGCTGATTTTGATGATACTCGCACGCTCCAGCCCATTGTCCCGATGCGCCTTCGATAGTCTGCCAGCCACTCTCACTACACCACATGGTGACTGAAATAGAAAGATTGTTAGTTTAAATTTAACTCATCTACGGATTTTGGCCAATATTTTGGTTCAATAAGGCATTATTTTGTTTGACCCCGCACAAAGGTACGCTTATCATGCTAGAAATCCTCCTTTTTATAAATTTTTATTTGTTAGAAAGGAGCCGCAGAAATAATGCGGTAGGCAAAGTAACGCCTAATTGAGCCAAAATTTTGGTCAGGAAATATGAATGGGTTAAAATTTTTAAAATTTGAAACATGATTGAGATGATTTCGATGAAAGGAAACATGGGAACAGTTCTTTTTCTACAGCAATTTTCTCTACACTTTTGAGGCTCAAATTTGAGCTAAAGATTGATTCATTTTCGAGTCTGACTTCCAACTTTTTTCAAAAGAAAAGTTCGCCAAAATAAATCGATAAAGAGGGAACGAACCAGCGGGTCCGTTGAAAATCATGATTTTTCTCTTATTTTTTCAATTCTTCCGTTTTCTTCTTGAAGAATGCGCCAAGAGCCCTGGCCCCGCGTAGGTTGAGAAATTAGGTTGTTACTCGGATCTCGCGTAAGTTAGAGAAAAAGTGGTTATTTTTTGTGAATTATATGAAAAATCTCTAAGCCAATTTTCTGAAAAAAATTCTTTTGTTCTTAGTAAATGGAGTTTCTTCCGCATCTTCTTTGTGAGTCGAAAAAAAGAAGAATCGAGAAAAAATGGCTGTCGTTAAAATGCTTTTCTTGAGCCTTAGATTCTCTTGGTTGATTTTTCTTTGACCAAAATTTTCGACTTTGGCCATTTTTCGTTGATTTTGACCTTTTCTCTTTTGTATCTTTTTCCAATTTTATCGAAATAAGAGCCCTAATTATCGGATTTAGAAGAAAAGAAAAATGTTCAAAAACTTCAACGGTCGATTCGTGCTTGGATCAACGAGTCCGAGAAGGAGGGATATTCTCAAAATGGTGGACTTGGAATTCGTCCAGAAATCGCCGCAATTTGACGAAACCGAGTTAATGAAACGAACAGATCTTTCGCCCGAGAACTTGGTCAAACTCATTGCAGAAAATAAGGTGAGCCCTTTCACTGCTTTCTTTTTTCAACAACATCTGTTTAGGCTGAAAATGTGGCTGATCTTGAAGCAACTGACTTTCTTATCTGCTGCGATACAGTAATTGCTTCCGGGGCTCAGATATTCGGCAAGCCAGCGGACAGAACTCAACAACTCGAACGGCTGAAATCGATGAATGGAGGGAGCCATTCTGTGTTTTCTGGAGTTTGCTTGAAGTACAAAAATAAGGTTCAATCCCTTCTCTTTCTGTTTCTTGAGAACTCATTTTAGACGCGCTCATTTTCCGTCGAATCAAAAGTCAACTTCGGAGACAACAAGGAGGAACTATTGGAATGGTACGTCAGCACTGGAGACGGAATGGACAAAGCAGGAGGATACGGACTTCAATCAGCTGGAGCAGTGCTTGTCAAGAGCATCGAAGGCTGTTATTATAATGTTATGGGACTGCCGCTGCATCAGCTCTTGCGAGAAATTGACCTCCTGCTCGAATAGAAAAAAATAGTGTTTGAAAGCTGAATTGACGACTTATGACATTTGGATTATCACATGGGAAAATGTTCTTTATGACGAATAATAAAAATTGGAGTCTTATATGTTGAGTCAAAAATTGTTCGTCGGTTTATTCGTAAAATAAAGTTGTAAAATGAAGAAATATCGTGGCATTTCGGTAGATTTGTTTGTCTTTGTAGTTCTTCTGTTTTCAGAAGCCAACCGGGATACTCTGGCCAACACAAGTAGTGTAGTCGCATGTGGGAGCGATGTCGAACTCGGCGACCTGGTTTGGTCCCATTGGAATGGTCACTGGAATGGCGAAATTGACGCAGTCGTAGATGTCGTTCCAGGTGACGGTATCAGGCAGGCCGTTGGGGTAGTTGAGTTGGAGGATGTACGCGTCTTTTTTCAGGTTTCCAGTGATGTCTGGCTGGGTCTTGTGAACGCTAGAATTGAGAATAAAGATCGACGAATGGGCGGAGTTGGTTTTACTTGAATCCCATGGTGATGGATCGATGATCTTTCTGATCCTTAGGGTAGTCCTGGTAGTAAGTCGCGTTGAAAGCTCTGTAATTCGGCATGGGATGGTCGGTTTTGGGATCTCTCATGTCCATAATTTCGAAGCTGAAGGCGTACTCGGGATCATCTCCTCGGAACATGTTGAGAACGGTCTGCTTGCAGGTTTTTCGGGAAAAGATCAAATATCCCTGATAGTCGTTGAGGGCGGCAGCGCGGCTGGAGGAAATGACGAAAGATGAAGCAGTGTTTGTCTGAATGATCCGCTAAGTGGAATTTTTTACCATCATTCTCTTACTCTGAAATAAGGCTTCATCATCTGCCATTTCCAAAGCGCCTTCTCCGTCAGCAAGTTTGGCGCAACTCGGTCACAAGCGCAAGGATCATCGACTGAAATACATTAAAGCTAAAAAAGCTCAAGATAAAATTTCAAATAAAAAAAATATATCATTCCACACACTATCTCTTGATCTCTCGTTTTTCAAAAGAGATAAAGAAATTCAAAAATTCGGTTTCATTGTAATTTTGATTTAGCAAAAGTCAAGCGTTCTCAAAAAACGCAAAAGTCTCGCTATGAAAAAAGAAATGGAGAAAAGTCGATTTTATGGAGAGAATAATTCAATAACATTTGGTTTATTCAAAACAAATTTAGAATTCAGAGTGCGGTTTTCAGAGCGGAAGGTTCTTAGAGATGAGTTTCGCCGGAATCTTTTCGTTTGTCGCCACAGCTAGAATTTTTCTTCAAAGAAAAATTGAAGGCAGTTTTCTTAATTTCATCATTTTGGTGCTCATGATGTAAGAAAGAAATCCGGAAAGGGAAAACATCACTGCCGCTGCAACCAAGAAGGAATACATTTCATTTTCATCATCCTTGATTTTTTGAGGTTCTTTGACGAGAGGAGTACAGATACTTGGCACGGTTGAGAGGGCATAAATGGCGACTTGGAGCGGCTTGTGAATTACCCACCATCTTCGCTTCGCGCTTGGCAGGTTCTCAAAAGGAAACCAGAAACCAGTTTGGCTAGAATGGAAAGTTGAAAACTACGGAGCTCTCGAAAGTTCGAGGGTCAATATTGACTCTTATTGATAAAGATTTTGTTTCTGAGAAGCTCAAATTTGATCAATTATCGCCGAAGTATTTGTTCCGCGGAACGAAGAATTAAAATCAATTTACGAAAACTCACGAAAATGCTAGAACAGCTCCAGTTTCTCTCCAGCTCCAGTCTCTTTTCTCCTTGTCCGCATTCAGATAGTTCGCCAAAATAAGCGAGAATCCAACAATGTTGAAGATCGTCACGAAAATTGACTTGATGAATAGATTACGCCTAAAGCATTAGCTTGAAATAATTCCGAAAAAAACTGTACAAACCGGCAGTTTCCTTCACCCATCTCTAATTTCAGTTTGAAAGATCGATTTATGACCAGCCACTGAGTTTAAATAGCTCTGCTCCACAGTGCCCCGGAACTTGATCAACGTCATTAGTAAAAACTATGGTTACCAAGAGGGGGAACAATAAAGTTCACATCTAACAGTTAAATCAATTCTCATGAATAAGTGAATAATTTGCTGACAAAAAAGACGAGTTTTGTTTAACCGTTTTTTTATGATTTTTATTTGTAGCAAGAAGGCAAATCATAAATAAAAAATAAATAGAAGAAGAAAAGAAAGATAGAAAGTGAAAGGTAGAAGGGGATAAATGAGAAGAACTTCTTTGACTTCCGTCGTCATCTCCTTCCAAGCTCGCTGACCCTCCCCAGGCTCAGCTCGCTCGGATTTTGAGATTTGACAGAGATCATGAAGGCATGCATCGCTTGTTTTAGTTGAAAAGAAGCTGCATATCAACGACAGTCTTGGCAACAGGATCGCATCGTTTGTTGGTGTCGCTGCAAGCGGCTGTGAACAGGTTGACGATGCTAGCACTGTCGTAGTTGACGGCGTCGAATCGCGGCACGAGCTCGTTCTGGCAGATGTCGCAGTCAGAGTTGTCGACCCAGGTGTGGCTGTTGAAGTCGAATGCGTTTGTTGCTACGCTTGGGTCGCCGATGAGTCTGGCACTTTCTTCGAAGGTCTTGGGGAAGCATTCTTTCTGGCCGCCGACTGTACCGTCGCAAATGCCATCAGCGCCAGTGTTATACCAGTCAGCGTCTGATTTGGCGTAATTCCAGTGTCCAGGATGGGGCTGGTCCTGGATGTCTTGCTTATTAATCGCGGCTCCATAGCCTCGCGTATATGTAAAGAAATCGTTGCAAGCAAAGTGTCGGATCTTCGACGGAGTCGCGCTTGGTGAGTGGTAAGTGATACCACCGGCTGCTTCTTGGAGACCAGTGACGTCAGCTAGAGTGTCGCCGGCTCTGTTGGGATTGCAAGTGCTCCCGCAAGCGCCACCACCGTCGTTCGGCGCTGCGGCAGAGAAGGCTGATTGTGACATGATTCCTGCCTTAAAAATCGATTAACACATAATAAGAAAAGGAACAATTTTACCTTTGTGGCATTTTCGATGTACTCGTGGGTGAGAGCGTCGACTTTGACGCCTTGCTGGTAACCCTCTTGGCAAGCAAAGTCGTAGCCGAATGGAATATGTGGCCGCTGGTTTAAGTCACCACCATTTGCAGGCTGCTTGTAGGGCAGGAAGTTGCATGGAGCGTTGCCTTCGGCACTGTAGTTGGTTTCGGTATCCAACCCGGCGACGCAGCAGGCTCGACAGACGGAGACGCCGAATGGAAGGAGATCGTTCCATCCAGCTGTTTGGCCTCGGTCGACCTTACGAAGACACTGGGCCTGGTACCAGCTTCCGTAGAAGAACATGTTGTCTTCCTTGTCTCCGCCAACGTTACCGTCAAAGGTATTGTCCAATTGGTCCTTGTGGTTCTGGACTTGCATGGCCATGCATCCACCGACACCGTAGCCGAGAACCGTACTGCTTCGTGCGCTTCCAAGGCTTCCCTGGTTGTTCGTGAAAGTTCGCTTTCGGAAAGCTTCCCTGTTGTTGTTGTAGGATTGCTGCGATCCAAGTCGAGTTCGCTTGATTTGAGGATGGTTCATCATCTGAGCGCAGCCGGCGCGGATTCCAATGACCTGTCCGAAGTGAGCTCGCTCTTCGAGGAAGCAGTACATCTCTTCACCCTCGCACTCGATTCGGTTGTAGTGGTTGAAGAAGCCGGTCTTGGAGACGTCCCATCGATGGATGACGATGTTGTCTTTGGTAGCGTGGCAATATCGACCATTGCCGGACCGAAGACCTTTGTTGTTGCCAGTATCGGTGTTGCCAACGACGTTTCCGTACTTTCCATCGTAGCTCGCTTGCGGAGCTCTAGAAATTCAATGTTAAAAATTTTAAGCTTCTCTCTTGCGACTTACCCGTAGTTGTTAAACAGACTGTAGTCGTAGAAGCCCTGGCTCGTCGCCGAAGCGACAACCGTAGCAAAAAGCTTCATTTTCCCCAACTACGAGATTTTTTGCCAGAAACCGGGGTTTTGAACGGAAATGTTTAGCGCGCTGGTAGAAGAAGGATGTTTCCGGCGAAATTTGCTGATAAATGTTTTTTAAACATGTGGTTGCTGCCCCCACGTTTCCTGCTGATTAAAATGTTTATCACGTGACAACAAAAATCTGTGATTAAAAATTTCTATAACTTCGTGTACTGGAAAAAACGAAAGCAAGGTCTCACTCAGTCAAAGGTCATAATTTCAGCGAGCCAAACGAATTTTTTTTTACCGAGTAAACTTAGACTAGTCCCGGCTAGGGGCCGTTGGTCCGGAATTTTTCTTCGATTCTTTATTTTTGGCATCTATTTTTATTTTTTTTTACAAAATGAACATTAGTTATTTCTTTTTTTTTGCATTTTTCCTAGCTTCAAAATCATGTTTTAGGCAAAAAAAAATCGCAGAAAATGGCCAAAAATAACCAAAAATCGAAAAAAAAATTCCTAAAAATAACCAAAGACGCGATTTCAACTTCACTTTGACGATAATTTTCGAAAATTTTCCGTGGAATTTCTTTTCCCCAGCCGAAGAATAAGGCCGTATCACCTAGAAGATGTGACTTTTAAAAAACGGAGAGCAAGTCTCCAGCTGTCAGAAAACTCCAAGCGATGACCTATCTCCTCATCTACGAGCATCCTTTCGTTTTATCTTCAGAAAAGCTTTTTCTCTTCCAGAGATCACTCGCTATGGCGATTGAAGAAGAAAACGAGAATATCGAAAATGCGATTGTCAAAACTAAAATTCAGGTATTTTCATTCTCACCTAAAATTTAACTTTATTTTACATTAGTGTCTTGATTGCGACTGCATCGGAATTTTGAGACAAAAAGGGACGAAAGTGTATTTGATGCCCGTGGAAGTTTTGAATACTCGGAGCATTCATACCCAGGAAAACGATGTTAGAAAATCGAAAAAGAAAAAAATATGGAAGAAAAAGTGACGGCGAAAATGGGCTTGGCGAAACACGGGAACACGACCTATTCGCAAAAGTGGAGCTATCTGACTCTTGACTGTTTTCTGGCTCACTGTTATGCTCATAGGTATCTCTCCAGTAATTTAAATATAATATTAATATGAATTTTAATAATATAGCAAACTTCGCCTCCTTGGAGAAATCGCGCGGTGCAACGACATTTCTGACGTCGAGCTGTCACCGAAACTACAAGAAATGCGTTAGAATTTCGACGATGGACTTTTGCGGACATTTAATGAAGCAATGCCGCGAGACCAAGAAGTTTATCCTTCCTGAGCCGGTTTCGAAAGTCGAGCATGTCAAAGCGCCACTGCTTGTTTTTTCCGAAGAAGAAAACGATGTGAATCTCCGCCGCTGTCAGAAGAAACGCTTTTACGACCAAAGAGTCTGCCGCCATCTCTGCTCGAACACGCTCGTTTTGAAATCAACGAGGACCAATCCAATCACGCCCTGCGAGTCAATCTGTTTTGGGCTGACAAGAAGCTTCGATTCCGCCGGAGAAGTTTGCCCATTTCAGAAGTACTGTTCCGAAGGTTGTCCTTGTCCTCATTACCAGTGTGAGAAGTTGGAGTCGCCTCAAAAACTTGTTCCAGTTTTTGATCTGCAAAAATCTGAAACCAGTTCAATGCCAATCGAGTCAACTTCAATTCAGTCGTCTTCAACTGAGTCCACTTCGACGACGGGGTCAACAATGTCGTCCTCAACGCAGTCAACAACTTCGGCGGCAACATCTCCAATGACAACCTCAATACAGTCAACGTTGTTTTTGGACAGTTCAACCGCCCAATTAAATGGCAGTACTGAACTGATAACCGGTTATGAGTATGAAGAACCAAATTATGCCATTTTTTTGGCAGATTTCAATGGTCAGAATGAACCAAGAAAGATCAGTGTCTTTGATTTTTTGGACTCTTATGAACGGTTTTGATGATTCGATGATGATTCAAATTAGGTTGAAATATGTTTCCAACTAAAATATTTCAAAACTTAAAAGTCAATTGGTGCTACCTTTCTCAACGGTGAGCATTACTTGGTCGATGCCTTTGGTAACTTGATGAAAATGAAAGAAAATGGCGATGCTCCGATTTTAGTTCCGAATCGACGCAAAGATTTGTACGCATATTATTTATATATTCTTTGAAGATCAAAGTTTGGATCGCGACAAGAGCCAAGGCTTTTGTTTGGCATAAGATTGTGTCGCCAAGGCGCTAATAATTTTTCGTTTTCAAGAGGCCGTTTCGTTTTCCACTTTGAATCGTCGATTGGAACTCACCACATTGAGATTCGCCTGAAAGACAGAGATCGAAAGATCTTCCCCGTCCTTGTTATTTGAAAACGGTCGAAAATCAGATGAACACTTAAAAGATCATTATAAATTTTTGACCAATAAAAGCTCGCCGAATGACCGTCCAGACAAATGTTACTACTACGCGCCGGAATATAACCTTAACAGATTCGAGGAAGCCCAAGGTGAGAATCAGCCCTTTACTTTTCCTTGTTCCTTGACATTTTAGGCTACATCGCGAGCAACCACGTGAACGCTCGAACATCTTCAATTAGCTTCGGCGGCACATTTATTTTGATGAGCTTGAGACTCGGCAGAAACTGGATCACCCTTTCGAAAACAGTCGCTCTTAACTCAATCCGAGCAACGGAGCAGTTGGAGAAGGGCTGGAGAAAAGACGAGTTCACGGTTCCAGCTATGTTTCGCGACTTTGATCCAGTGCACGTGATTCCTCTGGAACGGATTCAAAAGATATTTTTTCCTTGCTCTTCCTGCTTTTTCTGTGAATCCTTAAAGATCGATCTTGGTCAATTGATGCTGATCCTCGTCACTAGAAGCATTGCCCTCTCAAACACGCAATACTCACTTTTACTCGAAAAAGAAGGGAAATTCCTGACGCTCGGCAATGAATGGATCGGCTCCTTGGTCAAGTACGAGCGAGAATCGCGTTGTTTCTCTGGTTTGTACGCTCCGAAAGATTACGCCTATTCAAATGCATTCGGAACCAACAACGACGAGTGTGAGTATTTTATCAATGGGTTTATAAACAACGATCGTATTTACCTCCAGAATATTGTTTTTGACACGACCTTTGAAATATTTTTCGACTTCGGAGAGGATCTTCACTAGAGTTATATTTGTCAGACAACAAATATGGTTCATAGCTCGCAAACCGAGTCTCGTATAGTTCTGGATAAAAGTCAATCCTCTGAAAAGATCACATCGAGCTTGATTTCCGGCAACAAAGTGCTGAAAACAAAATGCTTGTGACTAGCAACCCGTATTTCGAATTTCACAAAGATGTCTTTCCGAACTTCGCCAAAAACGCTGTCGAAAGACAAATCCTTTTTCCGCAATCAGGCGACGCTCTTGATCAATTTCTTAATAACATGTCGTTACTAATGGCGATAAACTGAGCCCGAACAGCGAGCAGTTTGTCTCCACCATATCCATTGACGATTCTGCCCGATTTTCCTTTTTCGTCTTTCGATGAGTCTCTATTCCATATTTCTTCATTCGAACTGGACTTAAATGAAACGCAAAAACTTACTTTGGACATTAAGCAAAGAGTCTATCTTTTAGAATCATTTTTATTTAAATGGTATTGTTGACTCCGCAAAGACCAAATCTTCCCTCACAAAAGCAGCGAAAATCCTGGAATTTCGATCGTACAATGAAGAATTGATCTTTGCAGTTGAAACCTTTGAAAACAACTTCATTGCCATCTCTTCTGACTTTTTCGGGGAATCGATCGCTTTGGACGATCCGTTAAGCACGGATTGGAGATCTCTTGAACTCATGTTTAAAGTCGAGGACGACTCACTTGTTTCCCTCGTTGTGAGGAAAAGGGGCCAGGAAATAGCAAGAAGGCAAATGAACGAGCTTCAAACTATGGGAGAAAAGAGAGTCAGACTTTTTAAATTCGACGACGAAACCGAAATCAAGAATGTTTTTTTCTATCAAAATCGACCAAGTCAGATTCTCGTTATCTTACCTGAACCAGAATTACCACGCCATTATGCTCTGTTTGGAGATGGCTTTAAAAACGAAAATACAAACTTGATTGTTCCAACGATTCTTCAGAATAAAATCTACGAATCTAAAGCTGCTCATGTGAAAGGCCAGTTGCATTTTTTCGGCGGCCGTCAGAGACAAAAACAAGTAGACTGCTCTTTGAAACTCCTTATTGACTATATTTTAGATTACTATTCTTGTCGAATGCGAATTAAGGCTTCTCCCGATTCGGCTTCGGAATGAATATTATGCTGGAAGCAGGACGCTCACAATTTCAAACGGAACTGAAGGTTCGTCGCAAGAATATATATTTATTTTTTACACTTTTCAGCTCTTGTTTGTTTTGATGAGAAAACAGACAAGAAATGCGAGATTTTTAACGGCACTGCTGTTGAAAAACTCGCATTCGAACCAAGAGAAGGGCACTGGGACGGTGGACTTGCTCATTTTAAAGGACGGCCAACAGCAGTCGGCGGTCAGATGTATCCTTATTCGAACAGAGGATACACGGAAACCTTGACTGAAAATGGCTGGGAAAAACTGCCGCGTCATCCCAGGTTATTTTATTTTGCAAATTTTTTATTCAGCATGATTTAAGAGATATAAGGATTGTTACTGTTGCTGGATTGCCGTCGGGATCAATTGCTACGTTGGGAGGTTGGGATGGGGATTCAGAAGTTCTCAAGGAGATTTTCGTTTTGAATGAATTTGGATGGACAATAATGGGAAATTTGCTTCAAGTAAGTTCATTTCGGGGTATTTTGAAAATTTGATAATATTTATTATTAAAAAATATATCTATATTTTTCAGCCTTCTTACTCTGGATCATCGATTCAAGTCGGCGACGCTATATATTTATTCCCTGGAGAAAGCGACGAAACAACTCGAATGATACAACGCGTAAATCTAGGAAAGGTTGACCAGTTTTTCAAGAAACTTCTTTCGGAAAGCTTTCGATAATTCGAAGGAAAAAATGGTGAACTGATTTTAAAGACGGAGACAATATTGCTGCAATCGAGGTTGTCGGAGAACATGATAAATATTATTCTTACCCGATTCTATTCTTGTCACCGTCGAATTTCTGTACTGCAAAACATGATCAACGTCCTTATCAGTAAAACTTTCTTTGTGCGTAATAATTTTTCAAATTGTTTATTCCAAAAAATCACTTTTTATTTATTACAATAATCGACAAGAATAATCAGAACAAAAATTTATTTTCTCGTATATTTTTCGAGGTTCGTAAAATCGCCCCCCTCAAATATATCAAATTCTTCAACAAGTTTTGAAATCGCAAAAGGATGATGCCCGGGCAGGATACCCGTCTCGCAAGTTGCCTGGTCTCTTCCGATTGTAAAAGTGGACGATTCTCCTTGCTCATCGATCTTGTTCGACCGGTCGATGAATCCCTTAAAATAGACAGATTTTTTCGGATTTGGATGGCTCTTCTTGATCAAGTGAACTCCGGGGCGAGAGAGAAAAGACCAAAGACGGCCGTCTTCGGAATTCTCGGCGGGATAGAAATCGGGGAAGGTCATTGCTCCAAGCCCTTGAAAAACAGATAAGCTAAAAAAAATGGAGCCACTGATTGTACAGTACCTTTACTGGCGCCACCAAGCTTAACATTAAATGGGCAGTAAACAAACAGCGTAAAGTTAGCGTTTTCCCAATATTCCCTGCTTTCATATTCTGGATGGGCATCGTAATCAATATTTCCATTATCCGTCCAGTTCTTTGAAGCGAGCAAAGAGATGCCTCTAGCCTTCATTTTGATGTACCCATTTTCGATTTCTCGCACTTGGTTGAATTTGTTGCCCGACCAGACGGGCATGCCGGCGATTTCGCTCGGAATCAGGGCGGTATAATTTGCATTCTTGTAAATAGTCTTTTTTCCGAAGACTATTCATTTATTCTTATAAGATTAATCTCGACGCGAGATTAGTCTGTTTGAATAAAAAAGATTAATTCGGGAAATTTTCGAAATAGTTCCGAGATTATTTCAAATAATCTTGAAACGCGCGCTGTGATTGGTGGACCAATGGCCGACGGCGCGAGAGAAAAATGAAACTCAAACATGCTTGGAGCGCAGCTTGAAATTTTGTCCGCGCCGCCTCGCACTGCTCACAGCTCGCCAGCGCCACCAAAATTTTTTCCCCGAGCCACGCGACCCTCGCTAAAAAGATTAATCTCGAAACTAGTCCAGTCTTGACTAATCTCAGAATCTTTTTCCAAAGAAGATTAATCTCGCAAATTTTCGAGATTATTTACAAGAATGCAAATTATACCGCCCTGCTCGGAATACATCTTAATTATAGAAAAAAGAGTGAAATCGAAAAATAGAAAAGTTCTTTTACCGTGTCGGTCTGGCAAGAACCCAATCGCAGCGATTAACAGCACAAACACATTTCGCTCCAACAAACGGCTTTCCTATCGAGTTTCTATATCCCTTTTTACATGCCATTCTTAACTGGTCGCCTTCGTCGTGATAGACCTCTCCATTGAAAGACGGATGCCAATATTGATGAGTAGAATTCCCCCGGCCTCTATTCACCCGATTTATGTACATTCCTGGCCAGATAAAGTCGCCTTCAAGGTTCTCGTCATAAGTCTGATTACCAGTGCACCGCGCTGGCATTGGCGGCGCTGTCGGCGCTGGTGCAGGCGGAACAGTGACTTTGAGCGCTTCAATGAGCTCGTCGAATCCACTGTCGGATGACTTAATTATTTGAGAGCCAGTAGCACCACCGTACGCTTCTAATTTGGACTCAATAATTGCAATTTTGCTTGCAATTGGATCAATTTTGTCATTTTCGGTTCTCACGATAGCCTGGACGACGATCATGTAGGTGACAGATCGCATGAATTCATTCTCAGTTGCCAATATAAATCGGCCGTAGTTTTCAAGGCTCAATCCCGATGCAGCCTGAACTTCCTTCATATTAAGAATTTCTAGCTCTTCTTCAATATCGAATCGATCTAAAAATCCGGCCCAAGACGACGGATTCTCCAAGTCGACATAATCAGGAAGATCGTTTTCCTGACTGATGAAATCAAGAGTTGCCGTTTTAGGAAGGGGACATTCATTGATAGGAATGCATTCGCCACCGTTGCCGTCGACAACTGTTTTGCCCGAGCGGTAGATGTAGCCGAGAGCACACTGGCAGCCTGGTTTGCACTTGTCATCTTCGATGCAAATCTTACTCTCGAAATTATTGAAAGCCGTTGTGTGGCAATCGTGAAAGCAGGTGTCCTTGCAAGTCTTGAAAACCTCTGTTTCTTTGCAATGGAAACATTCTTCTATCGGAATACACGCAGATTCCTTCTTTCTGGTTTCTTTGACGTATCCATCATCACAGACGCACATTTCCAATGTCCTCGAATGACAAGGCAAGTCCAATTCGAGTTCGTATGGATGCTTACAGCTCTTGAAACAGCCTGGGGCTTCCCAGCTCCATGAAGAGTTCTCGCCGCATTCTGGCTCGACTCGAATACATTCTTTTTCTTCAATGCACTCTGCGAACGGGTTTCGATCTTTTTTAAGATATCCAGATCGACAGACGCAGCCAGGAATCATCAGTTGATCAGAAATCTGCTCGAAATTTGAGATCAATTGAGTAGCTTGAGCAACGCATTTGGATCCATCTGGATCATCACATGTCGGAACACAGTAATCCATCTTGTCAATGAATCGGGCGTGGCGAGGACAGCCGCCCATGCAACTGGAAAGCGGGACGCATCGTGAAAATGGGTCATCGTTTTCCCTATAAAAACCGTCTTTACAGACGCACTGGAGGTCTTTATCTGCACAGTCCTGAGAAATTCTTGCTCCTCCGGAAAATTCATTCCATGTGTTTATTTGCTCGTCTAAAATCTCAGTGTATGTATCGTTGCACGTGGGTCCAACGTCATCTGGACAACCAACCTCTTCGAATTCTGGATGACAAGCGAGAGTTTCAATCAGACATTCCCGATTGTAGCATGGCAACTCAAAATCATTTTCTTCAATGATTTCTTCGAAGTCCCGATCCCAGTCCATTGCAAAGTCGTAGCCGCTTATTCCGGCCTCTTCAGCGGCAGAAAAGAAGCTGAACATCAAAGATCTTATTGTTGGAGCCACAATATGAAGCTGCGCGATGTATATTTCTTTCACAATAAAATTATGCTTTTCATCGAAATAGGAGATTTCCTTTTGGCGTATTTCGATGACCCCGATGTGAGAAAAATGCTCATCATTTCTTAACCTGAACATCAGATCTCGCCAAGTATAGGGATTTTCAAAGTCAAAGCTCGGTGCTGTTTTTTCAAAAATATAGACAAGATCCGCTTTCTCCCAAGTTGTGTACACGTCAAAGCAATCCTGTCGCGGAACACAAGGACTCTGTAAATCTGCATTCAATCGGACAAAGTTTTCTTCGCAGACACAACCTCCAGAACACCATTCGCTATTCTGCATTCGTAATTCACCAAGTCTGACAGATTCGCAAGTCTCAAAACCATCGTTGTAGCATTTCGTTGGAATTTCGTTTTCTTTACATTCGGCAACATTGAAATCGTGACAAGTTTCTGATCTGACACATTCGGCATTGGCTGATTCTGAACTTCGGACAAAACCTTCGAGACAATTGCAACCAGGAACACAGGCGTTTTCGCAAAGCGGCACGTCATCTTGGCAAAGAGGGTGACAGCTCTCTGAGCACAATGAATACTCTTCGTTTACACCACAATAGCAAGGATCTTCTGGAACACCGCCTCCGAACATTCCGCTAGGATTTCCTCCGGGACAATGGCATTCGTAAGATCCATCAGTATTAAAGCAGAAGGCCCAATTGTCATAATCGCAAATTGTGTTTTCCGGAGCAGCGCATTCATCGACATCAACGCAAACCCATCCAGCTTCCGGCGAGCTGACATCATCAGTGTAGCCAGTATTACATTGGCAAGAAAACGATCCGATCGAGTCTTCGCAGCTCGCATTACTTGAGCAACTATGGGAGTTTTCGGAACACTCATCAATGTTGACGCACTGGCCGACAGTTCCATTTCCTCTGAATCCAATATTGCAAGTGCAGCTCCATAGGGGAATCAAGTCTGTACAGATAGCGTTGACATCACATTGATGGATGGAAACACCAAGTTCGCACTCATTGATATTTAAACAGTTGTAATTGTCTGCAGACATTTCGAAACCAAGATTACACTCGCAAGTGTAGCTGCCAAAAGTGTTGACACAAGCAGCGTTCTCACTACAATTAAATGCATTCGTTCTGGCCATGCTACACTCATCAAAATCTACACAGTCAGTTCCCCTTGCCGCATTGGCATTATCTGGATTGTCGACAAAGCCAACATTCACAAGAATAACTTCCAGCGTTGTCGGAACAGGTTGCGTCTATGTGACAGTCATCCAAAGATCGAGCGCATTCGTCGATGTTGATACAGTCATCTCCTGCTATGTTGAATTCGTATCCAATATTACAAAAACATTCGTAGGCTCCAAACGTGTTGCTGCATGAAGCATGTGTTGGACAATCAAAGTCATTGATGGCACACTCGTCGGTGTCATTGCAAATCAATCCATCTCCGTTGACGTCGTTGAATCCATCCCAGCATTCACAGTCGTATGATCCGGGATTGTCAGTACAGTCCGCCTGTTTGCTGCAAGGAGCGTCGACCACACACTCATTGATATTTGCACAATCAGTAACGCCATCACCTTCATAGCCTTCTTTACAAGAGCACGAAAAACTTCCCGGGGTGTTCGTACAGATCGCATCAGCATGACAATTATGCGGAAGATCAAGTGAGGTGCACTCGTTAATATCCTCGCAATTCAAGCCGTCAATCGTGATCCATCCAAGATTACACTCACATGTGTAACTACCTATTGTATTGGAGCACACAGAATTCACGTCACATTCATCTGTTTCGAGAGTACATTCATCAATATCGATGCATTGTTGCTATGAAAAGGAATCGACCGCAAATGAATATATTTCTATTTGATATTAGATATTAAATAGATAATTTTGTGTTTGATCCCTTTCCTCGGAATCTCTGCACTCACAATTATATACACTAAACTCATAACTCTCACGCACACATCGTTCGTTGTTCGGACAATCGAGATCAGAGCAGCCATAAAAAAAATTATTATTCATGCATTGAACGGTGTATTCCGCCCCGAACGCGAATGTGTAGTCGGTGAAGATTCCAGGGCTCGGATGTTTAATTGCCCACAAGTCATCGAAACAGAGATCGTCGGTCGGCCCGGACCAGGCTATCAAATTGAGACAGTTATTAAAATCATATGCTTCATCGAGATCGCATACATACCAGCCTTCATCTGGCGTCCATCTTATGAACAAATCTATATCGTGGCAAGTGTAGACGTCTTTTCCATTAAACGTATCGCCACCGTAAACCAGACACGTAAAACTTTCGGCTAAATCGGTTAATCTTATAGTTTGACAGCAGCCGAGATTTGTCCGATCGCAATTAACAAAATTGAATTTATTGTCCCAATTCCAATAATTATATTCGTCTTCTCCGTTGTAACAGTCCTTGAAGCCATCGCAGAGTTGGTGTTTGAATATTGGCCGAATAACTCCCAAAGCGTCAGGCTCCTGACACTTGGTTGTTGGCGGAAATGCTTCGATAGCATTCTCGCCGATGCAGTAGTGACCATAGATCTGCTGGGCATCGGTCGTAGTAAGGTGAGGATGCGGAGAGTAGCTCTTCCCGTTTTTAAGGATAAACCCGTCAGGCATAAGAACGGATGATGGCTCGAGATGATGATTTGTGTCGATCCAACCCCACTCATCGCTGTTTGCGGGCCAAAGCAGCTCCGGAAAAGGACCTTGAATCGGGTCTTGCTCGAAATATTTGAAGAAATCAGGTCTATAATGCTCAGATGACATTCCAAGAGCCACAGCGAACACACGTTGAACACCTCCAGTCAAGATACAATTGTTTGTCAATCGCATTGCTTGATAGCCTGGCTGAAGATCCAACATTCCACTAAAGCATAATTCGTCGATATAATCACAGAAACCTTCGTAGGACCAGCATTCCTCTTTTCCTTCGGGATTGACCGAATTCTCACCAACGATGTGAATGCCATAGTCATAATTAAAATTAGGAGCAAATTGTTCTTTAAATTTGAGGCAGGGCACAGCAACAGAAATAAGGCGAATCTCATCACGAATTTTGGAATGGAATTCAAGAGAAACGCTGTCATGAAAGGCATATGGGATAATGATATATCCCTCCTCTGACCGCCACCATTTTTTGGGATGCCGGTCAAATTCTCCTCTGGAGGCGAAGATCTCGTCTTGCTTTGAAAAGGGACTTTCGTGAGCGGACTGACGTTTGGTATTCGACATCGTATCCAAGGGAGGAGCGGGTTTTCCAACCAATTTTTCGGAACGGCTCTTAAATAATCGCTTACTAAAACAACGACTGTGGAGCTAGGGGGGCAAACTAGAAACAACATTTTCTTGATTTGTTTTTGATTGACCGGTTCAACTGGTCGTAAGTTGTCACCTGGAGCACAGGTACCAAGATTGAAAATTTTTCGTTATCTGGGGCCAGGTCTCAAGATAGGCTTTGATTTCTAATCTCCGCATAAAAAATACCGAAATTGGGATTTTTTCGAGTCTTTGTACGTGGTCCCCAGGAGACAACAACGGCTTGACCAAGATGTTTCTAACTGATAGTCACAACCAAAGCGGCCGGTAAGTTATCGCATCGTATCAAAACATTCGGAGATCGACAATGCGCACTTACATGGCTTTAGATAGCTTACGAGTTTTTCAGTTAAAGAAATCCGAAAAGTCTAAAGATTGAACTGCTTGATTCAAAAATTGACTCTTTGGTCATCGCTGAAACTAACATGATCTCATCATTCAGTGACCAAATTTCCGAAATCCTAGTTAATTATTTGTCTTTAACTCTCTCAAAAATCATTTTTACTAAGCAATCTCGCAGTTAAAATTTGTTCAAAAGAGTTGCGCTTGGTCGTGTTCTCCAAGGCTGTGCGATTAAATAAAAAATTAATTTTGTAGAAACTACTCAAAAATATTCAAAATCTAAATCGTAAACGAGCGCTATATTCTCGGGTCTTACCTCTTCTCTTTCTGTTTCTACATTAGCGTAAACATAACCCGGTTCGCATTGACACGAGTATGTCCCTTCTTCGTCCACGCATGTGCTTCCACAGTGGCAGTCATGGGTACCTTCAGCGCATTCATCAATATTGACGCAGGAAAACACTCCCTGCGCAGTCACTTGGAGTTTCCATCCCAAGTCACAAATACAGAAATCTCTATAAAACTCATCGTGGTTATGGATTACGAACCAATAAACGTAACAGGAGGAATGAGGATGACAAACAGTCGATATGCACACATCAGCAGGACCCTCATTGTCTCTCTTTGTTCCCGGCGGATTCGCTTGGCAGAGCTCAAGGAGCAAAAGCAACAGCATGATTTCTACAAGCTTTCAATAAACGAAATGTCGAGGTTGCTGTCCAGTGAGTTCCACTGATAGTCACAATCAAAGCGGCCGCTAAGTTATCGCATCGTATCAAAACATTCGGAGATCGAAAATGCGCACTTACTTGGCTTTAGATTGCTTTCGAATTTTCCAGATCCGAAAAGATAAACTTTTGATTCAAAGTTTGACTTAAAAAGCTGGTCTTTGGAAATCAGATTCACTAGCATCATTTTCCATTTCAATGTGAAAAGACGATTATTATTATTTATGATTATCAAAAGACAAATGTCTCCGATATGCCCAACAGTCAAATATTTACAGCTGAGAAGAAGATACGTCTCCAAAAGCAAATATAAATCGCAATCAAAGACAGAAAATGTCAGAAAATCATCGAAAAGAGACTATTTTTCGAAAACCTTCAAGAAAGGATTGCTTTCTTGTCCTCGAGGGAGAGCTTTTTTTATTGATTTGATCATTTGAAAATCCCATGGCGAGCATTGAAAGATGATTTTTACGAGATTCAGAGCGCGTGGCGAGTCTTTTTTTCTTTGCCGTATTTTAAACGAGCTAATATTTGACGATCCGGCGGAGGACGCTTGTTTTTATGCCTCTGCTGAATCATTTTTTCCGTATTTTGAAAGAGTAGTAACAAGTGTTAATTTTGTAAAGGCAGAATTTAAAAATGAGTGATTACAAAATATTGATCCTTCCATGATTGAGCTGGTAGAGCGGGTGATGATTAAGAAAGTAGCGTCTAAGGGAGTGACTGTATGTCTTGCAGATGTATTCAGTGCGTTTTCAAAGCAGTCAGGCGCGTCACTTTTAGTTTCACAGCTACTTGAAGTTGAGCTTTTTTTATTTGAGAAGTTTAAAAAGAGAAAGAAAACTTGCTTTTTATATTGACAAATATTTATTTTTTATTATAATTTTTTGTCAAGAATAAAAACAAAAGAGACTCAAGTTCAAAATCTTTAACAATCAAGTTGGAGCCAAATTTTTTCCAGAAAGAATGAAATTTCAGCAGAAAAACTCGCCCCAGTCTGATTCAGACTTGGCTAGCGGGGGCTCTAAGGGCGTCACGTCGTCGCGGTTGAGTTGAGTTGCGCGTTTGGGATCAAAGAGGAAAACGTGAGGCAGTTGCCCCGTCCGGGCGCGTTGTTCATTTTTGTCAGAGCCCGTCGCTCTCTTTGGCCAGGATCAAGATCTGAGTCACTCGAGTTTCTTTCGCATTTCGCAGAGAAAATAACACAAAATATGGCCCCCTCGAGTGAATAAGCTGTCCCGTCTTTCAGTCAGAAAAACCGCAGAAACGAGAAAAGAGAAAATCGAGAGAAACAGCACCTACGACCCGGCGTTTTATGACGATTATTATCGGGTTTAAAAGGGCGTTTTGTTTTTTCACCATTAGAGAGAAAAAAATTACTAAAAATTATTGATAGTCTCTCAAAGATAGCAATAATTTCTTTGTGAAAAGGAGCCCTTTTAACGGGCAAATATCTAGGGAAGATCCCATTTTAACGGATTAAACACTCCTTAGGAATGCCCTTATTTAAACGGATTTTTAATCAAATACTTTTTAAGCAACATTAATTCGGAAAATCCGATAAAAAGAGGACCCTTTTGAAATAAATTCAAATGTCCTAAAGGAGGTACTTGTCAAGTAAAACGACGACCCTATTCTATCAGTTCTTTGAGCAGTATATTTCTGTTAAAAATTTCAACATGATGTTTTTGTCCAACTACTTTCACAAACCTCTTATCTTTTCAGAGTGTAAGTTATATAAAAATGTCGTGGTCCGGATACGTCGACAGTCTCAAAGCAAACTACGCCGGTAACGTCGCCGCCGCTGGCCTTTTCGGCTTCAATGGATCAACTTGGGCACAGGAAGGCTTCGACCACGCCGCCGCCAACTACCAGGAGATTATCGACTTGTACAACTTGTTCACCGACCCCAGCAGTGGGTAAGTCATCTTTCTTGTTTTTCGACCTTGAGCTAAAAAAAGAGGCACGTGACCGTTCTTTTGAACTTCCAGCGCGTCAGTAAAATCATCAATGAGAAATGAATTAGTTTTGACGCGGCGATAAATATTTATTAATCGAGCATCGACTTTTTTCTCAAGCGTACGTAAGCAATTATCATTTTCTTCTAGTTTCGCAAATGGCTTCACATTCAACGGAGAAAAATTCGTCCTTGTCAAATGTTCCGAAGACTCGCTCCAAGCAAAGTCAAAGGCCGAAGGAAAAAACCCGTTCTCAGTTGAAAAGTCGAACCAGTGCCTCACCATCGCCAGAGGAGTCGATGGATCCAATGGTGGATCCTTATCACTCGCCGTCGGGAAAATCGCCGACTACTTAAAAGCTAACAACTACTAAGCAAGACAATTGCATCTGGTAAGTCCTCCTTGATGTCCAGCTCGGCAATCTCTGTAGAAACCTGAGTGACTCAGGCTGAGTCAGGGTAGCGGTTTTATGTCGAAACCGTCTCCAGACCCTGACCCAGGCTTCTACTCTGGTTACCAAGCCCATCCTCCTTGCCTTCATTATCTTCCCGGCAAACTGTATAAAAACCTAAGTCAGAGTTCTGAAAGAGCTATAATACCGTATAAAGCCGCGACCCTGACTCAGGTTTCTGCACAGTTTCCCGAGGCAGATGATGAACTCAAAGAGGATGGGCGGGATGGTAGTCTGAGAAGAAACCTGAGTCAGGGTTCTCAGAGAGTTTCGACAAAAACCGCGACCCTGTCTCAGGTTCTTTCATAGGTTTCTGATCCCTTTATCCTTGCTATCATCATCTCTTCTAACGACCATATTTAGCATTCCAAATCACCTAATCAGATCAACAACAAAAAAATCGCGTTTGAGCAGCTCTCCACTCTTCACCAGATAGCACCTTCAAAAATTGAAATTGAAATCTTCTTTTCCTTTTTTTTTCTTATACGGCTAGGCCATAAAGAATCTTCTTTCAAACTTTATGGCCCAGTAGGGCACCCCTTACTTGAGCACACCTGTCTCCCTTCAACATTGTTTTTTATTATTATCTTCTTACAGTATCAATTTGAAATTCATTCGACGTCTGACACAACATGTAACTGTACAACTCTCTAACTGAATCTTAATCAATTCGGGTCAGCTAATAAGAAAACCGCTTATTTACAAAAATAAAATAACAAAATCGAACAAAAAAATCAACAACGGTTCCCTTTATTCTTCAAAAAAGGCAGGCACTAGACTTTCAATTCATCCCCTCGGTCGTAGTTCTTTCGAAGCAATTTGTTGTTCCGGACTGAAAAAGCTCTGAACTGAAAGCAGGTAGAACCCGGGATTGAGTTGGTCGTTCCGGTAGCAGGAAGGATGAAAGAAAGGAATGGCATCTAGTGAGCCGCAAATTTCGGAGCCTGTTTGGGGGCAGACACCTTTTTCTGGGAGGAAAAGCCGGTGGGTTTCGGGAACGCTATCGACGGGCAAGAAGGGCTGATCTTGGAGGAATTCATCGTAGAGAGACTAAAAGACCATAAGTTGTTGAAAAAACTGAGGATAATCAAATATCAATTGAGCTATTTCCTGATTAAATGTTCACTATATTTTCTACATTTGTCACTATATTATAGTATTGGCTGGTGCCATTTTCTGAAGTGCGTTAAATTATGTCAATCATTATTCGGATAGAAAATTATTTGAGCACACGGTTCTTTTGACAGACAATTCTGGAATTTACCTCAAGGATTCCACCAGTTGTATCATTCGTCCAATTCGAGTTGTAGCAGCCATAATGCTCTCTAACTTTCATTCCATCCTCATTCGTCTGAACCCTCGTGCAATGAGCATTTTTAGCGTATAAAACTTTGTGACATAGAGCCTCTCCCGTGCATCGGAATTCATAAATCGGCTTCGTCTTGCAGAATAGCTCTTCCACCCACTTTCCATCTTCAAGCGTGCTCTTGTAGTCTCCCTCCTCTTGCCACCAGAAATTTAAGTTCCAGGCAGCGTTGAATTTCGTGTCCCAAACTGCCGCGGATGAAAAAGAGCCAAAGATAAAGGCGAGAGATTTCATTTGGAAATTTTGAATTTTTCGGGATGAAAAGCTGGTTTTATAACCGACGATAAAGCTTGGAAAGCGATGCAAGTTTTTCAAACAAATTGTCAGCGCGGAATAAACATCACGTTTTTCCGACGCGCATCTTATCCTGCTCATAATATTGAAAAACGTTATGAAACTTCTTTTCCGAAATGCTTTTCCGAATCATAATGTGACTCGGCAAAGCCGCTGACACAGGTCCTTACAAAGGTTCCAGAGCCCGCGGTTTTAGCCAATTTTTTCCTCAATAAATGAAGAAAAAAGTGGGCAAAGGTTTTATTTTTCCTTTAGGTCTTTTATTATCAATAAAATCGTGATAGTTTCAGAGCGAATTTGTTCAAAAAGCAGTGGAAAAAGCAAGAATCAGTTTCAGATTTTCTAAATTCGATCCCAAGCGTAGAGGCCAGTCTCGTACTCATCGTGCTTGTCGTAGTTCATGTCCTCCTCGGTGAAACCATCGAGGTTGCCGAAGTCCTGATGGTCATAATCCTCATCATCATCAAGGAGGCCAGGCTCATGATCTTCCTCTGGGTCCGTGTCAGTTTCATCGTCGGTAGTGTCACCCTCAAAGTCGTTGTCGATGTCCAAATCGGCGAGGTCCTGATGAAGGTGCCCACCACCGGAGAAATCAGAATCGCCATCGTAGCAGTCGGCGTAGCCTCCGCTAAAAGTAGCGTTCTCGGGATCGTAAGCTGAATAATCAACTTCAAATCAGACCTCTAGTCAAATATTTTCTTACCTTCATCACCACTGTCCCGAGTTTCGCCATCATTTCTCGATGTTTGAAGTCGATCGTCTGGTTTCTCATCTGGAAGTTCCTGAAGGTAGTCCTTGTGAGGATCAAGCGAAATCTTATCGAATGATTCAACAAGAACCCATCCATCAGGCTCATCAGCGGGACCAATCTCGGTCATCTTTAATTCTCGTACCTTCTCATTCTCTTCTGCTTTCTCAACTTCAGCTCCGGAAGATCCTGGAATCGGAACGGAGCTGAAAATGGCACTTCCATCGGCTTTCTCCGAGTATTCTTTGCTGTCGGGGTATTTCGTTCTCACGAGCGTAACCAGCTCGTTCTTCCTCCGCTGCAAATCTTGCTGCTTGACGAACATCTTTCTGCGCTCATCGTGGAGCTGTTTCTTGATATCGTCGAGTACTGATTCACGGGTTTCAGCGTTTAAAAATCGGCATTGATATGGGCTATCTATGTCCCCTTTCATTTTTGCCTTGCGCGCGCTTTTGAAACCCGGCTTCAATATTTTCAAGAAGCACTTGCTCCAGCGGGCCTGCGGGACGATCATGCTCGTTTTCAGTCATATTTTCAGCTTTTTGGCTCTCAAGTGGTCTAAAAGATGACTTGTTCTATCAATAGGTACAAACATGTTTTTGTTTTCAATTATTTGTAACAAGTGGACTAAAGAATCTGTGTACAAAACTTGACTCAGGCTCTGACTCAGGACGCTAAACTAGAAATGAGACTGGGCTCGGTAACCTGTGTCAGGGTTTTCAAAGATCTCAAATCAAAAGCCGCGCGGCTTCTTTTTTCAAAGAGAAGGCGGCTTTCCAATTGAGATCTTTTTTAAACCTTTTACTTCCCGAGCTCAGCTTTGTATAAAAAGCCGCAAGGTGGTTATTCGCCAAAGCTCTTTCTGGACCATGAGTCAGGTTTGCTTCGCAGCCTTCGGAGTCTAGTGCAAAAAATAGTGAGCTTGAGCGGTGAAAATGAAAAGACAGAGAATTAACGATTCTTCGTTGATTTCAAAATGTTTCAATATTTTTTCTTGGTGTCCTTTTTCTCCTTGAATTTGAAGTCCTTGTATCTGTCTGGGTAGTCCTCCTTCAATCGCTCGATGATTTTCTTTCTCGATTCTTTCTTCATCCGTTCTTGTCGAATTTCCTCAAGTCGTTGTTGTGGGCTTGGTTCTCCATTCTCGCTTACTTCACTTTCGGATTCTTCGCTTTCTTCATTCTTGTTCGGTTTCTCGCGGTTCGGCTTCAGGTGGCTCCAAGCTCTATCCAGGGTGGATTCTCGATGAGTTTCGTTCGAAGGGTCGGCGAAAACGTACGCTTTGAATACTGGCTGTTTTAGGGTCGGCTTCAGATAAAAATAGGGTTTCGAAAAGCCGCCTGCATCTTCGGGCAAAACAATGAGGAGAGCCAAGCTTTGCGCGGATCTTGGCTCAAAAACCTGTGAAGAAAACCTGAGTCAGGGTCTGAAAGAGCTTAAAGGAAATGCGGCGTAGGTTTCGTTGTTAAAAAAGCCGCTACGCAGGTTTTCATCTTAGCTCTTTGAGACCTTGACTCAGGTTTTCTACGAAGGTTGCCGAGCCCAGATCCGCGCAAAGCTCGGTTTTCCCCTTTTCTAGTAGAACCATTCCGATATTCCACAATTTTGATAAGAATAAAGACCCTCTCCTGAAGTCCCTCAAGACACTTATAATAAAACCTCTTGGTTTCTTCATGCTTCTCGACCAGTTTCGAGTACTCGTCGAGCTTCATTTGGAAGTCGTTTCGGAGGAGGTTGAATTTGAGACTGAACTCGTGCCAGCTGCCGTAGCAAGGGAAGCGCTCCTTGTTGATTTTCGGGGAGCCAAATTCGGACGCAAGTTCGCTTAGTTTCTCGGTCATTTTTTCTTGATCTGAAAGATTAACTATTCGGAAACCTGTGTAGAAATCCTGAGTCAGGGTCTTGAAAAGCTTCAAGAAAAAACCGCGTAGCGGTTTCTAGTAAAATCGAAGCCGCGAAAAGTTTTAAGTTGCTCTTTCGAGAGTCTCGAATCGAGACCCTGACTCAGGGCTTAAACACAGGTTTTCGAGTCTAGATGATGAAGGGTAATGATAAAAAATGAATAAAGAAACTGTTGAACGACAGAAAAGATACAGTAGTAATGAAAAAAGGATTGGAAATTGACAGATAAATTAGAAAAGTGCGATTTTTGATTGTTTCTCTTTCTCAAAATCAAAAATAAATGTCAGTTTTGAAAAATTCAGACAATTTTACTTAATACGTGAAAATTTGGGAGTTTTCTCTTTTGCCGTTTCTCTGAAAAACGCTCTGAAAGAAGAAGCGTTCTTCCAGGATAATTCTTGAAAAATGAAGAGCCGCGCGGAGCGCCTGCCAATCAGCGCCGCCCGTTTTTTCGAGAATCTGAAAAGCGAAAAAAAGAGAAGAAAGCAGGTTTCGAATTTATCGAATTTGATAAGAAAATGCTTTGGCGAAGAGCAAGCTTGGCAATTTCGGCAATTAGGAAAGAATCTTTGGATGCAAGAGGTATTTTCTCACAAAATTTCGCTTCTCATCAATTTTCTTAACGAAAATTCTAGCGGCGGAAGTGCTGAATAGATACAGAAACACGAAGGATCCGGAACTTCGCCAGCAAATTCTGAAGAGAGAAGAAATCAAACTCGAACGAGCTCAAAAAATGGGGAAAGATCGAATTATCGGTAAACTAAAAAGTCTTCCCTTTCAGGGTTTTCTTATCGGTTTTTCAGTGAAGGATGAGTACCGAAAATTCGAGTGGAAATTGGAATCGAATCAAAGAAAATTCGAGCCATTTGAGGACGAAGTTCTGATTGAAGCGGAAATTGCTGGGGATGAATATTCGCAGCAAATGAAGAGTGTCTTCAAAGAAGCTGGTAATTAAAAACGATCCTAATTATTTATTTTTCCCTTCATTAATGATCGCATTTAAAAATTTATATAAAACATATTAAAAATGAAAAAAATGGTTTGTTTTGATGAAATACTAGAGAAAAACATAAACTGGTTTTTTTTCTTTACGATTTCAAAAAAATTTAATAAATGATTTTATGGAAAAGTAACTGCAGATTTGCCAATTTTATTTTCTGCCACGGAAGCAAATAAGATCCTCCTGCAAAAAATCTTTCAGATGAAAAATACTACTGTCGCGTTAAACTCGCCGAAGCCGCCCTAGAAGAACTCAAAGAACTCTGCCCTTCGCTGATCCCTGCTCCGCATATCCACAAAGATATGGTCGAAATCAAAGGCCCAGATTTTTCCCTTCCAGTTGACGATTTCCTCACGATGAAAGCACCCCTTGGACAAGCAAATTTATACGAAACGAATTCTTATAAATCAAAATCGAATTCTGAATAAAATCGCTATTTGGAAATTTTCAAGTTCTCTATATTTGCTCCTCGCGTTTCGTGACAAATCTTATTGAGCAGAATTAAGAATTACTTTTTAGAAAATGAAGGAAAACAAGGTCGTAATTGTGAAGACCCGCGGTGGTAAAATCCTCCGGTTGATGAAAGAGCATTACTTGCGAGATGATATTGAGCATGGAATTGGAGCAGCACTTGATTCTAGCCCCGAAAATCGGCCTAATTCTTTCTGCAGTCGGGTAAGAGAGCGGTTTTTATCTAGGATTGGGGAACCTGTGTTGAAAACTGAATCAGTGTCCAGAAACAGCTTTGAAATTTCTGTAAGACCTTGACTCAGGTTTCCACACAGGTTCCCCAGCCCAGATTTGAGCCTAATGATCTTTTCTAGCCCCACTGGATTCTGCCAGATACAAACGTCTTTCTTCACAACCTCGATGCGTTGGAAAACGAGCGATTCCAGAACATCATCATTTTGCAAACCGTCCTCAACGAAGTAAAACGACGATCTGGTCCGAATTACAAGAAACTCCGAAGTTTGATCGGCTCAGGAAGAAAAGCCTTCGTTTTCGTGAACGAATTCTGCGCAGAGACGTTTTCGAAGCGGGTCAAAGGAGAAAGCAGCAATGACTACAACGATCGACTGATAAGAAGAGCAGTTGCGTTTTATAACAATAAAGGAAGTGGATTTGGAACAAGGTGTTTACTCATTACGAATGATCGGGCAAATGCGGAGATTGCCAGGAAAGCTGATTTGGAAGCGGTTTCTTTCAGGAAAGGGCGATTTCTTTATCACAAGTCATTTATCGATAATAGAATTTTTGAACATCTGTAAACACCTATAGACTTCAAGTGCCATCTAGATACATCTGTAGACATCTGTAGACATCTGTTGACATCTGTAAACATCTTCAGACATCTTTAGGCATCTTTATCCCTCTGGAAATAGCTGCAGATACCTTGAGACGTCTAAAAATCGGTCTCCGTAGAATAGAGCTCACTATAAAAGAATCAAAGCCCTGTAAAAGAGAGTATGTCGGAGAAGTAGCGCCTGAAGTATTCGACAAAGTCGCTGGAGGAAACGAAGATGGGATCGAAATCGACCGAAATATTAACTACCAGCCGCATTGGTCGATGACCCAGGTCCAAATTGGCGTCAAATCGAAGAAACTTGTCCAAGGCAAGCTTGAAATCTCGCGAGACAACTATCTTGAGGGACTACTGAGGGACGGGGATCGCGACATTCTGATTCAAGGAAGAAATGATCTCAATCGAGCGATGAATGAAGATATTGTCGCGGTCAGAATCAAGCCAGAAAGTGAATGGTCGGCTCCGAGTTCTCGTTGTTTAGATACTGAGCTTCAGCCTGGAGCTGACGAAGCCGAAGCAAGCGCTCCCAAAGCCGGTTTAAAGCCGATTCCGACGGGAGAAATCGTTGGTATCATCAAACGCGCATGGAGAAACTACTGCGGCGTGATCGAAGCTCCCAATCCGGGTTCAACGAGAGTACTCTTTCTCGCTGCGCAGCGGCAGATCCCGAAGATTCGCATCGAAACGCGACAAGTGGAGAGACTTATTGGACAGCGACTCGTTGTTGCTATTGATGGTTGGAGCCGAAAATCGAGATATCCGAATGGACATCTTGTCAAAGTCTGGGCTCCGCAATCTTTGCAGCTTCGCTTCTAAAACAGTCGCTGCGTGGCTTTTTATTTCATTATTTACTGCATTATTTCTGAGCCCAGTTCAAAGTCCTCGGAAACGTCGGCGACAAGAAAACAGAGAACGAAGTCCTTTTACTCGAGCACGACGTAAAGCACGATCCATTTTCACCGAAAGTATTGAGCTGTCTGCCAGACAAGAACTGGACGATCACGGAAGAAGAGCTGGCGAAGCGAGTTGATTTACGGGAATATGACATTGCCTCCGTCGATCCGCCCGGCTGCACAGATATTGACGATGCGCTACATTGTAAAAAGCTGCCAAATGGAAATTATGAAGTCGGAGTTCACATTGCTGATGTCAGTCATTTTATTAAACCAGGAGAGTTGCTCCCGAAAGTGCGTTTCAAGCGGTTTTGTTTCGTTTTTGAGGAAAAATAGACAAATTGAGAGCAAAAATAAAGGAACTGCACTTGATGAAGAAGCTGCGCAGCGGGGGACGTCGGTTTATCTCGCTGATAATAGAATTGACATGGTACCGATTCTTCTTTCGTCGAATTTATGCTCGCTTAGAGGCGGAGAAGGTACTTTTTCCGGGATAACGAAAGCTTTTCTCGTAAGGTACATATTTTAACCCTTTAATTCTAGAGCGATTGGCGTTTTCCGTCATTTGGGAGCTCGATGACAACGCGAAAATCCTCAGCGTGAAATTCCATAAGTCCGTCATCAAATCGAAATCTGCCTTTACCTACGAAGAAGCCCAAATCCGCATCGACGACAAATCAAAGACCGACTCCTTGACCGAGAGTCTGAGAGGATTGAACTACCTGGCGAAGAAACTGAAAGCGCAAAGGTTGGAAGATGGAGCGCTCACCTTGGCAAGTGTGGAAGTTCGCTTTCATTTGGACTCAGAGACGGCAGATCCGATTGATTTGTACACGAAGGAGTTGAAAGAGACTAATTCTATGGTCGAAGAATTTATGCTGTTAGCCAACTGCTCGGTAAGCGACTGTTTTAGTCATCAATTTTCGGTAGTTTGAAGTATTATTGATATTTTTGGCTTTTATTGGTCTTTTTCGATCATATTTTCAGGTAGCGGAGCATATTCGAACAGAATTCCCACAATCAGCCGTTCTCCGTCGCCATCCAAAACCACCCGTGTCCAATTTCGACCCTCTAGTCCGCGCTGCCAGGGCCAAAGGATTCCATCTCAATGTCAATTCTTCCCGTGAACTGGCGGATTCACTCAACGAAGCTGTCGATCCCGCCGATCCAATGGTCAATACTGTCCTTCGAGTCATGTCAACTCGCTCGATGATGCAAGCTGTTTATTTCTGCACGGGTTTCGAAAGTGATTGCTGGCACTACGGACTGGCTGCGCCAATTTACACGCATTTCACGTCGCCGATTCGAAGATATGCTGATATCATGGTTCACAGAGCTCTTGCAGCGTCAATCGGCGCTGATACTACGACGCCTGATATTCTCGACAAGAATCACATCAATAATGTCTGCAAGAATATCAATTTTAGAAACAGAATGGCTCAGCAAGCTCAGAGAGCATCCATTGCTCTTCATACCCAGGTAAATAAGCAACAACTTTGCTTGAAGGGTTTCTTGGCCAGATAGCATGTGATTTTCGTTTTTTCATGTCTTTTTTCTAGCTTTATTTCCGAAAACAAGGCGCTAGAACCGAAGAAGCGTACGTCATGCAAGTCAAACAAAACGCCATCGGCGTGCTCATCCCTCAGTTTGGCATGGAAGGAACGATCTTTTTGAACGATTTGGAAAAAGAAGCAGAATTGGATGAGGAGAACTGCGAATTGCTCGTCAAAGGTCTCCCCTTTTCTGTCATTAAGTTGTGTAATTTTTTTTAGGTACAAAGTTCAAGGTGTTCGACAAGGTGAAAGTGCTCGTGACGACGGAGCAAAGTGGGCCGCAGCACGAGCGCGTCCGGATGAAACTAGTCGATCCTATTATAGAAGGATTCAGCGTTGAAAGCGACAAGATGGAAGGATAAGAATGATACTTTAGAATATTTTACTGTTCAAGAAATTCACACTGAAACTCGTGACACCCCACTTCACATTGTTTTTCTCTCTCTCTTTCTCCTTTTCAAAAATAGAGAAAGAAGATGACGATGATGATGATCAAAGAACTGATTTTGGAGCTTTTAGAATATGAAAAACACCTGAAGCTATTGAAAATGGAATCGGGGCAAGAAGAAATCGAGTTCACCACGAACAAGGGCGACTATGAAATGCTCGAGGTCCTCGGTCAGGGAGCCACTGCTCATGTTCAAGTCGCCTGCTTTACTTGCCCGAAAACTGGGAAACAAAGGAGGGTGGCGGTGAAACGGATTCAATTCGAAGAGTTTTCCAGCTCACTCAAGTCGATTTCGACGGAAGTTGGGTTGATGATGAAGTGTAGACACGAACATATCGGTCAGTTTTTTGAGTAAAGAGGGGGGGTTTATAAGGATTTTCAGTGGAGTTTCATACGAGTTTTGTCGTCAAACATGAGCTTTGGATCATAATGGCCCTGCATTCTGGTGGATCAATGTTTGATGTCATAAAAGTAAGTTTATTCATGTTATGATATTAGTAATAACTTGTAACACTTTTCATTTTTCAATACTTGGGCACATTATGAAAGAGACTGTTGCAAGATTTAAGTCTTCATTTAAGAAACTTTAAAGGATGCATTTGAACATGTAGGAATCGAATCATTTTATTACTTTATTCTTCTGAACTTCAACCTTACATTTTTATGCAGCGTTTGAATCAGAGTTTGAAATTTTCGTGACTCGCGAGCGGCTCACTTGAGAGCGAGCGAGCACGAGCATGATGCTCTTTGTGCTCCCGAGCACATTTATTTCAGAGCTCGTGCTCTTTGCGCTCGCGAGCGCATTTCATTTTGCGCTCTCGCTCTCTTGGCTCTCGAGCACTGGTCGAATTGTGCTCTCGCTCGATCGGCTCTCGAGCTGAAAAAACTGACTCGCGAGCAGCTTTCAAGGGCCTTAAGGGTAAAACATCAAATCAGCCCGGCGCGCCACGCTGGATCAGCGGCCCGCTGTGACCTACTTTTCAAAAGGCCGTAACTTATGAACGGATAAACTTTTTTCAAAACTTTCTTTTGGCTTAAATTGATTGAAGCCTTCTCTCTTAGCATACTGAAAATGAGCGAAATCGTCCACTAAAAAGTAGGGGAAACTGACATGAGTTGGAAAAAATCTATCTCCTCTCACAATTTTTATCCGATTTTTTTGAAACAAAAACCAGTCAGTAGAGCTCCGTTAGACCTATAATTTGGTTTTCTCAGATCAAATTTTGAAGGTCTCTAGAATTTTATATGATCCTTTGAAATGAGCGCTGAACCGCGCCGCTACTTTCGCAGGAGCGCAGCGTGAGAGATAGGCGGGCGATTTTAACCAACTCATGTCAGTTTCTCCTACTTTTTAGTGGACGATTTTGCTCATTTTCAGTATGCAAAGAGAGAATGCTTCAATCAATTTAAGCCAAAAGAAAGTTTTGAAAAAAGTTTATCCGTTCATAAGTTACGGCCCTTTGAAAAATAGGTCACGGCGGGGCGCTGATCCAGTGTGACGCGCCGCTCCGATTTGATGTTTTACCCTTAAATGATTCGGCGGCCCCGTGACTAATTCCATATGAGTCCCTGTCACAGGAGTTAGCACCTCGCGGTGGGCATGTTTTATCTGTTTACTCTCGGCTTTTCGCATTCTGCTGCCGATATTACGGACCTAATGAAGCTTACATAAAACCGAAAACAACAAAAATAGATCCTCAAAGAAATTTATTTATGAAAGTGAATAATTATGCGAAAAAATATTCTTTCAATTTTGCTCGCGAGCCGCTCGTGAGTCAATTCCATGGCGAGCACGAGAGCAGCCGCTCCCGCTCGTCTAGCTCCCAAGCATTTCTGACATATGCGCTCGTGCTCTCTGCGCTCGCGAGCGGGTTCAAATTTGGGCTCGTGCTCTTTTGGCTCTCGAGCCAACTCATTTTCATGCTCCCGCTCCCCTGCTCTCAGAGCAATGATAAATTTTGCTCTCGCTCTTTTCGCTCGCGAGCATTTGCGAGCATTTCAAACTCTGGTTTGAATCTTGATAAGATACAAATAATGATAGTTTCGGTTGATAAAAATGGATCAACGAGATTGCAATCAAGTTTTGAACCCTGGTTCGATTTTTTTATCTTTTCTTTTAGCAAAGAATAAACCGCCCTGAATTCGAAGATGGTCTCTTTGAAGAGGTCGAACTTGCCACTGCTCTCAAAGGTACAGTCTTACACAGAACTTCTTTGCTTCAACACCAGTTCTAGCAACTCTATCGGGACTTGATTACCTCCACTCAAACGGGCAAATTCACCGCGACTTGAAAGCTGGCAACATCCTTATTGGAGGAGATGGTGCCATCGCTCTTGCCGATTTTGGTGTGTCGGCGATAATGAGTATATCTGGTGATCCGTTTGGCGACGCGAAAAAGGGCACTTTCGTCGGAACTCCTTGCTGGATGGCGCCGGAGGTAATGGAACAAGAAAAAGGCTACGACATGAAGGTTTGAATTCTTGATCATTTGAAGGGAAATATTTGATTTATAGGCTGATATTTGGTCTTTTGGAATTGTTGCCTTCGAACTTGCCACTGGTTTTGCTCCGTATGCCAAGGTAAGAGACGACTCGAACCATTAATTTCACCTGAAATTAAGTTCCCGCCGATGAAAGTCATCATGCTGACCGTCAATAATCCCGAACCTACTCTCGACAAGACGAAATACAAGAAATATTCGCGAGAATTCCGCAAAATGATCGAAAGATGTCTTCAAAAGGATCCGAAACTGAGACCTACTGCAAAAGAGCTCCTGAAAGGTAAGGCAGTTTTTATCGGCTGGATTTATCTACCGTTCCGCCCCAATTCTCGCCCGACCTGATTTTTTCAATTGAAAAAAATTTTATATTTATAAAACGGGATGAGATTAGCAAATTTTAAAATTTATATATAATATATAAAATGATGGAATATTTAAAATGAATCTTTTTAATGTTTTGGTTTTGTTTCATGCTCAAAAAACGTCACAGTTTCTTGCATACTGCCGAATAAATACTTTAAAATATATTCAGACAAATTCTTCAAAAAGCAAAAGAAGACGACAAGTACAAGCAGGTGATGCGTTCCGTTCTTTCCTACACGCCGATTCCCGCCAAAGGCATCACGCCCCGTCGAGTTCCTGGCAGCTCTGGACGACTGAGAAAGCTGCCCGATGGAGGCTGGGAGTTTTCCGACGACGAGGCAGACCCTCAAGAAAAAACTGAAAATCACAACAGTCCAAGAAGTGCGGAAGCTAAGCGCGAAGTTGACGAGTTGAAGCTTAAAATGGAGGCAATGAAGGGAACGGAAGTCAAGTTGAGCTTGAGAATTCGACAAAATCAGAGTGGCCATCTTCAAGATATCTCTTTTCCGTTTGTTATTGGCACAGGAAAGGGGTTCGATGAATATATTACTGTTCGATAAAGCTTGTGAATTATCCCTTCAAAAGATACACCTGCACTTGTGGCGCAAGAAATGATGCAGAATAGAATCATCGAAGTAGACGATATCCTAATCGTAGCATCGAATATTGAAGACCTTTTGGAGGCGGTGGTTAGTAATCCTGAGACGAAAATGGAGGTCACCTTCAGGGTGAAAACAGGCCTCACAGACAATAATATTAATGAAGAGTTATTGAAAGGTTAGTTCATCGAATCGAGAAAGAAAATGATTTATTTTCTTTTGAAGGTTTTGCAAAATTATCTTTGGAGAAGCAATAAAATCATCTGATGAAGTCATCCTGTCAAAGCTTTTTTCATAAAACTTAACCTTATAGCTGCATACTTACCCTTCTGTTTTGCGAATATGGAATTCAACTATTCAACAGTTTGTAATTACAATTTGTATATTGCCCAATTATATAAAGTAACATAAATGATTTTACATGTAACATTACCGTCATGAGTCATGACGCGCTGTTGTGTATTTCTTCTGTTGATTTGACTAAGTTCATCGATTTATAATTATGATAATTATTTTACTATTTCTACATTCAGCATATCAAATTTCTGTTTCATTTTAACTCTCCTGCCTTCTCTTCCAACTATTTGTTAAATATAATTCAATGACCAAACGAACACAAAAACTTCTATTGAAAGGCCGAAATTCATATTTTCGCTTATCAATATTTATTTTTCTTGAGTTCATGCGTGTTTGTTTCCGGCAAATCTGCAAGAGAACATTCTTGAAGATCAATTTCTAAATAATCAAATGGCAATCACGAATGTCAATGAATTTTGAAATGATAAAAGAAAAGATGAGATTTCTTTTTCTTCATCCGAGAGAGATTGAACGGGATGAAGGGTCTCGTCATTTTCGTCGGAGGTAAAATTTCTTATTAAAAATATGAGATAAGTTTTTAACAATCGAATTTATTAAGGGCTGGCGGATGTTCTTGCCCAAGAGGACCCCAACTGCCTCCAACACCAGCTCGATGAGCACTGCCTTGAGCAGACTGGCTTCCCATACCTTCGATATAATCGGGCCAAGGGAAAATGGCGTTGCTACGGAAGCCTCGCACCAGACGGCAGCATGCATCGAGAGTGCACAGATAACTTCGGGAACCGAATCGATTGCGTCCGACACGCTGATGATAGTCCTTTTCTCGGCGGGGTCCACGCTTACGTCTTGGATGCGCTGACGATGGGATGCCAAGTCGACGAGTATGACGAATACGATCAGACCAGTACTACAGAGGGAACAGTTACTACCACAGTAATAACTACAACGGCCGACACGACAACATCATACGTTGAGCCAAGCACTGACGAACCTATGTCAGAAAACCAGCTTCCGGAAGGTACCAACTGCTACAGTGGCAATCAGTTTTACGATCAGCTCGATGACAACCGAATCGTCGGCGGCGAAGAAGCCATTCCTCATTCTTGGAACTTCATCGTCTCTCTCCAATGGGGCGGTCATTTCTGCGGAGGTTCGATTCTCAACGAAAATTGGGTTCTCACCGCTGCTCATTGCTGCGGATCTGATGGCATGGAAGGTACCGACGTCGTTGTTGGAATCCACGGAGTAAACGATGACGATGGACAGTTCAGGACTGTCGAGTACTCCGTCAACCACCCATATTATGGCGAAGATGGCTTTTCTGGTGACATTTGTCTTCTCAATTTCAGCGAGCCACTTGCTCTCGACGGTATGAACTCCAATGTGGTTTGTCTTCCAGACATTATGGAAGGCATGAAACTCGGAGGAGAAATGCCCATGGACGACTGCTACGTAGCCGGATGGGGTGCTCTTGAAGAAGGTGGCGGTGCTCCTGATGTTCTTCAGACCGTCAACGTGCCCCTTATCAGTCCAGATGTCTGTACGTTGCCTTCTATCTACGGCGGACAAATAAATCCAGAGTGGGAAATCTGCGCTGGCCATCTCGAGGGAGGAAAAGACTCGTGCCAAGGTGACTCTGGCGGGCCACTTGTTTGCGTCAAAGATGGCGAACCAGTTCAAATCGGTGTCGTGTCATGGGGCAACGGATGTGCTCGACCGGATCAGCCAGGTGTTTACGCCAATGTTTCAAAAGCGCTACCTTGGATCGAAAGCGTCATCTTTGGTGAAGAAACTACAACTGCTGAGACAACTACAAGTGCTGAGACAACTACAAGTGCTGAGACAACTACAAGTACTCAGGACACTACAGATGATTATGATGACTTCTGGTGCCTGCAGGATAAAATGGACGACTTCTGCTACGAGTACGACATGGCTTTCCCATGGGCTCGTTTCAACCCAAGCAAAGGCAAGTGGTTCTGCTATGCAGAGCTTGATCCTAACGACATGGAGAACGAACAGTGCGCTGGACCAGATGGCACTCTTGAAATGTGTATCCAAGCTCTCTGGGGCGGCGAGTACGTCGGCGGCGTAAACGTGGACCTTCTGGCAATCAAAGTCGAAGGCTGCGACGATTTTGTTTCGACAACATTTTCGCCACCAACCGATTATCCTCCAACGGATTACTCGACAGAAGTTCCACCCACTGACGATTTGGACCAGCTTCCTGAAGGAACAAACTGTGCCGGCAATCAATTCTACGATCCTGAACTGCAAAAGATTGTCGGAGGAGTTGAAGCAGTACCTCACTCTTGGAACTTCATTGTTTCTCTTCAATGGGACGGTCATTTCTGCGGCGGCTCAATCTTGAACGAAAACTGGGTTCTCACCGCGGCTCATTGCTGTGAAGACGGCATGGAAGGTACTGACATTGTCGTTGGAATTCACGGCTTGGATGACCAGGGACAAGTTCGAACTGCTCATCATTCTGTTAACCACCCTAGATACGGACAAGATGAGACAACAGCAGGTGATATTTGTCTCGTTCATTTCATGGAGCCACTTGATCTTGATGGAATGAATGTAAATGCTGTGTGCCTTCCAGAGATGATGGACGGTATGAAGCTCGGCGGAGAGATGCCAGAGATGGATGATTGTTATGTTGCTGGTTGGGGTGCTCTCGAACAAGGCGGTGACAGTCCAGATGTTCTTCAGACTCTCATGGTGCCCCTCATCTCCGACAATATTTGTCAAATGCCATCAATCTACGGTCAATCATTTGTTCCCGAGTGGGAGATCTGCGCTGGTTTCCTCGAGGGCGGCAAGGATTCTTGCCAGGGCGACTCTGGTGGACCACTCGTCTGTGTTAAAGATGGCGAACCCGTTCAAATCGGTGTTGTCTCCTGGGGTGCCGGATGCGCTCAACCAGACTCGCCCGGCGTTTACGCTGATGTTGCCAAAGCTCTTCCGTGGATCGAGAATGTTATATTCGGCGATGAAACCACAACTGCTCCAATTACGGACACTACCGAATATACCACTGATGTTCCACCGACTGAGGATCCTGTAGATGATTTCCATCAGCTTCCCGATGGCACCAATTGCGGTGGGAACCAATTCTATGATCCCGAATTCCAGAAAATCGTTGGAGGTGTCGAAGCCATTCCGCACTCATGGAATTTCATTGTGTCTCTCCAATACGGCGATCACTTTTGCGGAGGATCAATTCTTAACGAGAACTGGGTTCTGAGCGCTGCTCACTGCTGCGAAGGTGGTATGGCGGGTTCAGACGTCGTTGTTGGAATTCATGGACTTGGAGATGAGGGACAAGTGCGAACTGTCGATCACGCTGTTAATCATCCACGATACGGCGAAGATAACACTATGGCTGGTGATATCTGTCTTGTACACTTTGTCGAGCCACTTGATCTCGATGGCATGAATGTGAATGCTGTCTGTCTCCCCGAAATGATGGATGAAATGAAACTCGGAGAAGAAATTCCAATGGAAAATTGCTTCGTCGCTGGCTGGGGAGCTCTTGAACAGGGCGGTTTCGGTCCTGATGTCCTTCAGACTTTGAGCGTACCACTGATTTCCCCTGAAATCTGTACTATGCCATCAGTTTATGGCGCTGGACTCGTTCCTGAGTGGGAAATCTGCGCCGGTTATCTCGAAGGTGGCCAGGATTCTTGCCAGGGCGATTCTGGAGGACCTCTTGTTTGTGTCAAGGACGGTGAGCCAGTGCAGATTGGTGTCGTTTCATGGGGTTCCGGTTGTGCTCAGCCAGACAAACCAGGTGTTTACGCAAGCGTTTCTAAGGCTCTCCCTTGGATCGAGAGTGTCATCTTCGGTGATGGTACCACAACTGCTCCAAATACTGATACTACTGATAGCACCTGGGGTCCAACTGAGACTACTCCGGACAGTACCGACAGTACAGACTACACAACTGAAGACGGCGATGATTTCTGGTGTCTCCAAAACAAAATGGACGACTTTTGCTACGAATACGACATGGCCTTCCCATGGGCTCGATTCAACCCAGGCAAGGGCAAATGGTTCTGTTACGCTGAACTTGATCCTAGTGACAAGGAAAATGATCATTGTGTTGGACCTGATGGAACTTTTGAAATGTGCATCCAAGCTCTTTGGGGAAGCGATTATGTCGGTGGCGTAAACGTCGATCTTTTAGAAATCAAGGCCGAAGGCTGTGACGATTTTGTTTCAACCACTTATTCTCCACAAACCGATTATCCTCCAACTGATTACTCAACAGATGTTCCACCCACTGACTTTCCAGGTGACGATTTGGACCAGCTTCCCGAAGGAACCAATTGCGCTGGAAATCAATTCTACGATCCCGAACTGCAAAAATTGTCGGAGGATCTGAAGCAATCCCCCATTCTTGGAACTTTATCGTTTCTCTTCAATGGGGCGGTCACTTCTGCGGCGGTTCAATTCTTAATGAAAATTGGGTTCTCACAGCAGCTCATTGCTGTGAAGATGGCATGGAAGGAGCTGACGTAGTTGTTGGCATTCATGGTTTGGGTGATGAAGGACAAGTTCGAACAGCCCATCATTCTGTTAACCACCCACGATACGGACAAGATGAGACAACAGCAGGTGATATTTGTCTCGTTCATTTCATGGAGCCACTTGATCTTGATGGAATGAATGTAAATGCTGTGTGCCTTCCAGAGATGATGGACGGTATGAAGCTCGGCGGAGAGATGCCAGAGATGGATGATTGTTATGTTGCTGGATGGGGTGCTCTCGAGCAAGGCGGTGACAGTCCAGATGTTCTTCAGACTCTGAAGGTGCCTCTTATCTCCGATGATATCTGCGCAATGCCATCAATCTACGGACAATCATTTGTCCCTGAATGGGAGATCTGCGCTGGTTTCCTCGAAGGTGGCAAAGACTCCTGTCAGGGCGATTCTGGTGGACCTCTCGTCTGCGTTAAAGATGGCGAACCCATTCAAATTGGTGTTGTCTCCTGGGGCGCCGGATGCGCTCAGCCAGACTCGCCAGGCGTTTACGCTGATGTTGCCAAGGCTCTTCCGTGGATCGAGAGTGTTATTTTTGGCGATGAAACTACCACAACTGTTCCATACACTGAAACAACCGACAGTACCGAGTCAACAACTGAAGATGGCGATGATTTCTGGTGTCTCCAAGACAAAATGGACGACTTCTGCTACGAATACGACATGGCATTCCCATGGGCTCGATTCAACCCAAGCAAGGGCAAATGGTTCTGCTACGCTGAACTCGATCCTAACGATATGGAAAAAGAGCAGTGCGTAGGACCTGACGGTACTTTTGAAATGTGCATTCAAGCGCTCTGGGGAAGTGATTTTGTCGGTGGCGTAAATGCCGATCTCTTAGAAATCAAAGCAGAAGGCTGTGATGATTTTGTCTCAACCACATTTTCACCACCAACCGATTATCCTCCAACAGATTCTTCAACTGATATGCCACCTACAGACGCCCCCATCGACGACCTCCACCAGCTTCCAGAAGGAACCAATTGTGGAGGAAATAAATTTTACGATCCCGAATTGCAGAAAATCGTCGGGGGTGTCGAAGCTATCCCACATTCCTGGAATTTCATTGTTTCACTCCAATATGGTGATCATTTCTGCGGAGGATCCATTCTCAACGAGAACTGGGTTTTGACTGCCGCTCACTGCTGTGAAGATGGCATGGAAGGTACGGACATCGTTGTTGGAATTCATGGACTCGATGATCAAGGACAGGTTAGATCATCGCATCATTATGTTAATCATCCAAGATACGGAGAGGACAACACCATGGCTGGTGATATCTGCCTCGTCCACTTTATGGAGCCACTTGACCTTGATGGCATGAACGTTAATGCCGTTTGCCTTCCAGAAATGATGGATGGCATGAAGCTTGGAGGCGAAATGCCGATGGATGACTGCTACGTTGCCGGCTGGGGCGCTCTCGAAGAAGGTGGCGACGGCCCAGATGTTCTTCAAACTTTGAGTGTTCCTCTCATTGCCCCTGAAGTTTGTTCAATGCCTTCTGTCTACGGCGGTGATATTGTTCCAGAATGGGAAATCTGTGCTGGATACCTGGAAGGCGGCAAAGATTCCTGCCAAGGTGACTCTGGCGGACCTCTTGTCTGTGTCAAGGACGGAGAGCCTGTTCAGATTGGTGTCGTTTCTTGGGGCAATGGATGTGCTCAACCGGATTCACCTGGTGTGTACGCTAGCGTTTCGAAGGCCCTTCCATGGATCGAGAGTGTTATCTTTGGCGAAGAAACCACCACTACTTCTGTTACAGAAACTACTGATAGCACTGACTACACAACAGAAGAGGGCGATGATTTCTGGTGTCTTCAGGACAAGATGGACGACTTCTGCTACGAATACGACATGGCTTTCCCATGGGCTCGATTCAACCCCAGTAAGGCCAAATGGTTCTGCTACGCTGAACTTGATCCGAATGACAAGGAAAATGAGCAGTGTGCCGGCCCTGATGGAACTTTAGAAATGTGCATCCAAGCTCTTTGGGGTGGCGATTTCGTCGGGGGCGTTAACGCCGATCTCTTGGAAATCAAAGCTGAAGGTTGTGATGATTACAGCACGACTTTCTCGCCACCAACTGATTACCCACCAACCGACTACTCAACCGATGTTCCATCAACGGACTTCCCAACTGACGACCTTGATCAGCTTCCAGAAGGAACTAACTGTGCCGGTAATCAATTCTACGATCCTGATTTCGAGAAAATTGTCGGTGGAGTCGAGGCTGTTCCTCATTCATGGAACTTTATTGTCTCTCTTCAATGGGACGGTCACTTCTGCGGTGGCTCGATTTTGAACGAGAACTGGATTTTGACTGCTGCTCATTGCTGTGAAGACGGCATGGAAGGTTCTGACATCGTTGTTGGCATTCATGGTTTGGGTGATGAGGGACAAGTTCGAACAGCCCATCATTCTGTTAACCACCCACGATACGGTGAAGACGAAACCACTGCCGGAGACATCTGCCTTGTCCACTTCATGGAGCCTTTAGCTCTCGATGGCATGGATTCCAACGTTGTCTGTCTCCCCGAAATGATGGACGGTATGAAACTCGGCGGAGAGATGCCAGAGATGGAAGACTGCTATGTCGCCGGCTGGGGTGCTCTCGAGCAAGGTGGTGACAGCCCTAACGTTCTTCAGACTCTGAAGGTGCCTCTTATTGCTGACGAAATCTGCTCCATGCCTTCTATCTACGGACCTGACTTCGTTCCTGAATGGGAAATCTGCGCTGGCTTCCTCGAGGGCGGCAAAGACTCTTGCCAGGGCGACTCAGGCGGACCACTTATCTGCGTCAAGGACGGCCAGCCAGTTCAAATTGGTGTTGTTTCATGGGGCTACGGATGTGCTCAGCCAGACTCACCAGGAGTTTACGCTGATGTTGCCAAGGCTCTTCCATGGATCGAGAGCATCATTTTCGAAGAACCAATGACAACTACTACGTATGAAACTGAAACTACAACAACGGTGATATTCAAATTTTTGCGTTTTCTTATGCTTATTTTAGGGCGATGACTTTGATGATTACTGGTGCCTGCAACATCGACTCGACCAATTCTGCTTCGAGCGCTCTTTAGATGAAGAAAAGGACTTCCCGTTCGCTCGATTCAATGTCGGCAAAAACAAGTGGTTCTGCTTTGCTGAGCTCGACGCAAATGGAATTGAAAAAGATCAATGCGCTGGTCCATCAGGCGAACCTGCAGGATGTGTTCAGTACAAGTGGGGAACAGACTTCCTTGGTGGTGTTCATGCTGATATGATGCTTGTGATGGAGGAAGGATGCATCGATGTTACGACTCCTGAGTTCACCACTGAGGATACAACGACTTCGGCAACTACCACTACAACAAGTATGTATAGATATTTTTATATTTTTCGGTCAAAGATATATTTCCTTCTAATAAAATTCCAAATACCTACAATCTTCGCGTGTTTTTCTTTCAGAATCAAGTTTTTTATTTACAAATTCATTAGCAACGCAAAAGAAACAAGCATGGCGGAAACTTTCAGTTTGTATCCGCTGTCAGGATCAGCTGTCGTGTTGAAATTTTCATAAACTGTCGTCTGAAGTTTGGTAAGAGAGGGAGTTTTGGATGTATTCTTACCAGATCTGGAGCTTCTGAAGTAGTAGTAGTCTTTTTCTTCTTGGTTGTTGTCGTAGTTGTCGTCGTCGTCGTGGTTGTAGTTGTTGTCGTGGTAGTTGTGGTTGGAACACAAGCTGTGTCTTCTGTGATTTGATCCACATTCTTTCCGACGTTTGTGAACGGTGCTCCGCATTCAGTTTGACTACGGTACAGGTTTACCTAAGGAATTAGGAAATTTTGTCCTACCGTTTGTTCTCCATTCGGGAAAAAGCCCAGAGCATCTCGCAGCAGTCGATTTGATTCCCAGCAAGGTTCAATGAAGTGATCATATTTGCTCGATCGAACAAGTCAGAGGTGATGTTGGTCAACTTGTTGTTTGATAAATCTAGTGAGCCAAGAACCGGTGTTGCCTGAATAACTGTTTGCTGAAGAAAGAATGCTTTTGAACCTGGATGGAATTTGTAGGGAAGAAATCGATCTTGTTGTTGCAGAGTTTGATGATCTGAAGCTGATTCAACGAAATGAACGAGGCCCGCTCAATCGTTGAAATATCATTGTGGCAGAGCTCTATTTTTTGAAGCGCAAGATTTCTGAACGAGTCGGTTTCAATTCTCTTTATCGAGTTTCGGTTCATCAAGAGGACTTTCAATTTCGCCAAGTTGTCGACCGTCGAAACCGGAATTTCTTGAAGATCATTGTCTAAAAAATATTAAGGGAAGAGATTCAAGAAGCTTTGTACCATTGAGATTGAGGTATCGCAGGCTTTTAAGATGAACGAACGCGTTGTCCTTGAAATGCTGAATTCCATTCATTGACAAATCCAATCCAGTGACTTCTTCAGGGATTCCATATGGAACGAAATCAACAATTTTCTTTCCCTTGCAGTCGACAAGTTTCAGCGGGAGGAAGTTATCATCTTGCCATCTGTAGCAAATGCAGTCGCCAGGGCATTTGTCCCACCAAGCGCTTGGGCAAGTAGCAGCGAGTTCTTTCTCGGTAATGTTTGAAAGGGACTGACCGACGATTGTTTTTGGATATTGACATTTAGGATCTCCAATGAGATTTGGAACGCGACGGACCCAGGCGAGGTGGCAATCACAAGAAAGTGGGTTTCCTTGGATATCGAGTTTTTCCCGAATTAGGCTTCAAAATTTACTGGTAAAAATCGTTCGGGTTTATTTTGAAGCCTACCAAATAGGGCAAGTTCTTGCTCAATTCTTCTGGAATAATTTCAATCTGATTGTTCTGAAAGAAAAGCTCCTGTATGTTCATAACATTATGTCCAAAAATCTTTCCTCCCAAATGAATGAGTCGCGGATTGTCACGAATCTCTAGAGTTTTGAGCTTTGGAAGATTGACAAAAGCGAATTTTTCGACGACTTTCAAGTTCGGCATTTCGTTCAAGTAAATTGCTTCGAGCTCGGCGAAATGGGCGAAGGAAGAGGTTTGAAGCCGATCCATTGGGTTTCGCGACAGAGAAACATTTTTAATTGATTGAGAGTGTTGAGCAAACTCGTCGGAACTCGCTCGAATCTGTTTTCATCCAGTACCAAGCTTTGAATAGACCCAGCCCAGGCGAAAACATGCGTCTCCAACTGCGCTTCGGATAAACCACATCTCGTCAAGTCCAATTCCTTCAATTGGGTAAGCTGATAGAGTCCATGAGCGTCGATAGAAGTTATAACGTTGTGGGAAAGATCGAGAACGACGAGTTCTGAGAGACTGTTGAACATGCGATTGACGACGCCGGAGATTTTGTTGTTCGAGAGGATGATTTTGTTGACGTTGTTCGGGGTCATTTTTGGCAGCTCGTTTAGGTCGCTTCCAGAGCAGTTCATTGTCTTTGGGATTGGTAAAAATTGGATTGTTGGAATTATAGACAAAAATGTGACAAAAATTTAAGGATATTAACTGTAGTTGACATCGTATTATAATTCTTTTTGTTGTTTATTGTTAAAGCTTTCGGTTGTTGATAACCATCTTCAGTAACTAATTTTGTTTTAGTACAGAATAATCAGAGAAATACACACCTTTTTTGAGTGGAAAGGGAAGAGAATTTTCACACTGATTAGTTTTTGACAGAAAGACAACAACAATAGAATTCATCTAGAGAGAAAATGCATAATTTGAACAACAAAACAAAAGCCCGCTCAAGAAATTTTGTTGTTCAAATTATGCATTTTCTCTCTAGATGAATTCTATTGTTGTTGTCTTTCTGTCAAAAACTAATCAGTGTGAAAATTCTCTTCCCTTTCCACTCAAAAAAGGTGTGTATTTCTCTGATTATTCTGTACTAAAACAAAATTAGTTACTGAAGATGGTTATCAACAACCGAAAGCTTTAACAATAAACAACAAAAAGAAAAAAATTTAAGGACAATTTTTTTCTGAAATCTGATTGGCCGATCGGCTTAATACCGACTTTTGATTGGTCAAAAATTTTTGTCTAATTTTCTTTAATTACTGTCAATTCGGGTCACGTCCTCAAAGTTTCTATTACTTTTTAATCAATTTTCCTTCAGAAAAACTTCATGTTTCAAATTTCTCTCAATATAACAATTGCAGGGACTCGGACACTTTCCATGCGGCGGATTGTCTTCATAATTCGTCCATGGACACGGAGCGGTTAAAATATCAAAGAATTTCGATCCATGAGCGTCAATTTCTTTTTTCTCTTTTGGTTTTCCATCAACCGTTTGGAAGAGAAATAATAAAATTTGCAAAAGCATATTTTCAGGGGAAATTTTTCATTGATGATCTTTCGAGGTTTCTTGGGGATAAGCCTCAGGTCGTTAATCCTTGAGTCATCCCTTTTTTGTGAAGCTCGGGAAGTGCATCTCATCATTTTACAAGATCTTCACCTCTGAGGCACTTGGCAAGAGATGAAATTACTAGGCATTCGGATGGTTTATTTAAATATTCAATATTCTAGCGAGGAAAAAAAAGTGCAAACAAAAAGAAAGCAAGTGTGAAGTGCAGTGCAATGTTCGAAATTCTCCTTGTTGATTTCAAAGTTTCAAATTCAATCGCGGTCGAAGAGCATTTTCACTGGAGTAGGTCGGAAAGAGCCGAGGTTGATGACTTTTTTCCGGAGACTTCTGCTTTTATAAGCGCGCAGATCGTGCACTCGCATCCATTGGCGCAGATCGGCTGGGCAGTTCATGGATCCTTCTGAAAGAAAGCTACAGTACTGTCCTCAGAAGAATGATTTTGATGAGCTTACCTGAGAAATACCGGATTCGTATGCTTCTGTTTAGTTCATATCCAAGGACCCAACTTTCAGATAGGTTAAAAACCCCAAATAAAAAAACGCTGATCTTATTTTTGAGTTTTAAAAGTGACACCCTTATGATAAGGTCCGAACAATCATAAGAAAAATGAACTTAATACTCTTTATTACTTTGATAAGAAGCTCACGCGACTAAATGGCACAAACCAAGAAAAGAAAGTGCATTTTCGGAAGACCAATAAGCTTGCTGTATTTGGGCTACCGGCCAATCAAAAACCTTTCTATAAAAATCAGTTCCTTTTCTTGGTTTGGCCCGTCAAAAAAAGCAGAGAAAAAAATTCTCAAAGAAATCTTAACCCATGAATTCAATATCACCAATAATTTGGTTTTGTAACCTTTCCCATGTTTAACCCTTGAGCGTCCAATTTTGAATCGTGCTTTTCTCAACACAACAGGTACTTCTTGGCCTTTTTTGTTGAATGCATCGCGGATCTTTGTCTTTGGTTCTTTTTCTTGATAAAAATCGTTTAAAAATCCTTAACGCCTTTTTCTTCTATTCAGAGGCGTAAGGCCTGACATGTCAAAAGACATGGCCTTTATGAAAAGCACGTGTTTTTTTAAAGGCTGTTTCCGGTACTGCTTTCAAAAGTTGAACCATTCCCATTCACTAGCGTACTTTTTGTAATAAAGCCCGCTGTAGATTTTGCTCAGCGGCTCTTCTCCTGCGTTTAAATACAGAGTATTACAGACTGCTAAAAGCATATATTTAAAAAATGGGATCGCTTAAGGGGGGGGGTCGACGAGAATTTTTTCAGGGGTGATCGTAATTTCGCTTATACACATAGTCAGGATATGAATCTTATATTTGATGAATCTACAGATTCTCCCAAATCTGCTGAGCCTCAAATCATTTGATAAAAATTTAGATTTAGGGGTCAAAATTAACAAAATTTTCGAGAAAATGGCCCTACTTTGACGGCATTTTTGACCGATTTTTTCTGGCCAAAATTTTTTCTAGTTTTCGCCGCCTGATTTTTACGACCCTTATCTATCCACCAGTAAAATCAGATTTAGCCTATCTTATCGGGTTTTCCCGAATTTTTGGTCACGGAGATCCCGATTCTCGTCGACCCCCTCCTTAAAAAACAGTTTTTTTGTAAAATCATCAATTTTCTCTCTGGTCTCCAAAATTTGGATAAGATAAAATTGGTCTCAAGTTTGATTTCGCGGCTTTTTATCATTATCAAAGTCGGTTACGTATTTTCTGAAATCGCGGGTTAGTGATTGAAAATTACTTTTTTCCTTGAAAATTTGAGAATCTTTGTAAAGAGATATTTAGATCTGAGGATTAATTGAAAATGGGTTCATTTTTCAGCCTCGAAGGCCGCCTCGCGTCCTCTGTTAATATAAACGTTCAAGTTCAAAAGTGAAACGACTCGATTTCAATTTATTTAATCAATTGAGGATGCGCCGCCAGACAACGGTAATTTGGATTTGAGTAGTAGCTCTTACCGATTTGCCTCTGTGGTAATGGCTCCATTACTAGTTTTGAATTGAAGAATTTGTATTTTTGAAAAGGGGACAAATTGATAGTAATTGATCGAATGGGGATTTTTACTGTAGTTTTCGATAAAAAGAGTATTTGAAAGCCTAAATTTTCAAGCTGAAGGGACTAAACCAAAAAAAGATAGTGCATTTTTGAATTACCAATAAGATTGCTGTATTAAGCCTACTGGCCAATCAAAATTCAGATTTATTAAATCACTTCCATATTATTACCCTAACCCTAGCCCTTACCCTGACTCAGGTTGCCGAGCCCAGATCTACCCCCTTAGAGTAATAAGACTCTATCACGTCATAAAAGAACTCGGAAGAAAAGATGACGATGCTTCCTTAATAAATCAGAGTCAGGCCCCAACCCAGCTCTGAGAAAATCCATTTTGATGATGACATATTATGATTCTAATTTGCTTATCAGTTGTTGCTTACCTGGCGCAAAGAGGCTCCCGGAGTCGAATGATGAATCGTAAAGTGCGGCCGAAGCTCTGAAAGAATCAAAAAGTTGTGTTGACAATTTGCGGTGGATGAGTTGAAAGAAAATTATATAAACAATCATCTTAATGGCGGGTAGAATCCGAGGAGCTAATAAAATAAAAAAAGAAGGGAGTTCAAGTGCTTACATATGTTAAATATTTAAATTGATGTTTATTTAGCACCAGATGCGAAAATGGGGTGTAATTGAAGACCGCCATCTTACCGTATAATTTTCATTAAATTATTTTCAACGAAAAAGTTGAAGATAAAATAATAATTAAAATTGATTTTGATGTGATTGTGGTTAGGGTTAGGGTTAGTTTTGAGGTAAAACAGGAATTCTTTGGTTGAAATTAGATAAAAAATATCGATATGCGAAATCGAAGTTGACACCCTGAATATTATTTGAACTAAAAAAGTAAAATAAGGGCGTCACTTTCTTAAATTTGAAATTTTCAATTAACGATGCTTACCCCCTTACTGACTTCTGCTTTGAAAGAATAAGGGTATCACTCCGAAACTACTTACAGTGGTTATCCATTATTTAGCAGTTATTTTAAAATATAATTCCTTAAAATGGAAATTTTTCTTTTCTTATGGAAAAAATGGCTTTTTTTATCGTTTTCCGAATGACTGGGAGAAAAAGTCATGAGAACAAACTACTGCATAATTTTCAATTCTGACCCTTCTGCGTAAATAATTGAGCAATAAAAAACTTCTCAATTGATTTTGAGTAGTTATGGTCTCTGAGCCATCTATTCAGCTCTGGCTGAGCGGTAAATCAACGATTACTTCCGATTTTCTGAAGGACAAATAAATACTTTCGCTTGTTAAAAAATCTCCGTTCTCACCAAAAAAATGAACTTTTCAGAAAACGAACTTCAAAAGTAGGTTCAATTGAAGAATCACAAAATCAGCTGGGAGCGGATTTGAAAAGCTCGTAACTCTGTCACTTGGAGTCGTTTTATTGATATTTGATTTTTGGACCACCTAATTAGCTGGCCTTTTTGATTGACATAAATTCATTTTTTTTATTCAGCATTATTTATGATCATTATTTTGGTTTTTTTTATTGAATTTTCTTTGCTGGGTAAGAGAGAAAGAATTTCGCAAAGGAAAAATTCAGATTTTTTAAATTATCGATCCCTTTATTTCCATCTTTTTCCACGTGATTTTTGATATTTAAGGGTCTCTAGGTCGATAATGACGATTTTTGAGAATAAATTCTACAAATTCGTCCAAAAATCTTCGGGATTTCTTAAGGGTATCTAAGCGAAATCCTTGTTTGAAAAATGTGTTCTCGTCGATAACTTATCGATACCCTTAACCCCTGCCCGCATGAAAAATTTGTCACCCCTGCCCGCATATCGACCTACGCGTAGGTCGGGCCTTTTTGGGGTCTTTCAGTCGGGATAAAATTTTCCAAAAGACATGGATGGAAAGATAAAAGGCTGAGCTTTCTCCTGGACATGATCAAATGTCAAATGTCAGATGTCAAATATCAACAAATGTCATCTTTTCAAAAGTACTCATTTTTGATAAAAGAATAAGTCGTCAGCGCTCCAAATCTCGTCCAAAATGAATTTAAATATTTTTATGCAGTCATCAATACAGTAAAAATTTACAATTACGAACTTTTATTATCTACTAAGCATAAATTTGATCAAATAGATCTTGCCGAGAACAGTTGAATCAAAGTTGGGTTTTGTCATGTTGACCCGAGATCAAAATTTCGCTCAATTGCTAAAATCTTAAATCTTTGAATAAATGTTATTTTGAGCTAAGATCCTGATTCTCCATTAAAAAGTAGCCCGATATGTGGGGGTCAGCTTTATAGAAAATATTTACCAATAGCGAGATAATCGCGTTTAAAAGTCAATTTACCTACGCGTAGGTCGATATGCGGGCAGGGGTTAAGAGGTGGTTGCCCCCTTATGGCAAGTAAAGCAAGATCGAAAGAACGCTGTCTTGAAATTGATACGTTTTTTAAAAAAGTCAAGAAGCAAAATAGAAGTAAAGAATGCCAATGAAGACACGTTACAAGGGCTCTAACCGGAAGACAAGTTTGCGGCCACAAAGGCCCTTCCCTTCCTTAAACAATAGGCACTTACATTTCTGCCGCCAGCGCGGCCGCGAAAATCACCGCGTTAAACTTCATCTCATCTCCAATTCAAACAAAAGTCTCTTCAAAATTCAGCCCTTCTTTTTTCTCTTCCTTGATTTCCTAAAAATCCTAAAAAAAGCCGTCTTTTTCCTGAAGAATAATTTTCAAACAAAAATCTGAGAAAAAAAATGTTGAATCTTCTGAGCGCGCTCAAGTGTGTGCGAGCGCCACCGATTTTAAAAACTGAAAAAATATAGAAAAGAATCTCAAAGGGCGGAGATTCTTTTTATTTGGAAAATCGGAATAACGTACATTTTTACGGGGGATTAGCTATTTTGACGGGGAATGGATTTTAGTCGCTGAACCAGGGAAAAGATTTGAAGATTTTTTAGTCAGAAAAGAATCACTAGAAACGATTGAATCTTGAATAACTAAACCCCTTTTCAATCGATCTTATTATTTTAGTCGTAGATATTCTTAAAGCTAAGATAGCTAAGCTGGGGAAGGAATTTAGCTTGGCTTAGCTTAGCCGGCAAATTTTCTCCTCAACTTAGCTAAGCTAGACCTTCTTGGAAACCTCTAAGAGAGAAGCTGACGAGAAAATTTGCCGGCTTAGCTTAGCTAAGCTTAAATCAGGACATTTTTAAAAAAATCAAAACCTTGGAAGTATTCTAGAGATATTTTCCTTTTAAATTTGATATTATTTTCCTGGTCGTTTACGAAAAGGGCAAATTTGCGGGAAAAAGCAACAATCGGAAGCTCTCAAAATTTTTTTCCACCAAAAAGCCAAATTTGTACAAGTTTGATGTCAAAAATTATCAAAGAAAAAATGACATCTTGGCTCGATATAAAATTGACCTGACAACAAATCTAGCATATCAGCTCGATATGTTGACGTCAAAACTTTCCGGAAGTTGAAAATTTTCCGTATTTTTCTCCATTGAGAAATTGAAAAAAAAAGAGTGATTTTTTTGTGTTTCAAGAAGACTTTTGCTGTCAGTGAAGGACGCGGATTAGGGCAAATCGATCAGCTTTAGTTTCCAGTTTAAGTTTCTGAGAATGTTATATAATCCCAGCACTGGTGTAAGTGGAAGCTGTGTACTCAACGCAGCGGATGAGACATTTCCGGATTAGCGTGAAAAAATCCCCTGGAGGAAATTCTTGCTACAAACAAAAATGTTTCTCCTCGTTACTTTCTTCCTCATTCCTTCTCAAGAGAGCTCGATTTACTTATCAGTTTTTTAAGAAAAGATGATAATATGGCTTTCACTATATTAATTTTTCTTGAATTTTTGAAATATTTTGCTGAAAAAATGAGTTTTCAAATTATGTTAATAGCAATAATTTTGGTCAAAATCATCATTATTAGCGGTTAAATTGAAAGCTCTGGTCGAAAATTCAAAAAGAAGAGAAACTGAGAAATTTATTAGATAAGCATAATTAGTAACCAAAATGAACTTTTTCTTTTGGTCGGAAGGAGAAAAAGGGAACAGGTGCGCCTGTCAGAAGATGACTGTAAATAATGGCTATGCAGATTTCATATTTGAGCGGGTCTGCTCGCCAAGCACTTCGGGCAGAGTTATCGCGGGTTCAGGAGTTGGGCTTTTAATGCTCATTGAATGCCTGAAAAATTAACTGTTTCTCCGACCAACAAATTGTCCGATAACCTGCTCATTCTGGTCATCGTTGATCTCCGCATCTTTTCGTCCTTCTTTCTCGTCTTTACAATATCAGCAAGAACATTGTTGATCAGAAGACCTTTCGTTCGCGACTCACTGTTTTGACTTCAAATAAGACCTAGAAACTTATTTTCTAAGCCCTTACCTATGACATGTACTGGAACTGTGGATGGAAAAGGCGCTCCCGCCAAGAGACGATTTTGTGTGAGATCGAGATTTACTTGCGGAGAGCGATAGAACTACACAGTTTATAGATTTATTTTTGTAACTCTTTATCACCTGATGCTCGTTTAATGAATTCCTCCGCTTTTTCCAGTTCCTTGGTGACTTCTCTTACCGCCATTTGTCGGTCGAAAACAGCATCTTCCAAGGTATCTTCATGGATTGTCGGATCTTCTTCGAGAAGAAAATCATCGACTTTTTAGGGCGCAAGATTAATCAAAAAAAATCGCACTAAGAAACACTAAGATGGCCAAAATTAAGTTAAAATTTTAGAGCAATCAGATGACCGCGTTCCACCTACGGGGCCAATCAGATTTCAGAAATTTTTTTTTCAAAAACTTGGATTTTCGTCGCATTTTTGACCGAAAAAAGCCACTACCCGAAAAATCGTTCGTGAGAACCCTTTTCCTGGATCAACCAATTCGTCTAACATCTCATCGAGTCGAAATTGCTCATTGAGTGGTTCACTGCCGACGGTGTTTTTCGATGGACTCTTCCATGATTTCACCCGCTAAAAGGAGAAATTCTTAATTTCAATCTCAGCTGAAACCATTCCCAAAGCAGCAATATTTGATTTTCTTCCAAATGCCCATTTACAGCATTTTTCGATTATAACTGTCACATGAACTTGAGCCTATTTACTAAAAATACAGTTTCTAGAAAGAAACATTCTTCTTCAATCCAGCTCTGAATTAAAACGGTCAAGGTCCAAGGTGTCTCTCAAACAGAAATTCTTGGAACATCAAAATCGATTTCCTGGCGCAGTTTCCTTTACACCTGTCACTTCGCAAAGTCGATTTCCTCATGTCATAGGCGCGCTTCCGAAATGTTATTATCGGAAGTTTTACTTTCGCAAAATCATTTCAATCATCAAATGCAGTATTCGATCATTCTCTTCTCGGCTGTCAAAATCGTTCCTGCTGAAATTCTCGTTGACGAAACAAGAAAGTCTTTCTTGGTGAAACTTTTGTTGAATAAGGGAGTCACCGTGTTATTTCAAAAAGAAAAACCGGTATGAGGAACGTTTTATTTTGAAATCAGCGTTTCTGAAAGCTTGGTTCTTGGATATGAGTGTCACAAAAGCATAAGAATACGCCATTTCTCGGCTAAGGTCAGCATTACTCAGAACTTCAGTGAAAATGCTCTTCGACCGCGATCGAATTTGAAACGTTAAAATCAACAAGGAGAATTTCAAAAATTGCACTGCTCCTAAAAGACTTTCTTTGTATAACTATTTTTTTCAATAAAAATAATTATTAAAATTAACCATCCGAATACCTATTTATTTTTATCTCCTGCGAAATTGCGTATCTCTTGAAGCTCTCATTAGCCGTTTTTGAATGTGTAAATAAGGCTTTGATTTCGATAAATACTTTTTTATTTGATCAAATTGGTAAAACACGGTACAGAAGACACCGGGAAATTTGAAAGAGACATAAGTTTGCTAGAATCATGATTGGGAGACAAACAGAACAGAAGAATGCTTATTTTTCAATTACATCAACGTGTAGGAGAGATTTCGAATTGGCTTGTTGACGACTGAGCCTTTGGTAGCCCAGAACCAAAAGTCGCCAGTTGCAAGATCATCGGTTTTCGGGAAAGATCCCGAGGCTTGGTGTTGATGGTTTGCATAGAGAAAGTAGGAGACATTTCCGTCGTTAGTATCTTCTTGATGAAACTCAATCCTTACCCAAGACCCTTCTTCGCACTGCACATCGAATTCATGAACATCAGGAATTGCCACTTCTACAGTTATTTTTCCCGTAGTGTACGCGTTACGAGTGAGAGCAAATTTTTTCTGATTTTCGTGATCGATGTACAAGCTGTGGCCTGTGTAGTAGTAGGCTGAACTATAGGAGTCGCAGAGAATGTCGACTTCAAAGCGGAAGCTGACGGATGCCGCCTGTCTCTGCAGGTAATTGTTGTAGCTTGGAGTGAGCGGGCAGCTGCTAACGATCGGGAAGCATGTCAAGAAAGGGTTGCGACAAGGGTTCTCACAGCCATCGTCGACACTGGTCGTGGTCGAGATCGGAGCTGGGGTCGTAGTTGTCGTCGTACTAGTGGTAGTGGTAGTAGTGGTAGTGGTAGTTGTGGAAGTCGTATGGCCCTGACAAGCGGTTTCCCACGCGTCGACAGTCCACGATTTGAAGTGCCCGTTGTTGCAGTGCACTCTTCCCTTGTTTGTTCCGTCTTCGCAGATGATGTCGTAGCCGGCTCTTCTGTTGTTGATGACTCTCGCGAGCTCGAGCTGACCATCTTCAAGCTGGACGGAGGCAGCTGCAGCGGCGCATGGATGAGCCTCCTTCGGGGAACAGGACAATCTGACGCTGGCGTTGAGGTTTCTACGACGGGTTAGTTAAAGGAAATGAAATTTAGTCAACAAACTTTTTGGCAATAGTTGCTGGCTCGCCGCATCGGGTCATGAATCGCGGGGCATTCTTCCTCGGCTTGGCGGTCCAGTCGGGAACGAATCCCGCCTCGCAAGTCGGATAGCAACGAATCTTCGACCTCAAGAGTCCTAGATTTGGACAGTTCCAAGAGCCGTTCTCGATCGGGAACTGCTCGATAGTCTCTTCAGTCTTGGCGTCGCAGAGAACTCGTCGCTCTTCCCTTTCTTCAGCGGTCAGCCCATTGTACTGCTGAAAGTAGCCGGCTGAAGTTGAGGCAAAAAGAAAGCCTGCGAGTTTCATTTTCTTCAATATCGAGGTAAATGATGGATCGATGTTGGAAAATTCCGTTTATAAAGGAGATGGATTAACAATATTAACGATTAAAATTGCTCCAAGATATAGAACATGTTTTGATTCATTTTCAGTCTATTTTCTAAGTCTGTCTACTTTTTCAAATTTGTCTATTTTTCAGAAGAGAAAATTAAAATCAGCAAAAAAAAAAATCGAAAAAATGAATCAAAGCTTTGTCTTTCTCGGTAATTTTGAAAATTTTCGTAGCTTTTTACATTTCTGCGCGCATATTCACTTATTTCGATTATGATTGAGGTCCGCAAATTTTAATAATGGCGAATTTTTTTATCCTTAATTTTAAATTTCAAGTTCCTTTCTAGGCGAGTGACTCGAAATTTGTCAAAAATTCGGGCTCAACCGATTAATGGAAATGATTTTATGGATCAGGGTTTTGATTGGCCGGTAGGCCAAATTCAGCAATCTTATTGGTTATCCAAAAAATTCACTTCCCTTAATTGGTTTAGTCCAAAAATTTGCGTCGCAAAAAGGCTCTCAATTTTTGTTCATTGTCGTGAAAACCTGGGTCAGGGTGTTAAAAAAACAATAAAAAGTCACGTGACGGGTTATTTTTTGTTAACATCGGCGCAAAGATCATCATTTTTTAATTCGCCAGATTTACAAACAAATGTTTTACCTTTTTGCGGTTTGGAAACTCGAAAAATGGAAATTAGACTTTGCTAAATTTGCCCGCGACGTCAAATGTAGCGTTAATTGAATAAAAACATTTTGGAGCACGTTTTCACCGACCGGCGAATTCGATTACGATTTTGGACAATTCGGGTCAACTCTAATGTTCATCTTTATCCATAAATTATGGACAATTATGGATGGCGTTTTCTTCCGAAAACGTTTAGAGTACGGGTGTCGGCTCAGAAGTCCAAATTCACCTCACACAAGTTTCACCTAGGTGAAGGTGGGTGAAGGTGAAAAATTTTTAACTCACCTCACCTAAAATTTTCAAAAGCCGGCTTTCACCAAATTTCACTTTGAGGTGAAATACGGTGAAAATTTTTCAGTTCCCATCACCTTACCTAAAATTTTCGAAAATCGGCTTTCACCCCAATTCACCTTTACGTGAAATTTGGTGAAAAATTTTCACCTCACCCCCCTCACCTCACTTATTTTTTTGAATATCGGCTTTCACCTTAATTCACCTAAAGGTGAGGTTTGGGTGATTTTTTTTTCACCACACCCGTGGGTGAAGGTGAAAGGCTGAATTTGGAACTCTGTCTCGGGTTTTTATCGGGTTCTTATTATATTTTTTCATAAATGCACTTTTCGCGTCATCGAATATTGTACAAGAGTTTATTACATAGAGTGTTACAAATAAATTTTGGCAGGATAATAGAACAAAATATAAATGAGTTTATAAGTAAAAGAATAGAAATTGAAAATTCACGTAAGATCATTTTAATAGTAATCAGAAAAGCGGTTTTTTATTTCCAAATCGTTTTGATGGAGGAATGTAGCCTTCGTCTTTGAAAAAATTTTTCTTGAAAGGAATCTTTCGATTTCTAACCCCTTCTTTTTGCTTTGGCCAGCGAGGAAACCAGGTTTCGACTGGGTTGCAGCTTTTTGGATCATCGTATATTTTCATCAAGGTTTGCTTTTTTCAAGGCTTCTTTCTCGAACCCAGTGTTTGAAAAAAAAAGTGCGCGGGCTGCGAGCGGGCGAGCGGGGCGCGGGCGGGCGCGCTCGTCCATCCGACCAGCTAAAATTTTGACAAATTTTGCCCGCACTCATCCGCCCATCAAAAAATCAAGCCTCATACTGCTCGCACGCGCACGTACCGCTCGTGCTCCCCCGCTCGCCCGCCCTCCCCTGCCATGCTCGCCCCTCGCCCATGAGTGCATGTGATTGGACAGGGTATTATCAAGTAAAACGGACTCATTTTACACAGAACAAGGACTTACACAAAATTGGGACTCATTTTACACAGAAAAATAGGAAATCGTTTATTTTCTATGTTACATAGACTATGTAAAATAAGTCATTATTCTATGTAAAATAAGTCCCTTTTCTGTGTAGATTAAGTCCGTTTTCTTTGTTGGTCGGTGGGTGGTGGGCTTTTTGGTCCAGAGTTGGAAATGTAGTAACATGTTGCTACTACATACTGCCATTACTACCATCAGAAACACCGCTTCAAGATTACTACCGCGGCTCCAAAAAACTGCTACTACGTACAATTACTAAAAAAAAGTTAACAGTTTACTACCATCATGATCAAAGACCTTCTTTTCATTAAAAACCACCGGTACAAATTTTGTACCGCTGCCGCCTTACATCCGGTTCAGCAATCTTTGAATAAAATCTGAGTCAGGGTCTGAAAAGTCTTTTACGAAAAGTTCGAGAAATTACTCATATTCTGGAAATGATATTTACTCTGCAATCATATATTTACCTCTTCAATGCCGACTCATGCAAAACGGTCAGCAGCAAAAGATAAATCGTAAAAACTCTTGAAATGAAGGGAAAATTAAGTTTTAAAAAGCAAGAGAGTTCAGAAGACCCTTCAACTGTTCCGTTGAACGTCGTAGTCAACGTCAGTAATCAAGTGAACAGCCCAGCAGAAAAGAAGGAGAAAAAAGAGAAAAAGGATAAAAAATCGTGCCTGAATAAACTAAAAGGTCTTTCGCTGATTTTGAAGATTGCGGTCGCTCTTCTGACAATCCACGGAATCATCACGCCTTTGATTCTTTCGAAAATGAATGCTCATTCCGATTCGCAGGACGATTCTACCATTACTAAAGCTTCCGGTAATTGTGTTAGAACCGGGTTCTAAAGTCAGAGTTTTTAATTCATATTATTTGAATTTTACCTCAGAATCAGTACGTTCAACAAGGCTAGCATAAATGTGGCTGGAGCCTCCACGTTCTGACTTGTAATTATCTTGAAGAAACTTCAAGACAAAAGACGTGGAGTAAAAAAAAATCCTGACTGCAGAACCAGAATTTGAACTTACGGAATCAGGTTCTGCTGCAGAACCTGGCCGCCTTTCACCCAGTGCAATTTAATAAAGAACATAGATACTCTCCGGCTTCAAAAAGAGATCGAAGAACTCAAAAGCGGTCGCTCATTGATGGTTCTTTCTGGATTGGACTCTCAAACAGTGTTTCTGAGCTATGTTCTCAAATCAGATGGAAGCAAGAGTCCTCTGACAATCAAAATGCCTTCTTACACTTCTCACTACCTTTACCTTTCGTACTCTGCTTTGATTCGCGGAAAAGTCTACATCTTTGGTGGAGTAAATGAAAATGATTTTCATGTAAGTGTTAGTTTATGAAGTCTTCATTCCATGAAAATTAGATCGCGATGATTAACGACTGTGAAATTGAGGAGTTAGATGTAAAACTCAACAATCACTATTACTGGAATGCTGCTGTTGTAACGGCAGCAGATCAACAATCAGGTAGACTAAGAGCAATATAATTTAAAATAATATATCTTTAGCATTGATTTGCTTTGACGAAAAAGAATGGAGAAACTGCGAAGAATTCAACGGCAGCGCTGTTTCAATAAAACCGGCGACGAAATATTATCATAGAAATTCTTGTTTGGCGCTCTACCACGATCACGCAGTCGCAGTCGGCTCCTGGGTTTCTGACGCCTACAAGAAAGTGGAGGAATTCAATGGCGATTCTTGGTCAGAATTACCAGATTTTCCAAAGTAAATTGGTTTAAATATCTTTAAATTATGATTTGAAGAGCAATTTTCATGCATTCCTGCATTGGAGTTTACGACGGCTTTCTTGTCCTCGGAGGGAAATACGAAGAAAATGAGGAATCTCACAGCTTAAAAGATGTTTATTTACTACGCGACTTAGAATGGACTGTTGTTGGCCAGCTCAACGAATATGTAAGAATTTTATCAAATTCAGCCATCCTAAAATTTAACTTTAGCATTTGTATTCCTCCGCAGCGCGAATCGGAAATACGATTTATCTTGTTAGCGGCAGAAATGAACCGTATGTTATTTTTATGAATCAACAAAAATTATTAAACTAAGTTATGCTGTGGAAAAACTGGAATGGGATGGAGAACAAATTGCCTCGGCAGAAGTCGTCAACAATCACTGGAGCGAATTTCATCGTCCGATCGTTTTACCTGTCGATGAATTTTACTGTACATAAATTTTATAAATCAAAGCGCAGCATAGAAGATCAAATAACATTTCAAATAATTGACAAAAGATAATTTTGTAGGGCCTACAATGTAGGCTATAAATTATAGCGGCTATAATACCTACTCTCTCTTATTCTTTATTGAGATCTGCTAGAAAAACAGCTTGAAAAATAATTTTCTAGAGAATATTAGTTTCATTTCATTTTGGTAGTAGCTCTGCAATCTTTGTATAAAACCTGATGAAGAAGATCTCTGATGAAAAGCCGCGGATCGGCTTCGGCAGAATTTGAAGTTCAATTGAAAAGGCAATTTCGCATAGACGTGCTTTATGCCATAAAGTTTATGGTGGTGCAATTTATTTCAACGGTCATACCGTATGCAACATACGGTATAGATAATACGAAAAGGGAGAATCCTACAACATACTACCATTACTACCACCCGATGAAGAAATTTACTCCATTTCTACACGTACTACCCTACTAATTTCCAACTCTGTTTTGGTCGGTTTTGGCTGATTCTACGCGTCTTCCGGTTGGTTTTCTTTGAGTAGAATTTAGCGCCCCGGGAGGGTGAGCGGGCGAGCGCGGGAGGGTGCCCGCGCACATCCGCCCATCCCAAAATCTGGCCTCTACGTGCCCGCTCTCATCCGCCCTTCCAAACAATCGGACCCTTCGCGCCCGCGCTCGTCCGACCATTCGATTCTAAGGCTTTTTTCAAACACTGCTCGAATCTTAACCCTAAGCTAACCTTACTTTATCTACTTGAAAAGTAGTGAAGCCATTCCTGGTAGTGAAAATTGAACAAAACCCAATTTCTGTAGGTCTCTTCCAATCGAGCGGCAGCGTGAGGAAATTTCCAGCCCTAGAATTGACAGTACTCTTTATCATTCGACAAGGGACTCACATCGTGAACCAAAAAGGCATCGTCAAGCACGGAAAAAGTATACCCCGCAGTGAATAGCTCGCAAATCTGCTGCTGTCGATCAAAGCCATATTGTTTGAATCTCTCATCAAAAAGTGGCACATCTTTTGAGCCAATGTAAAATGGCTCCCAATTCTTGTTCCATGTCGCGTTGAAGACGATTTTCGACTGGTCGCTTTTTCGGAGAGGGATATCCAACCAGTGGGGGTGCTCCTCGGGCGAATGGCACCACCAGCAGGACTCGTTGTGGAATGGTCGGATGAGGCCTTTTCCGAAATCTTCGAGAAGGTGTTTTTTGTTCTTTGATCGAGCGTAGCCTTTTTTGAGTTCTCTCTACTTCCCCGTTTAAAAATTGGGCATTTGTAGTGGGAACTTTCCTTTTTGCATCTCAAAACATGGCACAACAAAAACCACGTTTTCATTAAAATCCTCCTCGTAATATCCTTTACTAACCGCCATTTTGTTAAATCTCTCCCTGATAAACTCATTAGGCAGGACATCAATGTCGATGAGAAATGTAAACTTCGTCGCGGAAGCTTTTATCGCAACGTTTCTCAAGACATTGTGAGGATAGGGAATGTCGCCTTTGTAGTTGCCTCCGTCGTCGCCACCGAATTTGGAGATGATATCGACTAGCTCGTTGCAGTCATTGAATTCTAAACCACCGGCGGAGGAAGAAACGTCCGATGTATGGCCGATCGGGTAGACCAGGGGTCAAAATATCAGCCGAAATCCTAGTGCGAAAGCGAAGCGAAAGCGAACCTTTTTTTCAAATTTTCTGCGAAGCGAAAGCGAAGCGAATTTTTCGCCCATGTTCGAAGCGAGAGCGAAGCGAAATATCATTAAAAATTGCGAAAAAAAGCGAAGATTTTTTCGCTTGAATTGAAACGCATTCTCTGGCAAGAATCTATAGCTATCAGCCACTCAAAAGCGAAGATGATTTCAAAAACCTATTTTGGGGCAGAAAATTACAAAATATCAGTAACTATACTTAACTTTACGAATTCGCTTCGCTTCGCATCGCTTCGCAATAAAGCGAATTCGCACTGCGAATTTAGACCCCTGGGTAGACGAGATGAAACGTGACTTTATCGCGAATCTGGGGCCAGCATTTGCGCATTGAACTGATCGCGTCGGTAACGAAGGCTGAATCTTTGTCGGGAGCAAAGACAGCGATGCTAGAATATGAGCGTTAGAATTCTCTTGTCAAAAAATATGTGATTTAATTAGCCAGAGTTTCCCTCCTTGAAGCTCAAGCTTGCTGAATGTTTATTAATCTCAAAGCCGCTGAATGAAAGCAGGAGCACTTGAATAGTCCTGTAAGGATAGACAGTAAGGCTCTTGTAATCCACGCAAACTATGGCGGTTGATGATAGTTTATAAGTTATAAACTGTAACATATAAATATTTATTTGAGGAGAAAGCTGCTTCAAAATTTGGCCATTCTGAAGTCGATTATCTAGGACCAGGGTTAGGGGCTAGGTCGAGGTAAATGTTACCATAGAGTTGAGTTCTATGTGGAGAAAGCCCCCGGGTCCCCATCCCCGTTTTCCGCGCATATCACTCGCGGGGAAGTCTAAAAATTTTCCTTCGCGCGTGCTGGGCGCTTCAGAAGAATCTCGAAAATTTCTGCGGAAATGCAGGGATTCAGCCAATCACAGAATCGAGAAGACGAACTCCAAGTTTTGGCGCTCCACATTGAGCGACTCTCAGGGCCAGGGTCGCTCAGAGTCTCCTTTCTTCACTTATTCTATCTCCACCTATCTCCACTATTCGCCAAAACATGCATCATTAATACGAAAAAAACTTTCTAATCCGCTACGTCAATCACGACCCTTGAAACCGGCATTGCGATATGAGCGTTATCACAAACCGGCCCGATGAACCCTGGACTATAAAACCGAGCGCCAAGTTCGCAAAAATCATCACTCGCTAAATACTAGCGAGAAGGAACAACTACAGATTTTCCCCAAAAATCTTGTCATCGATTTTGAAAAATGAAGCTTTTTACTTTTTCTTCGCCGGAGCCGCTCTCGCCCAGGAAGTCGACTCCTTGAACACCGTCGATGACTCATTCTCCTACTACTACGACGAGTTCGGTGTTGCTCTTGGAAACGCTACTGAGGAAAATCGAGGGAAGAATTCGCTTATTCGAGATGATCCTGGATCCTGCCTTATCTGTGACGTAAGTTTTAGTTGAAACCAAGAGACTCCTCAGGTTAGGGTTAGGCCCTAACCCTTAGAGTTGTAAAATGCAAACTTAATAGAAAATCGAAACTTCGATCTTTCCTTAGAATCTATTTTGGCAAAGGCGCTTTGCGGCTTTTCAATATGAATTTACCGATTGTATTTTAGAAGGAACTCAGATTCAAATTATTAAATCATTTCTCTAGGTCCAGGACGGATACGACTACAACAGCGCCCTCAAGGAATGCAAGAGAAAGGGCAAGTTCGTCCAGTGCAACAATGAATCAGGGCAAACTTACAAAATAATCAACTTTTTTCCTAATAATGCTATTGAGTTAACACCTGGCATGATTCTATATCATGGTAAAGTACTATACATAGGGGGTCCACCGTGGGAAAATTCCGTGAATTTAAACCTTCTTAAATGTGAAAAATAATTGATGGAATGGCTTCCTTTGATGCTGAGGATCATTCTTTTTCATTATGACAACCCCCGAAAATCCCTATTTCATCCCTTAAAATTCAATTTTAGGCTCGAGCTTGCACTTTTTTGCGTTTTAAAAAAATGTTCCAAAAGACTCCAATTGGAAACCAATATCATTGTAATCTACAGGTAAAATGCTATAATCTGATAGGTGAATCGTGTTGTGCACTCGTGTGCAAAAAATTCTAGAGCCGATTCTTTCTCTCAAATCGCCACCCTGTCAAATCTGAGGTGTTCGATTCCCGACGATGACACTTTTTTTATTCATTTTTTCGCGTTATTCCGGTCTAGAATAATAATCTTTTGAAAAAAAAAAATAAGTCATGTGATATCAATGACTCATCGTCGTCCTCCGGAGGACTCTTCTGATGGAAGAACCTTGCTGGTAGAGCAAAAATTTCTCATCAAAAATGGTCGGGCCGTCTCAGCCCCGTCCCTGGCTTTTTATTTAAAATGGGCTTGACGGCCCTTCGGGCCGTCTCAGCCCCGTCCCTGGCTTTTTATTTAAAATGGGCTTGACGGCCCTTCGGGCCGTCTCAGCCCCGTCCCTGGCTTTTTATTTAAAATGGGCTTGACGGCCCTTCGGGCCGTCTCAGCCCCGTCCCTGGCTTTTTATTTAAAATGGGCTTGACGGCCCTTCGGGCCGTCTCAGCCCCGTCCCTGGCTTTTATTTAAAATGGGCTTGACGGCCCTTCGGGCCGTCTCAGCCCCGTCCCTGGCTTTTTATTTAAAATGGGCTTGACGGCCCTTCGGGCCGTCTCAGCCCCGTCCCTGGCTTTTTATTTAAAATGGGCTTGACGGCCCTTCGGGCCGTCTCAGCCCCGTCCCTGGCTTTTATTTAAAATGGGCTTGACGGCCCTTCGGGCCGTCTCAGCCCCGTCCCTGGCTTTTTATTTAAAATGGGCTTGACGGCCCTTCGGGCCGTCTCAGCCCCGTCCCTGGCTTTTTATTTAAAATGGGCTTGACGGCCCTTCGGGCCGTCTCAGCCCCGTCCCTGGCTTTTTATTTAAAATGGGCTTGACGGCCCTTCGGGCCGTCTCAGCCCCGTCCCTGGCTTTTTATTTAAAATGGGCTTGACGGCCCTTCGGGCCGTCTCAGCCCCGTCCCTGGCTTTTTATTTAAAATGGGCTTGACGGCCCTTCGGGCCGTCTCAGCCCCGTCCCTGGCTTTTTATTTAAAATGGGCTTGACGGCCCTTCGGGCCGTCTCAGCCCCGTCCCTGGCTTTTATTTAAAATGGGCTTGACGGCCCTTCGGGCCGTCTCAGCCCCGTCCCTGGCTTTTTATTTAAAATGGGCTTGACGGCCCTTCGGGCCGTCTCAGCCCCGTCCCTGGCTTTTTATTTAAAATGGGCTTGACGGCCCTTCGGGCCGTCTCAGCCCCGTCCCTGGCTTTTTATTTAAAATGGGCTTGACGGCCCTTCGGGCCGTCTCAGCCCCGTCCCTGGCTTTTTATTTAAAATGGGCTTGACGGCCCTTCGGGCCGTCTCAGCCCCGTCCCTGGCTTTTTATTTAAAATGGGCTTGACGGCCCTTCGGGCCGTCTCAGCCCCGTCCCTGGCTTTTTATTTAAAATGGGCTTGACGGCCCTTCGGGCCGTCTCAGCCCCGTCCCTGGTTTTTTATTTAAAATGGGCTTGACAAAGGCCGTTGTTCTTTGATTTTTGACTTTGGTTGATGATTTTTTAGTTTTGTCCCCAACCCCACCCGCTCCCTTACTCGTTAAATTCTTATTTTTTCTTATTGTAAACGTTTTATGGTTATTATTAGCTTCGGAAGGAATTTTTTGCTAGCAAATAAATTTTGATAGTAAAATTCAAATTTTTTTCATTTTCTCATTTTTTCGCTCTGATGGTTCAGGATGGATCCTCGGAGCTTGTTATGATCGTAATTATGGTCAGTGATCATCAGCTATCAAATTCATGCAACAAAACTCTTTTTACGTGAAAGTTGAGAAAAATCATATTTTGACCCCTTCTGACCTCACGTGACCTCTGATGACCTCAAGTCATATGTCAAAATGATCAGTGGATCATAAGCTTTCCATCGATGTATCATTCATCCTTATAAAAGGATGTTTAAAAAATCGATTTTCCCACGGTGGACCCCCTAACTATACAAAAAATTTTTTTCGAAAAAAAATTTCAAGGTTTTCAACCTTTTTAAGCCCGTCAAAGGTCTAACTTTTGAACGCACCGAGCTACAAGCAAGAGAATAGGCTCAATCGACGCGCCTGCGAGTTCTGATCATTTTGAGAAAAAAAATTTAGTGCTGCGCCTTTTGATTGATCAGGAATGACCCGGAGGACCTTTTTTGGACTCTGCTGGAAAACAAACTATTGCTGGAAGAAGATTCCTGTTTCCAAGAATCTCCAGCACCAAGCAAAAAATACATAAAAATAAAAAAAATAAGATGTTTATGATCACATGAGTCCTCGGAGGACCCATGGAGGACAAAAGCTGCTGGAAGACCTCTCAGCCCCGTCCCTGGCTGATTAAAATTAAGGGGCTTGACGGCCCTTCGGGCCGTCTCAGCCCCGTCCCTGGCTGATTAAAATTAAGGGGCTTGACGGCCCTTCGGGCCGTCTCAGCCCCGTCCCTGGCTGATTAAAATTAAGGGCTTGACGGCCCTTCGGGCCGTCTCAGCCCCGTCCCTGGCTGATTAAAATTAAGGGCTTGACGGCCCTTCGGGCCGTCTCAGCCCCGTCCCTGGCTGATTAAAATTAAGGGGCTTGACGGCCCTTCGGGCCGTCTCAGCCCCGTCCCTGGCTGATTAAAATTAAGGGGCTTGACGGCCCTTCGGGCCGTCTCAGCCCCGTCCCTGGCTGATTAAAATTAAGGGGCTTGACGGCCCTTCGGGCCGTCTCAGCCCCGTCCCTGGCTGATTAAAATTAAGGGGCTTGACGGCCCTTCGGGCCGTCTCAGCCCCGTCCCTGGCTGATTAAAATTAAGGGCTTAACGGCCCTTCGGGCCGTCTCAGCCCCGTCCCTGGCTGATTAAAATTAAGGGCTTGACGGCCCTTCGGGCCGTCTCAGCCCCGTCCCTGGCTGATTAAAATTAAGGGGCTTGACGGCCCTTCGGGCCGTCTCAGCCCCGTCCCTGGCTGATTAAAATTAAGGGCTTGACGGCCCTTCGGGCCGTCTCAGCCCCGTCCCTGGCTGATTAAAATTAAGGGGCTTGACGGCCCTTCGGGCCGTCTCAGCCCCGTCCCTGGCTGATTAAAATTAAGGGGCTTGACGGCCCTTCGGGCCGTCTCAGCCCCGTCCCTGGCTGATTAAAATTAAGGGCTTGACGGCCCTTCGGGCCGTCTCAGCCCCGTCCCTGGCTGATTAAAATTAAGGGGCTTGACGGCCCTTCGGGCCGTCTCAGCCCCGTCCCTGGCTGATTAAAATTAAGGGCTTGACGGCCCTTCGGGCCGTCTCAGCCCCGTCCCTGGCTGATTAAAATTAAGGGGCTTGACGGCCCTTCGGGCCGTCTCAGCCCCGTCCCTGGCTGATTAAAATTAAGGGGCTTGACGGCCCTTCGGGCCGTCTCAGCCCCGTCCCTGGCTGATTAAAATTAAGGGCTTGACGGCCCTTCGGGCCGTCTCAGCCCCGTCCCTGGCTGATTAAAATTAAGGGGCTTGACGGCCCTTCGGGCCGTCTCAGCCCCGTCCCTGGCTGATTAAAATTAAGGGGCTTGACGGCCCTTCGGGCCGTCTCAGCCCCGTCCCTGGCTGATTAAAATTAAGGGGCTTGACGGCCCTTCGGGCCGTCTCAGCCCCGTCCCTGGCTGATTAAAATTAAGGGGCTTGACGGCCCTTCGGGCCGTCTCAGCCCCGTCCCTGGCTGATTAAAATTAAGGGGCTTGACGGCCCTTCGGGCCGTCTCAGCCCCGTCCCTGGCTGATTAAAATTAAGGGCTTGACGGCCCTTCGGGCCGTCTCAGCCCCGTCCCTGGCTGATTAAAATTAAGGGGCTTGACGGCCCTTCGGGCCGTCTCAGCCCCGTCCCTGGCTGATTAAAATTAAGGGGCTTGACGGCCCTTCGGGCCGTCTCAGCCCCGTCCCTGGCTGATTAAAATTAAGGGGCTTGACGGCCCTTCGGGCCGTCTCAGCCCCGTCCCTGGCTGATTAAAATTAAGGGGCTTGACGGCCCTTCGGGCCGTCTCAGCCCCGTCCCTGGCTGATTAAAATTAAGGGGCTTGACGGCCCTTCGGGCCGTCTCAGCCCCGTCCCTGGCTGATTAAAATTAAGGGGCTTGACGGCCCTTCGGGCCGTCTCAGCCCCGTCCCTGGCTGATTAAAATTAAGGGGCTTGACGGCCCTTCGGGCCGTCTCAGCCCCGTCCCTGGCTGATTAAAATTAAGGGGCTTGACGGCCCTTCGGGCCGTCTCAGCCCCGTCCCTGGCTGATTAAAATTAAGGGGCTTGACGGCCCTTCGGGCCGTCTCAGCCCCGTCCCTGGCTGATTAAAATTAAGGGCTTGACGGCCCTTCGGGCCGTCTCAGCCCCGTCCCTGGCTGATTAAAATTAAGGGGCTTGACGGCCCTTCGGGCCGTCTCAGCCCCGTCCCTGGCTGATTAAAATTAAGGGGCTTGACGGCCCTTCGGGCCGTCTCAGCCCCGTCCCTGGCTGATTAAAATTAAGGGGCTTGACGGCCCTTCGGGCCGTCTCAGCCCCGTCCCTGGCTGATTAAAATTAAGGGGCTTGACATAAGGCTCGCACCTTTGTTTTAATAATTTGGTTTCAAGTGAAGGTGATCAATCTTCATCTTGTCCCCAACCCCACCCTCACCCGTTTCTTTAATTTTATTTACAGACCAAATTTTATCTTTATTTATGGTCTTTTCATAATATTTTATATAAGAATATTCATGTTTTCCACGCTTGGTCTTCCAGCAGGGTGAGTCCTCCAAGGAGTCATGTGATCAAGGAAAACCCATTAAATCATTTTTTTACAATTTTATTATTATGCTCGAAAATGATTTAAAATTATTCTTCTTCCAGCAAGAGTTTGTCTTCCACCAGTGTTCAATGAAGGTCCTCCGGGCGATTCCTGATCGATCAGAAACCCTAGCACTAAATTTTCCTCTTCTAAGATGATCAGAATTTCAAGGCGCATCGATTGAGAGTATTCCCGTTCTCATAGCTCGGTGCGTTCGGAAAATGGCATTTTCGGTGATTTTAGATGGCGCTAGAAATTTACCACGTGATCATTGGGAAATTTTTTTTTCGAAAATGTCATTCATGTGTCTTGGACACATGTGTTACAAATTTTAAGCCTCCTACGACCATCCAGTAAAAAGTTGATTTTTTGTAAGTTTACCCTAACAATGATGCCGGCGCGACCCCGAACTGGAATCTCTGCGAACTCACCGAGCGAAGAAACAACGGAAAAATTCAACTCACCTCAACTTGCAACCAACAATCTGCTTGCCTTGGGAACCAAAAGCAGAACGATCACCAATGCCTTCCTTTTGGCGCAGTTGACCGTAAGAGACAACTCATTTTTGAAAATTACGATTTTTCTAGGAAACGGAATCGAGAAAGCTTCAACTTGCCGACAGTGCTTCGGAGTCGGCCGACAAGTCAACAGCTTCTTGAAAAACCTCATCTCCGGGAAATACGATTTCTCTGATTACGATCGGGACTTTACTGGGTACTATTAAAAAAATCCTGCAATAAAAATAAGCAAAACAAACTCCCTCTTTTTTACCTCATTGGTCCAGACCAGCGTTCAAGCAGGTTGATCACGTGATGAAGATGATTCGCAGAGCACTAGAATTTCTCAATTTGTAGGCATGTATCTCCATTACCTGGCTGGCAAGAGTGACATCTTCATATTGCCAATCTTTCATATCCGCAAAGTAAAAGTACCGGATCATGTATTCGGCAGTAAAATTCGGTAGAAAACCAGCTGGAGTTTTGACCACTTCTTTTGCCGGCTCATTTTTGTACGCTCTTTTTACCAAATTTCTCACGTGACCCGATATGTCCCGGACATCGTGTAGAAAAGTAAGCTTAAAAATTTTACCCAATGCATAACTCTTTCCTTTACCGAGTAGGCAGTGAGAATTAAAAGAGAAAAGATGCCGATGGAAATTCGCTTCAATAACTGTATCCTTCTACTTTTCTCTTGAATCAAAGAAAGCTCTACCATTTTCTGTGTTTTTTGGATTAACAAAAGATCATGTTATTAATGCTTTGTTTCTGCAGCGCTGATTAGGTCGTTAAATGTTTCCGCCGACAATGAGAGAATCGTAAGAGTTTATTTGTCAGTGTCGTGTTGATCATGTACAGTGATGTTGATACGAATAAAGGTTGCATCAACTACCGGAACTACGACCCAACCGTAAGAAGTCTGAGTTGTTTATGACAGAACTTTGCCCGTAAAATGATGAATCTGGTCAATGACAAAGTCTATTTTATGACGTTTTTCATTCGAAGCTATGTTGACACTATATTCTTGATTTATTTTTCTGAAGTCAAAACGCCACTCGTGACAATTCAAACGAATTGACTGTTGCTTCATAAGTTTGATATTAACTTTCTTCTGTCCTAACGATAGCAGTCTCAAAACTTTTTTTATATCATCTTCCTTCATCCAGTTTCTAGGACCACCAGATGCTTTTTGCCGATCATTTTCGAAAAAATTTCCAGCGCCGCCAAGGGGACCAAGCTCTTGTACGAGCTGATTTAGTTCAAAAGATGCAGAGTCAGTTTGTTCCCTTGATTCAATAGGCAATTTACCCTGTTCCGCTATTTTTTTGTTTCTCTCCTCTTCGAATTTTTTCAACATAATTTCGGTCCCTTCAACAAATTTGCGGTGGTTTTCTTTTATCTTCAACTTGATATCCTCCTTTTCTGACAGATTCAGTGAACTTTCTTCTTTCAATCTGATCTTCGCTGTTAACGCACGATTTTTTCCCTCGAATTCTTTTACTTTTTGGTCTTTTAATTGAAGCTCTCGATCTTTTTGCTCAAGCTCAGCATTTTTTCTTTTGATTTCTTCCTTCATCTTAGCATTTTCAAGTCTCAAAATTCGGATCGTCTCTTCTGGTGGGACAAAAATGTCTGTCGGTCTAATTCCTTCCTCCAATCTTTGAATAAGCTCAGAGAAAAGCTCTTCGCTTTGAAGCTCCAAAGCATTAGCCGGTCGTTCAGATTTCACAGGATTCAAGCATTTTTCGAGAAGATCTTCAAACTCGTTGAAATTCCCAGGTAGAGAATAACCCGGGATTGATCGGCGTAATCCATCGCGGATATTGAGCTCTAGAATTTTCGACTGGCCTTATGGAAATTTAAAGTTTCCTACTCATTTGATGAGCGATGTTATGCCCTTGATAATTATTCGGCGTAAAAGCATGTTCGAAGGTGATCAACTCCTAGAAGTGAGTTTATCAGATTTTTGAATTTTTCAAGAAGAAATACCTGCAAGATCATTCCAAAACCCCAAACATCGAGTCTTGGAGATTTTGCGATTCCCTCGTCCTTGAAATGTTCTTTTCAAAGGTTTTACAATGGCCCATAAAAATTCATCTTTTCCTGAGTTATTCTAAGCCTTTCCTGGTGGTGCGTACAGTTCCGTATTTCTGACATCGTGAGCATTTGTCGTATTGCTCGTCCTAGTGACAGAACGAACCTCTGACGCAGAGCCGAAATCACCGAGTTTGACCTGAACAAATTATTTATCTGAAAAATGAAAAGAAAAAACTTACGGTGATCTGATCTGCCTTGACAAAAACATTTGCCGGTTTTAAATCGAGGTGAAGAATCTTCCTCTTGTGGCAGTAGCTCAGCGCGCTGACGATTTGAGCACCAATCAGAGCCACTTCTTCTGGCTTGCTTGTTCGCCCAGCTCGTTTCTTCCGCTGGATCCAGTCTACCAGACTTCCACCTTCGCAATATTCCATCGCAATAAAGGATAAAAGTCCGAATCGCCACCAATCTAGCCTCATTTCGGGGAGGAATTCGATAAACTCAACGATAAACGGGTGCTCTTGTTATCAATTAATTTTCAAAATAAAAGCACAAGCTTACTGATAGCGCTCAAGTTTCTCGCCTCCTCTTCTGCTTCTTCTAGCTGCGCCTGTGACCGTATCTGTATCCATTTGATCATGACTATATCTCCTGTTTCTTTATCAGTCGCTCTAGTGACTCCCCGGACGTCTCCAAACTCTGAGTTTTCCAAATTCACGAATCTCTCATTCAGCGAATTCGGCATTTGCTCTTTTTCGCTGCTTTTGGATGCTTTTTTCTTTTGGTGTTTGAATATTGTGACTGTAATTGTTTGCATAAGTAAATTTGAAAATCGAACAACCAATGAAGCGGTAGAAATGCGAAATTTATTGATACGAGAATTTACAGTTCGAAGAAAACATTTTATTCACATATTTTTTCTAAAGCTCTTCTTTTTGCGAGTCGATTTTCATAGCAAGGCTTAGTGCGCGTTGCCAGTTTTTCACTGGCGATTTCATTTCTGTTTCTTCTTCTTTTTTATCTTCTTCTGAGGTCTTTGGTTGGAAAACGCTGTTGAGCATGTAGGCATCAAATCGATCTAAAACCGATTTTTTATCCACCTTTTTAAAGATTCTCTTACGTTTGTATTTGCCAGGCGGCTGGACAGAAACTTTATGAAGATTTTGAGGTCTGTGTTTTACTGCTTTCCAAATGTATTGAAGTTTGTGCGGGAGGTCGTATTCTTGAAGCATATCTACAATTCCAATGTACAGGTAGCACCGGGCGCCGGTTTTGTCTCGAGCTGGAATTCCGCCCTCGAAAACCATGTCGAGGAAGTTTTCTCGAGACATTTTTCTTTGCAAATCTGAATTGATAGAGATTTTTAAGGGTGTCGACGGCTTATCTTCTACCTTGAATTATTCTTTCATTTTTTGGCTTGACAACTCCGAGTAACAACGAATAGTCGAAAATATTATAAGCATCGAGAACGGTCGAATCAAACTTGATACTCTTCTCGATTTCGTTGTAATATTCTGGCTCCAGATGCAGCGATCCAAAGATTTCATCAAAATCGAGATCTCGATATGTTGGTTGAGCTTTTTTCTTTTCTTTTTCTCCTGCTTCTCGGGAGATGGTAGAGCCTTTCAAGTCGAATTTGTGGGTGAGCTCGATTCCATGAGGAAAGAAGTTGCGCATCACGACGATTCTGATCGATCGTTTTCTAGGGATGATTAAGGGGGAGGTCGACGAGAATCGGGATTTCCGTGACCAAAAATGCGGAGAAACCCGATTGGATAGAAAAATTCTGACTTTTCAGATTAAAAGAAAAGGGTTTGAAAAATTAACCGGCGAAAAGCAGAAAAAAAAAATTTTTGAAAAATTTTTCAAAAATTAGGGTTGAAGTGGGGGTGTCTCGTGACCAAAAAATCTCGAAAACCGAGTTTTTTTTTCTTCATCAATTATAATTTATAAATAGTTTAGACCCTTAAAAATTAACCGGCGATCAAAAAATTAAGGGTAATTTTCATAAAAATTTTTTTCTCATTGATTAAAAATATTCGATTTTCGTCAAAATCGACATTTTTAGCCATTTTTTCATGGAAATTTTTACAAAAATTAGTAAATAAAGACTAGGATTTTTTTTTTAAATAATTTGTCAGAAATCATTTTTAAACAATGCCTTTTTTGGACGAAATCACCAACTAATAATTTTCAAGAAATTTCAAGTTCGAGACTTACTATCGAAAATTTTACATTAAAAAGTTAACAAATTGAGAAAATGCTAGAGACCAAAAATACTCCTTTTTTATCGAGGAATCCAAAAATATAATCAAAATTTTGAAAAGGCGAAAAAAATTTTCTCGACGACCTCCCCCTTAAGTCTTATGATTCTAGCTTATGGTTAATTTGCCCAATACGGGTTTCGAAAGAAGCATTCTTGTGGCTTGGTAAGATGTTCACTGATAGAAGCAACGACTAAAAACGACTTCGTAATATTTGTTTCATTTTTATGGTGTTTCCTGGGCGTAAATCCTACCTCATTCGAAGAGTATAAAGCCCATAAAACTTCGTCAAAAACGTATTCGGATGTTGGTGCAACGTCATGTAGTAACCAAGCAGCATCTGCTTCAAAAACTTCGACTGTGCCTTTGAAACCGTCTTGAAAACGTACGAATTGTCCGATGTCGTCCACATGAGAGCGCCTAAAGGGGGAATGAGGGGTTTCCAAAATTTGAAAAAATGGCGCTACGAGCAGGATTTGAACCTACGCGGGGAGACCCCATTGGATTTCAAGTCCAACGCCTTAACCACTCGGCCATCGTAGCTTGTTAAAACACCTCACCAAAGAACAATATAAAGGGATTACTCTCTAAAAGGGCTCAGATGACTCATTATGACTCATCATGAGAATTCACGATAAATTGAACCCCTTTTTGGACTTATTCAGTATCAAGCTTAGACTCTAAACTTCAGAGTCTTTACCTGAATTTAAGAGTCTAAGGTTTAGAAATTAAATCAAAAATAAGGACCTCCCTCTCATAAAGTCCATTTTATACCTGATTTTGCCGGATTGCCCATTACTTTCAGCTTCCCCTTTGCAATTTTCGAAATGTACTCCTCATCCGATATCCCAAGAGCTTTTCTAAAGTACTGGAATCCTTTCGGACTAAAACTTGTTAAGAAAAATATCGGAAAAAGTCGCCTACCTTTGAGCTTTGAACTTGAAATCAGAAAGAGTGTGCGTTGGAGTTTTTCAGAACCAGCAGCCGGAAAATAGACTTTTCGAGTTTTCTGGAAATCTTGGAATAGAAGCAGTTCGTCCTTTGATTTCTTCTTTTGGTACATTTCTGTCAGGTGAATGATCGCTAATTGAAGCGCTTTTTTGGGCTCTATTCATTATTTTTTCTGATAGACAATTGTTAAATTAGCAAAGAAAAGAAGCAATTATGTCCTCAAAATCATCTTTTCTGGCAAATTGCCGGTAATTAACTAACAAAGAAAACACCCATCTAACAAGGGCAAATTCTTTGTTCATCCGGTACCAGAAGAAGCAGATGGTGGCAGACGACGTTTGTCACGGATCATAAAAAAAAACTCTAAAAAAGGAGGGATCAAGTCCGGTAAGGTCCCATTAAAAATTCATGATGAATTTGAGCCCCGGCCTAAACCAATTTCATCTCCCTGGCTTCGTTTGAAAATGAATGCTTTCGTAGCTTCGTTGAATTTCGTATGCTTTCCCAGTCTGACAGTCTCCTGAATTTATAATGAATCGAGAGATTTACTCCGTTCGGGTGGGAGAAGAGGGGGGTTAACTTGACCTTTTCAAACGACAATTTCAGCGATTCAGAAGCTTTAAAAATAATACAAATACGGTAAAAATTAGAGATAAATAGAAATGAACATTTTCGAACATTTTGAAGTCCCAAAAAATCTGATTTCAGCGAAAATTTTCGCAAAAATCGACTTTTTTTTTCCCAAATTTCGGCGATTCGAGTGACCACCCAGAGATTTGCGGTTTTATTTCCGGCAATAAAAAGACACAAAAATGCTTACTTTTCTGTCGATTTTATGCGTAAATTCTTCATTCTTCTTCTCATTTGCTCTTTCTTTCGTCAATTTGACGATATCAAAGAAATTCGCACTGTTTTCTCTCTCCATCTTCAAGTCATCCATTTCTAGTCTTTTTGAAAATTTGTTCTGGATATAAAAGAAAGGCAAAGAAAGAGGCCCGGATAAAATGCGCTTTCGTTCAATTGAGCGCGTTTTATTCTTGACGCTAGAGACGCCTCGGGCTGCTTTTTGGAGAATTGAGCATGAAGGAAAAAAAGGGACTGGGCGTGAGACTCGAGAGGTGATGAGACTCGGGAGAGTGGTTATAATGCTGATTGGATAATGATTATTGACAAACGGCCAAGAATTGTGATGTCTACATTCTCGCGGTTTTTTTTTTATTATTTATTAGTGTCCAGAATTATTAATGATTCTGCAAAGAGATGAAGATCATAAAACATCGATTCACTCAGAAACAGAATCATCAGAAGAATCTTCCGATGAGTCATCAGAATCGTCAGAAGAAGAGTCAGAAGAGTCGTCAGAAGAGCTTGAGTCACTTGGTGGCGCAGTTTTCTTGATGATAATCGAGGGCTCCACTCGCTTTGGAATCGCTGGAGCTTTGATGGCAACGACTTTTGTCGCTGTATGAGTTGGTTTTGGTCGATCGGGGATTCGGGGAGGAATCGCTGGGGCGGAAATTGGCTTGGAGGGGGTTTTGATGATTTGGACCGGTGGGCGCTCATCTTCGCTTGAATCGTCTCGGTCAGAATCTAGATTCAATAGAGCATCTTTTCGAAGGGAAATTGGTACCTGAAGAACCATTTGTTGAAATCCGCCCTTCTTCGCCCTCCAAAAGGCTTCTGTATGTATCGATTTCCTTCTCCAGCGAAAGTTTCACGCTCATAAGGTTCTTGTACTCCGTCAAATGTCGCTAAAAATCTCTAGAATCACGAACAACACGGGGTCATACCTTCATGTCACTAACAGCACGATCCAGCTCAGCTTGAAGCTTTGAAACTCGCGCTTGATAAGATTGGACCTCGACTTCTGAGCGTTTTTCCATGTCCTTGGGAAAATAAGAAAAATGCGTTATCAGTCAATAAACCTGAAGATTTCGCTCGAGGTATTCGTTTGTTCCTCTGAGACTCTCAAGCTCCATTTCCAGCCGCGTGACTTGCTTTCTTTTCAATGGTTTAAAAGGACGCTATGATTTTATGGGTGCGCGTCAGTTAAGGCGTTTTTGCCATTTGCGTCTTTTAAGGCATTGCGTCTTTTAAGGCACTTGCGTCAGTTAAGGCGCTGAAAAATGACTAGTGGAATTCTGATATCAACTAGGGTCTGCTAGATTTCTTGATAAAATATTACTTTACCAATTCCTAGGGTAAGTGCCAAAGTTAATATTTTCTCAAGAAAATCTTTTTATATTCAGTTATAAGCTGAACCGCTGGTTTATGATTGAATTTGAAGTTTTTCTTGATAGAATAAATTTATTATTTGTAAAAATAAAGGTTCGACACTAAAATTTTAGTTAATTTTCTCAGATCGTTTTCAATGTATTTGAAATTATCTGAAATTTAAATATTTTGAATACGCTGTTAAATTTGAGATTGAAATAAGGAGAATTTCAAGGATAGTTACAATCGAGGTAATTTAGCAGACCCTACTTGATATCAGAATTCCACTAGTCATTTTTCAGCGCCTTAACTGACGCAAGTGCCTTAAAAGACGCAATGCCTTAAAAGACGCAAATGGCAAAAACGCCTTAACTGACGCGCACCCTGATTTTATACCGAAGTCCGGTTTTTCGACCATTCCTGTACTCCGCGATTTCGGCGTTGACCTTCTCGAGTTCTTCCTGATTCGATCTTGATTTTTCCTCCAAATCCGAGCATTTTCTCTTGTACCATTCTTCTGCTTCATCTCTGTTTTTCGCAGCAATGACGTCGTATTCTTTTCGAATCTCGGCAAGAATAAGCGTCATATCTGGTGTGACACCGTCAACTTCCACGGAAATTCCTTGCTCAGAGATTTGATTCTAAGAATCTTTTAAACATAATGCCGATAGATAAAATTACCTTGAGATCCTCTATCTCTTCAGCTCGGACTCGGCGGGTGTAGTCAAGTTCTTCTTGAACAGTTTCGATTTTGCGTTCTAAATTGATGATCATATTTAGAAGAATTAAGTTATCTCAAAGGCTAGTCTCCAGTCTTAATTGATGGGACTTTTCATGTTAATTTTGAGTATTCGATACTGTATTGAAGCATTAAAATACTGATTATCTAGCCTGGAAATATATTTGTGGTGTTTAAATAGTATTTTGAATAAGATATTCTTACCAAGATCAACCCGAACCATCGTTGCGTCATCAACATCTTTTCTCATCTTTTGAAGCTCATCTGTAAGATCATTTCGTAAAGTATGTTCGTCCTCAATTTTATGACTTTTAAAGATAAGTTTGATCTAAGCATTCATTGCTAAAATTTAAGTTAAGGTTCGTAGTCAGAATTTAATATTAAATAGAAGTTGATTATTATATTATATAATCCTCAGAGAGGTTGTCTCCAGAAAAGTATATATATATCTCAAATCTGGCTGCATTATGGTTTTCAATCTAGATCATTTTTATCCCGATTCCTAAGTTCAACAGCATCTCCCTTCAAATTATCCCTCTCAACCTGCATCTTGACCTTCTCCATCGTTTCTTGATCAATTGCGATTCTCAAGGCATCGATCTCCCTCGCCGTATCATGGTGATTTTCAATTTCAGACTTCCGTTTCTGAGCAGCTTTGATTTTCAGCTCTAGAATTCTATTCTGCTCTTCCAAGAATCGGACTTTTTCAATGTAGCTCGCGAATCGAGAGTTCAGTGATCCAAGTCGCTCGTTTGGGGATCCAAATTTATTCTGCGCTGCGGCGTACATGGCTAAAATAGCTAATGAGACAAATTCTAGCGCTTTAAGATTTTACCTTGAATATCATCGGAAGTATAAAAGTCCGTCTTCTCTGCACCTTCATTGGGAATCTTGTTGATACTCTGCGTACTCCCAAACTGCCCCCTCGTCGGCCCAAAAGCCTTTCTATACGAACTAGCCCTAGAATTTGACAAGACGGGCATCACTTATTTCTTTTCCAGCTTTGTTTTTGAAGGAAGCTGATAAAAAGCGAGAAACCGATGACGCCACAATTATGCCCCCGAGTGGCGAAAAAACAAGCATTGAGCTGATTATTTACGCTTTATGGCAGCATGCCCGGAATTTTTTTCCCTCTGACGCATCTTTTTTCCCTTATTTTTTACAGAAAATTTTTTTTAAGAAACACTGTCTCAATTTTATTGATCGATCTCGATCGAAGACCATGTAATAATTTCAGACACAGAAAGCAGCGCATGTCATTCCAGCATATCTCGAGCCGAACATATCGCCACCATAGGAGTAGATACCCATATCGCCCTGCCCAACAAGCATGGTTATTTGCTTCGTTTCACAAAAGCCGAGACTTTGTGAGACATTTCCCATACATTCAACAGCGCACATTGGTGGGTTCGATTGATATGTGCAAGCGCTTGAGCAGATGTCGCACTGGAAAGAATTTATTTTCTCAAACAATTGAGCCACTTACATAAGCCTCGAAGAGGTCTTTATAGACGTTGGAATTGCCTTCGATGCCACAGGAGGCAACAAGATTGTATCCATGACCGTATCCACTTGATTGAAAATGATTCAAAAAATTATTTTATCCCTTACGTGTTGGTCGGAATCGTCGAGTGTCCAGCAGTACGAGCGGAATCGTCGGAGCAAACGCAACTGTACTTTCTTCCAGTTTCGACAAGCAAGGCATCGTGAAGATTCAGAACACATCGTGGCATAGACATGCTGTTCCGACCACATTTGACGAGTTCATCGCTAATAACTTTCTCGACCGCAGCGTCTCCCTTTTCGATCGAAACCGCATCAACCCCTAGGTTGAATAAAAAGAGCGAAAGCAACTTCATTTTGTCTCAGAATAATCCACAATATATTGGTGAAAAATTTTTTGTTGTGAGCATCTGTTTTTTCTCAAGATTTCAGGGCGTTTAGAATTATTCTCACTGTTATTCGTTATTCGTTCTGCAAGGTGATGGTTTCTCAAGCTTACTTGGAAATTTTTTAGGAAGTGGGCGTTTTGTTGGCTTTTTGCTCGGGAATTTATGCAGTATTTCATTTTGAGAAGAAATTTATTTTTAATATTTCTGACTAGGGATGGAAAGGTAGAAAAATCATTGCAGAAAGCAAAAGCTTCGAAGTCTTTTGAAGTTGAAATAATGTATTTTATGATCATTTTTTCCTTCGATTTTTTATTGAGAGCAATTAAATGATCTCGCTTTCCTCGTTTACAAATTGGAGTAAACAACGAACCCCTACATGCAAACAAGGTGAGCAAAAATCTAGATGAACTTATTCGTCATTTTCAAAAATTTAACTCGTATATTTCGTGGCAGCGCCATCAAGCAGATATTTGAAAAGAACATCGCCGCGAGCGAGTTGCTAGTAGAGTGCAGTCGTTTTTGTTTAGACTCCATCAAGTTTTTTGGGGAAATCAGACAGGAAAAGATAAAAAATGAGCAAAAACAACGGGCAACAAATGAGCAAGAAAGAAAAAGAAAGAGAGGGAAACAGCATTTCAAGGTCAGTTTCAAAGACTTCTTCAAAGAATAGTTTCAAGGATCGGATAAAAATTTAAAGAACAAGATCTCATTTTTTAAGACTTTACGAAGGGATACCCTTAATGTTTTATCAAAATTAAATTAATAAATCAAGTCAAAATTTAAGATTTCAAAATAAAAAATTCTTAAATTTTTTTCTTATTTATAATTTATAAATGATAAAAAATTATTAAAAATTATTTCGATGAAAATTAACTTTTATTTTTTGAAAGATTCTTGTTGATGTGAATTTTCAAACGCAGAATAGAGCGGGCAGTGAAAGTTGTATTGTTAGCTCAAGGTCATTTTGATAAATTTACAAGGGGATAACAATTGATTGATGCAATTTATATTCGATAAAAAGCTGCCTGCCATTGAATGCTGCAGATCGCCTGTCACGGAAAGGATCGACGTCGTTAAACGAGGCGAAATGATGAGATCTATTTGGTCAAGGGCTCAATTTTCTGAAGAAAAATTGAGGAACCATAAATCTTTTCAAAATATGTTGCATATTGATTTTTTTTGCTCTAAATTACCGATAAATTAAGCAAAGGGTTCGCTTTATCTATACTCTCCAAACCTGTATTAATAAAAATATATTATCAATTGAGCCTGAAATACAGTCATTTGGCGGCCTAGCGGACGGAAATCATCGCGATCTACGAGCAAGCATACGGTACTAAAAAATCTCGCTTTTCAGAGTGTTTGAGAAAACGACATAAATCGCAGCTTCCGCTGCATCTGAATCAATGATTTTTGAAGGGGAAGTTATTGTATTTATTCAGGGCGAAAACTTATCCGACAAAAGTTCCTCCGCCAAGATGTCGCTCAAAAACTATGATCAGGTAAAAAATTCGCGAAGAAAATTCATAGAAAAAATCTTTTGCGGGACTTTTCTTCGGAAATAAAAAAGGACACCTTTATTTTTTTCATAAGAACAGAAAGATAATTGAGATTTTAAATTCTTTCAACTAAAAGTTGCTGAGGAAAATACAAAAAAAAAACGAAAAAATGATCAAATTCTTATTTTGAGAAGAAAATAAGGGTGTCTCTATGCTAAAAATCGATGAAAAAGCCTGCTAGGAAATATTTTTTTCAGAAATTTATACGAAGAACCGACCTCTCGACCCCGTCGAACGCTGATCTTAGAAACGCGAAAACGACTTGCTCTTGGAAAAATTTATGTTTAGAAATCTCCGCTTTTTTTGTTAATAAATTTTGTTTCTTTTCCAAACCTGTCCCAATCATTCAATCATTGAAAGGTTCAATTATGACATCATCAAATTTTCCGCCGAGTACGTGTTCTATTTGTAATGCAATATTGCCCGGCTGGAATTATATGAGCCGGGTTTAACCGTGAAAATCGGCATGATCGGTATAAATATCCTTCCATCTTCGATAAAAAATCATCAGTTCGGATTTTTGAGAAAATATTTTTCAAATTTTCGGAGAAAAATTCACGAGATTTTTTGAAAAAAAAAATGAAACTTTTAAAAACTGTTATTTTTTGCGCTCCCGTTTTCGCCGGAATTCCAAAATGTTGGGAAACTGAAGGTTCCGGCTCTTTTTCCGGCGATTTTTCTGGAGATGGCGAAACCGAAGAACTGCCCGGCCAAGGCGATATTTACGACTATTTCAAGTTCAACGAAGAAACAGGCAAAATAGAATTCCACCACGATTTCTCAGCATACGATGGCGAGTGCTATCTTCAGGTGAGCTTTGATAAGTAATTTTTTGTGTGTCGACGGATTGCGGCAGCTTTATGTACTTCGAGGGTCGCTATTGATGGAATTTACGTAGATTACCGAGAGAAACAGATTTTGATAACCAAGGACGTAGGAATTTTGAATAAGAATTTTCGCAAGAGAGATAATCTATTGACCCCCGTATTATTTCGAAAAACCACTATTACTAATAGTCTATTAGACCTCTCTTTTTGTCAAATAAAATAAGGGTGTCACTATGATAAAAGAAACTCTCCAATAAAAATCTGGTGTTAAATGCTCAATCTTTTAGGGTTTGGGTTAGAGTAAGGGAAAGAAAAACTAGATAAATATTAGTTTTTTTCTTTTGGTAAACGAGAATAAGGGCGTCACTAGACTAAAATGCGATCTCATAAAACATACTCAAAATCTTCATTTTTTCCTAGCCATCGAACAAAGAGCTCAGCTATTTGAAAAACAACTGCTGGAACATCCGTTTTGTCGACCCCAATCGCCCAGATCCGATCCCACTCGATCCAACAGACTTCGAACTTGACGGTTTCAGTGGAAGCATCACCGCCGGTTTCGCCTTTGTCGACCGCGACTCTGCTGATAATTCAACTTCAAGTTTCTGTTCTCAAGCTTCGATGCTAATGACGGACGAACAAGAGCTGATTTTCGTGATGAGAAATTCTCAGCGACATTGCGCTCCAGTTGAATTTGAGTCGATGGAATTGCCAGAAACCTGTTGCGATTTTTCGCAGTTTCCTGCGCGTCGACAGATGAATCTTGAAGACTACGCCTGGCAAACTTGCGGCATCGACAACATGAAAATCGAGATCGACCGCTGCGCCATGGTCTACTACGGCTTTTCCATCGACGATTTGAACCTGGATGGGCCAGAGGGTGGTACGGGACTCGGCCTAGCTGCTGGAGATGATGATCATTGCATGGGAGAATTTAGTGAAGATGGAGACAGGTTTGTCTGGACATTGGAGGAAAGGGATAGCTGCAGGAATGGTGAAATTGAGGATCTAAAAAGGGCAAGAGTTAGGATTTGGGTTAGGATTAATGATAAAGTCGGGTTATCGGTCTTGAGGTCCTATCTCATATCATATGAGTCATATGACTGTCTAACTTAACTTAAGGGTGTCAAGGGACTTTATAAAAGGAAGATTATCTTGGACAAGTTTTGAGACAAAAAATAAGGGAGTCACTAAAAATTTTTGGAAAAAAGAAAAGGCCACCAAAAATAGCCTGGAAACAGCCAATTTTGCCCTGAGCTGCCAGGCACGTGTCAATTTTGATTCGATTTATCAACAAAATCTGTCAACAAAACGAATAGAGCGAGCTATCATTTTGACAGTATCGCGTAGCTGCTTAAATACTGTACAAATTCACCATGGACAGAACTCATCGAGAGGCTAATTCGACGCATTACACCTTGTCAAATGCTGTCTCAGGGCGAACGGGTCTTCAAGTTGGCAAAATCACTAGAATTCGCGAAGCAAAAGGAAATGGTGTTTATTTTGCTGGAAAACTAGATTTCCAAAATTTCAAGTTTGCCTAGCGCATCAGAAACGATCTTCTTTTTCTTATTCCGGAAAGCGGAAGTCGACTCAAATCCTCATGCGCGTCGCACTGGCTTAATTACAGTAGAAACACCAACAAACAGTCAATTTCGCGTGCACTTACCCAATCTCACTGACAGTATCAGCGTTTAACATGGGCTATTTGCAAACTGTCGTCCCCGCAGGAATCGTCAATTTGAAATCGACGGCTGTGCAACTCGACTATCAAATGGCGATTTACAAGGACGCTACTTACGAGGATTTTGTTGAGGCGGATGCGGAATTTGATGTCCCAGGTAAAATCATTTTTCATTGAAAAGGATGAATAGAAATTTATGAGGCTCATTTTAGAATTTAGGATTGGTCAAATTTTTTGAAGGGGAGGTGTCAGAAACCGACAAAAATCCCGACAAATTTTGCGTGGAAATTTTCAGCCAACCAGAATCCTGGATTTGGCTAACAGGCCAATCAGAAGCCGAGTAGCCAACCACGCAAAATTTGTCGAAATTTTTTTGTCGGTTCCTGATGCCACCCCCTTATAAAGCTCCTTTTCATTTCGGTCCGTAACCTAACCCTAACTTCAATCCTTAAAAGTTTCGAGTCAAAACTCTTTTAAGAAAAAATCTTTGTTGGAATCTCCACAACCGCTCCTGGAGACCTCAAACTTGGCGTCGAGAAATGCTGGTTCACTGGTTCTCCCGATCCTGCTGATGCTCTCTTCTATACTTTCATCGAAGACGGATGCGGGGAAACAAATGCTGAGGAGGGTTCAATCGAGATTTTCCAGAATTTCGGGAGCTCCGATGCGAGATTTTCCGTCAAAAGCTTTTTGTTTGACGGCGATGAAAGTTCTTCATTGTAAGTTGAGAATTTTATTAATAAGAAAAATCGTAATTACGAGTGACGAAATAGCCAATTGGACAAATTTGCTTCTCAATGATGATAAGTCGAGAAAAATCTACAAAATCAGTGTTTTTATCATTTTTGCTTGTTAAGATATTTACACTGCGATGTACGATTGTGCGCGGACTGCGATAACACTTGCGATAGCGATGCAACCAGAAAGCGACGGGAGCTCCTTGTTCTAGAAAATACAGACGATTTGGTTTCTCACTTGTCCTTGGAAATGCCGATTCAAACGAGAAAGGAGCAGCCTCGATTTCGAGGTTTTTTTCAAAGAAGACCATTTTTAAAATAAGTTTCTTGTTTCTGCCTTTTTTACTAAATATCATGAAATAAATAAACATGATCGGCGAAACTCTTTCTCGGAAAATCTTCATGATAATTAGGGCCGACGCGTAAAAAATCATCCCCAAGAAAGCATTAACGTAGAGAGCTGAAATTTCGGGACATAGTGTAGTTCGACCAAACTTAAAAAAATTGCTATTGAAAATTGTTTGGTCTTGTCACGTGGTCACGTGATACAGGCCTCCGAAAAGCTAAAATAGCTTGACGACCTTGAACGCCTGATCAAGGTCGATCAGCTCATACCAGAAGTAAATTTTCGATAGCAATTTTTTTATTTGGGTCGAACTACATTAGTAATGTAACATTACCTCCCGAAGTTTCAGCTCTCTACGTTGATGCTTTCTTGGGGTTGATTTTTTACGCGTCGGCCCTAATCATCATTTATCAAAACGACGAATTTCTTTTCGAAGTTTCGGATTCACTACCTATAAAAATTACCTCTTCCTCACTGCTTACAAAAACACTCTTATTTAAATTTTCTATTCAAATATTTTATATTTTGCAAAGCGGATCAAGAAGCATTTTTGCGTAGGATTTGAAATTTTGAGGAATGATTTCGGTCAAGGCACAAAAGTTGTAAGGAATGATTCCGTCGCCAAAAGGATATTCGACATAAGCTTCGACAAATGATTTTGCAAGTTCAACCGGGTCACCTTAAAAATAACGTTTCTGCAGTTTTGACAAAAGAGCCTACTTGGAATGGGTTTTCCATCTTCTTTGAGTTTTTTCTTCAAAATCTCGACCGCGTCTTGAGAAGATTTGTCATTTCTAGTTTTTCTCCAAGTTTCATATTGATTTTCATCATCAAGACAGAGTGTTCTCCAAACGACTCCGATTCGGATTTCCGACTCATCAAAAGTTCGGCTTCAAAAATTCTTGAATTTTCAAAAGCGCTCCGTTCTTACATGAATTTTCCGTCTTCAAAAAGCTCCCACGTTTCGCCCTCCTTGTATCTGAGCTCAGTTGCTTTGTCTTTGTTGGCAATAAAAGCCTTCGAATTCGGACGAAAAGTTTCAACCCCGTGCGCTGTTTTTACTCCGTCTGAAAATGAATTTTGATATCAAGGAAGAAGATCAGCAAACACTCACCAACAATAATAGCGGAATTATGTTTTGCTCGAAAAGAGTACTTTTCGCCTTTTGGACCATGTGGCCAGAAGACGAAATCGCCTCCGTCGACATATGGGTTTGTTTCGTTTCCGTGACTAAAATGGCAATAAAGACCAGAAATGCGCAATCACTTGTATATCTAGATAAAATCTACAGGCAGAGTGGTCAGGAAGCTATCGAACTAACATGTATGCAACTCCTTGAATCTGCGGAACTTCATTCTCATTGATCACTCCACTTTGCCTCAGCGCAACTAGCAGCCAAACCGGGGTACTCTCCCTCGAAAACTCCATGAAATACGGATTGTCGTAATGAACAGCCAGTTCCGATCCAGGAAGCAAAACCGTCAGCGCCATCATTTCTTGATGATTTTTCTTTGGCGAAGGACAGAACTTTTCAGAAACGGCTTTGTATTGTTCAGAAGCGAAGACTTTGGAGATAGCGCCGACGGAAGAGAGAGAATCGGGCCCGTCTTTGATGTGCGAAAAATACTGCTGGAAGAAAGTGGAACCGATCAAATTTGCCAAATCGTCGCGGTACATTTTCTTCGACTGCGGGCCTCCCGAGATCACGTGGTGCACTCCGACATCGAATCTTCCAGCGAGAGTGCAGTACTCGCGCTTGGAATTGGGGAGCATGTAGGGGTGCGCACAGGTGCCATCAGGGAGGAGGGCAGTTTTTTCGCCGATGTGGTCGTTTATTGCGTGGTTGTCCAAGTTTGTAGCGGTTCTAGAGAAGAAAAATGAAGATGAGAGAAAACAATAAGTATGTTTTCCGTTGCGATTTTTTTGAAAATTGTCTTGTCGTTACGGAGATGAATTTAAATATTTTGTGTAATCTCGCTTGTTAAAGAAGCTGAAAGTATTTTACCTGAAAAGGCCTCTTTTTCGCATTTGATTTTTAATCTCCGCAATTTCATCCACCGTCCAAATATTTTCCAAACTGCTCCAATTATCGTTTCTCTCCATTTTCGCCGCCTCCTTTCTCCACTTCCTCGACAGACTTATCTGCAAACCTAGCAAGCCAACAAGCCCTGCGAATTTCCACATTTTAAAAATAAAAAGGGTGTGGCTAGAAAGAAAAAGTGGTACTAGCTTGATAGCAGTTCATTTGTTTGATGTCTGGAGAAAATCATTTCAAAAGATAAATATTTGATTTTGCGAAATTTTGAACTTTGAAAAAATCAATTCTTTTCGTTCTTTCGGGCATAAAAATGGTAAAAATAGTATAGTTTATTGGAAAAAGACAATTTTATAATGAAGATAATTAAGATGTTTGCATCAGTTTCACAAGAGACTCAGTAATCGCCGAGACATCGACAAAAACAGCTCGAAGAGCAACTTGAAACATCAGTTTGTTTCGACAAAAGACCGAAGATCGTCGCGGTGCCTTCTGGAGAGTCGCAAATGAGAGGGGATCCTCGATCGGCGGTGCAGATTCCCTCGGCGGCTTCGTAGATTCCGTCATTGTCCAAGTCGATTTCTCCAGCGCAGAATTCGCTTTCAAAGTCCACTGTGCCAGGCGGAAGATATCCGCTCAAGGAACAATAGCTAGAAAAATGATGATAGAAATCTGATCTTCTGAAAAAAAACAAACCTTTCTGAATAAATATTGATTCCGACCTTGGCCATTGGGTCCATTTCTGATCCCTTCATCCAGCAATACTGGCCATGTTCTGGGCTCTTGAAAGTTTTTTATGATTTTAGGTGACAAAGACAAGTTTTAAAAACCTGTGATCGAAGAGGCAAACAAGCTTTTCCGAAGCAGTCCTCGCACTCCTCCGGCTTTGATTTTGACAAAGACGGGACTTTGATCAAACAAGCATCGGAAGTATCAATTCTTGGCTTGACGAAAATGCTCTTGACGTAAAATTCGCCGCGAGAACTGTCCGCTCCTTCGATCCATTTTGCTCCACCGATCATTGCTTCGATGGAGGAGGTGCTTCCGAGACAGCAATGCTCAGTAGTGGTGAGGATGAACTCGTCGTCGATGATGACACCGCCGCAGAAATGGACAGAGCCATCGAAGGAGGTGACCTTGAGCTCGGTGTGCCAGGGATGGAGGTTGTTGAGGCTTGATGTGGCCTTGATAAGACCACCGTAGGATTGGAACTTGTTGTCCCTGTCGCAGGTGAGGCCTAAAATGATTAAAAATATCTCGTTGAAAAGTCAATTTAACCTGATGGAATCGAGTTGGTTCCAGATTCAAAGACGCTTTCTTCAAATACTGGCCATCCAAGACCTCTTTCTCCTGTAAAACCATTATTGCTCACAATCAATAGTGGATATTCAATATCTTCTTTGAGGTTGAACGAAAGTCGACGGATGGTGTCGAATATCTTGAAAAGGTCAAGTGGTTTTTCTGAAACTTCGCAATTGATGAAAGCAGAGTAGTGGTAGGAAATTAAGTTGTCCTGGAAAATGTTCAAATATTCGGAAAGAACGCCGGGATTGTTCGATCGGAGATTGCATTCTTCGCCGACTTGCGTTTTGTAATACAGATCCGATTCAGTCTTACAGGTAGATGAGTCGACAGAAAGGCGGCGGTGCTCAATCGCGAGTTCTTCAAAGCTAGCTCGGAACTCGTCAACGTAGTGTCCAATAGAAACAAAAGCTTCTTTCAGCGACTCAATTTCCTCCTCGATTCCAAGTGTCATTTCTCGGAAAGAGCAATAATCTTGAGACTCGACTGCGAATTCAGCGATGCATTGCTCGATTTCCGGTTTCTGCTTCTTGAAATCTCCGAAAGCGTCCATTTGCATTCCTCCTTCATCTCCCATCGCAAAACCAAAAGTGGCGACGCAGGTGACTCCGACATTGCAATCTTCGGTGACTTCCGATTCACCTGGGCAAGAAGCACCTGAGCGGCAAACTCGCTGTTTTGTTCGACTTCCACCCTCGCAAGTTTTTGAACAAGGCGACCAGAAAGACCAACCAGACCAGTCTCCTTCAGCTCGTCTGTAATATCCCGATGAGCCATAACAATCGCCAGCGTAGCATTTCTTCGTTTCAGCTCTGATTCCTGGACAATACTCCCCGTAGCACTCTCGGTATCGCGTTTGCTTGCCCTCGCCGCAGGTGACTGTACATTTGCCCCAAGGCGCCCATGTTCCCCAGCTGTCCTGTGGCTTGTAGTTGTAACCATTGTTATTATTACTGTAGTTGTAGCAAGTTTGAGAAGCGGTACAAGTTCGGGACTCAGAATTGCTTCCTTGGCAGCTTGAGCCGTAGTTGTTGTTACTGTAGTTATTCGTTACGCATTGACGCTCTCTATATTGTTTGCCTTAAAAGTTCGTCAGTAACAAAAGTCTTGTGAGAGTACCTTTATCGCAAGTGGCTGAGCATGTGCTCCAGTGACTCCACTGTCCCCATTTCGGTCGATAATCTGGGCATGCATGGACGTTGCACTTCTTGGTCTCTTCGTTTTTGCCGGTACAGCCCCTGTGAGAAATTTTTATCGAAATTATTTTAAAGTTTTTTCCTACTTTTTGCCTGGTATGGCGTTCAAGCATTTGCGTTTCCTAGCAATCCAGCCGGTTCCACAAGATTTCGGACATTTGGACCAAGAAGTCCACATTCCCCACATTGGATTATAATTCGAATTGTAGCTGGTGTTGATGTAGTTGGTTTGGCTTGGTTTGTAGGCATTGTTGTTTTGGGTGTAGTTGTTGTTGTGGTTGTATTGCTGGTGATTGTTGTTGTGTTGCTGAGATTGCTGAGAAATCTGCGGTTTCTGGCTGGATTGTTGTGGTTTTTGTTGGTTGTTATATCCGCCTTGATGATTTTGTTGGGAATATTGGCCACTCTGACCGCCTTGCTGATTATATTGCGGTTTTTGATAGTTGTTATCGTTGTTATGATTATTGCCTTGATGATTGTTATGGTTGTTTCCGTTATTGTTGTTGTTGTTTTGATTATGGTTCTGATGACCTTGCTGATTGCTTTGGTTGTTGTTGTTTTGGTTGTAGCTATCGCAGATAACAGCTCCCATGAACCGCTGAAGAAGCGCGTCGATCTTGACGTTCCATTCGGTGTTGCATCTCGGTTTGACATGAGCGATAATGTCCCTCATGTAATAGAAAAGACTTGCTTCATCAGTGACTTTCTTCGATTTCGTCAAAGAGCACGGGAGAAGACCAGCTTCGGCCGAGCATTTTGGTAGAGTTCGTCCACCGCTGCCGCTTTCAGTTGCCTCGCGTCCATCGCCAAAGTCGGATTCTAGATAGATGATCTCTGCTTTGTCTTCATCAAAGACAAAGTCGATCGAAATGATTGGCTCATCAGCTCCACTTCGCATAAATCCATGCTCACATTTTCCGTAAACTTGTTCGGCAGTAATTCCGAGCGGCTTCAAGAACTCAACGATCATTTTCATCAAGCCAGTTGCTTCCTGCCACTCGCAAATGTCAATATAATGATCATTGAAGAGCTTCTGGAGGCAAGGGCTTGCGAATCGCATGGAGCAGTAACCACTCTTGCAATCGGGTTTCGAGTCGTCTGTCCAGGGACACGTGGACTTGTAGACGTCCGTAGCGTGGTAGCCGTATCCGCCATATTCGCCTTCGCATTCTCGCTTTTTGCATTGTTCTCGTTGATATGGCTTGCCGGGGCAGGTTGAGTACTCGTTTGTGCAGGTTCTTCGACGCTCACGGTATCCTTATATTAGCTCTCAATTTTCAATTAATAGCATTTTCAAACCTTTTCCACATGTTGTCGTGCAAGCTCCCCATTCTCCCCATTTTGACCATCCAGTTTCGCTGTCATATTCGTAAAGGTCTTCACACTCATATTCGCTGCATTTTTCCGTTTCCGTATCTTTTCCAGGACAGTTATAAGTATTGCACTTTCGAGTTCTCGTTCTGGATCCTCCATTACAAGTCTAAAATTTAAGGTAAAAAAATAGCATTTTTCTTCAAAAAACCTTTGAGCATTTGGTCCACTCGCCCCACTCTGCCCAACCAAACATGTTTCCGTAGCATTGTTTTCCAGTTTCGCACTCTTTGGATTCAAAGTAGAGATCTTCGTCGCCGCATTTTGATGGGTCAACTGGTTTTCCGTATTCAATACATTCTCGACTAGAAATGATAAGCTTCTAGGAAAGAATGATTGCTCTTACGTTCTAGAGATACTTCCATTGCCACAAGTGACAGAGCATTTTGTCCATGCTCCCCATTGTCCCCAAGCTGGTTTACCGTCTTAATTTTAGTTAAAGATTCTTGAAAATCTTTTGATACTTACTGTTTACGTAAGAAAAGTTATCGCACTTTTCTTTATTGCACTTTTTCTTTGCAACAGGAGAACCTTTGCATTTGCACTTGGAAGGTTGAGTCGGATGAACTGGGAGAGCTGTTGGTCCAGTTGGAGGCTTTGTGCCAGGGTTAGTGGGAGGATTCGTTGGTGGCCTGGTCGGTGGATTGGTTGGCTCATGAGGGCCATGAGGGAAGTCCTCATGAATCGACCTTCTTTTTCTGTAACTTGGGTTCCATCGGCCGTATTCTTCTGTCTCTTCACAGACCCTTATTTTCTCCATAATACCCCCATCGCATGAAGCGGAACAAGCGCCCCATTCGGACCAATGGGACCACTCCCCAACACATGGTTTTTCATAAGTAGTTGTGGTTGTTGTTGTCGTCGTAGTCGTGGTAGTTGTTTTGTAACAGTTTTGGTCAAGGACGCAGGTTTTCTTCTGTTGGCTAGAGCCAGGACAAGGAGTGTTGTCATAACAATCGACAGGGCATTTTCGTGTTCTGACGGCGCGGCCATATCCGCATGTCTTCGAACAGGCTCCCCACTCGCCCCATTCTGTCCATTTCGTCTCGCATTTCGCTGGATATTCCGTTGTTGGCGCAGGAGTGGTGTAGTATCCGCATTTTTTACGATTGCAGGCCCTTGTTTGACGATTTTGACCATAGCAATTTTTGACTGAGGAATAATTATTGACGCATTTTCTTGTTCGCTCCGAAATTCCGCCTCCGCAAGTTTTTGAGCACTTTGACCAAGCTGACCATTGAGACCACTCGGATTTGTACGGTGTCGTCGTTGTTGTGGTCGAAGTTGTAGTAGTAACTGGGTAGCAGTTTCCTTTCTGCTTTTTCTTTCCGTAGCAGCGATTTGAATATCCCTCGCACTTGCGCTCTCGGTATCTGACTCCGCCGTAAGCAGTCTTGATGCACTCGCCCCACGCTCCCCACGCACCCCAGCTGTCTCGATAGGTTGTGGTTGTTGTTGTTGTAGTTGTAGTGGATGTCGTCGTGCATGGTTTTCTATTGCAAGCTCGGTTTTGCCTCAAATTATCATAGCAGTAACCGGACTTGCATTTTCGTGTTCGATACTGAGTTCCACCATTGCAAGGTTTTGAACAAGTCGACCAGGATGACCATTTCGTGTAATCAGCAGCACTTGGCGGCTTGTAAGGATCTTCCGTGGTCGTTGTTTCTGGAGGATAAGTCGGGCACATTCGCCAGCCGCATTTTTGTTGTTGATTCTTGGGACCTGCGCAGTACGAGCCCTTGCAGTAGCGAGTTCGGGATCGGCTACCGACTCCGCATGTTTTTGTGCAAGTCGACCATTTGGACCAATAAGACCACTCCGAATACGCGGTTGTAGTGGAAGTGTATGTTGTTGTGCAGGGAATGGCGCTGCAATATCGAGTTTGAGTTTTCTTCCCGTAGCAGCTTTCGCCGGAGCCATAGGCATCGATGCAATGGCGTTTTCTAGTCTTTTGTCCATATCCGCAAGTCTTCGAGCAGGACGACCAGGACGACCACTTTGTCCAATACGGAGCTGGCACTGTCGTTGTAGTTGTCGTTGTCGATGTTGTGGAGCAGAAGGTGTACTTGTTGCAAGCTTCTCGGTCAGTTTTTCGCCCGTAGCAATCTCTATCGTTGTAGCTCGACTTTTTGCATTTTCTAGTTCTTTCTCGCATTCCTCTTCCACAGGAGGTAGAACACTGCGACCAAGATGACCAGTTCGTCCATCTTCCATAACCAGGAGTCGTCGTTGTTGTTGGCGGCTCTGTGGTGTAAACGCGGCACGATTTTCGATTGCAAACTCTTTTTTGCTTACTGTGGCCATAACACTGCTGACCGTATTTCGACGTAATACATGATCGTTTTCGAGTAGAAATACCACCCCCACAGGTTTTCGAGCAAGTTGACCAGTTTGTCCATTCTCCCCATTTTCCTGGAGTGTAGACGGTCGTTGGAATCATTGTTGTTTCGTAAGGACAAGCTTTTCGGTTGCAAGCTTTTTGTTGCTTCTTGGCGCCAGGACATTTTGAATAATTTGAAGTGACTTCGATCGTTTTCGACTTCTCGTTGCATTTTCTCGATCTGTACATCAGTCCACCGTCGCAAGTCGCAGTACAACTCGTCCAAGGCGCCCATTCTGACCACTCGTATTTAGTGCTGCTTCCGGTTGAACCAGTGGTTGTGCCGTAATAACTACCGTAGCAGTCTTTATCGGCCCGGCACTTTCGAGTATCGGAAGATTCGCCAACGCATTTTTGGTAGAGATTATTATACTTGCATCGTCGAGTTCTGATCTGATTTCCTTTTCCGCAAGTAGCTGAGCACTTGGACCACTCTTCCCAATTCATCCATTTCGATTGCGAAGTTGGTTTCTGATAAGGCGTTTTCGTCGGCTTGGTTGAGTACTGTGGCGGAATTTTACCGAAACAGGCCATTTCCTCGACCATGATTTTAGGCTCACAGTACTTGTTGCTCGTTTTCATTGTGGCATAATTGCCATGATAAAAGCAAGCACGAGAACGAGCCTTTCGCCCTTCTCCGTATTTGGCGCAGCAACTTCCCCATTCTCCCCACTCGCCAGGCGCGTAAGGACCGTCGGGCTTTGAGGGTCGGGTCGTGTACTTAGGAGCCTTTGTAGTGTACTTTGGTTTTCGAGTTGTTGTCTTTCTTGTTGGGCGGGTGTTGTAGTTGCTTGGTTGCTTGTAGCCTCGCTCGCCCTCAGTAGAAGCCACATAGGTAGAAGATGTGTAGGTAGTTGAAGTTGTCGTTGATTGAAATGTCGTTGTTGTTGTTTCTTCCTCCGTCGTTTCAAGCATTCTCTGCTGCTGGAACCCTTTTGATCCCTTCTTTTTGCTTTTGTTTTTCTTCTTCCATTGTTTGTAATTTCCACCTGCTGATTGAGACTGAAGGTAAGCTGTTTTGAAAGCATTTCTCCGATATCTTTTCTTAGATGGTTTGTTTCCTGGTGCACCTGGAACTGGTTTGCAAATTTTGCCGGATCCGGCCATGTAACCCCTTTCTCCAGTGACCTCGCTAGCAATGTCAAAGCCGAGTGAGCACGTGAGCTCGATCATTTCGGAGGACTCTTCCTCGAAATTAAGATCGAAGGAAGAGATTCTTCGTCCATTTTGTACTTCTCCGCCGCTGGGTCGTTGAGAATCGGTTGCGATAACGTACAAACCTTGTTTACGCAGCCTTTGTTTGATGCTGTCGAGGGTGACAAGGAAATCAGCCTCCATTGCTTTCAGGAATTCTTCTAGAGAGATCGAGGGGTCGTCAGTGGTCGATGATGATTGCCGAGTGAACCAATTTTTCGAAATCGTCAGTTTTTCACCATCAGCGGAAGCGCTTCCATAGCGCGAGGTAAAAGTTTGTTTATTGTCGACAATGAGTTTCGATAAGTACCACTGCTCCAATTTGTAGTCTACATCTGATTCTCCCTCGCCCAAGGAGCTCATGATGCCGTCGAGATTCTGGTAGTAGCCAGTATTGACATCGAGGACGGCAGAGAATTCGAACTCGAATTCTCGGAATGCATTTGGATTTGCATCACCACATGGTGCTGAACTCAGGCGATTTCCAGTGACTAGGCCTCTGTTGAAAAACTCAACTTCGATGTCGCTTAGTCTGTGGCCAGTTCCGGCGAGCCAGAAGTCCGACTCGGGCGTTCGAGGATTATCGGAGAGGCCAGAACCGATGGAGAGCTGGCAAAATTTTGGGTTCTCTGAATGAAAGGCGAAAGCATGGCAGCCGGGGAAGTGGACGCAACTGCTGATGCAATCTTCAGAGGTCTCTTGTTTGATGACAACTGGCTGTGATCGCTCTTCAATGTCAGTAGAGAGGACGGAGAATGTCGAGAGGACTGGTTCAAATATCTCTGGAGAAGTGGTGATATCCATTCCGATCGGTGCTTCGCTGAAAATTGAGGGGACCTTGACGCATTTATAGACATCTCCTGAGCCAAAGGCAAAAGGTAGAAGGAGACTGCCCCCGAGAGACCTTAACAAATAGTTTAAAATATGTAAATTTATTATAGATTAAGTGCGGACTTTAAGTAAATTATATCAGTCAGAAAAAATTCAATTATAGCTCGGATAAAACCTTCGTCTCGGAAATGAATTTTAATTAATTTACCTCATTCTTGCGGAATATCTCTACCGGTCTGTTGAGCAGAACTCGGAGAGCCATGGCAAACCTGAGTTAGAACAAGATAAACGGCATCGTTTGACAACATTATCTCATGTTTTCTCTTCAGCGGATGCATTTTTGAGGAAATGCAGGTTGTCAGCATAATCAATGTCTGATTTTTTTGTTGATGACAATTTATTGTAAAGACAGTTTATATTGGCTGTGGACAGATTTGATAATTATTAATTTGTCATTGATTAAGATGTTTGCATCATGTGAACAAGCGTGTCAGTAATCGTCGAAACATCGACAAAAACCGCTGGATATCCGCTCGAGGAGCAGCTTGAAACATCAGTTTGTTTCGACAAAAGACCGAAGATGGTAGCTGTGCCCTCTGGAGAATCGCAAATGAGAGGAGAACCGCGATCCGCAGTGCAGATTCCTTCGGCGGCTTCGTAAATTCCGTCGTTGTCGAGATCAACCTCGCCAGCGCAGAACTCGCTTTCGAAGTCGACGGCTCCGGTTGGAAGGTATCCATTGAGAGTGCAGTAGCTAGAAAAATTGATAAATAAAAGAAAAATATCGAGGAACTTACCTTTCTGAGTAGATGTTGACTCCGACCTTGGCAGTGGGGTCCATTTCGGATCCCTTCATCCAGCAATACTGACCATGTTCTGGGCTCTATAGAAAGATTAGTAATTGTTTCTTTACTGATATTCTTACTTGAGATCTGATTGGCAAGCAAGCCTTTCCAAAGCAATCCTCGCAAGTAGCTGGCTTCGATTTTGATAAAGATGGGATCTTGACCAAACAAGCATCTGTCGTGTCAATTCTCGGTTTGACAAAGATGCTCTTGAAGGAAAATTCGCCGTTGGCTCTGTTTGCTTCTTCTGTCCAGTAACCGCCGCCGATCATCGCTTCGATTGAGGAAGTGCTTCCGAGGCAGCAATGCTCAGTCGTGGTGAGGATGAATTCGTCGTCGATGATGACACCGCCGCAGAAATGGACAGAGCCATCGAAGGAGGTGACCTTGAGCTCGGTGTGCCAGGGATGGAGATTGTTGAGGCTAGATGTGGGCTTGATGAGACCAGCATAGGCTATGCTGCATAGCCTATCATCACTGATGACTCATCAGACATGTTTCCATGTAAATAAATCAATTATTTTTCGTGACTTTCGATAAGGTCTCTAACTTTATTAAGCCAATATCGAGAGCTTGAATGATGATATAGTAGCACAGAGCTACAATATATGCTATGGCACTTTTAATGCCAATTGGACATCTTGAGTAAACAGTTCGGCTTCGATTTGAAAGTCAAAGACTACTAAGATCCGGCCAACAGGACTTGAGATGAACTTTTGGATGATAAAAGACCCTCATTCTGATGATCACAAGTCCAGAAAAACTAGGATTTTTCCATGATAAAGACTTTTTATTGATAAAGATCAAGAAAATTAAAAACTAACTGTACATTTTTAACAAGCATCCGGTCTCAGTCGGAAAAAGGCGGCAACCATGTAAATGCTGCCCGTGACAATGACGGTTTTAACTTCTTCAGGCATATTTTCGAGGCAATCGTTTATTGATTCATATTCAAAACTCTTCAGTCCGTATTTTTGAGCACTTTCAACTGCCTTGGCAACGTATTTGTGTTGCTAAACTTTTGTTTAGCCAAAATTTAACAATTGAAGAAACCTCTTTTAATTGATCCTCTTTGCTGGCGGTCAGAAAGTCAGGGAAAATGTGCGAATACTTTTCTTTCGTCGTGTTTGAATCAAGCTCGTCTTCATTCATTCCAATAGTTGGGCATCCGGCAAAATAGTCAGGCTTCAGAAACTCTGCAATATGCACCATTTGACTGTCGATATCACGTCCTCGAGCAGATTTCATCAGAATAAGAGTTTCTCCTTCTTTATTTTTAGCAGCCCAGTGTGATAAGATTTTCATTGATTCTATAATTATAAATACCAAAATCAAGGAAGAGTAAACCTGGAGTATGCGCAGCGTCAAGAAGAATTCTGATCTTTCTGCCTTTGACTTCATGCTCCAAAATCTGTTGCCGTCCAGGCCATCGGATTGATTGAATGGCCTCCTTTTCCCTTGGAGTGACAACTTTCATTAGGTCCGATTCCGACGAGCTGCTGAACTTTCGCAAACGCTCGAAAACGCCGCCTTTTAGCTTCTTCATCAAATGCCTTCAAGTAAGTTCATCTGGTGAAATCAAAAAAGGATACCTGACGAGGGCTCGACAACCTGTGTCAAAAACCTGAGTCAAAGCCTAGAAGAACCTTAATGAAAGCCTCTTTGAGCCTTTTCATTCAAGCTCTTTCAGGCCCTCACTCAGATTTTTGACACAGGTTGCCGAGCCCAGTACCTGACAGCAAGAACGGCGCTAGCAGCATTGACATTTTGAGGAAATTCTAGTTCCGTGGAATCGATCAACTCTCCAGAAGGAGTCAAAAGCTCCCCTCTGTTCTTCGCTGATTTGACTAGGACTTCATATGCTTCCGGATATTCTTGCCAGGTCGTTATCAAGGTCGCTCCATGTCTGAATATTCCAGCTTTTGCCGCCGCAATTTCTTCAATCGTATAGCCGAGCTTTTCCAAATGATCATAGCCAAGCGCTAGTAAAATTTAAATACCAAAGAAAGAAATTCTAAACAAACCGGAAATGCAGCAAACCCGAGGCGCGCCCATCGGATACTGCGATGTTGAACAAAGCTGTCCACCGATGCCGACTTCGAGGATGACCACATCCACTTTTTGCTCGACAAAAGATTGCAGAGCAATCAGCGTCAAATATGAAAACCACTCATTTCCACACCGTAAATATTCCGTTTCCTCAGCCTTTTCGAGCTTTTCAAATGTAGCGGAGAGTTCTTCCTCCGAAATTGGTTTGCCGTTGATGCGGATTCTCTCGTTGATGCTGTTGAAATGGGGAGAGGTGAAGAGGCCGGTTTTGTAGCCCCTTGATCTGAGAAGCGTTTCCGCCATTGCACAAGTCGTGCCTTTTCCCTATCGAAACATTTTGATAAGAAGTGAAAAAAGACAAACCTTAGTTCCTGCGCAGTGAACAAGAGGAATGGACTTGAGTTTTTCATACATCTTCCCATCGAAAATTGTTTTCAAAGTTTCACCGAATCGAAGAAAATTTCGAGTTCTTCTTTTCACATTTGCCAGCTTTTAATGATACAAAACAGTATTCGTTTACAACTCAAATCAAATTTCTTATCACTTTCATGTTCAACTAAAAGCTCAGGCGTCGGCTCAAGTCTTGTCATTCTCAATCTCTTTCAATTTCGTTTTCTCTTTTTGATACTAACAAATTATATTCATAATTCAAAGAAATACTTGAAAGAGGAAATGACATAAAATGAAAGATATTGCAAAACTGCGAAAATAAGATTTTTCCGCAGACTTGGATCCTGATAACGGGTGTTTGACCTTCATCAAACATCAAAGAAGGGATTAATTGAAACCTTTTAAAGGATTCGAGGATTGTTGTACTGTAACTAGGGTCCGGCATGATTAGGACCAAAAATTTAATTTCAATGAAACTTCACGATTCCACTAATTCGACCCTAAGGAATTCAATTCCGTTCACTGATTCTCCCAAAAACCCCCCATTCAGCCCTTTTCAGGGCTTTAATGAAAATTTAAATTTTTTTACAGTCTGTAACAATCTACTAATAGTTTATAGACTTTCATGTGGAAAGTTGCTGAAGCGGAAATAATACTGTATCGTTTCATTATAAATATGAACGCGCTGCGAATATAGAAGCTCACTCTTGAGTCTTTGACAAAAATGCTGACTTTATATTTTTTCCATGGTCCATTGACGAAAGTCTGCTTCACTTTACCGGTAACCAAGACTTTGTTTCCTCAGCGTAGGAGTCTCCGGGAAAGCCCAAATATCCCGAACATATCCGACAGCAACTTCGGGGTGGTGAGAAATTCGAGAAAGTTCGAGAAGGTTCTAGAATCGACTGGCAGCTTCTTCTTTCGAGCTTCATCTTGAACTGGCTGAGCGATGAATAGGATTGGATGAAATTTTATTTCGTGGCCTTGTGTGTTTGCCCTCTGCATTTGTCGGCTCTTACGTGCGAAGTAACATCCATTGCACCGACCAGAGAAAGCCGGCAACAGATAAAAATGAAGTAAAATTTCATTATAAGTTCCAAATTGCACAAAATATATTTTAGCGTCAGTTTTGAAACAACAAACAGAATCGTTACAAGGCGTCATATTGCGATGATAGAATCAAACAATTTTCACAACTACCCAAGGAACGAGTTTCAAATTAAATTTTATCCATCTTACTTGATATATTATGATTAATAGTCTTAGATAATAGTTAACCTTGAATAACTCTTTGATCAGCCGATTGAGCACCGTCGAAATCCACGACCGACCAAATGCGCTCACTAAGGATGAAATGTCTTGGCTTGAAGACAGGTAAACAAAAGATAAGAAGACTGACAGACAAATGATTCTAGTGCAATTTTGGATGATTTTCGACCCCGAGAGAATCTCACAATCAACCTCCACTCAGGTTGTAACACATGAAATGATTTACCGGATATAAGATATCCTGTCAACATCGATTTTTTCCACTCCCCTTGTCCCCTCGTACCCATTGTCATCCCCCTTGCGCACTGTTCCTCCTTGGTAGCGGGTGTATCCGGGTATCTTATCCGCTTCGTAAGAAAGCGTCTGGTCTTTTGGATACAAGCGAGGCTCCAATTTTAATGGAGCGTGTCCTAACCCTCGTTAAAAATGAGTAGACTATGAGTAGACCTCCTGGTCGTAAAGCTCAAGAGTAAACAGGGGACGACACTTTGTCCTCTGACGCATGCGTCTCGCTCGACAGCCAGCCGCCCCCACCGCTCCGCCATCCACGATCATAGAGAATCAGAATTGTGAACTTTGCTCCCCGCCAAAAGCAAAATATTTTACCTACTGAATGTACATTTAATTCTCGCTAGAGCTGACGCAATAATTCTGATTCTGTATGATCCTGGACGGCAGAGCGGCGAGAACGACTAGCCATCGAACGACGCGCATGTTCTTTCAGTCGACAATCTCGCGCGTGTTCTGAGATCGGAGCTGTCTTTAGCGGATCTTTGACTGGATGAATGCGCGGCCTTGGAGCTTGTTTTTTGTGTTTCTTTATTGAATGAATAAATAAAAGTAAATTCGTTCGAATTTTCAGTCTTTTTCGCTTTTTTTGGCTCTCCAGCAAACGCGTCAGTTGTTCAATTGAGCTGGAGATTTTTGACTCTTGAGATTTGATAGTCTTTTGAAGCTCAATTTGTTGGAGTTTTATCGAAGCCATCAGATTGATTATTTCGGCATTGGAAGTCGAGTTCTCTCGGATTTGGCCGGGAAGATTGTTTGGCGAAAGCATTGGCGAAATATCAGTACTAAATCAAAGTTGCCCCTTCAAAAGAAAATAGGAATAAATCACCTTGAAAACTCCTCCCTCGTTTCTTCAGAAATCTTTTGCTCGATAACAGGCACTTGAACTCTTGAAAAAAAAGTTGAAGACTCATTTTTAGCATCAATCTGGGGCACAAATCGACAAAAAGAGCGACAAAGATTGGAATTTGAACTTTTAAGAAGGAAATTTCTGAAAGCTAATTGGCTGACGGGCCAAATGCGGACTTCTGATTGGTTGAAAATTAACCCATTGTCGTATTTTTTGTCGATGTGTTTGTTCAATCTCCATCAATCTTACGGAATTTTAATTTGTGGCTTCGAAAAAATCGGCCTCTTCTTCGTCAAATCTAGTGAAGCATCCGATAAAGTCTTCTCAAAGACAGCTGGCGGATTCAAGCTACAAATTTTGCCCGCATCGAGGGAGCTGGTCTTTTCTCGGCGATACGAAGGTGGAATTTTGATTCGAACGCTTCCTGAAGAAAGCATGAAAAAGGTGACTGGACGCTTTGGAAATTCATACCAGTTCTATATTCTTCCCCTTCTTGGCGGTTTGTCAGACTTCTCGAAGATAGACTGCTTTTCCGGTTGAGCGTCGAGGATGTGTCTGGCGGGTTTTTGCTGCTCGCCTGCCCCGGCACAGCTAAAGTAAGCCCTCCTCTAGAAAAAAAAAGATCTGGATAAAGTTTAAAGATGCTCCCAACCCTTGTCTAGACGGCTGCGCGCCAGGTGAGGACTGGCTTTCCGCTTCAACATTTATCTTTTCTAAGCTGCCTCGTCGTGATGGCATTCGCGACTGAAAACCGTTTTCAAAGGATGATCATTCACGAATCCATGCATTACCGTTATGTTCGAAACAAGACGACTGCCCACTTTTGAACTGATTTCCGACGCCTTCTTTACCGCGGCCCCAGTTTTTGATTTCGTCAAAAGGGCGATTTTCGAAATCATCTTTGCTTTTCGCCACCGCTTTCTGGATTGCACGGATGAAGATCTTTTGCGAAAATGAATTTATTTCATAAATTTGAGACCCAGCGAGTTAATACCTTGAAACTGTTCTTTGACTTGTCAATTTTTTATCCGCCGCGATGGAACTTGTATCATCCTTCTTTGCCTCGTCAAGATGAACATCCAAATGAAGCTGCCTCTTTCTTCTTTTTGACTTTTTGCTGACAATTTTCTCCAACATGTCCAACTTCGATGTGATTTGTTTCGTCGCCAAGGCTGAAAATGAATAGAAAAAATTGAAAATAAGGGTACCTGTGTCGTCAATCATAAACTCCTTGTTGATTGCTTGATCGACATTGTCCGTGTGCGTTTTTATCTGCCGCCATTGCCACAATGCATGAGCATATTGCAGCGTCAATTGACGAGCTTCTTTGATCTCCCTGTACTTTTTCCCCAATCTTTGGCGAAAGTTGAAAAGGCTTGTTTTTCCAACATCATCATAAATATCCAGCTCGTTGGTCTTATTCATCGCGTAGAGCTTCCAAGCTGCTTGAATCAGCGAAGCAGCAGCGTTTCTCCTAATTTTCCAGAGTCGTTGTTTCTCGATCGACGCTAAAATTCGCTTCTCATCGGGAGGAATGACGAGTGCTTCTGAAAGGACCCCAACGATCAAGGCGGTTTGGAAGATTCCAAATAAACTGCTGAAGGCGACGAAGATTCTGTTCAGGGTGCACGAAAATTTCAAAAATGATTTTGTTAAAAAAAATATACTGTAGTACAATCATTTTATACAGGGAGGTTATATTCTTATGAGTGAAAGATTCTCAGAGATGGAAAAAGTCCAACTTTCAATCTGGAATAGGCCCCAGCCGTCGAAATCGCTTCAAAAGCTGTCAATAAAATAGCACCCTTCCTAGAAAGAACAAACGAGGGCGTAAAGTCCCCAAAGCCCAGGTTTGTCAGCGTGACAGCCATTAGCCAGACAACATCGAGATATTGCATGCATGTTCCGTATCTTCGTTCCAGCGCAAAAACGACATATCCAGTCCCGAAAACGATGAAGAAGTAAAGTCCAATCAGCATCGTCAGCGGCCGTTTCATAAAATAACTCTTCAGGAGGAACGTTGACGACAGCTTGATAGACGCAACAGTTTTGAGGATTTCCGTCATTCGGTTGTATCTCATGGGATGGTGTTCTCGCATGAATTTGATGGTATGATAAAGTCTCACGAAAATGATGAGCTGCCACTCGGGAGGCACTGGAATCCCTCGAATGGGAGGAATGTGGATCGCGCAGAGAGAAACTTTTTTCCGATAGAAAAAATGATTTCATAATCATAACAGCTCGAGAATCATTGAAGATTAAGCAACGCAATGACGCAAAATTTAAATAACTATCGTTCCTTCAAGAATAAACTGAGCCGCCAAAGGTGAGCAAAGAAGGTTCATCTCGCGGCAAAGATGATGCCTGACAACTAACAGTCTTCTCTCCAACTCGCTGTACCACCAGACAAGGATCAGTGTCAGAATTGTAAGGCAAGAAATGAGAAAGCGCGTGACAGTAGATGTATGTCGGAGCACGTCTTTTATTTGTCCAACTTGAAAGTCCCTGAATTTTTTATCAAAAAGGCCTGGTTAAAATAACCGGTTGTGGCAAAAAGTCTATAGACAATGAAAGATAAATCATCTTAATAACAGATTTTGTTGTACAGAATTGTATATACAGTGCTCTTGTTTCATTTTTAACCCTTTTTTCAGAAGGCGTCATGCTTTTATCCTATTTTTGCGGCTTCAAAAGCTGTATTTACTCACGTATAAGTCCCATTGACAGCATCCCAAGTGTAAGTACAGTTCATTCCCCACGGCATCGGGCGAGAAAGCAAAGAAAGATAGCCCCTAGAAGTGTAGTATAGCTCCAGATCGATAAGGCTGAAAAAACGAAACTTTAAAAAACATGAAACCAGTGCGCTTTTTTACCATAAAACAATGCTGACAAGTGTAACGGAAAGAAGCGCCGAACTGGTCTGTCGAAGACTTCGGTAGACTCGCATCTTGAGCAGCTCTTTTCTCTCGAATTCCGCAACATCTCGCCACTAGAAAAAAGGCGTTTATTGTCTCCAAGATATTCTTGCTCCAAGTTTTCTTTTCTACGAACCATTATTTTAGCTTTTCAAAAGAAAACAAAAAGTAATTGGCTAATTTATTTCGAGTAAAATTGAATAAATCGTTTAGGATGAGCCGAAACCTTCTGAAATCGATCCCCAGCTGAATCTGATTTTGGCCTTTATAATAAAGTAAATGCACCTCTGGACCGAGAACGATCATTTCCCACGAAAGCTCCCGCATTGTCGTTAAAACTGAAAGGTTCTCTGCTTTTTGCGAACGATTTCTGCCATGAACATTCATTTGGCAAATTGACATTGGCCATTTTATCAATCTCTTTTTCGGTTTCCTTTTTTCGGTGATAGGATAAGACGCGATATATACGGGATTATTCTTGCCCCAATTATGAATGCTTTCAATTTTCTATGCAGCAATGTCTTTGCAGAAGAATCTTTAAAATAATAAGCAAAAAAAAAGAAGAATTATTTTCGCTTAGAATTTTCGTCAATCAAAGAATCCTTTCTTCTTTATTACCTGCTTTGCTTTGAAGAAAAAGGCACGAGTATTTGTGGTTCCATTTGACTAAGTTGAATCTTCAAAACCATTATTTAGCAATTTTAATTTTATTATATTTCTGTATATCAAAAATCTGATTTTATAAAAGACGAAGCTTAATACAAAAATTATGCAGAACCTAAAAAGGAAGTGATTTTTAGATCTGCTTTTTGATTGGCTCGGAGGGAAAACAGAGCAATTTAATTGGCTATCCAAAAAACCACTTCAAATTTTTGGTTTTGTCCAAAAAATGCCCAAATTTTTTTCGATTATAATTTTCAAAATTGAAATTTCTGACTGTAATTTGAAAATCTTCCTGCGTAGAAAGCTGCGTAACTGTCGACTGTCGTTGAGAAAAAGGTCCATTCATTTCACTCATTCTCTTAATCGCTCCTATTTCTATCCATCCGTCTTTCAGACTAAGGGCCGAAAACACAAGTTAACAAAGTCCGAAGCTTAGTTTGAGTAACAAGGAGCATGCATATTTCACGCTGCCAGGATCAAATATTGAACAGAAAAAGCTCATGAGCGATGAATCTCGCCGTTTGGAAAGTTTCACTTTTCAAAATTAATTTTTGCTGATTTGTGCACTGTACTTGCCGGAGCGATACCGTACATTGCAGGTGCATCAATCGGACTGTACTCGATTATTCATTGAAAACGATAGGTATTGTATTGGATATCTACCGTTTAAAATTGCTTTTCTGTTTTGTCCTGTTTTCTTGATGATTCATGCTCAGAACCAACAAATCTTGATAATGTTGATTAGCAGTACTCTTACAAGAATTTCGACGACGTTTTTGAGTCCATGATTCATTGACAGTATCTATCACAACTGTAGCAGATGTCAATGTAGCTCCATGTCGATTTATTCCAGCAATTTTCCTGCCGCTAGATGTCTCTCGCCCGTTTCGTAAAGCTTAAAACGAGCCGTATTCTTTACTTACTTTCATAATCAAAAAACTTTTTTCAAAAGTAGAATGAACCTAATTCGCCTCGTTTTAACGCTTTTGAGCGTTGCTTCCGCAAATCTTCTTCGAAAAACAAACGATTTTCTCCACAAAGTTGAGGACAACGCAAGCCACAAAAAATACAACCAACAAGTCAGAGCGAAATTCCGAACCCTCTCCCGCGATCTGCTAAATCGAGGAGCAATCAACAACTACAGAAAAAACTTGACGAGTTTTGGTACTAAGCATTGCGGCATTTGCTGCATTTCACTGTTGTTTTCACTGTATATTTCCATCGAATAATAAAACAAGTTATGAAATCAAAAATTGAGAAATTATGGTGTTTCTTCTTCGGATGATAAGCTGGCGGCAAGAACGTCTCTCTGGTGGGTAGACGAGAGGAATTTGAAGCAGAGATCCTAAAAAATCATATTTCATAACGAACAAAAAAGGCAGAAAGATTGGCCAGTACTCAATGACATGCGTTACAAATCTGGTTAGAGCTTGCAATTTCGGGGGGCTTGATTTCTCTAAAATGCCAAAAAAAAGGTTATTTTATACGTTTATGTAACACTTACTATAATAGCATACTCCGGAAGGTTGCAATTAGAATCAGTACAGGACCTATTCTTCTATAATTTAGCCAGAAACGGTATGATACCAAACCTTTTCTCGGTTAGTAGTCAGGGTTAGGGGGCCGGGACTCCCATGCCAGGGAGTACCAACTGGGGGTAAGGCTCTAGGCCCTAGAGTCTAGGGTTAGGGGTATCATACCAATTCTAGCCCAAATATAGGAAAATCGGTCCTGTACCAATTCTCGTTGCATATTTTCACAAGATACTTCTTGTGGCTTACTGAATATTTGTATAGTAAGTCTAACGATTTAGTTATGAAAAATTTGTAAAATTTACTGATTGATTTTTGTCAATCGTTTTTTTTGTTTACGTAAGATTGACGTTCAAACTAAGCTGTTAAAGTCCGGGTTAATCTTTCAATTTTCTTCATGAACAGCTTGCGCTCTTTACCACAAAATCACCTAATCCCGGAAAAGTTTGCTTGGTCCTTCCGGAAAAAATATCCGTCAGATGTCATTTCGTAGATCTGGCAGAAAAAATTATGGCAACATAACATAAATATGGTGCAAGATTTAAACCTGATCGGTCCAGAGAGTTTCAGAGCGAAGATATTCGTCGTCCCGTTGTATGTACCACATTGCTCTTTTTTCCGAGTTACAGTCAGTTTCTTCGAAAATGCCTCAAAATGTAAATCGCTGCCTGAGAAGGTCCATGCAATTTTCACCAAAGATGATTGCCGATCCAAGAACGCAAGTTGTAATAAACACTCGAAATTTGCTCACAAAAAATTCACGAACAAGCGAAATCGCAAGAAAAATGAAGCAAAGTTCCTATGAGAAGACAGTGATCCAGCACAAACGCGACATATTTCCATTCTGCCTTCGAGTTCTCATTAAATTCCTTTTCCTTGAAACTCTTTGCCATGTATTCCACCCCTCTGATCGCGTCCTGCACTTCTGGGTTCAATAAAATCGGGTCGGTTTCGTTTTCCGTCCCGGCCAGTTTCGCTATCGCTCGGTACTGATAAGTCCCTTTGAAGACATCGCTGATCTTGGGCGGCTTTGGTCCATGCACGTCCATTTTTTTCATTGTCGAAGAAAAAAGGAGCCGGGGCAGGAGATCGATAAAAACGGTGCGAATCCATTGTGGCATTTCGTGGGTCTCGGGGCCGCGGTGGTGCATGTTTTCGACCACGATCGTGAGTAGGATGGAAACGGTGTTGAGAATCATCGTGAAGAGGATGTAAATGCCAAGTTTCGGGACTGCCCGGGCGGTTTGAGGGATGCTGTCGACGATGACAAGGAAAAATGTGACCAAGGACAGGAGGACGGAAATACACAGAGTTATCTTTTCCGCCTCTTCAGCTGGGAGGTAAAATACGGCGCAGGACAAAAGCTACATGAAGATTTTTTAACTGAAATTCAGTTGGGCGAAAAGACTTACCGAAAAGACTATTGTCGGAATAATAATATTCAAGATCAAATATCTCGGTCTTCTTTTGATAATGATATAATGCGTGATGTCTTCATATCCTTCCGGCAGCCCTTCGTAATATTGAATATGTCTCCAGCACCCGTAATGAAACATTTCCCACTCCCCGTTTACATTATACGTCGACAAGTCGATCGGCTCGCAACAAGTCACATCGTCATAACGCGCATCGAAATTCCGAGTCTGGATCAAAAACGTATTTCCCGTCCAGCTGCCAATCTTCATCGAGCAGTTCTGCGAGTCGAACGGGAAGTTTGCCACTTGGATTTCGCAAAAAGTTTTGGTGATAATTGGCGGGCGCCACATGACGGTTCCGTTGCTGAAGATTCGGACGCGGACGGACTCGGCGATGATGAAATCTCCATCGGCATTGCCTTAGCAAAAATGGTAAAATATGAAGAAGGTAAAGAAGTATTTGTATATAAACATTTGGCATTTCCCAACTCAAGAGTAACCTCTAGGGAGGGCTTATTTTTGCCATTTTCGGCTGCGCCACATCTTGACGCTCCTGACTTTTGCCCAGCTGACAGGAGGTGGGCGGAGCTTGACATGGCGCAGCGACTGGGCGGAAATACGATTTTTCCTCACCGGAGATCCGGGTTTTGATTTCACGTGTGTGTTTATTTTGAAACTATTTATTCATATAAAATCATCTGATATTCTACCATAGAGAGCGTAGTCAGGCAGCCAAAGAAAATCCTGAGGAACATGGAGCGTCGCGACATTTCCGTAGTCTTCTGGATCCCAAGACAGCCTCTCGTCTACCCACTCGTGATGAAACCAGAACTTTATATCGATTTTCTACGAGACTTGTTTATTCAAAATATTTTCAAAAGTCCGTGTTACTTGAGCGACTTCATTGACGTTGATGATTTCGTTGAGAATCGGACGAAATTTCACTTTTACCGGGTTTCTGTGGTCAGCTTCAAGGAGGGCTTAAAACTGTCTTCGAAAAGGGGAAATCGAAAATTCTAGAGCCTTGCTTGTGGTCTTATATTCGGATTGTAGTTGTTCGTTTCAAAGAGCTTCTTTTTTTAATCTCTCTGCTGGGCCTGCTTTTTGCCCATTTGCTTCAAAAAATAGAAATAAACAAAGAAAATGCATTTTGATCATTATTTTTGCTAGCAAAAGATCAAGTCCAGGGGCTGATCTATCGACAGCTGACGATCTGGGTGGGGATCGATGACGTTATCTTTGAAGAATATTTTAGGATAAGAGTTTTGTTTATTGATAAGAGGATAAAGTTGGAAATGAACTTTTGAAGAATTTCTGAATAAGGAAGAAAATAAATATAAAATAATTTTTTTTGAGAAGAGATAAAGGTTTTTTGCTAAAGAAATTCGCTTTAGCAGAATCGAAACACCGGTTAAATTTCACTTCTTGGGCATTTTTATAGAAATAAATAATTGCCAGTGATAAGAAAACGAGTCCAAATAATAAAATAGGTTTTAATTTCAAACGGACCATATATTTTTTTTTTGATTCTTCGAAAGACCATTCTGAAATTTTCAAGAAAAAGTAGTGAGAGAATGAAAGACACTTCTGTTGGCTAAAAGTGTATTTATTCGCCAAATTCAATGATAATCCTTTATCAAGTCCTAATACTACAGTACATTCTTCAGTACTAATTGTCAATGTTACTGTCAACTGCAGTTGAGAAATGAAAACGAACAATAATCATCATAAATTATATTTCTCTTTGAATTCTGTCGTCAGAGGCACTTGACTGTCAACACTCATTGCAAGAAGCTTGTCTTCAGCACACGTTTTTTCCGACAAGTGCAGATAATTCCATGAGCCGCTCTCGTAGAGCATTTTGGCGTTTGTAAATGGATGTCCGCGGTTTTCGCAAGCTCCATGACCATTTTCTTTCGCCAGAGTTTTTATAAAGTTAAAATTAAAATGCAAATTGTAGATTTGCAACTTGACAAATTTTATTTAAACTCAGTCCTATTATTTTTAAATACTCACTGATGTTCATTTTCTCAAAATTAATAATTTGAGTTTGAGGAGATTCCCGATTCAAGGCCAGTTTGGCTACAGTGCAATCAATAACACCTTCTGCGCAGCGAGAAAAAGTGCTCTTCGCAATTTCTATTTCTTCTTCCATTTTCTAGATTCTTTTTTACGCTTCTGTGTTGATAGATAAATGACTAAACCTTTTGTCCAAAAGCCTCAATTTTTCGATGCAAAGAAGCATTAAAATAATCGTACATAAGAAGATCAATTTTATTGAATTCGTCGAAAGTTGCTTGTCGCTCCTCGTTCAAGGGCTCAATTCTGTAGTTTCTTTGGTTTTTGTTTTCAATGTACAAATGCTCGTAGTCCGCGCAAAGTAAATGCCGAAGTAAGACAATCCCCTCCCAAAAATACTCGGTTAGCAGGATGAGGTCGAAGTTGCTGTCTAATTTTGCCAAACTCTCCTGGACGTATTTCATGTCCTTCATTCTGTCAAAGTCCATGCCAAGCTCGAACGACTGGGGATTACTCACTCGGTAAGCATAGGGAGCTGAAGAGTCGTAAGCTTCTGGAAGAATATCAAGAAATTCTTCGATCGGCAAAAAGGGCTTGGCATCAACATCTTCGACAGTGTTGGAAAGAATTTGTTTGAATGGGGCGCCCCAGCAGGGCCAGTCGCAATCGTTCGAATTTCGATAAAAATAATTGTAGGTTGATCGAAAAGTCGCGAGTGGATCTCGAATGGTTGTAAACGTCTTGACTTTTCCTCTGTTCGCGTCAAATATTCCCGGCAAATAATCCATGTTCCAGCGAAAGTGATACGTAATGCCTATCACTGGATCATTTCTCTTGCTCCCTTCCCAACAGAGTTCGTTGAACATAGCTGGAAAACATCCTCCTTGAGGTCCCATTTGAGGTTTTTCACTCTTCTCGAAGGCATTGTTTATTTTGAGCCATTTGTCAACTATGCCTTTGAATGTCGTTGATGCTGTCTTGTGTTTTTTCATAAAAATCAGACCATCTTGCAGCTGACACTCATTTTGCCATAATTCGAGGTCCGCTTTCAGTGGAATTCCCCGGTATTCGCTGCTTTCCGGCGATATCTTCTTTTGGACAATTTTTAAATAATTTTGTTTTTCAAAAAGCGGGAAATTTTCTTTGTCAAAAAGCTCGTAAACTTCGTTGATGTACTGATTTCCTTTTTCAATCATTTCGTTCGTAAAATATTCAAAAGAAGGCTCTTTTTTGGGCGATGAAATTTCTCAGTTTCTTCTAGTGTCTAAAAAAGAGTATTAGATCATTCGAGTTTCCGAGTAAAACTTACTTCTTTCAAGCATTTCAATCGAATTTCTCTGTCCGAAACAGTGTAAACATTCTCTTTTTCAATAAAATCCAAGATGTTTTCCATTTCATGGATCGCGTTCGCCTTGAGACTTTCGTAAAAGAAAATATGAAGTGGAACGTTCGCTTTTCCTTTCAGAGGGTCCTCAACCAATATAAATACAAAAGCTTTTTTGAACAAGTGTTTAAGTTGCTTTCTCGTTCATAAAGTCAAAAATTCGTCTACGGTTTTAAGGAAATTGGGGTCTTTAAGCAGTTAGGTTTATCTCAGATAAATTATCTGATAAAGGTCGAGAAGCCCACAATCGATTTGTACTCGATCAAAGAGTCTTAAAGCTTTCTCTTTTTTCAAAAACTATTTGATCTTTTCGCGCAGTGAGTAAATCCATGACCGATTACCGTTGAGGTGCGTTTTCGAGGGCTAAGCTTTCGCGACTAAGGTCAACTGTAGCTTTTCTTCTTTCGTATTTTATGAGGAAACCCCTTCCTATGTTTTGGTCAATAACTTCTTCCGCTAGAGTCTTCCACTTTCTCAAAAAATAGCTTCCCATTTTTTCCCACTCTTCTCCAACGAAAATTTCTTCTTCGACATTCGCTGTGTGCCCTTTTCCGTGTCGTCGTTTCCACTCTGCCACCGCCGCGTCGAATGGATTTCGAATGAGAAAAAGAATGGCTTTTGGGTTCGGAATTCTCTCGTCCTTGATTTCATGAGATTTCTGAAAGAGCGTCTCACCATCCGATGGCACTGTTTCTTCACCAAGAAAACCAGCCTCCAACAATTTTTTGTCTTCGTAAACGCTTCCAGTGTAAATTCCAGTTGATTTTTCGAGGAGCATCCGCGTCCAACTAAAAAAAAGATATTTTTAACATTCAAAAATTTATTTGCTTTGGTTTTTCAAAAAACAGATTGTAATTTCTACTCTTAACGCCGGAACGCATACAATTTGTTTCTCCCGGAACGCATATTGACCCATTTATGGGTAAGCACCTTTGACGCCATATGATATCAGAAGTCAAGAGTCAGTTATTTAAAAAGCTCAGGCTCTGAGCTTTCATTAAAGCCCAAGTAATCTTAGCGCCCGTTTGTGACCTTGAGTGAGCTCTTGAAGTCATGTTTTCGCGATGAAATTGAAGAGTTTCTTCCAAAAATAGACCAAAAAGAAAGTAAGTAGACATTTAAACTGGTTGTAGATGGCCACAAACCGACAAGCGCTAAGATTTCTTGGGCTCTACGGAAAGCTTAGAGCCTGAGCTTTTTAAATAATTGACTCTTTACTTCTGAGAAGGCCGGACGGGTATCGAAAAATTAATCGAGAATTGAGTTCCTCATCGAAAAGTAGCTCCATAAGTTATGGACCATAACCAAAGCCTTTGGTCCAAAGGGCGCGTTACAAAAAAATGTGTCGATATGCGTTTCGGCGTAAATATATGTCACATTTAATGTTGATTATTGCCGCATTTTAAATGTGATAATTTTCGCAGATGTCTCGTTCAATCACGAAAATTAAAAGACGAACTGAGGTCATTTTAATAATAAAATTCGACAGATACGCATTTTCCATAAATTGCATTTACTTAAGACGACGTGAAATCCGCCGTCTGGAATATTCTCTCGTATTTCAAATGGCATATCATCATTTTGGCATTAAGATCTTAATGCGACTGAAAATCGAGGCGAACTTCCGCTGCTATTTTTGGTTCTTGAACTTGCCTAAGATAAATTCAATTGATCGCCCGTGTGCAGAGCCAGATAATCACTTACGTATTACCGCTGCCTGGAAATGAAACGAAAGGTAACACTGCAAACTTATTTTTCTTCCCAAGTCGTATTTCCAAATCGCAATTTTCTTCGTCAATTTGAAAGTGAAGGTTCAATAAATTATCGTCTCTTCCAGCGACAGCTCTTTCAAGATTCACATTCATGCTCCAAGTCGAAGGATCTGAGTAAAGAAAGAAGTCTGAGAGAAAACAAATCTCTTGCTCGACGAGTGAGATTTCCGAATCGAGGTCGATTTTGTCCAAGTCGCGTTTGAAGATTGAGAGAATTTCTTTTTCCGTGAAAATAATGATATTTTTGATTTCTGAACGAAGCTGCTCGACGAATTCGGAGTCGTTTGGAGGACTGAAAATAACGAGTCTGGATATGTTTCGTTTCCCAAGCTCTTCTTCGATAAACTTTGCAAAAACCATCGGATTTTTCCGAATAGCAAGCACTTTTTGCATTGTTTCAGTTTCATCCTTGCCTGCTCCCCAATCATCCAAATCGTATCTCCAATGAAGTGCCGCCATTTTATGCTCTTTCAATCCTTCGAACTTGATGATGGCCGCAATCTTCTCAGCTAGATTCTTGATTTTCTTCGGGCGACTGGTTGCTTCGATCACTTTTCTAAACAGTTCGAAGTCTGATTCGACAAATGGCTCCAAGTTCTTAAACCGATGACGGAATATCATGTTCCAGGGGAGCAAGGAGTACGGATGTTTTAGCAAAATGCATTGCTTTCCGTCAAATCCGCTTAGAAATCTCATTAAAGATTCGGTTCCTCCTGATCCAATTCTTCTCAGCACAATTTTTTCTGTTCTTAGCGGCGTTGTTTTTATAGCTTTTTAGTTTTTTTTCTTTTAAAACGCCGATTTCCTATTTTTTTTTTGAAAGTCCATATTCAAATACTCATAAGTAAGCTTCGTCCATGTCTCATAAGTTCTTTCCGGATGAAAATCCAGAATAAGATCAAAGGAGTCGCCGCATACGGACTTGACATCAGCTGGGTCGATTAATTTTATTTTGCTTTTTATGGACTCGAATTTTATTTTTATATTTTTACGGTGATTGAAAGTCAGCTGATTCGCGATTATAAATTATAATTTATAATGCACCGAAGAATTGAAAATAGAATGACCGAAATCAATGGGGCCCAAATTATTTTTTGAAAAATCTTAGGGGGTAGAACTAGGTTTTTCGAAAATAGCCAATTCTAGACCGGCGCTCAAAATAGAAAGGTCACAATAAGTAATTGTCACTAACGATATTTTCTTATCCAAACTTGATAAATTGTCAATATCAATAAAAACAGACGGATTAGAAAAGAAATGCCCAACAGTAGTGAAATGTCGGAAAAATAGAGGAGCAACAAAAGTGCGATTCATCAGCTGGGATAAAAATAAACCCTCGCGAAGGCCCCAGATCTGGTTGTTAGGCCCGCCCATATTCACGGAAATAATGATTTTCTCTTTCTCTTCTTTGCTTGTTGCTTCGTTATTTGAAATGAGGCTATCAACAGTAGTCGACTTGTAAGTGATCTTCTGCATTGTTTCGACATCTTTCTCTTTCCAAAAATATAAACTCGCCGTAAATAAACACGCAAACGCCAAAATCAAAAATAATTTACACTTGAAATTGACAGAGCGGTCTCTTTTCGCAGAACCCATCTATTGAACGAAAATGATTCTACAACTCATATATTTTTACGAAAGACTCGGTGCGAATTTTTAGTGCCACTTCGATTTCATTGAAGGGCGCCCCCGTCACCAAATATCACGGAGGATTTAGATGTCCGGAGTTAAAGAAATAGAGAAATGCGGAAAGTAATGGAAATCAGAAAACAAAAATTATTTTTGTCATTGTTCTTATGCTTCATTGTTATGTTGTTATTTAAAAATGCAGCGCAAAGCGAATCGATAGCGAAGAAATTAAGGAAAGTTGACAAGAAAGTTTGTATTTTTTTTGAGAAAAATAGTTAAACATGAGAGGCATGAAATTATCGATTCCCTGTTTTCCCAAACTAGTTATTTCATTCTTGTCAGACTTGCTTTTTATGCTGCAAATTATGCCTCTCATTTTTCTCATCTTCTTGATCGTTTTTGTTGAAATTTTATGGTAGCAGCTGAATTGCGTTTCTAAAATTGATAATGAGGGTTTCAAGAAAACTCGTTTAGGACGAAAATCAGAGAGAATATTTTTGGCAACTTTTTAAGAAAAGCAATCATTGTAAGTAACGCTCAAAGTCAAACGCGAAACAATCGATGAACATATTGATATGAAAAAGCAGGTTATAAAAAACCATAAAAATCTGAATAAGTTGAAATTAGAGCTTTTCTTGGAAATTCGGTAACAAAAAATACTCCATTATTTTGTATTTCGGCTGTATTCAAACGGATATCCGAGGTTATTATCCAATTTTCAGATCATGAGTCCCACAATCCCAAATTCAAAAAATTTCATGGATGAGATTTTCAATAACAACGAAGACGCCTTTTACATTTACGAGCCTCTTTACCAGTACTCCAGATCTGGATTCTCGAAAAGCACCCAAAAATTGCGCAAAGAACTTTTAGTCCACAATCTCAACTGCAATTTCATCGATCACTACGACCAATCACTCACATTCGACCGATTCGATGATGACTTAAATATGCATGGAACAATCGAAAGCAGAGGAAACTTTGTTTTTCGAAACAAACATCGACGACTCTGCTTAGAGTTGCAAATATTCTACAAACATTGTCAACAGGGACAATCCTTATTGACGCTTGAACGCATGTAAAAGTTTTTTCCCGGAACGCATATCGACCCATTTTTGGGTAAGAGGCCGTAGACCCGTTTTCTTGTATATATTAACCCAAATTTTATCATAAGTATGATCTTCAGACAATAAACTTCAAGAATGGAACATATGATATCTCTCATCTGTTTTTCTAGCTCTAGAAAATGATGATTTATGAAGGCATATTTCAGCGCCTTACCCAAAAATGGGTCGATATGCGTTCCGGCTTTAATTTCAACAAATTTAGTTAACTCTTGTGATCGCTATTCTGAATATCCAGACGAATTCATCACGAATTGAACCTCATTAAGGGGTAAACCAAAAACAAAGGAGTACTTAAGATAGAATAAGACACCAAAGGAGCAGGTAAGAAAGTGTATCATATGATTCATGTGCCAGAGAGCGAGCTATTCAGGTCGATTTTAGTGGACAGGGCTTTAAAGCAGCATAAAACTGCAAGCTAATTGGCTCCAAAAAATCACTTCTTTTGTTGTACGATACATTATTATCTGCTCCTTTGTCGGTTCATCCTAGCTAAAGAGTTCCCTTTTATGGTATGTGCCCTTATTCTTGATGGTAAATCCTAAGGATAATCTAGAATAAACGGATTTCCGGTGTATTTTCAATGGTACCTGTCTGTAAAGCTTTCATGACGGGAAAGGTTTTTATTAGTGATTCTGAGTATGCGTCTCAGAAACGACATGAATGTGCGTCAATCATTGAAATTCATAAAGGTTTTATCTCCTTAGCAACTAGATTTTCAACTCCTTCTCTGTTCACCGCCATTCTGCAAGACAAATGCGACGGAATCAAATTGCGACAGCCAATGCGACCCTCTTGATTCTAAGTTAGCTTCAGAGACTTGCAAAACTCTCGTTCCAGTCGTAAAAATAAGCGACAGAATAAGTCTTGACGAAATTAAAAATATCTCAAGTCAGGATCTCACAAAAACTCAAATTTATTTAAAAAATGTTAGAACCTTTCAAGCGAAAATCAATTTGATATCAAACTCATCTTTGAATCAATTGATCTCGGAGATGCTTGCGATTTCGCAAAAGAAAGTTCTGAAGATAAAGAAAATCAAAATTGGCTGAAAAAAAACTTCATGATTGTTGACGCTGATGATCATGCTCGTAGTCTGGAAGAATATAGCAAGAAGATACTGAGCTTTGCTGGTTTTGAAGTCAAAGATAGTTTTTTTGATCTGATTAAAAATTTTAAAGATGCAGGTAATAATGCCTTAATCGAGAGAATACTGAAGATTTATTCAGAAAATGAAACAAAAAGAAATCAAGAAAGAAGTATAAACTCCAACAAAAAGCTGAGCAAAGAGTGTCAAGCCCTTTTAAATCTCTCGGATATTAAATATTGAATAAACATCATATTTCATTTTATGAAGTGAGGCCTCCGATATAAATCCCTTGTGAATGCTTCTTTTTATTCATAAAAAAGATCGGTATCACTACTTGCATTTCTGTATTGAATTATTATTCCCTTCAATCAATGACGTAATCTCTGCATAAATACTAAAAATATCAAGTACATGTATATGAACTACCTACTATATATAATCAAGAATTTTCGTTTATTGAGTATAAAATGATGAATTTTAAAATTTAATTTTGAAGAAGTTTGCAGTTATGTAGCAAAAAAATTTTGAGAATAGATTAGAGTTTCTTTCCTTCTTTCAAATCGGAGAAAATCTCCGTGTTCGAAATAGTTTCTCCTCGCCCCATCACAGATCTTTCAATCGCGACGTTGAAAGACCAACTCGAGCCATAAGAAAGATAGTAAGTTGAAGCCGTGATGGAGATCTCCATTTCCGCGAGCGACAAGATTTCAAATCGAAGGTCTTCGTATTTTTCGCCGCAGTTAGCGTAGTTCTCCGCAAGCGCGTCGATGAGCTGCATTTGAGTGACGATTTTGAGTCTTCCTTGATTTTCGAATTCTCGCTGGACGCCGTGGATCAGCTCCATTTCGGAAGGCTGAAATTGGTTATTCAAGTTTGATCTTTTATCGACAAAAATTGACGGCTGACTTACTGGAGTAGCAATATAAATAAAGTCGAAAACTTCTTCTCCGCCAATTTTGTCCAAATGTTTCCCGAGAAAATCCGCGATCGCTTTGGAATCAGAAAGAAGATCAAAGTTGTCGCAGATCAGTTTGTATTGGATTGCCTTGCACTGCTCGTTTTTCCAGTCTTTTTCGTCGTATCTCCAGTGGATCGAGAGGAATTTCTTGTCTGGCGAGTACTTTCGGACGAAGGAGTCGACGAAGATCTCCAGATGTTCCGGTCTAAAAGGGGATTAGACAGATTTCGGAAGAGAGAAAGCGACCTTTGAGTATGTTCAAAAATCGCCTTTGACAATTCGCCATCATCCGCTTCTGGTTTGTGCCACTGTCTCATTATCGGCGTGCATTTGTAAGGATAGCTCGCCACTGGACATTTGTGATCACTGCTGAGTTTCTTTCGAGCGTCGGCCAAACTGGCCACTTGAAGGAAATTTCCTGCTTTATAGGATTTCAGCTCGTCTGGAGGAGGAAAGGTTTCAAAGGGAGCGAGTTGTTGTTTCTTCCAGTTTTGGCAGTAATAAGTGAGATTGAGGGAAGAAGAAGAGGTAAAATTGTAGTACTCCTCGATCGCCTAAAATGAAGGGAAGTTGAAGGTTTTTCGAGCCCAGAGGGTCTTGTGAGAGTTATTTATGCAATCCCTTCGCTCAAAACTGCGCCTAATCTTTTTACACATGTAAAAGGTGGCTCACCTGGACGCGCGGGTAATTCTCTTTTTGGCAAATCGTTTGAAGTCTATAGATTATGTCGAATCCATCTTCGCCACAAGCTTGTTGCGCGTCTTCGGGTTCAATGACCGAAATGAGCGATTTGATTTTTGACATGTCCATTCTTTTTTATTTGGTTGCGATTGGGGTACCAGCAAAATAGTTGACTTACACAGAAAGATGAATAAGAGAGCTGGCGTGAGGAAATGACGGAATTTCGATTTATTTTTTCTGAAATCTGATTGGCCTTAAGGCCAAACAGCAGAATCTGATTGGTCGAAAATTTGCAGGAAAATTTTTGCCAAAATAGTCGCAATTTTCATCGAATTATGAGGCCTCCGAAAATAAAAGGAGTCCTTTGCTTTTGTTATAATTAATTACTGATGATTATCATTATATAATTTACTAGGAACATTGGTAATGTTTATGCGTAGCGATTTATTAATAGGAAATTAATCCATGTTCGTTCTTAGACCGCTACTCTTCTGATAAGTACGGTATTTAGATAAGAGCCCCCTTCTCATTCCGGGGATAAAAAGCCAGCAACTTCGAGATTTAAGGATATAAGCTATGAATTTGAACTTTCGTTGCGCCTAAATGCGACCTAGGATCATTTTCATTTCAAAAGCAGTCCTACCTAAAATTGCACGTAGAACTCAAATCTGGAACTTTTGAAAAAAATCTTATGAAAAATTTTCTCTCTAGAGCGATTTCAAATCTTACGCTCTCGATTGCTCGAATTTTCTCCATTGAATCGCTAAAACTAAACCGTGTCTTTTATTTTGATGATGTAAAGCTAGAAAATTGACGGGCTTTTATTTCCAAACTCTCTCAAATTTTCATTCTAGCGTTTTCCTCTTTCTTGCTCGAGTTTTTCTCCTTTTTGTGCTTTTTCGCGTGCAACCAATCAAAGCGCTCCGCTCAACCGCGCCACTCTCACGGAAAAGAGGAGTTGAGAGAGCGAGCGTCCAGCGCGCCGCTTTTTACACTATTCGCGCGCTTGGTAAGCCTCATGGAAATCGCTCTTAAATCGGTTTCGGTCGGAATTAGGGAAAACTGATCCGTCAATTTTGTAGATAAGGGTTAAGAGAAGTTATTTATCGAAAAAACTCGACCGATTTAGTGTAAAAATTTCGAGCAATCGAGAGCGTAAGATTTGAAATCGCTCTAGAGAGAAAATTTTTCATAAGATTTTTTTCAAAAGTTCCAGATTTGAGTTCTACGTGCAATTTTAGGTAGGACTGCTTTTGAAATGACAATGATCCTACGTCGCATTTAGGCGCTACGAAAGTTCAAATTCATAGCTTATATCCTTAAAACAAAAATGAAACCACTTTCCTTTGATGAAAAGGAACGATCGCCGTGGTTGAACCATTGGAAGTTGGATCGCCACGATCGTGTTTGAACCAGGGCGGAATTATCAGCGTCCTGTTCAGAGCGACGGCTTTTTGATTAGGTTAGACTCGCGCCGCGTTTTTAAAAGAAATTATCTTTGAAAAGATCAGCTCCTTGATTTTGCATTTTGGCTTTTTCAGGACACGTCTGCGCTCATGAAAATAGGGTTAGCTTGAGGTAAGATAATCAACCGCAATTTTGGGAAGAGCGGGTACTCAATTGAGAGAGTCTAACCAGTGCCTAGATAGATCGAGTCTCGAATCGACACAATTTGATTGTTCGGCCCTCTTGAACCAGCCACGGCTAGAAATCTCGTCGGATCGAGCTTGTACTTTGGCTCAATTGTCTTCCCAACATCGGACTGCACTTCTCTGTCGAGCGCACAGGCGCCCGTTAATTTTGATAAAACCGGGCGCTCGACGTTTATTTGATTTTTTAAGTCATTTGATTTTGATAAATCTTCAGCTGCGGATTCAGCTTTTGGGTTATTTTCATCGGTTTTCGGCAGTGATGGGAAATACTTTTCAAGCCGTATGCTATTAAATTAATCGTTATTTTTTGAAAAAATATTAAAATTAAAATTTCAATTATTTTAGTTATTAAATTTGATAATTATTAAATAATAAAATCAAAAACTCATTATTTTTATTAAATTAAACAAAAATATTATTTTTGAATTTTTATTTTTAGAATTTTATTAGATATAATTTTTTTAATTTTTTTTAAACAATTAATTAATTTATCAAATTATTAATATTTTTTTCTTAATTGATTGAAAATTGAGAAAAATGTTAATTAATTACCTTGATGAAAATTCAAACGTCAGCTTCTGATTATTCTCTACAAAAATAAACAAAAACGAAAAGCAAAACAAAACAATCAAAATCGGAAGCAACAGTTTCCGGAAAACCGTCATTTTTTAATTGATTTTTCTCTCAAAAAAAACGTTGAAAAAAATTAGTTTCGGTGCGGGAAAAAGCGGAGTGAACAGCGCCGCGCTACTCGCCGACCGCTACTTTATTTTAAAGAACGACATGTGTTGATAACAAACACGGGAAATAATTGCTTGGATAATTTTTTCTGTTTTTATGGGATAAGAAGCAAGAGGGCTAGTTTCATGATTTTTTATATAAAAAAGGCGATATTTTTTAAAACAAGCTTTTTTTTTGGCCAATATTTGACATTTTCAAGCTGATACAGTAGCGCTTACTGTATCAAAGTGTCCGTTACTGTCAGTAGAAAAACTTTCTTTTTGAAATATTTTAAAGCCTCATTTATTTGAACTTTTCTAGCCGGCTTTTTCATTAAATGAAAGAAGAAGAGTCGTGCGGCTCAAGTGGCTTAAGTACTCTAGAATTTTGAGTGGATAAGAATTTAAGAAAACGCAACGTGTGCACATTTTTTCGCTTCCGCAAGAACCGCCCGCAAAAACCAAATCCTATTTAGCTTCCTTTCCTGTGTTTTGATTTTTGACTGCCAGAAGTTTAAATTGAATATATTTTATTGGCAGTATATTTTTTGAAGAAATATTGCTTGGGTAGTATTTTTAGGTCTTTTTACTTTCGTTTGATGTCTGCTTCGAAGATTCGCGTGTTCTGAAAACCAGTCAAAAATGGCAATTTAATCCGCTCTTACCAAAAAAGTCGCTCCTTTGCTCAAAACCGCTCTTTCGGCTTCGACGTTAAAAGACCAACTTGAGCCAAAAGAGGAATAAAAAACGCTGGAAGTAATGCATGCTTCCATTTCCGCCAAAGACAAGATTTCGAACCGCAGATTTTCGTACTTTTCGCCGCAGTTTTTGCCATAATGATCGATCAGCGATTCAATCATCTGAAAAGCGTTCTTAAAAATAGCAGAGAATTGAAATTTTATTGCCTCAATTTGAGTGACGATTTTCATCTTGTTTTTCGTCTCGAATTGGAGTTGGACGGATTGAATGAGTTTCAGCTCATTCGGCTGAAGGAAAAATTAAGAGCTAGAATTAAATTTTCAATTTCTCACCGGAGTAGCAATATAAACGAAATCAAAGGCTTGGTCGGCTCCGGACGCTTCGAAAAATTTCATCAAATAACTCGCCAGTTGCTCCGGATCCGTCAAAAGCTCGAAATTCTGGCAGACGAGTTGGAACTTTCTCGACTTGCATTGCTCGTTTTTCCAGTCGCTTTCGTCGTAGCGCCAGTGGATTGAGATGAATTTCTTTGAAGAAGAGTATTTTTTGATGAAGGAATCGACGAAATCTTCGAGATGCTTTGGCCTAAAAACGAAATTTATTTAAAAACCGCCGTTTTAAAAAGGAGAAAAAAAAACCGCGAATTTTTCTTTTTTTTTTCGAAGCCGAACGCGGCTTTTCGATTTTTTTTCTTTTAAATAATGAAATTTTGAACATTTTTTAACGAATAAAATTTCCGCTTTCAGTCGTTAGGCCAATCAGATTTAATAAAAATTTAATTGAGTAATCTTTATATATTTTTACCTTTGCGTATGAGCAATAATATCCCTTGAAATTTCGCCAATTTCGTTCTCCTTGCCCTTCGCCCTCAAAATCGGCGAACTATTGTAAGCATAAGTCGCGAGGGGACATTTATAATCCGAAGCGTAGTACTTTTGAATCTCCTCTTTTGCATTTTCTGTCGATTTGATTTGAATGATGTTTCCGCCGTGGAAGACGCTTTCGATGATTTCTCGGGAAGGAACTGTTGGAATCTCTTTCAAAGACGATTTTGAGCGGCAGATTTGTGCGTAATCGATTGTTTCTGGAGTTGAAGGGAAATTGTAGAAATCACGAATCGCCTGAAAACATAAACAGCTGAAAGGCTGAAAACCTCCATAAAAGCCTAAATACCTGAATTCTATCAAAATTGTCCGGCTGACAAATCCGTTGAATTCTGTAGAGAACATCAAATCCCGCCTCGCCGCATTTCTCAAGTGCCTCTTTCGGCTCGATGACGGAAATCAATTCTTTGATCCTTTTCAAGTCCATTCGCTGATGAAACTCGACAATTTCTGTGTTTGAACTGTTTGCAGTTGGGTCTCCGCGGTTGTGCTTGAAGAATGGAGGGATGATCAAGGTGCGATTGAGAGCGATGGCGAAGAAAATTGAGTCGCGGAGGGAGAAGATTTGGTTGTTTGGGCCGCGAGAACCAGCCACGGCCAGGAATTTAGATGGATCCATTTTGTATTTCGGCTCTAGAACTTCGCCCACGTCACTTTGAGCGCTCCTGTCTAGCAGACACGGTCGAAGTGCTTCTTCTTTTATTTTTTCTAACACTTCAGTTTTCTGTGGCTCAAGAATTTCCTCCTCTGCTTCGAATTCTAGCTCTGATTCTGTAGGTTCTAAATCCTCGACCTCAGATAAAATTTGGAAAATGTTTTCTTTTGGCTTCTTTTTCAAGAAATGATTGCCGAACTGTTTATCGTGGAAATATCTGAATTAAAAAATCAGTTTTTCAACAAGATAAAAATCTATTTCGTCAAAAATTTCAAACTTACTCTTCTTCTTTCATGACAATCCCAGTAAACCTTTCCAAATTCACTAAAACCGACATGAACATATAAACAATCACAATCAGCACAAAAGGAGCAATACCCTGCTCGGCAAAACTTCCACCCTTGATCATGTTTTCTCTTGGTTCTTAAAAAGGCGCTAATTTCTCGGCGGAGTGCTGAGAGCTCAAGCGCCCGCCCCTGCATTCGCTCTGAAGCTGCGTAATCGTTGCGCGGCGGGGTAAACCTCGTGCGCCGGCCAAACCCTGGAATTATGTTTTGACTTTTTGTTTTGCATTAAAATAGCCCCTTGGGGGATTTCACTGTCAGAAAAATATGGAGATGAATGCAACTTAAAAAATTTTTTGCGAAAAAATTTTTAAAAATAAAAAAAAAAACAAATTATCTTTTTTGATTTGCTTCAGAAAATAAACGTTATAAAATTGAGAAAAAAAATTTTGATTAAAAATTTTAGGTTTATCCATTCCTGGGTCAAGAAAATCCTTGCCACATTCTTGGCAACATTCACTTTGCTCCACGCATTTTCCATTATTTGCCAGAACTTGATACGAGCATTTCGTATCATCAACGCAGGCGAACTCGCAATCTTCTTTTTCCAAGCATTTTTCCAGTGGGCAGAACCATCCGGTCCCCAGTCCTTCGCAGTCGAAAATGCACTCTGCAACGTGGGAGCAAATTTTAGAAATCGGGCATTTGAGGTCTTTGAAGTCTTCACAGAAAAAATCCGCAGGACAAGTGAGGCCTGACAAATCTGTTTTCAAGTCGATAGGTGTTGAGCAATCAGCATAGCTTGCACAGAATCCAGAAAGTGCATCAGGACTAGCGCAAGTTGTGCAAGGGCAATCAAGGCAACTGTAAAATCCGTTCGTTTTCGCCGAGACAACTGCTCCAGTCTTTTTGCAGATGCATTCGTAGCCGTCACCGATTCGTTCATCGAGATTCTTGCACTCTGTCGTGAATTCTTCGCAAAGATGACTCCCTGTTTCGCACTCGTTTATATCTAGACAAGTTTGTCCGTCGTAGCCAAGCTGGTAGCGAACGCCATCAAAGTCCGGCGGACAGCCGCAGCGGAAAAATGGCGATTTGTATTCATTTTCGCAAGAATCACTGCAACCGGCAATGTCGCTGCAGGCATCATAAGCAGGACAAGTTTCCAAATCCTTCGTGGCTGGATCTCCATCAGGATCCGGATCAGCTAACGAGCCATCGGGGCATCTGCATTCTGATTTTTCTGGCTCGGTTGCGACGCAATCGTCCAAATTCTTGCAGTTTGTTATTTTTTCACTGACGCCCATGCAAATCACTGTGTTCCAGGAAGCAGGAGGGTTCGTCATGTCCATCCAAGTCCAGCCGGCGCCTTGCGTACTCGACAAATAGAAAGCGTTTCCATTCGAAATCTCAACGAACGCTGCTGACGCTGAGGCCGCCGTGTTCGATCCAAAGAAATTCGTGTAGCCGTTTGTTTCGTTTCCCGGGGTGAGCGCTTTCAACTGCCCTGGTGGGAAGAACTTACCGCTTGTTGTTGTTGTGTGAGTGTGAGTTAAACCAATGACGGCAAAGACAGTATCAGCAGCGCTGACAGCTTCGACGGACTCAACGACTTTTCTCCAAAACTCTTCTTGCTCAGCTTTAAAGGGATAGATGAGCTCTTTGCCATCGATTTGACATGCTGCCCGTGCTGCGTCTACTGAACTAAAAGTCCCCGAAGACTTTTTGATCGCAGACCATGTAAACTGTTGAATAGGGTGCTCATCGTCTTCGATGTTGTAGTATCCTTCTTGAAGCGTATCTCCATTGAGGACGATTTCGTAGCCATACATTGCCAAGCTCGCCGGTTTTGCATCAGCAGCGCAGATTTCGCGGTCGATTCCGGGGATGATCACTTGCCCGGGCTGGTAATTTCCGCTCAAATAGGGGACATGGACGCATTCTTTCCAGTGGATCTTGAGTTCCGCGATACTTATTTCAGCATGCTCGAATTTGAGGGTAAGAGAGTTTGCAACGATTGCTCCGGAAGCGAATCGGATTTCGAAAGTGAAGACGTCATCAGTTGGAATCAACGAGGAGATAAGGGTTTCGGTGTAAGTTCCATCTGATTCAAGCACATAGTAGTACCCTTTTATACTTTCAAGGGAGAATCCGTTTGATTTTGCATTGGAATTGTCAGCATGTGCTGAATCAAATCGAGGTAAACCAATGTAGTCTTCGGATAGTTGAATCGTTATTTTTTCAAAAATGACTAAGACAAAGTCAGCGTCCCAATCTACATCTGTAACAGCTTCCGGGTCAATGAATCGGAATTTGAGCTCGTTGTTGTAGTCTTCGCCGCATGGTTCATCGAATGTAAAGGCGGTATTTTGATCATTATCGAACATTTTGTTCAGATCCGCGATGTCAAAGTCGCCAAAGATTTTCATTTGAACATCAACTCGAGTATCCGGATTTAAATTTGTGTCCAAAGATGCTTGATACTCGAACCAAACAGAGTCAGAATTGGCCCCTGAAAGCGTATTTGTCCACAAATCAGCAGGTGGGACTGACGGAAATTGATCCATTGTTCCTTCGCCGTTCCATATGATATCTTTATAAAGATTTTCCCTCTGAAAAGCGCAGACATCTGGAATTTCTGGCTCACATGGTTTAAATGATATCGTCAAGCAATGTTCTCTACTTTCTGATCCTTGGATGGCAGGTTCACAGATGCCGCACAGCTTGTGGGTCTGGGAAAGTTGATCTTCTACTGGAGACCAGGTACAAATTGCTCCACCATCGCCGTCCGGCTGCGGGCAAATCATATTGTACGGCTTTTTCGTCCACCGAGCTGATCTAATTCTTGAATAATACCGTGCTTCGTAAGTCAAGACTCCCTTCCAAGGAATGATAATAGAATTCTTCGGCGCGTCACCCGCCTCGTTCAGTTCATAAACAACAGAGTCGTCAACTCCTGGCGACGGATCAATCCAGGCGGCACCGATAGTACAGCCTGCCTGAAATACAGAGCATCCGCCTGGCGGTCGTTGGATGTAGTATTGACTTGTTGCAGAAGATGCCGGGATCGTTCGGCATGTATCGGTGTCCAAATTGTACAGAAGAAGCCCTTCATCAGTAGTTTTCTTATCCAAAGAGCAAGGTTCAGCTTTCTTGTTGACTTTTGATCCGTCTCTGTAATACATTTTTGCTTTGCTATCGACAGTGATGCCGAGCAAAATTTCTTCTGTATCAGGAAGTTGAGTTAGGAATTCTATCTCTTCTTCCGTTCTTGGTGCGAAAATCTCTCTACCTGGGGATAAAAGGCCCTCTATATCGTCAACTGGTGTAGGACCAAGGACTTCACAGTCTGCTTCTAGAACAGGAGTGTTGTAGCAAGCCATGTCATCAGTATACGTCGGCTTGGAGCAAATAATTTTTGCCACTGTACTAGCACAATTCGTAGCAAGGTGGCAGCTTTCCATTGAGTCATCGGCGATATTTGCCGGGTCATACTTTATTCTGACGCATGCTCTTTCGTTGGGATCGCTGGTCGTTGAGTCAGTAAAACTGCTTGCTGAAGTGCATCTTGTATTGAAGTCAGTTCCCGTTATTGCAGAATTGTCATATGGATCTAACAAATCAGCGCCTTGATGAGATCGAGCTCTTACATAAATTTCTTCGCCGAAACTTTTGAACCAAAGAAGCTCTTCTTCTGTCCTCGGCATCGCTATTTCCATACCGGCTTGTTTGCAGTACGCCTCTCCCTCAAAGTATGTCATTGGTTTCGCTGCAATAGCACAAGAGCTTGGCGGAATCGCATTGCAATCAAGAAGTGGATGTGTGCAAATGAATGGCTTCGTCGTGTCCATGTGTTGGTCGAGCATACAATCAACTCCGAAACCCATACTCATTGCAGAAACGTAGACTTTTTCAACATTATCGGAAAACGCTGGATTTTGGCAAGTAGTGGACCAACCAGCTCCTGAAAAAATTAGTCCACCGGTGTTCATGTCGATTATATCGTCGCCAACTGCAACTGCATTCAACCAATAATCTTGCCATGGATATTCATCAATTAGACTCAAATCAGCAGAATTTTGAGGAGAAAAAAGAGCTCCGCCATTTTCTTCGCAAAATGCTTTTGCATCTGCATATGTTTTCCAGGCAGCTGATGGAGCACAAAGACCATCGAAGCTTGGATCTTTGAGAATATGGCTCTCATCTACTGTTCCGTCTTCTATGATCGCCATGAAAACAAGTGGCATCGAGGATTTCGGCTTGAACTCATCGTGATTTCCGGCTACAATGTGTTCGTACCACCTATCATAGTATGGATCAACCGGGTCAATATTTGGATCGTATTCGTAGTCTTCAACCTGAATCGCCAACGGACGCGCTCGATCACAATTACCACCATTACAGCTGTCTTTCGTCGGGTCGTACCCAATTACACAGCCCCCTCGATCAGTTGCCCAGAAAAAAGCCCCGTCGCTGTAATCAGAAATCGTCTCAAAAGCGAGCTCGCTGGCTTCATAAGCTGTCGACCATCGGCACTTAACACTATCGCCATCGGCGTCTTCTGGACTCAGATCGAAATAGACAGTGCCGCAGCCGGCTTTCGCTCGCCAGTCGCAGGGTGTTTTGAAAGTTGGCGGATTGTTGTCGATCTCGAGAATATGTGCTGAGTATTGCCAAACTCTTTTGCCCCAAGGCGTGTGGACAGACATTCCATGTAAGCACTGACCGGTTGTGTAGGTGAACGATTTCTGATCGTAGCCCCAGCCGAGATTAGGAGGAGCGCAAAGAAATCTAGCATTTTTGTTTACAACTCCATTTGAGTCAGGTGTTGGGACTTTATCCTGCCAGAAAGAACACTGACCAGACGAATCAATGTAAATGAGATTTGGGTAACCTGCTATTATTGTCGTCGTTCCCGTTGATGTCATTCCCGATGTTGTTGGTTCCGCCGTAGTACCCGGTTCTTCTGTCGTCGTTGTAGTACTCGTAGTAGTCGTTGTCGTACTCGTTGTAGTCGTCGTACTCGTTGTAGTGGTCGTAGTTGAACAGTCGAATTGAGTCTCATCACAACATCCAGCTGTATTCGACGCATCAGGCCATCCGCAAGTGCCGCTAATAGCAGTCAATGGAATAAAGACAGTTCCAGGACCGCATTCCTTCACAACAGTACCGCCGACCACATTTTGATGATCGCAATGATAAAACTTTTGGCAAACTGGGTGCGGAGTATGAGCGTTGTCCGGCAAATTATTATCCACACAATGAGTCGGATTCGTATGTTCGGGTTCATTTCGGACTATTCTTGTGCTTGTTTGAGAGCACAGGCTCGATGTGTCTGCATTATTTTCTATCCAAATGTCTTGATTAGATGTCTTCGCGAGATGCTTGATGTATCTCATTTCTTCAACCGTTGTCGGACCCCATTTAGTTGCCCCTTTTCTCTTCGTGTCGCACAGACGAACTGCATCATCCACAGTCAGGGAATTCTGCAAATCCCAAACTGCATCAAAAATATTTCTGTCCATTTTGAATTCAAAACTTCCGGCTCCCCACCAATTGTGCATCTTTTGCGCATTCTCTTTCGTGTAGACTTCTTTGATTTCAAAGAGTGCTGGTTCCACGTGACCTGGTCGATTGACGCTCTGAAGTGGTGGCTCGCACTCGGAGCCAGGAGATTGAGCGAATTTCTCTTCGTCAGGATATGCGCTCTCCACATCGAAGTTCCAAAAGGGCATGAAGTACTCTCCAATCGCCTGGTCAGCTGTGATCTTTCCGATTCTCGTCACATCGGGCCAAGCGTCTTTTCGCCCCTTTGTCATCGTCATTTCTACGAGTTCTCCGTTGATGGAGCATTCTTGTTGCCACCCGAGCTTCGAGTCGGAGTATTTATCGCCCTTCGAGATCGTGCCGAATGTTTTACTCTTCCCGAGACATTGGCTACGGAAAATTCTGAACATTGGATTCTGCGGGGTAAATCCTTCTTCTTTCTTGAACTGAATACTTGCGCCTCGATATCGATGCTTCATCATGTCGCTGTACTGATTATTCGGCTTGCATTTTCCGCTGAATGGTGAATAGGTTCTTGCGAACGAGCGTGCAGTAAGATTTGTTGAGGCGATGTTGAAGAACTGATCGGCGCTGTTGAAGATAGGAAGCTCTCTAGAAGTAGCGATGACAACTTTCGGCGCGTTGGGATCCGCTGGTTCTTCTGGAGTTTCTGGCGCTGGATCGGGAATGACTTCAGTCGGCGGGCCGGTGAAAACATCTCCCAAATTATTGTACGAGCAAGTTGTTTCGGTTTGATCTAACTCAGCGCAAATGAAGTAATGGAGCTCCGAGCAATCGACGTTTTCCGAACAACCTTTGTCTTCTCTGATTGTTGCGCAGGATCCGTGTGTTACTGGATCTTCACAGAATGTCCCGTCACTAAATTCCGTTGTAGCAGCGTCAGCAGCGATGCCCGAGGAGTAAAGATATCGTGTTGGACTGGTTGATGTATCCGCGTTGACGCCGATCCAGACTTCGTAGGGCTGGTTCATCAGGAAGCTTACATCTTCCTCTGTGCGGGGCATAAAAAGCTTAAGATTGAACGCTTCGCAGTGGGCTTTCGCATCAGCAAATGTCTTCTTTAGAGGACATCCATCGGCGTTGCAGTCCGTAGAATTCGCAATTTCGGATATTTCGCAGTGAAAAGGCCCTTCGTCTGGTACTGGACCAGCTTCATATCCACAACATTTCGTTGGATCTGTGTGGCAAGCCGCATCCATGCACATTGTTCTATGTTTATCACTGCTCTTATCGCAGTCGTCAGCAAAGCATTTTAAGACTCCACCCTCTGGTTCCAAATAGAAACATTTCCCATCAGCAGCTGAAGCAGCTTGACAGAGCTCGACTATTTTCGAATCGGCAGGCGGGGCGGGTTGTCCAGTTATGGTCTGATACTCAACTGCGTCGCCTTCGACGAACTTGAGGTCAATCCAGACGTCATTCGAAGAATGGAAATCGATCTGTTCTTGCGTTTCTGGAAGCCAAAGCGTTTGGGAACCCGAGCATAAGGCTGCTGCGTCGACAGCTTTTTTTACACTTGTATCTTTGACGCAATTTGCTGTTATAGGTTTCCGATCTATTTAGAAAAATAGAACAATTAATATATAAAAATGAACTACACGACGACTAAACGCATCACTTTCTTGTTTCATAGCGATCTTGAACCCAGCCTAAAGCATGAATTTCGGTAAAAAGCGAAAGAAGTATCAAAAATCTCTTTTCTCTCATCTTCTACGATAGGAAAAATTCGGAGTCTTAGATCGTTTTTATGTGGCGAACATCAGATATCGTCTCGAAAACGCCGATTTTTAGAAAGAACCTTGTTCCGTCATGCATCGTTACTCGAAGATATTGACTTATCATTCTGATTTGCGGGAAAATAACGAGATGCGAGGTATGGTCGAATATCTTACTGAACAAACCTGCAGTTTTATCGAAGAAAGCTCCCTAATTACTTTTAATTGTTGATTGCTTATAGCAAGAAGAAATCGTTTATCGTGATCAAAGTGAGCTACCGACAAGTTCAAACCGTAAAAGTATGCGCTCGCGGTTAATAATTCGCGCTGCTTATCAGCATTAGCCTCCGACATCTTTTTCTAGCGCCACCAATTAATTCTGACATCTTGTTTAATCCAGCTGCTTTTTTCGAGCTCTCTCACTCACTCAATCCTAGAAAGCGTTTTTTGATCTTGAGAAAGAAAAACATGAAAGTAAATAGTTTTTCCTTATTTTTGCTTGCTCAGGTCATAGCGGCAGAGACCAAAGAAGAATTACTTGAAGAGTATAAGAGGAAAAATCCAGAACTGCATAATCAGATGCGCGGGTCCACGGGATTCAATGTTTTTAATTTTGACGGCGAGCCGACGGAACAACCCCCGAAAAATCGCGAAAAGGGAGAGGTAACATTTTCATAATTTGATATAAAAAAGCTAAAAAGCTAATAGATAGCAAGATAATCTTCTTTTAAATTTTGTACAACAACATCGAGTCCGAAAAACTAAACAAAAAATATTTTGTAGGTTTTGTTCTTGCGAGATTCTTCAAATTCTTCATCAGAAAATGCGACTGAAAATCTTCCGGAAATTCGTGGCAATCTCCAGTCCAGTTCTAAAGCCTGTTTATTATCTTCTTTTCTTGTGATTCTGCTATCAATAAACATTCTATTCTGAGAAAACTTTGAATGAAAGAAAAAAAAAAGTTCAAAAAAAAATCTCAAAAGCCACATTTCTTGTCAGCAAAACGGGTTTTTCTGACACCTTGCGGCTCGCGAAATTATAAAAACCCCACTTCACTCAGAGCTATAGATTATTTAACAAATGAAGATTTTAAGTTCTTTGATTTTCACATTTTCATTAGCGCAGTTTCCCGGAGAATGTCCTCCTCTCCGACAATATTTTCGAATGGGTAGTTCTGTGAGGCATTATTGCACGAATGATAGAAAGTGTTCGCTAAAATGCTCAAATGGGATTAGAGAAGGTGATCCAGAGTCCGTCAGCTGCAAAGGTGAGACTCAGTCTTTCATTTAAAATCTTTTAATGTCGTCGTTTTAAGATGGAAGCTGGAATGCTCTCCCAAGAACGAAGATTTACTGCAACTCGGCGAAAATTCAACCTCCGAAAAAAGTCCCCCCAAAGACTCCTTTGTTTCCAAAAGAGCCCGAAACTAGACCTTTCCTCTCGTCCTTCTCTAATTTAATCATCGCTGAAGGAACACCAGATGTTGTCAAAGAAGCAAGTGGTCTGGCCTTTGGACCTCTGACGGATTGCGGACCAGTTTTGGAACATTTCAGTTTTCCAAAAGGATCTTTGGCGAGATGTTCGAATAATCTGTGCAAGGTCGAGTGCTCTGCAGGGAGAATCCCAAAACCAAAAATCATCAAGTGCATTAAAAAGACTTCGAAATTTTGGCCGAGGTAGTTTTTGACCAAAAATTATTTCTCTACTTTCTTTCAGGCCAAACTCGGAAATATCTTGCTCATCTCCAAACAAGGCGCCACATAAATTTCCGAGCAAAAAACCAGCAAAACGCCCACTTCCTGCGAAGATTCCAAGTAAACTTGAGAAACCATCACCTTGCGGAACGATTGAAAACAGCGAAATTACCTTGGGAGAAGGCGTGGGAGCAATTTGCAATCCCTTCGGATGTCAATTTAGGAAATGATTTCAAAGTTTTACTTTTCAACGAAAAGGTTTCAATTTGTTATTTTCATAAAGATGTGAGACTGGCTCGCCAAATATGAAGAGCGTCAGGTGTTTCATGCGAAAGAAGAGATTTGTTCCAAAGAAAGAGAAAATCTTCTGTCAACCCTAAAAATCTCATCTTTCCTGATTGACTCTGATACAACCTATCGACGTTAATGAAAATTCATTAAATTTAAATCATCAGATCGCACGTTTTTTTCTCATCCAAGGGTTTCTCTCAAGTCCTAGCTGCTTTGATCGTAATCGTCTTTGACTTTCAAATCGAAGCCGAGCTGTTCACTCAAGATGTGCACTTGGTCCAGAGGGTGGGCATATTAATCATTTGATGGCCGTCATAAATTGTTTTAAACAATATTTGCCAAACAGATAACACTCTTATGGCGCCGTTTTTCTGAAAAATTTTCGGAAAAGTTTTGCCTTTGTCGAGCGTTTTGGTTTCCCACTCAACTTTCGAAAGAGCATATCTAGAAAAGCTTTTATTCGAGAAGCAGATAAAGGGCGGTCTCAACCCTAGAGTCCAGACTTGAAAGAGTTCACCCTTCCAGATTGACATCCAGTTTTCGACAGAGTCAAAACTTGTGTTTGCTTTGCGATTCTATAAAACTGTCAAATCTGCTTTCCAAGCACCCTGATTCAGGCTTTTTAAACAAGTTTCCGAGTCAGACATTGCTTCTTTTCAATTCATACAATCCTCAAGTCCTGCTTTTGCTGTTGATTTTATGCTAGAAAGCGCGAAGAAACGGTTTTTTTCTTTGGATTTTGATGTTTATATTTGCGTAGTACGAGAGCGAATATAAGAAATTCTGAGGCAGAGTGGGAGCAGACATCAGTATGAACAGGTACGATTGGGCTCTTGAACCACAGTGGCAGTTGAAATTGCAGATAATCAAATGAACGCTTGAATAACACAAGGGGAGGGGGATCGAGAGAGTCGGTGATAAGGGGAGTCAGTGGAGGGGAATCAGACTAGTTGCGCTTGGCGTGGTCGACGCGAATTTGACGGCCGTTGAAGTCGTGTCCGTTGAGACTGTCGATCGCCGCTTGGCAGGAGGACTCTTCAGCGAACTCGCAAAAGCCCATTCCTAAAGTTAGCTTGTGAGACTTTCGAAGAAAAGAAGAAGTCTTACCTCTGGATCGGCCGGTTTCTCGGTCAACGAGGATTCTGAATTTGACGACTTGGCCGTGAGCGCTGAAAAGTTCGGAGAGTTCGTGTTCTTGCGCGCTCCAGGGGAGATTTCCGACAAAGACGGAAGGGCCGTTCGATCGGGCGCCGCCGCCGCCTCCTCCGCCACCAGAGTAGCCGCCTCGGCCACCACCGCGTCCGCCGCTGAGAAAAGAGGATAAACCACCGCCGCCGCCGTAGGATCCGCCACCACCGTATCCTCCGCCGCCACGGTCGCCTCCGTAGCTTCGGCCGCCACCGCCATAGCCGCCACCACCGCCGCCGTAGCTTCCACCGCCGCCGCCATAGCCGCCTCCGCCACCGTAGCCGCCGCCACCACCGCCGTAGCCGCCCTGGTCACCTCCGTACGACATATCTGATAATTGAAAAGGGTAATTCCAGGTTATAAAACAGATATACGGGGGCAAGGTTATCTAGACCAGGTTCTGTGAAGCCTAACAGAAAAGACGCGTTGCGGCTTTTTGAAAAACGAAGCCGCTAAGTGGCTAGGCGATATTGCTAAAGGTATCAACCTTCAAGTAATTTTGAAGCCGCTTTGCGGCTTCGTTTATGAAAAGCCGCTGCACAGATATTCAGTTAGGCTCTTCAAAACCTGACACAGGTTTTCTAAACAAATTGCCCAGCAGGTAACAGAGGAAAAACGCTCTTTTAGAGAGTCCTAAAAATGACTAGAGTCTTCAGTTTCTTTTCATTCTCTTGAAAAACAAAAATTTTTCTGGATTTTGAAACAGGTTCGGAAAAGTCGGAAAAGTGGAAACACACGAGCTTGAGAGCTCGGCGAATCAGATTGGCGAATCTCTTTCTGGCTCAGAACGAACCAATTCTTTTATGACTCATAATTAAGAATCTAGGGACTTTTTCTCCGAATTTAGAATTTTCGGCAAAATAAAAAATCGAGCTTGAATAACAGTAATTAACACAAATCACAGATTTCTCACAAAATTAGTGCTAAAAAATATATTCACGAAAATTTTTTTCTAATTTTTAAAACGCTTGAACTTCTTATTTTTCCTCACTTTTCGCTTCTCAAGAATTTTAGAAAGAAAAAAGGGATTGAATAATTGCGCCCTGGGCGTAGGCGAACTTCGATCTGACCAGTCGTGGGGCGATTCTTTTCTTCCGCCAAAATTTGCTTTCTCAACGAAATTACTACTCAGCGAAAATTGGCAATGAAAGAAGAGGATTAGAAAATAAGAGGAAAAATATTCGAAGAAAAGAATTTATGAAAATAAGAACTAAGAAATGAGCGACGCAGAAAGGTAAGAAAAAAAATATTGTAAACAATTTCATAATAGGAAAAAATGCATTTTTCTTCATTTTATTTAATTTTTCTTCCTGATTTTTCAAGAAGGGACCATTTTAAAGGGCAAAATCCTCTGAAATGTCCCCAATATAGCGGAGTTTTCAGTACAAATCGTTGAGAAAACATCAAAAACGTTAAGTTGGCACCATTTCGGAGGATTTTCCCGTTAGAATTGCCCCCTTTTTTACAAAGCCCGGAAGTCATGAAGAAAGATGATTCTTTTTTTCCTGGAATAATCGCACTTTCTCATGATCAGATGAGTTGAGTTGAATTTTGCACTTTCTTTCGCGAAAAATCTCTTGAATTATTCGTTTCATTTTGTTTATTTCTTTAGAAAATACTCTTTTTCGTCAAAAATTGGTTTTTTATAATGAAGGAGCGCAATTTTGTTCGCGCAAATTTTAAAAAGCCATATCCGCCGCGAAATTGCTCTAAATCTAAGTATTCTAGCGATGAACCAGATTCCCAGCAGCTGGACCCGTATTCGGACGATTCGGATAGCCAGAATCGCCGTCAAGCGCGATTTACCTGCACCCTTTTGAATCTTTCGAAACGGCACAAGCATCAAACGCTGAAAGAACACATCAGAAATGAGTACAAGAAGTATGGAACTGTCAAGAATGTGATTTTGGACGACAAAGAAGACAACCGAGTGGCGGTGGTTTTCTTGAGCGAGAAAAGAGAAGTCAGAAGAGCTTGCGAAGCCACTGATGGAAGATACCTTTTCAATGCGATTTTGGACGTTTATGATTCGTCCGAAAGTGATAGACAGTAAGTTGCAGTATAAAGATGGTTGGAAAAGCATCGAAATGTCGGTTGAACAACGAGTTTTTTCAGGATTTTGGGTTACTTTTCGTGAAATAGCTTTTTTTACGAGAGTAAAACTTTAACAGATTTAAATGCGCGTTCTTTGCATCAAACATCGAACAATTGTCTTCGAAATCAGGCTTTATCCCGGGTAATTATCCGGTAAAATGGCTTTTTTGCATCAGACTGCGCGTTTGCTCATCAAAACTCGAAATCTGATAGCTTCCAAAAGGAGTCGATACGTTTTCCATATCGAGCCTTCTAGTAGCTTGTCAGAACTTCGATAGTATCAGATACTCATTGCTGTCTATCATTTGCCCGCTCTGATTCTTCGAATACATATAAAATTATATTTGTCGAGTATGATTTTTCATTATGGTTTCTCCATTTCAGAAAACTTTAATTAATTTTAGGTTCATAAAAGATGAAATTAAAAATCTTCACTTGAGGCAAATTTTCGTAAAAAATTTTTTCATGCTCAGAAGAAAGAGCAGAAAATTCTGAGTCGACTTAGCTAGGTTTGACCTAAAAATTTTGACTTTATGACGTCACAAATTACGAAATAAAGTCCGAATTTGGGCATTTTGGGTAAATTTTGGGGCCACTTTTTAGGGGGTTTCTATTGGATTTATTGGACGTTATTGGACTATTTATTGGGATCAAAATTTTTTATTCAAATCAACGAACCAGATTTTTATTTTTTTCGAAAAAAACAATGAAAAAGTTGTCTTTCCAAGAAATTTAAACCCCTTCTTATCTCACCCACCTCTAACCGTTAGAGTCTAACGATATTATAGCGAATTCCCGTTCTTCTCCTCCCGAACTCTCTTCATCGGAAACTTGGAAAAAGTGACAACTTACGAAGACCTGAAGCGCCAGTTCTTCAAATACGGCAAAATCCTGAAAATCGACTTGAAAAAGATCAACGGAGTAACTCGCTACGCCTTCGTTCAATTCGCCAAGCTGGACGACGCCAGACTTGCTGTCCATCGCATGCAACGAGAAAAACTAGGAAAAAACATCGTCGCGACTTGCTACGCCAGAAGCATTAAGAGCCAAGTGCTTTGGTTCTCTGGCTCATTGCCGCATCGAGGTCACGATATTGATCCAGAATATGGGGAGCAGTTCTTCAGACGAGTTTTTGAACAGTTTGGCACTGTGAGAAGCTTGATTCTAGACAGGCAAGGGTTCATCAAAGCTTTAATTTTAGCTGTTATAAGGACTTCTTTGCTCCCTTAATAGCTGAATGCCGAAAAAACTCTCATTGAACTCTAGAATAGACGTAGTCCCAAGCAGAGCCAAATTCTTGTCGCGTATTCGGACGTAGTTGGGTCCAACAAAGCCTACATCGAGTTCAAAGAAAACCGTCGAAAATTGACGAATTCCCGCTGGTCCTGCGACTTTGCTTCCGAAGAGCTAGTTCAATCCGTAACTGATGATATGCACAAGAATAACGTCCTTTCCCGCTCGGAAATCATCAACCACTGGGGAGATATCATCGCCAAGTTGAAAAAAGCGCAAGAAGACGACGAGTTCCGAATGATTGGGAGCGACTACGAGTACCGCAAGTACACAAAGCTCTCGGAGCGAATCGATCGAGACAACTCGGCGGAGCGAAAGCGATACAGGTCACGTGACTCACGTTCTCGTTCCAGAGAGCGTTACCGTTCAAAGAGATCGCGTTCCCGCTCCCGTGGTCGGGATTCGCCGAGAAGAAAGAAGTCAAAAGGGACCGTCTCGTTCGGAAGAGTTCATTCCCCACAAAGCCCGCGAGGAAGAAGAGGCGATCGGCGACGCGGATCGTCATCCACATCGTCTTCTTCCTATTCCCGTTCGCGTTCACGCTCGCCCGATAGCGGCAGAAGCAGAAAGAAGATGAAGAAGTCGAAGAAATCGCGCTACGAGCGAAAGAAAAAGCGCTCCAGCAGAGAAAGGAAGAAGTACCGCGAGCGTCGGGGACGCAGTGAATCGAAAACGAGCACGAGCGACAGTTCCTCAGATAGATCGACGTCGACGGATCGCTCATCGAGTAGGAAAAGAATGATGGACTTGTCCGAGGCTCAGTTGGAGCAAATGCGTAAGAACATTTCCCAGGAAATTCAAACAAAACACAACAAACCGCCGTTCGACTCTTCGGCCAGCGCAACTGCCGGTGCCGGTTCCTACAATCCTAAAGTAACAATCGACAATGATCACTTCAAAAACACGGAAAGAGGAGAAGCCATCCAATCCGAATCCAAAAGAGTCACTTCCACCACTGCCACAGGAAACGTCGTCGTCACCAAGAGTAACAAGCCGATCGAGCTCGCCGTCCCACACAAGCTACCGCTGCCATCACAAAAAGTACTCGACGAAATGCTCGGCGCAAAGAAGAATACTTCCCGTCCGACTTCGCCGGTCAAAACGCATAAAGTTGCAGATGATACTTCTGTCAAGAAGCTCTTGGACAGACGCCAGTTGAAGGTTATTTCAAAACTATTTTCGATTGTTAACTAATCAAACTTTCAGGATGAGGATTCGAACGCTACATCTAATCAAGATGAAGAAGAAAAACTAAAACACGCGGCTCTGACGAGTAAGAAAAGTGCGCCGATTGTGCTTCCAGTGCTTCCAGTTCCAGCAAGCGCGAGTACTCCGGCTCAGAAGCCAAAGAAGCCTGGGCAAGATCATGCTCAGACTTCCCCAGTTCTTTCTAGCTCACGGGAAAAGCCGAGGGAGGAAACTTTGATGAGCCCGAAGCGCAGCAATCCACAGCAACAAGTGCCGACCAGTGGATATTCTGGTGCGGCGATGGGAAAACATGGCAAAAAGAAACAGTAAGTTTTCGAATAGCTATAGGAATATTCCCGACAATTTAATCTTACGTCAATCTCAATCACTCAACCGTAATTGATGACGGATTTAATGAGAATGGATAAGTTAATTAGGCAATATATAAAAAAATTAAGGCAACATAATAAGCCGGTTTTTGGAACACTAAACCTAATTTAATTCACTCTAAAAAAGAAAAAGAAAAACTTAAAAAACGAAATGTTCAAACTAAAAGATCCGAGAAAGCGCAAGTTCTCAAAGTATGATGATGACCTTTATTTAATAAGATTCTATAGAATATATTTTTATTTTAGAATGGCCCAAAAGGCAAACACCTCTCTTCAAAATGGCAATTCACACAGCAGCAACGCAGCAGCAGAAATGCAGGAAAAAGAAGCCAGAAAGCGAAAAGAAGAGCAAAAGAAAAAAGAGCTTCAAGAGGCGAAGAAAAAGCCGCAAGCACAGCCTGCCAATCCGAAGAAGTCATTTTTGCTGCGAGCTGGGCCAAAGAAAAAGTTCTTGGAGGACCCGATGCGAGCTATTGGCGATGAAGACTACGACGACTTCCGGAAGGAGATCTTGCAGCTGCTGAGTGAAGTAAGGCAGGAGGCTGAGCATCTTCCGGAGGCAGACGAGCCCTACATTCCAGGTAACTTGAAAATTATCCAACGGGTATAAAAACTCGATTCTAGTTCTGCAAAAAACGCCCCCACGCGAAAACCCGTCCCTGGAGCACCTCTTCGAATGCAACAACACATGTAACTATCCCACCATCAACTGCCGTTAAACTCACTTTCTAGGGACTCCAACGCCCCATCGAGAGTACGCTGACGCTTCGGGCAGCTCTGGGGAAACTAGAAAGCTTCCGTTCGGGGCTCGCATCACCAAGAAAAACACTTCCGGAAGCGGCGTGATGGAACAGGCGAAAGTTCAAACTTACCTGCAGCGAATCATCAAGCCCGAGGAGTTCTTGATCGACTCGAATGTCAAGCGTTGGGACATCTTCGAAGAGGACAGGAAGAGGATTGAGAAATCACCTTGGATGAGTGCAGATGTCACGACAGAGTCGCCATTTGTCGATAAACCAGGTGAGAAATCGTTGAAAACGGGTTGGTTTTTATCTTTTTTTAGGCGTTTTCGACTTCTACCAGGACTGGAACAGCTCGATTCAAACTGATCTCGAGCACTTATCCGCCGCTGTTAATGAAGTCCTTGGTATCGGCGTCCAACAGCCTGTTCAAAACAATACGGAGATCCCAGCGGAGAAGATGGAACAGGAATTGTTTCTTCCTAAAGAAGAGCCATTCCCATCCGCTTCGAACAACGGAACTGACACTGGAACCTCGAAAACCGAGCCGATGGAAGACTCTTCTGTCAACGGAGAAATGGTCAAAATAGAACTAGAAGATGTCGAAAACGAGAGTGAAAAACTCAAGATGATGCAACACGGATCAGAGCGACGCGCCTCCACCAAGAGCGAAAAAGAGCACAAAAAGGAAAAGAAAGAGCGAAGCAGAGAGCGCAAAAAGAGCCGTAAGACCAGCTCTGACGTCGAAGGAGCAGAACGAAAGCACAAAGAAAAGAAACAAACAAGCGCCTCGCCAAGTCGCAAGATCTCCGCTTCTTCACAAGAATCCGCCGCACATTCTAGCTCTCCGACTAGTGAAATCCTCTCACCGAAGCCATCATCTGAGCCGCTGGACATCCACGAAGTCGACAAGACGAATCAGTCTGTTCGAGAACGCATGGAAGATATGATGCGACGCAAGACAAAGTCCGGCTCGAGCAAGAAAAAATCTGGCAAGTATCGAAGAGCCAGCGTTCCGGAAAATGACGACGAAGGAAACGCGATCGTCAACGATGCGGTGAAAAACCTCTCTTTCGAAGACAAGAACGAGGCGAAAGAAACCGAGGAAGATCAAAAATCGGATCCGAAGGATGACTGTGACAGGAACGCAGAGCTAGACGCGGCCCTTGCGGGGCTGGAGGAAGACTACGAAGCGCCGAAAAGAAAGCGGAAACTGTCATCTCGCCTGAGAAGCCGTTTGAGCCCAAGTTACCGCCGGCCAAAGTCGTCAGAGACGACCAAAAAGCTACCGAAATCAAAGAAAACCTCGTTGTCATCCCCAAGCCAGCTCAGCCAGAGACTCCAACGAAGAAGAGCGAGCCGCTGTTTAGTCCAGCTCCAGCTGATCTTCCCGAAAACCTTTTTAGAAAACGTTTCAAATTACAAGAACGTCGACCATCTTTTAAATCTGAAGCAGCTCCGGAACCAGTCAAGAAAACTGAAATAAAGGCTGAACCTCAACAACTGCCAGAACCATCTGTTGTTGCTCCACCGGCTCCAGTCACGACTGCTGCTCCTGTCATTGATGAACCTAAAGTTAAAATTGAAGCGAAACCTCAAGAAAGAAATACATCTCCCTTCAGAGCAAATCAAGCTGCTCCAAAACTTAGTTCTCCCGTCAAAGGTAGATAGACTTGAGCAATCAGAAACATGAGCAATCGGAATATATTTTGAAAGCGCGCGATTGAGCTCTTACAATCGTGCTTGTAAAGCAGGAGAAACTAATATTCATCATTCAGTATCACTCCCGGATCGAAGACACAGCCAGTCAGAGCTTATCAAGTCGGATTTGTTAGAAAGAGTAGAGAGAAAACTTTCAACTGCTTCTGGAACCAGCGAAATCAGCAACGCTTCCAACTCCGGCTTTTCGACCCCTGTTCAAATTCAACTTCCCAACAACTCAAAGGTACCCTTTTCTTACCTGGATTTACCTGATATCTTGCTTCTTTAGCTGGAGACGATTGTTCCGCCTGCTTCGAAGCGGTACACTCCTGGGCCGATCAGATTAGCGGGTGCTTCTACGACGCTTCATCCGACTCAGAAGCCGACGGGAATCATGACCATTCAGCAGCCGACGATTCAGACGATTCAACCAACTGCCCTCTCTCCTCGACTTACTGCTGTCATGGTACTCATTCTCCGTTTATTTTCCCTGACTCTCATCCTTTTAAGGTTCCCCGGCCAGTTATCTTGACACCAAGCACTCCTGCTTCTCTTCCACAGGGAACGCTTCGTCCAAACATGCCGCTGACTACTCAAGCGCAGATCATTACTGGCCCGAGAATGACCACAAGCTCTTCTGCCTCTCAGCAGGTCATTATCCAGCGACCAGTGGCGATGCAATCCGGCACAGTCATCAACGCACAGCAGGTTGGGCAAGGCCAAAAGACCGCTCAAGTCGTATCGAACTTCATCGCGCCGCAGTCATTTGGAACTGTTAGAATGTATCAACCCATTGGCCAAGGGCGTCAAGGTAAATTAAAGTTCCTCTTATGCCTCTTGAACTTTCTATTCTAGTGCTCGTGAACCTCCCACCATCTGCGCACTCGGGTTATGTTGCTCAAAAGGTATCTTTATCGCAAGTCATTTCCCAGCTCATATTCTTTCCCAGCCGGTGCAAAAGCCAGAGCCCGTTAAGACGGAGAAGAAATCGGAAGAAGCAGAAAAGCCTCCGCCTCAGCCGCAAATTCTCTCCTACTCGACAGGTGGAGCTTCTCGCGTCCCTGTCAGCCGCGTTCCAGAGCAAACAGTGCATGTGCAGGCGGGCCAACGGCTACCAATGCCACCCTTTATTTCCCAACAGCCGCAGCAATCTATGAGACCGCTTTCTGTCAACGATCGTGCGCAACTTCTTGAACGGTAAATTTTCTTCTTAAATCGAAACAGGTTACTCACAAGAAATACTAGTCATAAATTGCTCTGGCAAGGATATTTGAATATCAAGAACGACACAGCCACCGTTCATCTTAATTTGATTCATGGAAACGCAGACGTTCCGATGGAATTTCTGCCACGAGACAGAGATGCAACTGGTCAGGCACAGCAGAACCGAATGGGGACGCTCAAGATTGTTCAAAGAATGCGGCTTGAACCCAACCAGGTTAGTTTAGAAATTATATTCCGGTGAAGGCGTTATCCGGCTTCTTTTTAAAGAAGCCGAGGTTTTGGAACCTGTGTAAAAACCTGAGCTGGGGTTTGAGGGCTTATTATCAAACAGGAATCTGACTCAGGTTTTATTCAGAGGTTTCTCGTCCCAGATTGGAGGATCAATGATTTTTATACCCATTTTTAGCTGGAAAAAGTGGCTGAACAAATCGAAAAGAGTTCCACTTGCTGTACAATGGTCGCCCTTCCATGCGGCACTGACGAACGCGACGTACATTTGCAAACCGAGGCACTGCGGAAAAAGTTCATCGAGTACTTGACCGAGAAGCGCTCGGCCGGAATCGTCAACGTCGCCGGCGGACGCAGCTCTCACATTTTGCACATTTTCCCTCCTTGCGAGTTCACTACCAACACTCTCCGTCGCTTGGCGCCGCGCTTCCTCGAAATGGTTCATCACTTGCCGATGCTGCTCGTCGTCATCGCTCCTCAATGAATACGACAAGAACGTGGTGCAATAGTTTCATTATGTGTTTTCTGTCAGATCATTCACACTCATTCGTTTTCACTTGAAAGTTCAAGAGGCTTTTTGCCTCCGTGAAAAAACTCCCTCGTCCAAAAAAGTTGTTGTCCAGAAGAAAAAAATTGCTATTTCTATTTATCCTGACAATAAAGCCCACGAGCGAATTCATTAAAAATCGTGTTTTACTGTAAGAAGTTATAACTGTTACAGTAGAAAGTTCGTCTATCAGTTCTGTTATATAAGCTACCCACCTTTGCTTTTTCAATATTTGCATTTTCGAAAAGAGTAAACCAACAAGACAGGGCAAAATTTAGCGACCGCTCGAAAACAGAACTTTTAAATAAGAACCATGTTGAGGTCTATTTTAGGCAGATCACTTAGAGTTTCAGTGCCAAAGAGAGCCGAGTCAGAGGCTGTCGGAGCATGGGGAGAGATTTACGGGCCCGAGCATTTGCAAATGCAGGATTCGCTCAGGAAGATAATCGAGCAGGATATTAACCCGAATGTGCCAGAGTGGGAAAAAGCGGGCCAATACCCAGGTAAAAATCAGCAAGATGATCTATCTTACGTTTCTAGCGCACGAGGTTATGAAAAAACTCGGCTCAGCTGGTTTCCTCGGCACTTCTCATCCAGAAGAATACGGCGGAATGGGACTTGACTACTCCTACACTGTTGCCGTTTCTGAAACTCTTGGGGAGATTAAATGCGGAGGTATTCCAATGTCGATCGGGGTTCAATTCGAAATGGCTACCCCGGCGCTTGGAAAATTTGGTAGTGAGACGGTCTGCGAAGAGTTTTGAGACCTTCTATTGCTGGAGACAAGGTACATTTGTAATCTACGGAAGCATTTAGCTAGCGTGTCATTTAGGTTGCATGTTTGGGTGTTTCTGAAGTCCACGCTGGCTCCGATGTCGCTCAAATCAAGACGACAGCCAAGTCCGATGGAGACGATTACATTATCAATGGCCAAAAAATGTGGATCACAAACGGCCTCCAGGTAAATCAGATGAAGAAAACCTGCGTTTTGACCTTTTCTTAGGCTGATTGGATCTGTCTCTTGGCAAACACTTCTGATGGACCAGTTCACAAATCGAAGTCGCTGATTTGCGTGCCAATGGATCTTCCTGGTGAGAGCTCTATTCGCTCTGATTTCGATTATTTTTTATTTCAGGCGTCGTTCGAGCAAAGAAAATTGAAAAAATTGGAATGTGGTCTTCCGACACCGCCCAGCTCTGGTTCGAAGACGTCCGAGTTCCGAAGAAATACATTATCGGAGAAGAAGGATCAGGATTCATGTACCAGATGATTCAATTCCAACAGGAGCGAATCTTCGGAATGGCTTCTGCCATCGCTGGAATCGAAGCCTGCATCAACGACACAATCGATTACACAAGGGAAAGACAGGTTTTCGGAAAATCGGTCTTGGACAATCAGTACATTCATTTCCAACTCGCTGAGTTACAGGTACAACTTTTCTAAGAGACGGATCGATAAATATGATTTTAGACCGAAGTAGAAATGCTCCGCGCTCTCTTGTACCGAGTAACTGCGATGTACTGCAACGGCGAAGACGCGACAAAACTAGCCTCGATGGGAAAACTCAAGACCGGCCGACTAATCCGAGAAGTCTCCGACAAATGTCTTCAAATGTGGGGAGGAATGGGCTTCACTCTCGAAAACCCAGTTGCGCAGCAATATCGAGACGGAAGATTGGTTTCGATCGGAGGAGGCGCTGACGAAATCATGCTTCAGATTATCTGCAAACTTATGAATATCTTGCCGAAAGGAACGAAACTTGTTTGAGTTCTGACAATCAGGAAAATAAATTATTGATCCACAGACCGACATATTTGAAAACCAGTTCAAAAGAAAAATTTTCAATTTTGATTTTTGTAGTTTCAATCGCACTATCTATATTTTCAGCGTTCATAAAACAGCATTTTTCAAGTTCATTCTTCACAAATCTTCGCAATCTTCATTATCTTCATGCGCAACTAAAATGGCGAGGCGGTTCAAAAAGAAGTATTGCGATGGAAAGTACCTTTCTTTCACTTTTTCCAGCGAGACCAGTCAGTTTTTCATTCTCCAACTCCAGCTCTTGAACCTTCAATTTCAGCTCATCGATTTCAGAAGTCTGATCTTGCACTTGACTTTTAAGATCGACGAGCTCTTGTTTTTGGAAGGACAGAACTCTTCGCGCTTTCGACTCGGCCTTCTTTTGAGTTTCTTCCTTTTCCTTTTCTCCGAGCTTTGCCTTCAGAGTTTCTTTTTCATTCTGACTTTCCGAAAGTTGCTTTTTCAAATCTTCTTCAAGGGCGGACTGTTCTTGTTGCTTTTCTTTCAGTATCTTTGATCTTTGCTCAGCATATTTTTTGCCGTAAAATATTATCAGTCATAAAATTTATGACTTTCCTTTCTAAGATTTCTTAAAAGAAAGATGAGCCTATCCTGAACTCCTTTTTTCAAGATTGCATTTTCCGCTTCAATCTCCGTCTCTTTTCTCTTGTGCTTCATTCTGTACTTCTCCGCTTCCTCACTTATCATCAGCGTCGCTTTCTGTCGCTCGAATTTCTTCTGTAAAGAAAGAAGGTCCATTCTTTGATTGTTCAGTTGAGTCTTCAAAATTTTTTCCTCATTTTGACTTTCCAAAAGTTGTTTCTTCAACTCAACTTCGCGGACGCACTTTTGTTGTTGCTCTTCGTTCAATTTCTAAGCTTTTTGGTCAACAAAATTTACTCGAAATAATCTGTAATTCTTTGGCTTTGGGAATGATCTGTGGCTTAGAAACTTTAAGAAAAAGTTGAGCCTATCCTGAATCTCTTTTTTGAGGCTTGCATTTTGCGCTTCAATATTCGTTTCCTTGTACTTTGCCGCTCTTGAATTCTCCTTCAGCTGATTTTGCAGATTAACGATTTTTTTCTTTGATTCACTTAGAAGATCCACGTGATTCAGGTGATCTCCTTTTGATTCCATTGCATCTTTGAGAGCACTTCGGAGATCTCGAATTATCGCGTCCTTATTTTTGCCGATCATTTCCGTCTTCATTTTTGAATCCACTTTGTAAGATTGCAGTTTGTTGTTCAGATCCGAAATTTCCAAATCCTTCTTCTTTAATTTTTCCATCAGCTCGTCGTATTTCTTCTGAAGAAGGCTATTACTTTTGCTTTGATTCTCAATTTTTGTCTTCCGCTCTTCCATTATTCTCGTAAGCTTTTCAATTTTCGCTTTTGATGGGTCATTTTCTGCAAGTTGCTTTTTAGCCTTCGTTTTCTCTATTTTCTTCTGCTTCTTTTGCAAAGAATCAAGATGCATTCGTTGAATATTTATTTTCGTCTTCTGCTTTTCCACAATCTTCTTTAACTCCTCTATTTTTGACTCTGTCGCCATCTTCAATAAGACTTTTTAAAAGTTCTTTAAGGGACCTGGGCGAGCAGCGCTTAGCCAAACTTCACGCGCTCGCCGTTCTTCTTAGAAATAAGATTTTATGAAATTTCTTTTTGTAAATTATATCTCCAAATCTTCAGCTTTCTTTTCCGATTCTTAGTTTTTCTCTATCATTCTCGGTTGATGAGCTAGCGAGAAGAAGAGAAGCCCAACTTCAAAAGGCATCAAGTCTTGCAAACTAAATTTTTTCCTCATGAAACTAGCACCATTGAAAAGAGCGTTAAATTCTGAACAGATCCCACTCCATCAGCTAAACTAAATCTGTACATACTGGAGATAGAGGCCAGACAAACAAGATAACTTAGCGCCCGCGCAGCGGGAATCATGTCCAGGAAGCCCAAAATAGCTAAATCGGAGCGTCCAGCCGCGCCGCGACCAGCTGCGCGCGCTAAGTAATTTTCTTAATCTGGCCTTACACGCCAATAAGTACGGACTTAGTTTAGCTGATGGAGTGGGATCTGTTCAGAATTTAACGCTCTTTTCAATGGTGCTAGTTTCATGAGGAAAAAATTTAGTTTGCAAGACTTGATGCCTTTTGAAGTTGGGCTTCTCTTCTTCTCGCTAGCTCATCAACCGAGAATGATAGAGAAAAACTAAGAATCGGAAAAGAAAGCTGAAGATTTGGAGATATAATTTACAAAAAGAAATTTCAAAAAATCTTATTTCTAAGAAGAACGGCGAGCGCGTGAAGTTTGGCTCAGCGCTGCTCGCCCAGGTCCCTTAATAAAAAATACTTTTTGATTGAAAAATGAAAAAGAAAGATTTCTCGAATTCTTATTCCTGAAAAAATCACAAAAAAAAACTATCTGCAAAATCTTCTCTCCGATCCTGAGCGTGAATGAATTTCCTTTTCCGAAGAGACCGGCTTCGGTGAAATCTAGAGGATTCCTCGACTGCTGATTTGCGAAAGGTTTTTTCGAGCACTTGTGATTCATCAAAACTGGTCAATTCATCAAAATATGCGTTTTTTTAATTCATGTTTTTGTGAATATATTTGTCTTGGCAGGAATTTTTAAAGAATAAATAAGCTGAGTATAAATGGTAAAACGATTAATACATAAATTTTGGAAATAAATAAATTTGTGGAAGATGACGAGCGGGCTGGAGAAAATGATCTTCGTTTTCTCTTCTTTGATTGCGATTTGATGGCAAAGTCATCAATCAAACTTTTGTCGTCTTTAGATAAGAAGCTTCAAACTGGGGAAAATTGTTGAACTGAGCTCTGCAACCTGTGTGAACAACCTGCAACCTGAGTCAGGATCTAAACCGTAGCGGCTTTTGCTCAAACATTTTCCAGACCTCAGGTTTTTCACACAGGTTGCCGCGCCAATCTGTTGAGTGAAGACTTTCCTATATTTTCTGCCGTCAAGCTTGATCTCATGTTTCACAATGATATTTACAGGCTGGGTCTGATCGTCAGGCCAGTACCGCGTTAAACTCTCTTAAAAGATTTTGATCGATCATCGATCATAATTACTACAAACCTTTTATCTGGGTTCTGCTGCCGGTTCTGGAGTCGAGAATAAAAAATTCTTCTTTTTTCACAAAATTAAAAAATTGATCGCGGCAATTTTCGTCGAAAAGGATTTCGTAAAAACCGTCTTTTTCTTCGAAAGAAAGAAGATGGCATTTTTGCTTTTTGCAGGCGAATTTGACGCTTTTGGTTTAAGAAAATGACTGAAGTTTTTTTTCTTTTAAAATATTTTCATAATTTCAACCGAATTTTTAAACCAAACCTTTCAGTACAATCACCTAAAATCTCTCCAGAACCATAAGCCAGATATTTATAACAAAGTCCCTGTTTTCTAGGAAGCCAAAGATCAAACGGAAAGATCCTTGCGTGCTTTTCAAGAAGACTTCCTCCAATGACCAGGCAAAATTTCTCAGCTTCTTGATACGGTAAAGATTCGTAGTAATCGACTTCGAAAATCGAATTGAGTGAGTCTAATCTGACGTCTCCGCTTCCATCGCCACATCCACTGTTATGGATTGATAAAAAAAAGACTGAAGGCCTGACTCAGGCCGCCTGAGCTCAGCAGCCAGTGGAGTAAACCTGAGTCAGGTTCTCAAGTTCCCTCGAAAAGGGCAATCCATTCCTGAAATCAACTGACATGCTAAGCCATCAACCTTCTTTTCGAAAAGTCTCTTTTTCATAAAATCTATGAAAGTGCAATGAAGAAAAGATGGAAAACAGAAATTGTTAAAACTCTGGCTTTGAAGCGGATTTAATTTGAGGTCGAAAGCTGCAGCATTTAATTTTGCCGATGTTAATGGCTAGAATCAATCATGAAATGGCGCAATTAAAGTTGCCTAAGTGCCCAAGCATTAACTTCCTTTTGGCGCGTCATGGGATCAATGGGATCATCAAATATCGAGAAAACAAATCGAGTTCTTATTGTTTTTGAAAGAAGACTTGACGTAAAATTATTTCGCATGCACTCAGAAATTAGGAAATATTAATTGTTCTGATGCCAAATTTCGTGGGAAAAGGGCATCTGTCTTGGGAAGTTTGTAAGTGCCGGCACTTGATGATTTCACTTCTTCGGAATACAAGATGAAGGTAAGTGCATCAGAGATTGAGAACAAAAATGCGAGAAGAAAATTTATTTTTGGCTTGTTTTAAAATTAATCTTGAAAGTAAAAATCTCTTTTTCAGGTTTTCGCGTCCGTTATCGCCGCCGCCTGCGCCCGATCCACCATGATCATTGGTGGCGACAAGGTCGAGCCCAACTCTGAGCCCTACATCCTCTCCATGCAGCGATTCGGCTCTCACTTCTGCGGCGCTACCCTCGTCTCCATGAGCTACGGTGTCTGCGCTGCTCACTGCACCTACGATCCCGCCACCGTCACCGCTCTTGCCGGCGCCCACAACAAGGCCGTCAGCGAGCCCACTCAGCAGCGAAAGCAGTTGAACAAGTTCCTCCGAAACCCCGACTACCGACCACTCCTGATCGCCAACGACATCGCCATCGTCGGATGGGCTACTCCCATGGAACCAACTGCCTACGTTGTCCCACTCCCAATCCCCGCCAAGGCCACTTCTGAATGGCTCCAAAACGGATGGGGCGTCCGAGTCTGCGGCTGGGGCAACATCGCTTACCCACAGACCAACTACCCCAACGAGCTCTACTGCGTCGACACCAGCATCGTCGATGTCGCCACCTGCAACTCCCGAGAAGCCTACAACGGTTCCATCCTTCCCGGCATGTTCTGCGCCGGCGAATGGCCAACTGGAGGCAAGGACGCTTGCCAGGGTGATTCCGGCGGACCAGTTACCCTCATGATCGATGGAGTCAACCACGTCATTGGTGCCACTTCCTGGGGACAGGGCTGCGCTCTCCCTGGATACCCAGGTGTCTACACTGATGTCGCCTACTACCGAGACTTCGTCGAGCAGGAGACTGACCTTTAAACTCATTCGATTCTGCAATAAAATACAAACAAACATTATGTTAATCTTTGACGTTTAAGGGGGTGGTGGTCGAGAATTAGGATTTTTTCAACCTAAAAAACTCAATTTTTACGAAAAAAATTTTTTTTGTTCTCAACCTTAACAAGTTAGAAAGGGTTAAAATTATGTGGGCGGCTTGGTTTTAGAAAAAAATTTCAAGGAAAAAATGACGAAATCGAGCGTCAAAGTCGACCTAAAATCGCGTTTTTAGCCATTTTTTAGTCGACATTTTCCGATTTTTGGCTATTTTTGGCCAGTTTTTGAAGCCGATTTGCCTGAAACGTAATTTTGACGATAGAAATAGATTGTCCCACAAAATATGTTATTTCATTGAATAACTGTAAGTTAAGGCAGAAAATTAAAAATCATTATATAATTCTCCACCACCACCCCCTCAAGCAAGATCTGAGCGACATTTGAACGAGATTTAAATATAAAGGCAAAGTTTTTCGCCTCATTCACCTCTTCTTACTAAATACTCAAATAAATCTTCTCAATCAGATCAGTCTGCGCAAATTTGGGCGTAGCTTCAGATTCTAGAACGAAACAAAGGAGCTTTTCAATACTCGGCGTTGGCGACAGTAAATAATCAGTTCTTATTATTGAAATCGGGGCTATTGTCAGTTCTATTAGTTCTATGACTTGTTGCTGATTTTACGTCTGAGACGGAAAGATGAAGAACATTTAGAATAAAATTGATGAATTTTTGAAAGTCAGAAACGGTGAAATAATTCAAGTCGTCTTATCAGTAGTGGAGTTAAAGTAGAAAGATGAAGAAACAAGACAATGTAAAAAATGAGAAAATCGGAAGAAAGAGACTCGAATTTGAGAAAGGATTAAAAATAAAACATCTTTTTTTTTGAATATTTTAATATGTAAAAATATATTATTTTCTCAATGAAAAATAAATCTATAAAAATCCAACTCTGAGCATTTCTGACAATGATTGTCACAGCCGGCCACTACATCGCCCGTCAAAATCTCAACTTCACCATCACAGTAATGACCGATCCTCCAGCCGAAGAATTCACCCCTGTTTGCTCCTCAGAAGATATCTCCGGTCCTGAAATTTCGCCGAATTCTTCAGATATCTTTAACGAAAGAAAAAAGTACGATTGGACGACGGCTCAATATGGCTACATGTTGGGCGCTTTTTATATTGGCTACTGCGCCGCTGTTTTTCCAGGAATGATATTGAAAACCAGATTTCGTTGAAATTTTTTCGAAAAATCTAGCATTTTGAATATCGAAAAAAAGGTGCTTTGGTGGCGCAAAAATTCGGATTTCACCCAACAATTCTATTTGTATGCTTTGGAAACGCACTTGCTTCATTCTTTTTCCCGATTTTGGTCGATTATTCTTTTGCAGCTGGAATTTTTTCACGAATCTTACTTGGCCTTACTTCCGGTCCCATTATGCCGAGCATACAGGTAAATACAGTAACAATGAAGAAAATCTATTTGCCAAAAAAGGGCGCTTGGTACTGGTGGGGTTGTCCAGAAGAAATCACGATCAACATCGCGATCCAATCGATTGGCGTTACGCTGGGAAATTGCTTCGGCGCCATCGGAACTGGCCTGATTATTCAGCATTTTAATTGGCAATTGTCTTTTTACCTGTCTGGCTTGATGATGTTTCTTGTCGGCCTTCTCTGGCTGCTGATGGTCGACCCGATACCAGAAAAAGAATGGCCTCAAAACTTGAGCTGCTTGAATTGCTGCAAGATTTCAGCGAGAATGACGGAAGAGGAGAAAATTTTGATCAAAAGTTCGAGACCTCCGGCGGTTGAATCTCCAAGAAAGGGTTCAAAGAAAAGGCGACAAAAGAGGAGAAAATTTTTCCGAACCCTTTTGAGACTCCGAGACATGCCGATAAAATCGATCATTTCCGACCCTCAACTGTATATAATCTCCTTTATTTGGTTTGCAATGAGCTATGTCATCTACAGCGCGACGAATAATACTCCAACGTATCTAAGGAGAGTTCATGGATTGCCGATTCAAAGAATCACTTTTCTTTTTGGAATTATTTCGGTTTCTTGTTTGGTCGTCAATGTGGCTATTGCGATTATAGGAAAGATAGCAAAATATAAATGGCTCTAGTCTAAGACTCATAACTTATGAGTCATAAGAGTGAGCTGAAATTTTAAAGTTATCGATAAAAAGCCGACCGAATGAGAAAAATCATGTCATCAACTTTTGTCAGAAAAACTTGGACTGCTGGAATGGGCATCATTTTCCTCCCAAGTGTTGTTCTCGTTAATTTTCTCGGCTGCGATGCAAAAACGATCGAATTCTGCTTGGCTGTTTTCGTCGTCTGCGCAAGCACTGCCTCAAGTTTGCTTTCCTTTTTTTCATTTTGTAAAATTCCTTCAGCGATCGGCTTGAAACCGCTGACAGCTGATATTTCCGGAAATTATGCTTCGGTCATTTTTGGGTTTGTGAATTTCATCGGCAATTTCGCTGGTTTTGCTGCTCCCAGAATTATGGCATTTTTTCTCACGGGCAAGAATCAAGGTTTTGAAAAATCAAGGCAAGCTAAAAATTGGTCCAAACTATCGTTTTTAGGAGAGCCGGAAAGCTGGGACATGGTTTTTGCGTTACCGGCGGGCGTGTTTACCATTGCTCTTGGAATCTTCATCGCATTCGGAACGGCGGAGACTCGCTCCTGGGCACTTACGGAAAAGAAAGAAGACCGCGAAAATGGCTCGAACTGCAAAGTGCTGGAAGGAGAAAAACTGGTCTTCGCTGAATCTTCCTTGTCTTCAGACGAAATTTAAGAAAATTTTATTTTACTGTGCTTTTTACATCTGAACTAAAAGAGACGATTCAATACAGGAAAATGACTCTCTTATACCATTGGTTTTCAGACTTTTAAAAATTAGACAGAATTCGCTTACATCGAATTCGACATTCTCATTTTCAGGAAAACACTCGAACCCGGGTCGGGTGATGATAACATGCTCTCCCGTCGCGTGATTTGCATCTCCGACTATCTCGCTTATAAAAACGCTGATTTTTGTCAGGAGAATCATCCATTTTCATGCTCCCGCAGCAATGAAAAAGAGAGACTTTATTCTGACCCTGCTGCTTGGCGCAGCAAGGGCAGACTATCCCGTCAAGTCGGCTTCGGCTGTCGGCGGTGATGAAGCTGGAAACACTATTTTCAGGTAAATAAATTATGTATTATCAACATTAGGAACCCAAATTAGCTTTTCTCGAAAAATTAACAAGAATAAAATTAAATTTAAGGACACCCCCCCCCCCGTCAACAATTTTCCTCAAAAAATCGAAAATCTCAAAACAGCCATATTTTGGCTTCTGGAAATATAATTTTTGATAAAAATTTTTTTCGTCAAAAATCCAATTTTCAAGCGCAATTTCGAGGGTGAAGGAGTCGAGATAGTCTATCTCAGATAGACCCCCAAAAATGCAGCCTCAAAATCGTTTTTTGACCTAAAGAATCCATTTCCGGGGTCAAAATTTAAAAATTCCGAAAATAGATTTTTCGAAAATTGTTGACGGGGGTGGTCCTTAAATTATGAAACTGAAATTTGAAATTCAGTTTTGGCGGAAATTTTGCTGACGAAGAAAACCTCGATCTCCAGTTCAAATGTCATGGAGGACATTTTACGCCGTGCTTGATCGAAGAGGAATCATCGACCAACATCGTCTGTCGAGCAAAGCTTGACGACGGAAGGCACACTCTCTTTTTGAATAATGAGGAATGCCAACTTGATGCCTGTTCTTTCCGAATCAAAGCACCAGAAATCGACCCGATTCCTCGAAGTTTCAATGGAGAAAGCCGACCGCGATCTCGAGTCGAATCCGGACGACGGAATCCAGATTATCGGGAGCCACCGCAAAAGCAGAGCGAATCGTCTTCGAAGGCTCGTGGATCAGGCTGGAATGATACTCCTGGCTGGCCGGTTGTCTACGATGTGCTGAACGGGGATGTCTCTATCAACGGAGGCTTCACGCTAACGATCGAGGGAGAAAACTTTGGATCAAAGCTGGACTCTTTCGGAGAAGAAGGCCGTGAAGGAAACAGCGATATCAAGGTCTTCCTTGAATCAAGAGAATCCGGCTCCTGGTCCCCTGTCGCCGAGTGCATTCCCATAGCTCACTACCACAATCCAACTCAGATTTTCTGCGAGGTGTTTGACCGTCTTCCTCACTACGGTCAATACCGAACTGCTGTTTTCATCAATGGCAACGCGGCAAATTGGCACTGCGGATGTAAAAAATGCGATTGGATGTGCAAAGTTGGCACCTACGAGTGGTCCGCCGATTACATCCGACAGAATGTTGACAGCATGCGAGCTGTCGGACAGCCACGATGGACCGAGTGGTTTTCTTTCGAAGAATTTGGATCGGATCTCGTTTACGAGTGGGAAAGCGAGCACAGTGGGCAAACTCCTGGTCAGGAATTCTTCTGGGGCGACGTTTGGCGCAAAAAGAACACCACCCAGATCTGTTTCGCTCCGCTTGCGATGGAAGCTCGTAATGATGAAACTGGTGCGATTCTTGACTCGACCTACTTTGACGAATTCACCCGGGAGTATGCAGTTTGTCGAGCTGACGAGGGATCGAATGGATGCAGCATGAACAGTACCAGCTTTAGGTTTTTCTGCGATGAGGGCGCGACAAAGTTTCACTGGAACCCGGCGAACCGAGATGATGTTCCCTCGATGGATTATGACACCGAAACACTAGAATATCTTGAAAGCGTTGATTTTTTGATCAATAATAACGAGGTCGTTGGCCAGTGCCACTTGGCGTACGAAGACGAGGAGAACAGTGAAGTCTACCGATTCGACCCGATCGAGATTGGAAATCACGGCTATCACAATAGCTTTTACTTCTCTTGCCGAGTTGAGACCGACTATGTTGGTCACGTGACTCTTGGAGTAAAGAATCATGGCCGAGGCTACACTTCACTTTCGCAAGAATCCAAATTTTTCGACAGCGACGGAGAAGTTCGATCATTCACCCTCGCTCCTTCGATTCATTCGATTACCCCAACTTCTGGCTATCACGAAGGAGGAACGCGAGTGACAATCACTGGTCGTGGTCTCGCTGGGCCAAATGTCGGTGCTGAGAAGGCCGAAGTGACCGTCGGTGGTGTTCCATGCGATATCGTCTCGGCGAGTCCTCGCACGATTGTTTGCGATACAAGAGCGAGTGTCGCTATCGCAGAGGGTGCGAAGCATATTGGAGGTGCCGGTGCTGATTTGGAAATCACCACTGCATTTGAGTGGACAATGGATACTGACCAGTTTCGATATGGAGCCGATGGGTGGGATCTTCGAGAAGAACATGAGTGGTGGGAGTTTGGAGCAGAGGAAAGAACAAAATTCTCGCGAAGACTTTACAAAGCCCACAATTCAAAGGATTTCTACCAGGAATGGGACGCACCATGGTGGGGAAAACGTTACCACGAACGATCCGATTGGTTCTTTGGCCAAATGACTGGAGCTTTCTCGCCCCCGATTACCGGTTACTACACGCTTTACAAATTCTGCGATGACGTCGGCTCTATGTGGATGAACACCGACGGTGGAAACCACCCTGACACGCAAGAGCACCTTTTTAGCAATATCCGTACATTTAATCCTCATTCGGCTGGACCGCATAGAGGCGAGTCTGCCTCCCCAAGAATGTTCCTCGAGGCTGACAAATCTTATATCTTCAACGATAATTTTGTCGAGCATTCTGGCCGTTCTTACAACAAACTGAGCTTCATTTTCCATGGCCCGGATCCTGAAATCAACTACCAACATGATCCCGTACCAGCGCCAAGAGAATATGATAGCTACGTCGCTCAAAACGACCAGCTTCAGGTTGTCCAGGAAGTTCAAGAAGTCGACATTCTTTCTTCAAGTCAGGAAGAAAATATCAAGGTCGCCATTGTTTCCGGTGACCCCGATCGAGTTAAGTTTGGTCTTCGATGGGCTAATTCAAATGGCCAGAGCAAGACGACTCCTCTTGGCACTTGGAATGAACACAAGGAAAATGACGGTGCTCTGACAAAAACTCTCATTTCTTCTCAATGCGAGACTCTTGGATCGTTCGAGCCATTCTACATGCCATCGAATGAAGATTCTTCCACTCAGTGGCGATTTCCTTATGGTAAAACAAACGTCGAGAGTTTCTGCGGCCAAAAGTCTTACTACGCCAAGTGGCGTGAATTTTTCGCCATCGGCGAGAGTGAATGGCTTCCGGCAGCCGAACCTGTCCACATTGATCTTGTTCCTCATTTCTGCTTCGCGCACAAGGGCGAGCTCGACGAAAACAGTCATAATACAAGAATGTTCCTTGAAGTCGGATACATGGCGAACGGATCTTCTGAAACCTTCGGGGAAATTATTGACAATTTGAGCTTCCTTGAAATGTCTTTGTCACCACAAGAAATAAATATGGAGTCAAGAACAAGCTGGGTCCACATGTGTATTGACTTGAGAGCTTTGATTTTGGCCAACACTGATTTGACGAGCAACCAAAACCCCGATTTTGTTGAACATGTGTACTTGAGACGGCTATATTTCCGTAATCGGTGGGGCTATTTTGACGAACTCGGATTCGGCGTGGCTTCAGATGATTATGAAGTCTTCAGAAGCGATGTTCCAATTAGACCAAACACGCCTGTAGGAAATATCGACATGAAAGTAAATGAAAATGCAATGATTGCTCGATTGAAAGACACTCTTTGTGGAATTGATATTCCAGACTTCGAAGTCATCGGCGGAGCCAATACAGCCGTAACTGTCGAAGATGTTATTGTTTTCAACAATTTCAATGAAGAAACAACTGGAAAACTCTACACGCTGACGAATCAATGGGGCGCCGAGCTTCAAATCCAGGTCCACGAGCACCAGCCCGTCAGTCCAGGTGTTCAAGGATTCTTTCGACTTTCGTATCTCGGACAAACTACTCCAGAAATCGACATTCAAGCACCCGACATCAATGATGTCCTCACTTCCGAGCTCAAAAAGCTTCACGGTGATGTCGCGATGGTCAACGCTGAGTCGAATGGTAATTGCAATGATGGTTACACTTTGCAGCTCTGGTGGGCCGTCCCTGGCGACTTTGCTCCAATCGAAGTTCAAAATATCAACTTGACTGGTGTCGAACTTCATGTTGAAACCGTTGACGTTCGATCTGGCGGTATCTGGATCAAAGAAATCCCCGGTGCCTTTTTGCGCACTGTTCATGATGAGCCCCAAGTTGTCGTGACACGAAATGGCATTTCCGCTGTCTGCAACACTGACGATCAAGAATGCTCATTTTCGTATCTTGATGCGCCCGCTGATATTGCGTCAACAAGTGCAGCTCAAGTGAACACTCCTGCGTCAGGGGAAGCTAGCTTCGTTGTCAATTTTGACGCGCCTGTTGGAACGATTGCTTACATGAAAATCGGCGATGTTTTTGGTGAATATTGCTATGCCGATACTCAGTGCAGATTCGTCCAGACAAGTGAAACCTCCGTGGAGATTTTCTTCCAGTCTCTTCCTTATGGCTCTCATCCAATCACCGCGTACACCGAATTCGGCGCACTTTTGAACAGTGGCGACTTGAGCATTCTCGTGAATCCGCCAGCCGCTGGTGTCAGTGTCTCTCCATCTGTTGGTCCCGCTTATGGTGGAAACATGGTCACAATTTCTGGAAAAGGCGTCGGAATCGGCGAACAAGTTCCATTTTTCGATGGAGTCGAGTCTAAAATCATCAGTGTCTCTGCTGATGAGATTGTTTGCCTTTCTCCTACAATTGAAACAACCGATGCAGCTGTCGACATTGCTTTTGAAAACGGCGTCGTTCTCGGCTCTTTTGCCTACTCGGGTGCATCATACGACCTCACTTCCGATCGAATCGATTGGTCAGTCAAGGGAAATCAAGAAATCGCTTTCTCACTCTCGAGCGCACCAGCGGACGTCGAGTCCGGAGACATTTTCTTCGACGGCGAGTGGATTGCCACTCTCAACTTCGCGAACAACGGATTCGCTTACGTTAATGCTCCCTCTGATGCGAAGACCGACTTTGAAGTCAAAATCTGTTTGTTTAAAAAGGTCGACGGAGAAACCATTTACCTCGGCTGGACATCAACCATTCTCATCAGTTACAGATTGACAATCGACAGCATCACTCCAACTCATTCATCAACTGCTGGAGGAAGAATTCTAACGATCAACGGACGTGGCTTCGGAACCAATTCAGAAGAGGTTCAAGTTCATGTTGGAGGCATTCCTTGCGATGTTGAATCGACCACATGGCAAGAAGTCACCTGTAAAACTCGTGGCCGCTACGAAACTCATCAGGTTATCTTGACTGGATCTTCCTGGTTCCCACAGAAATTGACTGTCCGGGCAAATGACCGAATCACTTGGAGCTGGATTTCAAACGAAGAGTTCACTGTTCAGATCGGAACGACGGACTCTTTGAATAATGAAGAAAAACTCTCAGACGACATTGTTTCAAACATCGTCTCTGGCGAAGCAGGAACCGTCGAGACAATTGTCACTGCTGCACCTGGCACTTACTTCTACACTTCTGGATACATGGATGGATATTCGATCTTCGCAAATGGCCAGATCGAAGTTCTTCCTCCTTTGAATTACGAAGAGGAAGTTGTTCTCTCCCTTGCTGGATACAAAGCAAATACCAACCCTCTGATGGTTCGAGGATGGCGAAAGTGGACCGGATCTACCGACTGTGCGACTGATGGAGGTTCCGTCTCTATTGCAAGTTCAGAGACTGTCGCTGCTAATTGCACCGCTTGTACGACTCATACTTACTCTTACGATCTTACTCCCAAAGCATCCTCAGTCGAATTCGACGGGCAAACTCTGACTATCACTTCTGATGACTTTGCTGATCAAACTGATTGCCCCGGTGCTTTCAACGTCGTTGGCAGATCCGCTTACGGTGAAATTAAATTCACCGTCGAGAGCGTTTCCGCCACTCAAGTTGTTGCATCGATGCCCGCTCCAAAAGCAAACTGGCCATTCGGAGAAGATCTTCAAATTGAAGTTTCTGAGTTTGGCCGAGGAAACGTTCTCATCAATTCTGATCAAGTCGAGAAGTTTACTGTGAGTCCCTCGATTGACTCTGTCTCGCCTCGAATCGGTTCGAATGAAGGAGGAGCTCTCGTTACAATTACTGGTGATGGATTGAAATTCGATCGTTACACTTACACCAAAGTTTCTTGCTGCAGCGAAATTCTTACTCACACAAAGACGCAGATTGTTTGCGTTTCTGCTCCTGGAAAACCCGGAAGCTCTGCTGGAATCGGCGTCACGTGGCACGAGAAAGAGCCAGAAAATGAAAATGTTTTCATCACTCTTGCTGGTTCTCTTGGAGGGTCCTACACCTTGAAGACAGATTTCTCTTTTGATTTCACACAGCTTGCCGTCGAAGATGACGTCAATGAGTTTGCGCATCAAACAAACACTTTCTCCCTTGATGTCAGCTATCAGTTCCCCACATCTCCTGATAATCTTCGAGCATTTATGAAGGGTGTCTCTGACGGATCTCAAATTGAGCTGACAAACACTTATCTTGAGCTTTGCGAAGGAAAAGCTTGCTTCCGATCCCAATGGACAGCAACTGGATACACATCGCAGAAATACGATGTCTGGCTCGAGTCTGATAATTACGGAAAGATCACTTACGGCCGGGAGTACCCATCAATCTTCATCACTTCCATGCAATACAACGAAGGGTCGCATTTCGGCGGTCACAAGATCCGAATGACAACAACGACGATTTATGGTGATTTCCCTGAACACCACAATCTTCGAATCAGTCGTTGGGGAAGAAATCTCTGTGAACGAGAAGATGAGCGGCTTGAAGGCTATTGTACGATTGAAAAGATTTCTGATAACCAAATAGAAATTGTCACTGCACCAATGATCGGTGAGATTTCTGGAACTGGAGAAAGAGCTGATGTCCGAATCAACTTTGAATACGACAACGGTGATGGAGATGAAGAAGAAATGGTCTACTGGTGGGACTCCGTTAGCAACAGATACCATCATGATTGGACACTGACTCCAGGTGTTTCCGCTGTCTCTAGCAATCGATTCTCTATTGGAGATGTTCTGTCTATCACTCTCAACGGAACTGAAGACGGAACCTGTACTGGCGCTGAGGTCTACATCGGAAATGCTCCCTGTGCTATTTCCTCTTGCAGCGCTGTTGGAGGCACTATTGACTGCATTGTCGGACCACAGGGTGACGGTGACTACTCACTTACTGTCTTTTTCCCCGAAGTCGGATACGCAACGATCAACGACGGAGTCGACAAAGTCTTCACAATGAACTTTGACGTAACTTCAATTTCACCCTCATCTGGTTCTTATGGAGGCGGTGTTCTTGTCACTCTTATCGGATCCGGTCTCGGAGCCGAAACTTTCGATGGCCGCCTTTGTGAGGAGCCACTGTATGATTGCGAGTTCCCCGACTTTGAGACTGCCATCTGCCGAACTCCAAATATCGGTGTTCGAGAGCACGACTCATTTGTCTGCACTTATCAATTCTACAACGCTGATGGATCGCCGCACAGTTCGTCTCGAATCGCCAGCTTCGGATTCACCTACCAACTTTCTGACACTGCTATTATCAGCGATATCTCTCCAGCTCTTGGCGGAAGCATGGGAGGAACGAGAATCACAATTTCTGGCTCAGGTTTCGTTCCCCTTGGGCAAACTGTGACGATCGGCCAAAGCACTTGCGACATTATCAGTGAGAGCTCAACAGTAATTGTCTGCGAAACAAACTCCCATCCAACATCCACAAAGGAAGCTGTCATCGTTGAACTGACCTCATCTGGCTTTGCTGCAAGAGATCCAAATGCTCCCGCTTCATTCACCGGTGATTTCTGGTATATTGACAGATGGAGTTCAATTTTCACCTGGGGCTGCACCGAGTCGCCATGCGAAAACAAGCCTGTCGATTACGACATCGCTGTTATTCCAGCTGGAGTTACTGTTCTTCTTGATGAATCTACTCCTCTTCTTTCAGTTCTCTTGATCCAAGGAGGAACTCTTCTTTGGAACCGATCAAGTGGCATCAAACTTCGAGCTCAATACGTTTTGATCACTGACGAGGGTCGATTTGAACTTGGAACCGAGGAGGATCCATTCTGCCTCGACGCTGCAGGAAACAGAATGACTGCTGATATTGAGCTCTTTGGTCACTCAAGAAGCGTCAAACTTCCAATCTATGGCGCTAAAGTTTTCGCTGTTCGATCTGGTACTCTCGATTTGCATGGCTGCCCGATCGGCAAATCCTATTCCGTTCTTTCACAAACTGCCAATGCTGGTGATTCCGAGCTCGTTCTCAAGGATGTCGTGGAGACCGCCGACGGTGCTGCTTCGAACTGGCAAGCTGGTGATGAAGTCGCTATTGCTACTACTGGTGGACGGCTTTCAATGAAACAGACTGAGCGAAAGGTTATTCAATCTGTTTCGGGCAATGTGGTGACGCTTACTGAACCACTTGAGCACCGGCATATTTACCATCTGTCTACATGGGATGGCGACGAGCTCGAAGTCACTGCTGAAGTCGCTCTTCTTACAAGAAATGTTCGACTCTACGGCAACCGAAATATGGACTGGTATGAAGAGCTTCCAGAATGTACCGAGACGCAAGAAGCGGCTGAAAGCGCAGTTCAGACCTGTTTCCAGAATAAATGGGGTGATGAAGTCGGTTCCGATGAATTTGGCTCACATTTGATCATGCATTACATCGTTCGAGGAAGAATCAGAAACATTGAAGTCTTCCACGCCGGTCAAGGCGCCCAACTCGGGCGATACGCTCTTCATTTCCACAATTCAGGAAATCAGCCAGACAGTTACATCTCATCAAACTCGATTCACGATACTTTCAACCGAGCTATCACGATGCACGGAGTTTGGAATGCGACCATCGAATGGAATGTCGCTTTCCGATGCAAGGGGCATAATTTCTTTATTGAAGACGCTGTTGAAGAAGATCTTCTCATTCAGTACAATCTTGCCATGATGGTCAAACCTGCTCAATCACTTCTAAACACAGATCAGAAAGCAACTGGTTTCTGGATCACAAATACGTTCAATACAATTCAACACAATCGTGTCGCTGGTTCTGCTCAAATGGGATACTGGGTCAATGCACCATCAGTTTCTGGACATGCTAATGCAGATTGCCCACCAATTGTCCGCTCGCACTGCCCCAACTTCACTTCCGTCAAGAAATGGTACAACAACACAGGCCATGACATCGGTCTCTACGGCTTCTGGGTTTTCACAACTGAAGAGAACGTCGCCTACGCACCATCAACTATGGATTGCCAGGAGACTTGGCCACCAGGAGAGGCGATTTTCGAAAAGGGAACATTTTGGAACTGCAAGCGAGGAATGGAACTCGCTCTTGTTGGAGACAATGTTAAAGTCAAGGATTTCACCGTGGCGAATAATCAACTCGGAGGTCTTTCTGTTTTAGAGACACAATCATTGAGAGATGGAGGCATGTTTGATGAATACTTTACTGGAATCGTTGACAGTAAAACAATCGGATACATTGATGCAACTGTGCCAGAGCTTTCTCTTTGCACAAGATTTGGTGTTGAAACTCCATGGAAGCCGGATGGTCAGATGACAGTCGATGGCATCAAATTCTTCAACTATGACGTGTCTTACGAGGATGACGAAAATGTCGAGCCTGGCTGGTGTAGTGCAATCGACGCCTGTTACAGTTCTTATCCATTTGATTGTGGTCGAACTTCGCAATGGTCAAATGTCCAATGGTTTAATTCGCCGAGAAAATTCGCTGCCGATTGGGAGCACGAAACGATTCTGGTTGACATGGATGGTTCTTTGACTGGAATGGGTGCTCCTGGCTATTCCGTTGTTCCTCAATCTGACCTGTTCCCGCCATCTATGTGCTTTGATGCTCCAGAATTTTCAGTTGAATTCCCTGCAATGATCTGCAACTCTATTGAATACAACCGATACGCGGTCAACAAAGTTCTTCCAGACTCTCTCCGAGGATTCTCGATGATCATCGAAAACAGATGGGGACAATCATTTGTGCCTTTCCGAAAATCTCGCTCGACTTCTGGTTTCGGCTACATGGGACTGTTGCTCTCTGGTGAACACCACGATATTTCTTGGGTTGATCATGAGCATATAACAAACATCACCTACAATGGTCAACTTTACGATATTGGAAAGGACAAGATGGTCACCATTCGCCACCCATTCTACCAATCAACTGATTACGCTGAAATCACTGGTGGAAAACGAGGAGTTCACGCTAATGCTTCCGATTTGGGAGACATTTATGAAGACTTCGTCGGTGTTCCAAAGGAGGACGGAATCTTTGATCGAACTGGAAGCCCATTAGACTATTACATTAGCCCAATTGACAATTCATTAACTTTCGGTGCTATGCGAGGCGACTACTCCAACAAGTTTTATGATCTGAATTTCCAGATCTCAGTTTACAAGTGTTTCTGGCCTGGATGCGTTCCTCCCACAGAGCCTCCACCAACAACGCCTCCAACAATTTCTGATTATTGCAATTGGAGCGATCTCGCTTGTTGGGACGACGGTGTTGTTCCTTCGGATGGCGCCAATGTCACCATTGCCAACGATAAGGACGTTACACTTGATATTGATATCACTGTTGATATCCTTTTCATTGAAGGGACTCTTCGAGTGTCAAATGAAACAGATGTTACAATCAACGCTCGAGTAATTTTGATCAATACCGGCATGGGAAGCTCGTCAGCAACTCGAAATCTCATCGCAGTTGAAAACGGAAACTTCTTCGTCGGATCCGAAGAGAGCCCAATTTGCGACACTTCAGTGACTATCAATCTTCTCGGAAATGAGTTTGGTGCTGAATTCGGCGCTCCCAACGGCGCAGTGCCAATTGGAAGCAAAGCAATTGGAAATCTCGGAGGACTTCAGTTGTTTGGATGCCCACGAGCTCTCCGCAGCTCTCAGCTTGCAGCAGATCTTGTCGCTGGAGATAATCAATTGACTCTTGTTGATGATGCAAGCTCACTCCAACTCGGCGATGAGCTTGGAATCGCTCCAACATCGTTTGATATGAGAGAAGCTGAGTATGTCGTTGTTACCGGAATCAGTGGTTCCGTCGTCACATTTGACCCACCAGCTCAATTTGACCACCTTGGAAATACTGAGTTTGCTGCGGAAGTCGTTGTTCTGACACGAAACGTCAAAATTTCCGGGGCTTCTGAGTCAAGTGACTTCTTTGGTGGCCGCGTTGTCTCTATGGATGTTACGGAGTCCTCTACTTTCAGATCCGGCTGGGCACAAGTCAGCGACGTCGAGTTTGTTAACATGGGTCAATTTGGACACACTAAACCTGATGATCTTCGGGTTCCACTTGCCTTCTACTACATCGGTCTCCAGGACTCGAGTGATAGTCGACGATCTTTTGTCACCAACTCGGCTTTCCATCATTCATACAATGGTGGCATCGTCACTGGTGCTGGCTGCGACGGAGTTCAAGTTGAAGGAAACGTTTTCTTTGACATTGTCGCCGACGCAATTGAAGATCTCGGAGAAAACACTCAAATTATTGACAACACTGTTGTATTCTGCCAATATCGAGTTCTTTATCAAAACAATTTCGAGATCGCAATTCCTCAAAATGGAGATACAGAGCAGAGCAATTTGCCAGCTGGTATCAGCACTATCGGAACGAAGACAGCTGTTGTTTTGAATAACCGGGTTTCCGGTGTTGAGGGTTACTGCTACAAATCTCATGGAAAGGCTTGTTCTTCTAACGATGTTTGCGCAGACAGTGTCTCTGTTGAGTCGCCACCAACAATTGAAAACACCGGACACACTTGCATGTTTGGCGCTGCCATAATCAAGGTTCAAGGACGCCCATGCATGGAATACTCAAACTTCAATTTCTGGAAGATAATGGACTACGCTTTCTACACCCAGGCTATAGGATCAGACGTTCTCATCAAAAACAACATTGTGACTGACTCTGTTGTCGGAATTCAAAATGTCATGATCGGAAACGGAGACCCACTTGATCACGTTCACGGAAACCAGAAAGTCTCGATTGATGGAAACATCTTCACTGCTTTCTCCGATTCTTTCGCTTGCTCTGATTTCGGTAAACGTAACAATGCTCTTGTCGTTACTTCCGGAATGACTTCCATGTCTCGCTCGCGATTCAATCCAAGAAGCGGAACAACAGCCATCAAAACGCCATATTTCCAGAACAAGGTCAACAAGTGGCCGAAGAAACCACTCGATCAACAGACTGGATACACAACGCTTGCCGGCCGCTCCTGCGTCAACTCAAATACCTTCATCAATTACAGGAACCAAGTTTGCGGAAATGCGCGAAGCCATATTATTTTCAGTACTACTCGAGCTTTGACTGATCATGCGCCCATGGTTGAAGTGAGAGACACAACAAAAGTCACGTCAACAAAGGCAAACCTTGTCTATTTCCATCGCCCTTCAGTTGGCAAGGTCAGCCTTGATGAGTGTGTAGATATGCCATGTGACGGTGCTCGACGAAGATTTATCAAGGACATCGATGGAAGCCTGACAAATGATGCACCAACTGGTCAGGAAGTCGCGATCATCTCGCAGTCTGAATATCACTGGGAAGGAGTAACAGGCTTCCCCTGGTCGGACAATGTTGATCAAAGATTCGGCCTGGGTGATTATCGAATTCCGACTTCTATGCTCACAGATATTGACGGAAATGTGGAAGATCCTTACGTTTACGCTCCGTCCCGAGGTGCTCCTCGACCGGATTCTTGTGAATACGAGACTTCTTACAATGCATACGTCTGTACTGGCGCTACTCGTGGATTCCTTAACTTCGAGTCCATGGATTTCGACACTGAAGTGAGACGAATTGCTCCTATTGGAATTCGCTCTGACTCTGGTTTCCTCGACTTAGGAAACGGTCCAGCGGATCATTCTTGCTGCGCTGGTTATGCCTGTTCTCTTCGAGCCACGATGAACTATTTCTTGGTCAACTGCGGCGAAACATACGATTTCCATACAACCGGAACAATGCCGACAAAGGTGCGATTCTCTCTTCAGCAACTTCCAGCTACTTGCAAGATCGGAATCAAGATGCACACTATGCGTCAAAATCGTCAGGATGTCTTTTTGAATGGTGACAACATCATCTACTCAAATCAATACGACTTCGCTAATGACACTTGGCGATTCCCACATCCCTCGATGATCCCAACCCTTGATGAGCCTTCTGGATCTAACTACTTCGATCGAGCTGAGCAAATGCTCTACTTTACTCTTGGAGGCGGCGATCAGCTCGAAGTTCGAATCGCTAACTCGATCATTCTCACTCTTGATATCACCACGGAACTGACTATTGAAGAGTTTTACGCTAGCTCTGACCTTCCTTACCTTCTTGCTGCCATGCTCGGTCTTGATCCAAGCCAAGTCAAGATCGTCGAAGTTGTCAGAGAAACTAATCCTGCCCGAACCTGGACTCATGAAAGCACAACTGTTACTGGCCAGCTTCCAGAAAATAATGAGGTCACTCGAGTGAAAATTGAGTTCTCCAATGAATTTGGATCAGATGAAGAAGACTCGGTTTCGAATGGAGGTTTCTCAAGAGCCGTCTTTACAACAAGTTCAGCAATTAATAACAAGAACGTCGGAAACAGACTCGTTGCTGCTCAGATGGAGGGTCGACTTGAGGCTGACATTTCCCAAGCATCTGGTTCTGAATTGAACATTGTCGCTACTACTCTTACTGCGCAAGCTTTGAGTGGTGAGACACCAGCTTGGTATGAAAAGGGCACCGAAGGAGACTCACAAACTGTTCTTGCTCAGCTTGGAATCGATCCAGATCTCACGGAAGGAACGGCCCTTCAAGACTTGATTGTCGAGACTGCTGAGCTCAACAACAAAACTGAAATCATCAACTCTACCAACATCGAAGAACAGGCCATTCTCCAGGAAACAATGGATCGAACGACAAAAGCCGTCAGCTACGATCAAGTTCCAACAACGATGGTCGTCGTCCAACAGATTCCCCAAAAAGTCTTTGTCGGAAGCAGAATGCGATATCCAATCAGAGTTGCCATGCTTGACGCTAATCATGAGTCAATGACTGAAGTTGGTTACATGGGCGATCCGATGAGAATCACAATCTCTTCTTCTCCTGATACCTTATTGAAGAATACGGAGACGTATTTCGTTCCTGGAAATGGAATCGCCAATTTCGACTACCTCGAATTCGCGGAAGCCGGTCGATTCAGTTTCAGCATCGCACTCACATACACTGGCGAAGCTGATATCGCTGTCGCCGATGTTCAAACGATCTCTTTCGATGTGACCGCTGATGTTCCTTCAGATCTCGCTTTTGATATGCCGCCACCAGAAACTGTTGTTCAACGACGACCATTCAGCGCGATGGTGATCATGTACGACAGCGCTGGCAATCTGATGACTGGAGATATTCTTACACCAACTGATCCTTGGAGAGTTTGCGCCGCCCCAGTCAATGGAACTGCCACGCAAGAGCTTCTTGGTGAAATTGAAGTTCCGTTCGTAAACGGCGTCGCCAAATTTGACAATCTTCAATTCAAGGAAATCCAGAAAAACGCCGCAGTCAGATTCTATGTTTGCTATGCGGCCGGCGAAGATGTCGAAGCACTCGGAATCAGTCAGATTATTTCCGAGTCGATTTCTGTCACGAATATTGATGAGTGCTTGAGCGCTCTTCATAATTGTGACCCGAACGCTTCCTGTACCGATACAGAAGGAAGTTACACTTGCGAGTGTAATGATGGCTTCACTGGTAACGGCTTCGTCTGCATTGAATTCGTTGATGAATGTACAGACGAAACTCATGAGTGCTCCGAATATGCAACTTGCGTCGATGCTCCCGTCGGATACACATGCGCCTGTAACACCGGCTTCTCTGGAGACGGCTACACTTGCGAGGATGATGACGAGTGCATGGACGAAACGGACTGGTGTGACGATGCTATTTCAATCTGCGTGAACGAGCTTGGAACATTCTCTTGTCAGTGCAATTCTGGCTACGAGAGCATTAATTCGAAGCAATGCCGAGATATCGACGAGTGTGTCAACAATCCTTGCGATGGAGAAAACCAAGAATGCACTAACACGCCGGGTGAGATTTAATTCGGAAAAAAGAGCTGTATGAAGCAAAACTGACTCTTTTCTTAAGGTTCTTATGAATGCGCTTGCGGCGAAGGCTTCAAACTCAACTGGAGAGACGAGTGCGTCGACATCAACGAATGCAACACTGGCGATCATGTCTGCGGCGAAAACACTCAATGCGAGAATCAGCTCGGAACCTACACTTGTGTTGGTACTGGTGGCGGCGGAGCATGTACAAAAACTTGCGATCCAGGCTTCGAATGTGGATTTGACGCGACGGGAGGTGAAATTTGTGTTGATGTCGACGAATGCGCCGATGCTGAGCTCAACAATTGCCAGAGCTTTGAGACTTGTGTCAATACGAACGGAAAGTATGGAAGAAAACTAAGTTTTCAGCCTGTTTAAAACCTCTTTAAGATTCCGATGCGATTTCGACAGAGACACTCATTGCCCAGCTGAGCAACCGTGGAAGCCTGAGTGGAAAGGAGTATGATAAAATTAAATATAGAATTTGTTTCTAAAATTCTTCTAAAGCGCAAAAACATGCGGTACATCTATCTTTCCGACGAAGACGCGATGCTGGCGATGAAGTTCCGCGCAAAGAACAGACTCGTCAACCCTCGAACAGATCTCTACTACGGTTTCGTCGTTTTCACCAAGGATGTTTGTGGTGTTGACTTCTTGAGAGCGATCAACGACGGTCGAGTCCAGATCGGTTTCGTCGATTCAGAGCCAGTTTACGAGCACAAGATCACTTATTTCAGAAATGATAAGGTTTTTTATTCTCGAAAATAATTGGAAAATAATCACTTTTAGAAATTCACCAACGCCGGTTTCAGCTTCCGATTAACCCAAACTGTGGACAAGGACACTCCTTGGACGCGAAAACAGGGCCAAATCGTCAAGAATATGGGCTCAGACGACGTCCAAATCATCTTCATGGGACTTGACAAGATCAACTGGCTCACCAACGCCGAGAACTGTCTTCTGACGGCGGCGAATGCAATTCTTCCAGATGGAGACTACCCAGATGTGATGACTCCTTGCGTCTTGTGGGAGAAGATCTTCTGGAACACTCCGACAATTACAAATTAACAGCTCGAGATTTCTTCCTGATAAATAAATAGTTGCTTCATAACAAAAAAACACGCTTCTAAAATTTCTCAAAATTTTGAATCCTATTATGTCCAAAAATGACCAATTATAAAAATCATATTCGTCTTCTTTGTCTCTGCAATTTATTGAATCAAGACAAAATATGAACTCGATTTCTAAGGAATGGTCGCTTTCTGTTTTGTGCTAGTCCTCTAAAAGTAAAAAGTGGCGTCTGTTTTTATGAAAAAGAAACCAAGAGCTTTGAGAATCATAACAAACAGTGCGCTCAGACTTTATGTGATAGCAAAACAACGAAGGTCCAAAAAAGTAAATGAATGGCAATAAGCATAACATCAGTTTCGGGTTATCAACTCTGATAAACTCTCGAGTTCACCAAGCGATGGCGCACTTTCTTTGCGAGAAACTTTATGCTTTGTTCATTCAAAAACTAATCACGAAAGAGCGACTAAAAGTTTTTTCGAAAGAGAATGAGGGTAAAGAGATAATTCTTTTTTAGGGCTCAACTTTATTAAGATCCTACCGGCGATCTTGTCAGCAGGTGCACTTGCTGCGGAAGCTCCCGAGGATGCGTGGACCGAAATCACCGATGCTTACAACGCTCTCTACGACGCACTGCTCGCGACATATTCCGATATGAATATTCCAGAAGTGAAAAAAGCGAATCGACTAAGAGACTTTTTCAACAAAGTCAGCTACCTGCCCGGGCGGGTCGAAGATTCATGCACCGATTTTGCAGGTTCGGGGGACCCAAACGAGTTCCTTCCCCCTTACTACGACAGCGAGAGTATCTGTCATTCTCTGAACAATTTCTTCGCTTCTATAATAAGCTATCACCAGGCTTATACTTGCAACGAAAATGTAATTTCTCCGAACAAGACCTTGCGACTCATCCAAAGACAGCGATCGATGCTTTTCAATAAAAAGTTTAAACAACTCCAGTGCAACCTACCTATAGCCCCAACTGAGCCGCCAACTGAGCCTCCAACCGAGCCTCCAACTGATCCTCCAACGGAGCCTCCAACTGAGCCGCCAACGGAGCCGCCAACAGAACCAGAGTTATAATTTTTGCGTGAATCTTTTTTGCGTTGAGCTATCTTAGCAAAGCCGAGCTCGAAACGAATTTAGTCAAGTTCGACTTCTTTTAAGTAGCATCACGGTGTTAGTATCCTCGATTCTTTTTAGCCTTTTATTAATTGATTTGAATAAATTTGGCATTGAAACCAGGAGCTTGCCTGACCAAGTGCGCTCAGAAATTATAGCTCTGAACTGAACCACCAACAACTGCAGAACCACGAATTTATCGTAAATCAGATGCGACTATGACCTTCTCTGAAGCAATCGCGTACTGCCTCGGCATAGGCATGGAACTTGCTACTTTCCCAGATAGGAGTTTAAATCCCAACGACTGGGCAACGGTAAGGTGATTTTTTATTTTCACTCGAAAACTTTTCACCAAGATGGAGGCAGCACTCATGGTTGGTCTTGATCCATCAGATCAGACTTGGTATCGCGCATGGCGCAACCATGTCTATAACAATGGCAATTGCGGGATGTTCGCTTTCAGAGCTGACATCGGCTTCTATGGCAACGATGATTATCCCTGTAATAATCAATATCTTGCATTCTGCTCCGCTGGAGAATTTGCAACGACAACCTGGTATCAAACCACCATGTCCACCCCTTTCTGGTTTGGCCGCTAATGTCTTTTCTTCATCTTTCATCTCTGAAGATGGGACTTTTTATCTATTTGAATTTAATAAATCAACAATAGATATAAAATGCCGTTGTCGTTTGTTTTAATTTGCAATCATTCACGTGACTTCACCAGAAATAATTAATAACGTTTGTTTACTCAACAAGATATTCAGATCTTGAAGAGACAAAACAAATGCCATATTAAAAGTTTGTTTGAAAGGACAACTATTGAGCATCGCTTACTTTCATTAACGGCAAAACTCATCTGATGTTTGCTTCCCTAAAATGCTGTAAAATTGAGTAGATAAAATGAGGTTGAGGTAGTTATGAAAGTCCAACAGAGCTCACAATTTTGCTCCACCGAATTTCGAACTTCTATTTCATGAATCATGAATTATCGAAAAATGTTTCTCAAATCAGCGATCGAGAAATTCTCCAGATCTTTCCGAAGCCGGACAGCGTGGAATAGGAACCCTATATTCGCAAAAAAATCAGAGGGAGAATTTTGCAGATATCTTTTTGTGAGTTGCGCATGAATAAGAGTTCTGGAAATTTATCTATTTCACTATTTTTATATTTCTCATGAGAATTTTTTTGAAGACCGCCCTAGAATTGCCTAAGTTCCAAAAATGGACCAAATACAGAAGACAAAAATAAAAAATCAGAGAATGCAGCTTGACTTCTTTCAAAGGAAGCATGAAAAGACGCTTGCGAAGTTGAAGGAAATAGAGGACAAAGCGAAAGCTGAGAAAGAAGGGGCAAAAATGTCCTGTCAAAAGCGTGAATCGAGGAACTTACGAAAATTCTGGAGAAACGGGAGCAAAAAAAAAGAGAATCAAAGCAAAAGTTGTATAGATTGTCGGTGTTGACCTCTCATGAATGATGATTGAAATTTATTTTATGGGCGGGTTTCGGCCTCAGTAGGTCTTCGTCAGCTAGGGTCGGCACCGACCACCATTTTCCCAGGTCGGGTTGGTCGGTCTCCCAGAAATTGGGCGAAATCCCTGGTCGCTTTGGTGGGTCGGGTCGCCTTATTTTTTGGTCGGTTTTTGGTCGGTCGGTGGTCGGATTTTGGTCGGGTCGGGTCGGTTTTTAGACAATAAAAAATGATTTTTTTTTCAATTTAGGAGCGCTCGAGGCATTTTATTGTGGCAGTTGGTGCGCCTTGAATGGCAAGATTTTCAAGAGTTGTAGCGCGGAGTCTTCGCCGATCTTTTCTCTTGTGTCCGCTGAGGAATGAGAACAATCGCTCCAGTTCTGAGCTCGAGAAACAGCAGCCTCCAATCTCCTTTTCTCTGTCCAGCGAGGATTTTCTTTATATTCGCTTGATCTTCTCTAGAATATTCTTGGACATCGTACCATTCCTGGATACAACTGCGAAGATTCTCCATCTTCAAGAAAAAGTGAAGAAAATATTCTCGGAGAGGCGAAGTGGATATTTCGACAAAGAAATTATCGATTGTGATTGGCTCTTTGCTCTGAATCAGAGCCTCTGATTCATCAGTAAAAGTTTCAGAATGGTTAATTTTCTCACGGGGGAAAATGCGTAGGTTTTCGACCAATAACCGACCAACCCGACCAAAAAACACTCACCGACCGACCAAAACCGACCAAAAACCGACCATTGACCGACCAAATCCGACCACCGACCAAATTAAGAAAAAAAATCTCAGGCTGAGTTGGTCGGAACTCAAATCAACCCGACCAAACCCGACCTGGTCGGGTTTTGGTCGGTGGTCGGTGCCGACCCTAGTTCGTCAGCCCCAAGTACAGATTTAAATGAAAGTTCAAAAAGCAGGAAAAACAGTTTCTCACCTAGAGTGGACAATTTCGAATGAAGGCAAAGATTGAAAACATAAAAACATAATTCACTTTCGCGGGCAGATGTAATGGAGCGCCAGAAGAAAGCGAATTACGTTTTTCGATCAATTGATAAGGGAGGGTAAGATTGCGAAGATTTGTGAAGAATAAAAATGAAGAATGTTGCTTTTATGAACGCTGAAAATATAGAAAATGTAATAAAAACTTAGCTGAAATATAGACTCTCACGAGAAAAAAATTAAGCAAAATCATCGATTTACTGACAGAAACACTTGAACCAGAACACAGGTGCGGTATTTTGTCTTGATACATGCGATAAAAAGAGACTTGAGATCTCAGTTTTATTCTCAAATAGTCAATAAATTAGCAGGAAGGAGGAATTTTATTTTTCTTCGAATTAAGTTTCCACTGACCAGCCTTTTTTGTCACGCATTTAACTCCGAAAGAAGATCTAAAGAAAAATTGTCTTTAATGTTGACTAAGACCACTCGTGTACCTTGAAGCCCCAGCGCACTTCACGAAACAAGTTGATTTTTTTGAGCTTTCGTCGCAATCCCACTCGAAATCGCCGGCGCTGTTGAATTCAGCCGGAATGGTGCTTGAGTCGCACGGTCCTGGCGGAGGTGCGGCGCCGCAAAGTGGAGGAGTCGAGTTCGATTTGCTCAGAGGTTTCCACTTTCCGGCCTTTTTTGTTTGGCATTTTATTCCGAAGGCATTTGTGGTGCCAACAAGGCAATCAACCGAGCAAGTTACTGTAGTTCCCTTGCTGTCAACTGAGCAGGCCCATTCAAAATCACCAGGAGAGACATATTGCTCTGGAATCGTCTCCAATCCACACTGCGAGGGCAGTTCGCCAGGCGGAGGTGTCCAGCCGCAATTTGGCACGTGCTTGTTTTTCGCAAGCGCCCAAGAATCGAAGTCAGAATTGCAAACGACTCCATATTTATCCGGCTTGGAGGCGCCATCGCAATGCATCGAGCAGGTTGTTTTCTTCTTTTTGGTGACGCAGGACCAGAAATAAGTTCCGGGCCCTTCGAATTCCTCTGGAATTGCGCGGACATCACAAATGTCGAATTCGCCAGAGCCTTCTGGCGTTGTTGTTTCAGGTGGAGTTGTGGTTGATGTTGTTGTCGTCGTGGTTGTAGTTGTAGTCGTTGTGGTAGTTGTAGTCGTAGTTGTAGTCGTTGTTGAAGTTGTCGTTGAAGTCGTAGTTGTAGATGTCGTGGAAGTTGTGGTGGTTGTTGTTGTGGTGGTTGTTGTTGTAGTGGTTGTTATGGTTGTTGTCGAGGTCGTAGTCGTCGTTGTTGTTGTACTGGTTGTCGTGGTTGTTGTCGTGGTCGTAGTCGTAGTTGTTGACGTGGTCGATGTTGTTGTTGTCGTGGTCGTTGTCGTGGTTGTTGAAGTGGTTGTCGTTGTAGTGGTCGTCGTGGTTGTTGTCGTCGTCGTGGTTGTTGTCGTAGTCGTTGTCGTGGTTGTTGTAGTGGTGGTCGTTGTAGTGGTGGTCGTTGTTGTGGTTGTGGTTGTCGTTGTTGTTGTCGTCGTCGTTGTCGTGGTTGTTGTCGTCGTCGTTGTCGTGGTTGTTGTAGTTGTTGTTGTTGAAGTGGTTGTCGTCGTTGTTGTTGTAGTGGTGGTTGTTGTCGTTGTTGATGTCGTTGTAGAAGTGGTCGTTGTTGTCGATGTTTTAGTTGTAGATGTAGTTGTTGACGTCGTTGTTGACGTTGTCGTACTTTAGGTCAGGGTTCGTATTTCTTTTACTAATTTATAAAAAAAAATCCTCGAAAGAAAAATGCAGGGTCGGGTAAGGAAAAATCGATTCTGTGAAAGAAAATAACGCTATCATTATATTAATTCGGGCTTTTTAACTTCATTTAGAACCCTCCTTGTGGTACTGGTTGTTGTCGACGTTGTCGTGGAAGTCGTTGTGGTGCTTGTAGTGGTCGTTGTCGATGTTGTGGTTGAAGTTGTACTAGTTGTTGTTATCGTCGTAGATGTTGTTGTTGGAGTGGTCATCGCAGGAGTTGTAGAAATCGGAATGAGTGGGAAAGGGCAGGAGTCTGGCAATTTTCCCTTTTGATTCCACGTGTTCGAAACATTTTGTCTTCTGCAGTCCGCTCGGAAGGGCTTGGCCAATTCCGCGCTATCGGAACAATTCAGCTCGCAGGTCACTTTATCTCGCTTGTTCGAGCAGATAAATCCGTGTTGCTTGAACTCATCTAAATACAAAATAAGGGATGGTTTCCGATTGAGCTAACCATCGATTGGCAGGTCGTTCGGGTCGCAACGATTGCAATTTCCCATTGAAAGAATCGAGGAAGAGATTTCTTTCCAGTAGCAGTCGCCTTGGTAGCATAAGCATCTAAAAAATGGAATGACAAAGGATTCAATTTAGGGGTTTTCCCACTTTGTATGGAGATCGTTATGAATCAGCATTCCATCTGGGCAATGATACTCGCATCTTTGGCCTTCATAATCATCTCCCCAAAGGTTTTCGCAGAGCCAGGTCCCTCCTTCGAGCTGAGGCCACAAATGAGTCGGAAGCGGACCGCAAACTGCGTCAGGATCCACCCAGCCGGAGCCTTCGCCAGAGCCTTCGCCGGAGCCTTCGCCCGAACCTTCTGGCGGGGAAGTTGTTGATGTCGTCGTTGTTGTAGTGGTTGTAGTGGTTGTCGTTGTTGTCGTCGTTGTTGTTGTTGTTGTTGTTGTACTCGTTGAGGTGGTTGGTGGAGTTGTGGTTGATGATGACGATGAAGATGTTGTCGATCCTGTTGGTGGGTCAAAGACTTGCGAAAAATACCTGACTCAGAGCCCTGAAGGAGCTTTTATGGCAATTGAAAAATATGAGGGTGAATTAAGATAGTTATTGGGGCTTTGTTTTCAGAGAAGTTCTTCATAATATTTCCTTCGAGACCCTGACTCAGGTGTATGGTTAAATTGGCGAGCCCTCTCCTGGTGTTGTTGTGGAGGATATCGTACTGGAAACAGAAGTACTTGTGGTAAACGGTGTTGTTGAAGAGGTTGTTGAAACAACGGTCGTTTCAGGCTCTTCTCCCGATCCTTCTCCAGATCCTTCAGGTTCTGTCGTTGTTGTGGTCGAAGTTGTCGTTGTGGTAGTCGTCGTCGTGGTTGGTTCGAGCGTGGTCGTTGTTGGCTCCTGGACTTGTTCACAAGAATTCGGCAAGTTTCCTTTCATATTCCAGGTGGCAAAGAAGGCAGCTCGATCGCAGACAGCTTCGAACGGCCGCCCATTTCTATCGTGCTCGCAATTCAACTTGCAAGTGATTTTCGACTTTCTTCGAGTGCAGATGAAGCCGTTTTGTTTGTAAAAATCGTCGATTTCAAGCTCCCAAGGATTGCACCTTAGACAGCTCGCGCGATTGATGGCGAACTGAGATGGTTCCTGCCAGTCGCAGCGGCGCCCTTCGCAAACGCACTTTGTGCTGTGATCCTGAAAGAATTCAGAAATAAAACTGGAGATTTATTTTGTCTTACATTTTTGATCTGCATCCCATCTGGGCAAATCCAATCACACTTTGTATTCTCACTCGCATCGTCTCTATCGCAAACCCAATTTCCTCCGAGAAAGTTTTCCCATTGCGGAATTTCCAAGTCACAGAATCCATCATCATCAGGAACATAAGTCGATGTTGTCGGAGGCAGAGTCGTGATTGGATGGCAATGGGCATCATCATCTCCACTGACTTTGGATCAGGGCTCGGCAATCTGTGTAGAAACCTGAGTCAGGGTCCTGAAAAATGAAGCAAAAACCTTTCCCTTTCAATGTCTTACTGACCCTGAGTCAGGTTTCTACACAGATTGCCGAGCCCAGCTTTGAACCAGTTTCCGGTCCCGACGTTTCTGTTGCAAGCAATGACCAAATCGACATCCCTACTTTCACAAGTAGCGTCGCAGAAGAGAACTCGATTGGCGGACCAGGTGCAGTCCCAACTTCCGGGTCCATCGGCGCCAACAAAGTACCCACTTGGCGAGTAGCTCCACGGCATGTTATCGGGATCGCAAACGTGGCAATTTGAGCGGCGCACTTTTGCCATGTCGGGGTCTGTCCAACGCCCGTTTCTGCATTTTGTTATGATGCCTTTCTAGAGTTGCAATGAGGAGGGAATATGATATTCCGAATATCTAAAAGCTTCAATTAAAGCTGCAGTAGTTTGATAAAGCCGCGCGCGGCTTTGTTCGCGAAAAAAGCCCCACATGACTTTCAAAATTTTCTATACCCGAATTCATAAATATTTTCATTTCTTCTCGACTAATTAACATTAGGTATTTTCATTTTCACTATTTGGATTCAATATGAAATAATAATTATAACTCATTCCTGTTTCGCCGCCATCTCCGCAGAAATACTCGCAATTGTCATTTGAATCACAAGTGTAAGATCCTCCAGTCTCGCCCCATCCAGGTGGCCCAAGTGGGCACTCATCCACATCGGGACAAGTTGATTCTTCCCCGTCTCCAGAGCCATCGAAAGATCTTCCATCCCCGGAAGACTCGGTTTCTGTTACTGGAGCGCTTTCTCGATCGGCTCCGATTACGCAGCCTTCTTCATCGACTGGGTACGGCTGTCGGTTGAAAAACTCTTGCGCTTTTTCATTTATCCAGTCTCGGAAATGGCCGACTCTAGCGAAAAGCGGCGCAGTATCTGCATACGAGCAACCCGGAATCGCCCAAGAAGTGATTCCATAAACAAAGGGTTGATTTCCTCGCATGCAAACAAGTGGCCCTCCGGAGTCGCCATTGCAAGCCATTGTCGAGCCATCGAGCTCGCCGGCGCAGACTTGGGTTTCGTCGTTGATTGTGTGGAAGTAGTCGGTGGCTTGGTTGTCGATTCCAGCCTGGCAGGTGGCTCAAAAGGGCTGAGATTCTTTTCAGGAAGTGAGGATTTAAAATGTCACTTTTCTAAGACCAAATTTATTTTAAAAACTGACCCAGGTTTATTACACAGGTTGCCATTTTTCAGCCCTTTCCTGAGGGAATAATATCCGCATAAGTTTCCTTCAAATTCGGCTGCATCGACCCCTGGCCGGGGAAAGTGAGCCCCCATCCAGCAGTAAAGCACCTTTCTCCCTCCACAGGCTCATCCCCGGGCTCTGGGAGGCAAGCAGGCGCCGTGGCGACATTCCACTCAATCGGCCTCGACAAGAAAAGCAGGCAAACGTCGTTGTCAGTGGTTAGTCCAGCGGAAGAGTCGACCGAAACGAAATCTTCGTGGTAGATTTTTTTGAAAACGGGGATTCGTTGCTGCCAAAATAGAAAACGTATTTTTGCTGAATTAATCGCTTGTTTACCGTGTAAGCATCGTTGTAGAAAATGCTCGAATCGTGGGAGCCGACCATTACTTCGTACTCCGCTGCAGCACGTTTTTCAGATTATTTGAAAAGTCAATCTTGGAGTATGATTTTTTAAGATCAAGGGCGACAAAGATTGTGACAAATTTTTGACAAAAAATTCGGGAAAGCGACGCAGAGCGACATTTCTCAAACGACAAAAATATGACATCTTATTTATAAAAACGTGTTCCTAAGGGATCATCGCCATCACAGCAATGCGCTGCCGTCAAAATAACTTGGTCCGAAATGATCGTTCCGCCGCATCCGATTCTCGGCATAAGAGCCATCCATCTCCACGTGAGCGCATCTGCATCTTGGCCACCTTTCATTTTAGGTATCAACTTCCGCCAGAAAAAAGCACTTTTTGCCGAGAAAAATGACACCGTTCCTATAATACGCCCCTGTTCATCCCAATCCGGCTCGACTGCGCAGGACTCAGTTCCGAGAAATCCCGCTTTGGCCAAAATAGGCAACGACTTTTTTCGTACTCAAATTCTTTTCATAGTAGTTTAGCCAATTTAAGAGAGTGAGACCCTTAGTTATTTATTTTGATGGGAATCGAACATTTTCGGCCAATAATTTGATTCTGAATGATAAAATTCTGAATGAATTTTAAGAATTTTTTTCCGGAATCTGATTGGCCTATCGGCATTATACGGAAATCTGATTTGTCAGAAAATTCTCAAAATTTCGATCGAAATGGAAGAAGGTGTCAAAAACCCGCAATATAATTTCGAAAATTTTTGCGTGAAAATTTTCAACCAATCAGAAGCATGGATTCGGCTAACCGGCAAATCAGCGGCAAACCAGCCGCCCGCTGGAAATTTGTCGAAATTTTTTGTCGGTTCCTGACGCCACCCAAAATTTTGATTAAAATTTTTTGTTTAAATAAATTTTCAAAATGAGAAATGTTCATTCCTTTTTTGCGTTAAAATTATGGCTTTTTAAGTTATAAATACTATTTATCTATACTAATTTCGTTTATGCTTTTTTCGTCGTAACAATCTCTTTTTATTCTCATCTCTTTTTTTCTTGTTTTTTTTTCGATTCAAAATACTTCCTAAAAAATTAATTGAGCACGTTCCAGAAAGAGTCGCATTGCGTATTATGCCTTATGCACCGGTTGGTAGTGGCTTGAGTGTTTTGCGGAAAAGAAGGGAGGGCGCCGTTCATTCTTACGAACATCCTGACCTCGGAATGCCCAGTACTTTGGCTCCCACGCTCTTCCAAACGCGTAATTTTCTTGTTGACTGATAACACTCTAGAATCGCCCAAACGCAAATGCAGATAACGCGGCTTCGGAAAGAGCAAATCACTGGCATCAGTTGAATTTTGATAAGAAAAAAGAATTCAATTCTACTTTTTTTTGAAATTTCCATCATTTATTCATTTAGAAATATTTTACAAAGACAAAGAATCATTCATTCGAAGAAACAAAAAACAGTCAAATACTCGCCAACTGAAAAACCATCTTTTTCAGCACAAATCGCCTCAACTGCGCTACCATCGAATTCAACTGGTCGTTTTTGAGGTTGATAATGTTCGAAATCATCGAGCAGTACTGATTGATGATTCCGTCGAGTTGGGTCTCAGCGGCCGGCATTTCAGCTTCATCGTCGTAGATTTGAGGACAAGTTCTATAACATTTTTGTTTTTTTTTGGAGTTATTAGAGGTTTTCACCATGAAAAATCTTCAAGGAAAGAGAATTAAACTTACTGTCTTAAAAACGCATTCTCAAAGCTAAAAGCAACCAGCGGCCATTGCGAAGCAGAAGGGATAATCGCCGCTCTAGAATTTTCATTTTCTGGCTCTGCTGGCTCTTCTGATTCTTCTGATTCTTCAGATTCTTCAGCAGCTTCTTCTGGCGCCGTATTTCCGATCCCCGCGTCGCTCAAAATCGCGCTCATCATCGATGAAATTTGCTGAAATTTGTTGAAAGAATCATCGTTGATGACGTTCAAATTTGGCTGTTTTGCTGGTTTTTGGTCGTTGATTTGTAGCAGCGCTTCGATGGGGTTGAAATTGTTGAAGATTGGGACTCCTTGACGAGCTTCGACTGGTTGGAAAGATGGAGGGTCGAGGGAAGAGGATTTCAGGTCTTCGGCGATGGATGCAAATAAGGGGCTGGGAGCTTCGATAGGGATTTGGTCTTCTGGGCCTAGAATAAGATTGGTTTTAAAAAATTATCAAACGTTTTTTATGATGCCAGTGTCTCTTGATCAAATTCATTTGATAAATCCTCTAAAAAAGAGCTCCAAAATTTTGATATTTTTGTATATTTACGCAGATTTTCGACTTTCTCGCAGAAATTTTCAATATCTTTGGCCGAATTCTAAGTTTTTGCCATGAAATTTCTGAAATGGAGAAAATTTGTGTAAATTCGAAGAAACCGTCGTTAAAAATAATACGAATAAGGGTGTCACTCTGAAAACTCTTTCACAAAATGGAAAACTCTCTTCTATTTCTCAATTTTTCTTTAATTATACCGAGTAAAAAAGTCGGGATCGCCTTTGTTTCAGGAAAAAAAATCGCCGCTAGAAAAAGAGAAATCATTTTCGAACGTTCCAATTCGTGGCAGATTTAGTCAGATCAAAACGCACTTATAAATCGAGTGGTAATTTGTCTCCACGTCCGATCAATTTCCGAGCTTTTTGCGCGACAAGTTGTTTTCATAATTTTCTATCAATCACGGGATTATCTAGATGCTGGTTAAGTTCATTCGTGAGCTTAGCTTCCTGGAAATTGAAAGAAAAAATACGATAAATCATCAATTTTTATCATAAGTTTTTTCAAGCTTTGAAACCTGTTTGAAAACCTGAGTCAGGGTCTTTAAAAACTTTTAGAAGTCTGAGTCAGGTTTAAAACACAATTTGCTGATTACAGTTTTTTCGGAAAAAAATGAGTTTTTATGCGAACGAAAATTTGTTTACTGATGCGAATAAGGCGCTCTCGGCCCTCAAAACTTCTGAATAATAAGCTGCTTATGAATTTTTTTTTGTTTAACGATAAACCTTCTTTTGGAGAAAATACTTACGGTACCTGTTAAAATAAAAACTCTGAGCAATCGGAAAGAGAAAATTGAATTTCATTATTTTTGTAAGGAAAAATTCTTTTCAGCTTGCATTCTTGAGGCGCTTTAAATACAAAACGATGAAATCAGGATTTTTCGCTGTTTCAAGAAAAGAATTTTACGTGAGCCTGGAGCAATCTTTGGTTCTCCAGCTTTCTTTGCGTAATATTGATAATTTTTGCGTCATAAATTTACTCTTGATAAATGACTTTATCAATTGAAAGATATCCGCGCATTTTTTCTTTAAAAAAACCTTCACTATCAATCTTACCTCAATGGCTAAAGTCTTGACAAAGACTCACTCCCGCCGTCAATCAAATCGGACACCATAAAAACATAAATTTTTTATTTTTTGATAATTTTTTTTTCGCGACAAAAGACGAATATACTCATGTAACTTCTCCAAATGCAATTACGATTTGTTGGTGGAATTCCATCTGCAAATGTTAGTTCGGACACTGAATACTATATTGAATCAAATTTTCGAGAAAAAAAATGCTTAAAAAGTTCGTCAAACACTTTTCGAACAAAAGAGCATTGTATCAAAAAAGAGCGCAAGAGGCAACTTGTTTTTCATAAAGAAAAACATGCAGGGAATAACTCTGATTAGAGATTTCAATAATTTAGTCGTCAAGCTGCAAGATGATGGAAGAGCAGAAATTTTCGTCAGTTATCTTTCCGATTTGTTCAAAAAATGGAAGCGAGAAATGGAGGCGTTCGAGGTTTGCCCAAAATAATATCGAATAGGGGTAGTCTTGTTCATCCGTATTAAAAACTTAGGCGGGCTGAACGAGGCCACACGCGTACGTAATTAAGAGATGAACAAGGTCAGCCCCTATTTCACCTAAATTTCGATTCTGCTCTAGGAAGAAACCATTATCGCCCATGTCAAACTCAAAAGCGAAACCTTCCGCCGCTCCGTTGAGCAAGTTCGTCGGCGAAAAATGTTGGCTGGGACTTCGAAGGACTCCAAAATCATTGCCGGCCTTTTGGAGCACCAACTTTATTCGACGAGGAAGAAAATTGAAGATACAAAGGAGGAGGCTAGAAAGATGGGCGAAGATAACGATGCAAAATTCATGATTTTAGCTAGCTCGAAGATTGAAAAGCATACTAAAGCGATTAAAATGAACAATTTGGAGTTTTCCAGAAGAGAAAAAGGTGAAAGCAAAAACCCATCTTTTGATATTGAAAATTAAAATCAAGTTATCTCGCGATTCCAGAATTTGGCTGAGCTCGCCTGGATTCAAAACAAGCTGAAAAATACTTCTGAAGACTGGGCCCAGTCTTTGAATTTTCGCGAAGAGTTTCGAATTTTTAAGAATTTAGTTATACAGTCGACTCTGGCAATTACGAGTAGCAGAATTACGAGTATTTTGACAAAAACCCGCCAATTTTGAAAACAAGGGATCATCGACCGAAAATAATTTTTTTCGAAAAAATTGAGAATGCTTGATTTTAATCATTAACCCGCTAACAGGGTGGTCGATTTTGCCTACGCTTTTGCCTGTCTGTGATTGAGTGAAAACATGGATCCGGGCATGCGATTGGCTACTCATTTCCACGCGTGGCCGTGAGACGGCCACGCGCCTGTTACCGGGTTAAATCTTTGGCTTAAGAGTCTCCGGCTCTTCAGATGGTTTTAAAGCAGCTTCAACAGATTGAAAATTTGCATTATTTTTTTTATGAAAGTCTCTGAATATTATTTTAATTTTTCGTTGACAAAAAACTTTCCAAAGGGGTACGGTGGTAGCTTAGAGCCTTAGCTCTCTCCTGAAAAAATTAAGGGTTTCCCTCAGCTTAAATCCCTGAAAAAGCTTGATCCTATCAACTTGATCTTTAACGGCCTGTATATCATTGAGGAGGTAGAACTAGATTTTTTGAACAACCGTGATTTTCGGGATCATCATAAGGGAAGCGGTTGTAGTCGAGTGTTAAATTCGAGTTCCAATTAAATTAAGGGTGTAAATAAGATAGCTTCGGAGAAATACTAGCTCCAAGGAGGCCCATTTTCGCAATTCTTGATGGGGGTCCTTAAAAATGAAATCGAGAGAAAATCGAGCCAAATTTTCCAACTCGGAGAATTACGAGTATTTCACGAAATTCCCGACAAAAAAGGCTCGTAATTGCCAGAGTCGACTGTAATACGAAGAAAATTATTTTGTTAAAAAAATTATTAAACTCAATATAAGAAAGTCCTTGTCGCTCAAAAACGAGGAAAAATTCAAGAACAATTTATTGGCGATTAGAAATATCAAAGAGATTATCAAATCTCAAGAAATGCTCAACTCAGAAATCAAAGAAGAAATGGAGGAAGCAAAAATGAAGCTTGAAAAATCAGATGTTTCGCTTGAAATCGCGAAAGAGCGCCTTGAAGATTCAAGAGTTAGTTTCAGAAAATCGCAAGTCGGAGTGTTGGCTGCTGAAGATGAGATCAACTGCAAAGAAAATAAAAACTCTTTGATTCGGAAATCAATCGCCAGAAAAATAAACGACGAGAAGAAGCTCTCAAAAGAACATGAAAATCAAAGAAAAAATTTTGACGAGCAAAACAGCCAGCTACTGGACTCGGCGACCTGTGAAGAAAACCTGAGTCAGGGTTTTGAAAAGCCAGGGTTAGGAAAAGCCGCTTTGCAAACTCAATGAATCTTTTTCGGCTTCGTTTCTTTCAAAACCCTGACTCAGGTTTTCAACGCTGGTTGCCGAGCCCAGACCAAAGCTAAAGGATCAAATAGCAGAACTTACTGCGGATATCTCAAAACTCAAAGAAGCGAAGGAAAAGATAAGCCAAAAAATCGACCAAGAGAAAAGAGAAACGGAAAAAATCATCAAAGAAATCAAGGAAGAAAGCGACAAAATGACCCTTTTGCAAAATGAAATTCTTCAAGACTCTGAAAAACTCCAAAAAGAAGAGGAAATACGCTCAGAACTTGAAGAAAAAGACGCTCTGTTTGAAAAATCACGTGATTTGAGGGATGAAAATCTAAGAATGTTGAATTTGGAACTCGAAGAAAACGAGAAACTTCTGAAGAAATCGAGGAAAAACGAAGATTCAGCTGGTGAAAAATCTAAAAAGCAATTAAAATCGGAATTGAGCTTCAAAATAACAGCTTAATTTTAGGATGAAATTGAAGCTTGAAACAATCAAATCTGCTATAGAAAAGCTTCAGAATTCGAATTTATCGACTGTGAATGAGCTCAGGAAGGAAATAGCTTCCCTTGATGAAAGAATACGAAAAAGAAAGGTTTCTCTCTATTTTTGACAAAAATTGACGAAAATTTTCAGGCAGAAAAATCGGAGGAGCTCGAAACAGCGCAGAAAGAACTCGTCACCAAAACAATGATTCTTCAAAAACGAAACGAAAATATTCAAGAACAGAACAGAAGAAAAATTGACGAGCAAAAACAGCTTCAAAAGAAGTTTCTCGAAGACAAAGAAGAAATTCTTGCAAAAATAAATTCTCTCAATCAAAAAGCAAGGAATAGGGCTAAAGAACCTGTGTTTAAAATCTGAGTTAGGGCTTGGAAGACCTGACTCAGAGTTTCTACACAGATTTTTGAGCCCCAAAAAAGGATTTTATTGCTATTTCATGCGTTTTTTTTTTAAATAAAAACTTGCGCGAAAATCCCCAAAAAAGTGAAAGATATTGAAAAATTGAAATCAAGGAAGAAATTCGTCCTAAAAAACAAAGAAATTGGAATCAAAGAACTTGAAGCAACTTCGAAACTTGAAGAATCGCAAAAAGAACAGGAAAGAATTCTTTTCCGAGAAACTGTAAAAGAAAAAACGACCTGGAGGATCAAAATCGAAAATTTAAAAAACGATACTCAAAAACTTCAGGAGCAGTTATCCTTCGTCAAGGAACATGCTGAATAAAAATTAACCCTAACCCTAGAATTGGTATGAATCATACCGTATGATTCTCCTTATCCTTAAGCCTTACCAAGGGGCTTCGACACACAGTAGGTACTCCTAGCCCCTTATCCTAATTCCGGACCCAAAAAACGTTAAATATCATATCAATTCTAGCTTAATATTTGAAGAATTGGTCCTGTGAAAATTCTTATTGCTACCTTCCGAATATCTTTACAGAGCATCTGAAAGAACGCGCTTTTGAATGAAAGACGCGCATCAATTAAGAGCATAAATGGTAAAATTGAAAAATAAATTATCCGATTTTTCAAATTTTAAAGCGAGCAATGCGAGATACCGCTCGAATGAAAAAGAAATACGCGATGTCATCCGGAGAACGAAAAATACTTCGGAGGCGAATAATTTGATCAGAAGAGCTTTCCTAGGAAATTGGGAAGAATATTTAATTCTGTTTAAGTGATAAAATTCTTTTCCAAAAAGAAGCTCGGTTGAAGAATCTGCAAAAATACCTGCTCGTCTTTCAGTCTTTTCCTCTCAAAGAATTTTAATAAAGAATTTTTTATAAATCCAGGATATTTTATTTCCATTTTTTGGAGCTTTTCGCACCATTCAGTTATAAAGGTTTCTTCTTGCATTCTAGCGTGTGATGTCCCAAAGATTCTGATTCGACGGCTCCTGGCTCTGGAAGTGGTAGCGTCTCAGAAATTCTGGCGCGTCGACGAGGTTGTCCACTTTTGCGGCTAATCGCTGTCCAAGCAGTCTTCTCGCCTGTTCATATTTCATTCGTTGGTTTCCGTCTTCCAGTGCGACCGGCGCTTCGAGCCGCTGATTCAATTCGGAAAGCAGGTTCATTTCAGTGTTCAAAAGGGCGGCATCGTTACTCGCGTCTTTCCAGAAATAGGAAAATCGTTTTGCAAGGCGAAAATCTTAATTAAAGATTGTTTAAAAAATAACTTAATGATTTTTTTTATATTATTTTTCTCACTTAGTTTTACGACAAATTATTATTTTTTCTCTGCGAAAAATTTGAATTTTTATTCTAAAATTTTTGAAATTTTCAATTTTCAATTTTATCATTTTTTTTAAATTTTGAGTTGCTTTAACCATTTTTTCTCTCGTCAACTGTCTCGATCGCCTTTCCTATCTCGCTGAAAACAAGAAAGAAGACAAAACTCAAATTTTTCATGTTTTTGTTTCGAAATAAAAACTGGCCTTTGAATGTCCAAAAGACCGCCCCTATAAAGCAAAACTCGAATCAAAAATTAATGGCCGCGCTTTCCTGCCTGTTAAACACTCATTTTCCATTCCAAGCAAAAATGTACTAGGAAATGTTTTCGCTGACTTGAACAGCCGGAGTTTATTCAGTTCAGCAACAGTTACAGTAGTGCAAAGACAAGTAGACTGGCGAGGAGACGAAATGACGAGTCATACAAATGTTTTGCGCCGCAACAAGGAGTGCTCTGGCTCTGAGCTCAACGAATTCGCAGTTTTTTTATGGGCAGAGTCTGAGTTAAACAATCTGTGTTGAGCGCATTCCTGAGTTCCTCCCGGTTCTCCTGGTTCTTTCGGCCAAGGAGTCGGATATTTGTTTTCTCCTCCTGTACCAATGTTGGTATCCGTGCCAGATCCAGTTCCTTTTCCTCCAATTCCAGTTCCAGTAGCAGTACCGGTCGAGCCACCAAGCCCGTCCGTTCCAGTTTCTGTCCCTGTACTACCGGGACCGCCTGTGCCGATGAGATTTTGAGAATTCGAACCAGGTCCTTTCCAATCCTCCCCATCAGGATCGGACGGCGGCGGGACCCGAAAAGGAGTCACTTCCACGGGTTGACAAGTCTCTGCCGTGTAGCACTTGTTTTGCTGGCAAACTGCTCGGAGATGCGAGCTGCACCACTTTAAAAGTTATTTTTCTTCCGCCGAAAAAGAAAAAATATCAAACCATGTCGTCCCATTTGCCTTGGTCCGCCATGAGCGCTGCGCAGTCCTGATATTCGGTTTGACCTTCGAGATGGGGATGTCGCTTGATTTCGTCGTCGGGGAGTTTTTGGCCGTACCAGCCGATGCCCCAGGGAAGATACTCGGCGACCATTCGTCGGTAGTTCACCCAGTCGTATTCCTCTGGCCATTTCCCGAGCAGCTGTTGTTTCTTGTAGCTGAGCCAGACGAGTGGAATGGTGATCTCTCCCTTGTACTCTTCTTTCGGATACTCGTCTCTACAATTCATCAATAATGAAAGTCGAACTCAGAACTTCAATAACTTACCGGACAAATTTGGTTATCAAATTATTCATTGTTTTGTTAGGAATTCTTTCCGAGATCAAAAACTGAGCCGCTTTTCAATTATTCAAAACTACAGTGATTTTGCTTCAGTTATTTGCTGTCAGTTACCCATGCCTAGGCTCGGCATCATGTGCAGAAAACCTGAGTCAGGGTCTCAAAGATATTTCATACCCTGACTCAGGTTATCTACACAGGTTGGAGAGCCCAGATCAACAGATACTTCATAATAGATAATTAATCTTCGAACTCGTTTTCCTTACAAGATGGGCCTCCAAATTGTCGCACATGATTCTCGCATAATCCCAAGGCAGCTTATTAATCAGCGTCACGCAATATCCATCCTCAATATCGTCCGTTTTCGGCCTCAAATCGGTCCAGCCAGGACGGCACTCTCCACTTTCGTACTTGCAACCGCTGGCTGGGCATCTGTGCACCTGACAAACTGCCATGAATCTTGATAAAATATGAATGCGTTTTTTGTTAAAAAAATAAATAAAAACATACTTTCTGTTGCAAAAGTTGTCGTCCCAAAGCTGACTCCATCGGAAATTCGTGTTGACACAATGTTGAGCGATTTCGATTCTTTTTCCCTCAACTGAAAATAATAATTAATTCCGGAGTTTTCAAGTTTTCTCAACCTTTGATGGTTTTACGAGCGTTATCAGGATTGTAAACGCCAGTGGAAGTTCTTCCCCAATTGGTGAACTCGGCTTGTTTTCCAAAAACGTTCATCCAGTACCCTTCCCGATCCTCGTCAGTGAATCCGAGCCAGAGAAAGGGAAGCTTTCCTTCTTTATTCTTCTTGACGAGAAGCGAAATTGCCTTGTTTTCGGCGAAATTAATCGGCACAGCTAAGTTGGGGTAAAAGCATAATGCTCCGAACTCCATCCGCCAGAGGGCGCTCGGAAAAAGAGGTGGAAGAGCGGAAAAGACGTTGAAGAGCGCTCTTTGCAGGGAGCCGGAGGTGAGCAAGTACGGAAGGGAGCGTGAAGCTACCTCATCCCAGCGTGAAGTGTGTCAATCTTTATTCAAACACCGCTATCATTTCTGATCGCGTAGTACCCCCTGAATGAGCTTAATTTCGGTAAACTGATTTTCCACGCTCATTTTTTTGAAATTATTAAGAACTTAAAAAAATTTTTTTTAGAGTGAAATTTTGCGCTGAATCTAAATAAAGGGTCAAAAACACTAAATTTTGATGATAAAGTTTGAAAAGCAGAACTCTCAGGCTCAGGGTCTAGGAACCACCAATCTAGGAACACTGATCATCGATCACAGGGGAAGGGCTTTTGGTCCTACTTTATACGCTTGTTTTTCTCATGAATTTTCAATTTCCAATTGGAATTGTATTGGAAAATATGAGGTTTTCCTTTTGACCCCGCATCTTCGGAAATAGGTGGTAGAGTCTCATTTGTTTCGGCAGAGGCGGTAAACAAACCGATCGAAAAGGTCCATTTCATAGCTCTGATTTGAAATATTTCGGAAACAGGCGCGAAATAAGGTCAACTTTTTCTTTCAATTCCGTAAAATCCATATTCTGCTCGAAAAGAGCTTTCTTCTGATACATATATATCCAAAGAAATAACGCTATCACTCTTACTCGCCTCTAGAATTGATAATGAAGTTGATACTAGCATGGGTCGAAAAAAAATATCCCCTCTGCCCCTGCTGTGCTCACTCCCAGGTGTTACGCTCAATTAGCGTATTTAGGTCTTATCGCCAACTCATCAGTTCTCCCTGGACTCGCAATGTTCGGAGGACTCAGAGTCCTCCGCGCACCTAGCGCCCTCATGCGAGAAGAGTTCGGAGCATTGTGCTCGACATCCGCTAAGTGGCCCTCGTAAACACGGACACAGTAATCGCGCGCTTCATGCCATGTTAAACCTTTTTAATCGGCTCTTATGAGCCTTTTCAGATTTTGATCTTTAAAATATAGAGTTTGACTGAATAAGCCGAATTTCCTGATTGATCATCGCTGTTCACAACTGAATTTAAAGCAATTTAAGGACCCCCCCCCCGTCAGCTTTTTTTGAAAAATCAAATTTCGGAATTTTAAAATTTTGACCCCGGAAATGGACTCTACGGGTCAAAAAACGATTTTGAGGCTTCATTTTTTGGGGGTCTATCTCGACTCCTTCACCCCCCATTTGAAAATTGGGCTTTTCGCCGAAAATTGACGAATTTGCCCTAATTTTGGCATTCAAGTTGATTTTTCTTGGTCAAATCTCCATCTAATCAAGTTTTTGAAGCAAGTTTAACTGAAGGACACATAAAGAACCAAAAGTATGCTGTTTTTATAAATTTCAATTTTTCGGAGGAAAAAGCTGACGGGGGGGGGGTCCTTAAAAAGGTATCTTTGTAAGAAATCGAAAAAAAAACACTCTCTGGGCTTATGAGATTTTCAGCCCTATCCTTTTGTTTAACAAATGTGAAGAATGCAACTAGAGTTGGTACAGCACGAATTCTTCTATAATTTGGCTAGAATAAGCATGAAACTCTTAAGCCTCACCCAGAGAGCTACGCCTTCGAGACCCCCCTTAAGCCTTACCCAGAGGGCCTCGCCCCCCTGGACCCCCAGTAAGTATTTTCAGCCTCCTAAGTTAGGAGTCCTAACCCTAATCCCTAACCGAGAAAAGATTCGGCATCATACCAATTCTAGCTATATTGTAGAAGAATTGGTCCTTTACCAATTCTTATTGCAACCTTCGAAAAATGATTTTTTTTCTTCATTCTCTATCAATGAAGAAGAAGTATACCTTTGGCGCAGCTTCCATGCTTGAATTCGGGATCTTCGTCACTTTCTCTCAAATCAGTGAATCCGATAGGACACTTGTTTGCCGAAATCAAACCTAAAAAATTGAAACAAAAAAGTCCTCCAGTCCGCATTGATGTTTCTCTACGAATGAGCGTCGAGACAGGAAATTGAAAAAGTAGATTTCTCAACTTGAACGGAAGTTTCCTTTATACTGAATCTTTCATTCAACCAGATTTCGACAATATCGACAAATTAAAGAAAATGAAAATGACAAAATGCAACTGAGCTGGCGACGGGACGCTTTTTAGACACTTCTCTGAAAGATCACAAGTTTTTGTTATTTTTTTTTGCAAAATGAGTTTAAGATTTTTTAATCATTTTATTGACTTAGAAAGGCAGAAATATACTCGCTTCCCATAATTCTCGTCAGTATAGAACAGTGAGCTCTTGAATAAGGTACTTTTTATATAAGTTCTATCAAATGTGCGTGCGTTGAGGTTGAAAAACTGCTCTCTAACTTTTTTTCGTTTGTCTTTGAGGCGGCCGAAATGCTTCAGGCCAAAACAAATTTTTAAATTTTTATTCTTGATTTTTAGTCTTCCTTTATTTTGATAAAAAATTATGAGGAGGAAACAAGTAATGGTAATAAGTTAATAACAAGGCGATTATATTTTCACAGACTCTTTTTATTTTGAAAAAGAATATTTTAAAAAGTTGTTATTTCGAATTCCTCTAGCGTCGCTCGTTTTGCTTTTTCGTTTGTAAAAGATGGATTTTCGAGTCCTGAAAAGGATGAGGGTAAAATCAAGAAAGAGCTCAACCTGGAACTTGATTTGTTGAAGCAGAGATTTGAAGCTCTCCAGATGTATTTCGTTTGTTGTAAATAAAGGCTAGAGCATTTTAGTCACGAATTTAAAAGTTGGAATTACGAACCTCCAAGAACAATGATCGCAATTAGAAGCACAAAAATTCCGCCAAAGACGGAAACCAGCAAAATTGTAAAAAGCCCTTCATCAGAAAGATTCACTTCGCGCAGAAATTTGATGCTGGACACTTTTGAGAGCTCGAAAACATAGTTGATCACTTGAAAGTTTTTGTAGAATTGTATCAGAAAAAATTTTCAATGATTTCTTTTCTTAGTAAACGAAAACACGAGCAAAAACCTGAGTCAGGGTCCTGACAAACTTTAATGAAAATATCCCTGACGCCGATTTTTAACATACGTTCTGCAACCTCTGCTGGCAACATTTGAAGAAAACCTGAGTCAGGGTTCTGAAAAACCGCGCAGCTGCTTTTCATTCAAGTTTTTTTAGAACCCTGACTCAGGTTTTCTACAGAGGTTTCCGAGCCCAGGCTTTGATTGCGCGGCATTTTAAAATAAATCTGGCTTAGATTTCTTTATCGAACAGAGAGTTTGTTAATTCAAAATGAAAATAGCCTATTTTAAATAGGTCTTTGAAGAATCAAAATCCTTTTCGAAGGAAAAAAGAGCTTATTTTACGGCTGTTCCTGTATTTGGAAATTCTCCAAGCGCGACAGTTGTCAAGTTTCTCATCGCTTCTTCCAAAACTGACCATGCCGGCAAGGTCGTGTTTTCGGGCTCCTCGATGAAAATTGGCAGAATCACTAATTCGGGAAAACTGGAGCTGCTTTCGTTGAAAGTCGACATTGTCAGGTTGAATTCTTCGAGCGTTTTGTTTATGTCGTGCTTTTCATCAAATTTCAAGGAAAACTGTTTTAAAAATTCCAAAATTTTTCATTTCGTTTGAAATTTTCCTTGAGAGTTTTTTTTCAGCAGCTCCAGATTCGCTTCATTTTCAACCTCCAAAACCAAATTCCCGAGCAAAATTTCATCGATATGATGTTCTGTCGTATTCGTTTTTTCAGAAATTTTTGTTGAATTGAGTTGGGCTACTGTAACTGCTCCCAAAGCAAGCTGCACAAATTGAAGAAGAAGAATCGCTAAAATTAAAATTGGCACACTGTTCTTGGCTCGAAAACCTGTGTGGTGGCCTGAGTCAGGCTCAAAAAATTAACTACTGTCTTCTTAAGGCTAGGGTGGTCAATTTGGCCCAAAGCATAACTCATAAGCTCTTGACTTATGAATGCTAGAATACCCATTTATGGCTTAAAATAAAGATCTATCCTAGATCTTCTGAATTACAGAAGGTATTTTTGTTCTGTCAAGAAAAAATCACTTCCGGAGACTTCAAAGTTGGCATCTCGGCCAAAATCGCGAAAATAGCCAATATTCAAGGCTCGAAACTCCGAAATTTGGCAGAAATCTTGGCAAAAAAACTTCTGTAATTCAGAAGATCTGGGATAGATCGTTAGTTTTAGCCATTACTGGGTATTCTAGCATTCATTAGTCCAGAGCTTATGAGCTCTGCTTTGGGCCAAACCGACCACCCTAGCCTTGAAAGTAGACTTGCTTACCAGTTTTCATTTCTTCTCAAATCTCTTCAAAAATGCCAAAATACCAAAATCGCTACTGTTTCTTTTGACCCTATCTCATTTTCTCCGCTGCCTGTTTTAGCCTCTATCACTTTCGAAATAATTGAACTGGGCGCAATCAAAAACGATAAAAAGCCAGAAATAGCTTAGATCTGCGTCGAAACCTCCCGCTGCGGCAAAAATATTCTCGACAATGGCGAGTCCAACAGCTGAATAGTTGAGCCATGCTGAGCATTGATCCGACAAACTAAAACAAAACAAGCGAAAGAACAAGAAAGATAGAAGTTTTTTGACGGATGAGATTTTCTTTTCTGAAAAATCTTTCATCGACATTTTTTAGACTTTTCGCTAGCAGATTTTTGAATCAGTTAAATTTTTTTTTTTTGGTAAAAAAAAATTATCATTTTTGAAAATATTTGAATTTCGTGAAACGATGAGTCTCAAAAGTTGTGTAACTTCCACGAGTCGTTTTCCCATCTGTTCGTTCTCGCATAATTTCTCCATCTCAAGAGTCTTTTTTCGCCTGTCATTCTCATTTTATCTAAAATGAAATTTTCAGGTAACGCGCATTTTTAAACGAGAAATTTCAACCCCCTTTTAAGGAGCTCTTCTTGGCCTCGCTTCGGCGGCTCTCGGCCCTGCTTCGATCGAATTCCAGGTCGCCAACGTCTCCAATGCCGGCTTCACTGGCCAGCTCAAGGTCTACATCGGCCGCAGCTGCAATACCAACGTCACTTCTGGCCGCATCTGCGACTACAAGTACCAGGGCCAGGTCTCCTACAGCTCCAACAACCAGGGCTACCGATTCTACCTGCCCGACCAGGTCGATCCCGACAACGACATGGTCTTCATGACTTACAGAAGCTCCAACGAAGCGATCTTCTCCGCCATCAGAATGGACGTGAACCTTTCTACTGGCACTAGAATCATCGATTTGATGAACTTCGATGGTGGCAAAGATAACGTAAGTTTTGCATAAGATTTCAAATTTTCAACTTTTTCTTTTGACCAATCAAAGAGCTCTCTACTAAATCTAGATGGCGCTGTTTCTTTAAAAAGTGCCCCTTGATTGGCTCATATTTGAAAAGCAAATTAATCCCTGATTTTCGAGTAGAATACCTCTAAGAGACCTTATTTTATCCTTTTCTTTCAGTACTTCGTCTTTGACTACGATTCCCGAGCCAAGCCCTGCAACTCCAGCTACCCCCGAGGCTACCAGTGCTTCATGGACGCCACCTTTGATCTCTACACCAAGAAGTTCAAGCCCCACTACTCCCTCCTCCGAGGACGAGTCATCAAGCGATCTTCTCCTCCTCAGCTTCCCAGCATCAAGGCCAGCTCTCAGTTGAAGCTTACGACTGGAGGTTCCCTCTACGACGGCTCCGACGATCCAATCATGATCTACTACGGCAGCAACTGCAACATCAACAACTGCGTCTACACCAAGGTCGGGCAGTTGACCCCGCCCAACCGAGACACCACTTACTCGATCTGGTTGCCCGAGTTCGACTACACCAAGGACCAGCTCATCATCGACTACCGCAGCGGCGACGACCTGTACATCAAGGGCTTGACCTTCGACGCGTGCACCTCGACCAGCTGCCGCAACTACAACCTCTTGGCGTTCGGCTCCTCTGTCACCCAGCGAATCGCCATGGACTACGAAGGCCCCAACCATCCCTGCAGCAACTTCTCCTACGGCGACTACATTTGCCAGTACGACATGGTCTTTGACTTCAAACTCATGAAGAAGTTTGCCGATTCTTCCACCATCATGGGTCACTAAATCGCTGACAATTTTAGATCTGAATTCAAAATAAATAAAAAAAACTAAGCTTGTTGAAAAATAACCCGTAATAGCGAAAAGATTAATTTCAATTACGCGAAAAAAAATCTCGCAGCATATTAATTTGAAAACGAAAAGAAGGATTATGAACACATATAATATATGTTTGTATTTTTCGATTCTTGTTTTGACTGAGCTTCATTCTCAAGCTCCTGGCTTATTTATTCAAATGAATTCAATATATAGATGTGGTTTTCTGTCTAACCATCTTTATTTGGCGATTTCGAGTTGAAAGAAAATCGAGCGCTTTTACTGTTTCCGCGGAATTATTCGCGACCTCCGGAGCACTGAAATCCGCGGAAGAAAAAGCTATTGAACTTCAATAATCGACTTGGCTGAACTTGCCGTTTTTGGAGTGCTATTATTTCGTGTTGCATAATTCATATTCTGCTTATTCAAATTTATTTGACAATGAACCTAGCTAGGTTGGGCTATATCTGGGCTAACAAACCTAAGTCGCAAAAAGTACCCAAAATCATTGTTGACACCCTTAGTCCGTAACTCAATATTTTGAATAGAAATACTCATTTTCAAAGAATTATTTTAATTTTGGCAAGTTTATTAATTCCTCCGTCAGATAAATATCAGGCAGCAAGCAAAAAATTTGTAAAATTCTAAAAGAGCAAAAAGCTAAAAGAAGCGCAGCGGAAAAGAGACAAATTCTCAGTGCTTTCCAAATATCTTCCCGATTCGCTGTCCAAGACGTTTCGCAAAAGGTTGTTTTGAAGGAGCGTTTTTGTCAGACAGGGCGGACTCGGACGGCGGGTTTTTGCGAGGCACTTGGTCTATCAGGTGGTTTTCGTTGAATTTTTGACGGTCCATTTTTATGCTTTGTTTTCGCATTTTGTGGTAGTCCTGAAAATGGATTTCAATAACTGACGAATAATGCGCAGAAATGATGAAATAATTGTGGTTGAAAGCCGCGCGCGGCTTTTCAATCCTTTTTTCTACCAAACTTAGAAAAGCCGCAAATAAATCATTCTAAAAAGAACCGCGCGCGGCTTTATTGGATCATAATGACGGAGCTACAAAAAAAGCGCAAATACTTTATATTAAAAAAATGAGAAAAGTAGCGCTAGGACTCAATTTTTTGTTAAAAATTCAAAGTTTAAAAGTTGCTTAGGTTTTTTTCCTTATTCATCAATTTTTACCTCTTCTGAAAATCCATGAACTCGGCCCATTTTGTCTTATTTTGTCTTTCTTTTTCTCAATATTTTAAGATTCAAGTTTCTATTCCAGAGTTTCTTGCTTCAGCGGAAAAGATCGAACGACTCGTTTTGCCCTGAGGATTCGTCTTCAGCCTTTTTTGTTTTCTGTCTAATCGTCAAAAGCCTTTTCTCTCAGACAACCAGTCAACTTTTTTGTGTCTCGAGTTTTTATCAATTTTTTCGATTTGAGGATTTCGAGCTTTCACCAGCGCCTTTTAAATAGAAGAAAGGCGCCCTAGTGCGCCTCGAGCGCTTCCAATATGACTCAGGCACATGCCGCAAGGGGATGACACTAGTCAGGAAAATAACTTGACAGGCGACACGCGATTATCAATTGTGCATGCTCCATTTGATGGCTCAACTACTGACGCTTAATTTTTGAATCTACAAGGATGTTGTTTAATTAAAGCTTTCTCAAAAACGAATCCGCAAAGCGACTTCGTCATATGCTGTTCAGAATTGCTCTCTCGAAAATTAAGCAGGATACTTCGACGCTAAAAAGAAATAAAATTTTAAATTCCAGAAATTTTTCAGAAATAGACACCATATGAGATTTTTCTACTAGGCGAATATATTTTTAAGATATTAACAGAGAATTATCAAATGATGAGTTGACGCCCTAGTTAACAAGAGAACATCTCGACTAACAACGGATACGACCCGAAAGTCGCAGACAAATATGGTTGAGTTCGACAGGAACTTGAGATAAACTCTAGAATGACAAGAATTCCTCCCATCTGATGATTTTAATAATTTTTGGAAATTTTAAAGAAACAAAATTCTGAAAAGAATTCTTGAGAAATATTTCTGTGAAACTGTCATATTTTTCCAAGTTTGAGTGACCGATGATCACGAGCTCTGCTTATTGCATTATTTAGATCAGTCGCGGCTGGACAAGTAAAAAGTGCGAATGACATTGTAAGTGAAGTCATAACTTGAAAGGACATAAATCCACACCTTCAAAAATAGCTCTCAGCAGACCGCGGTTAACTCCTCGATCTTCTGCTCAAAAGATATTATGCAAGAAGCTTTTTTTCATTTTCGATAAACGAACACTCGACCACAAGATCACAATTTTGAAGCATTTTTTTCTGCGAAGATTCATTCTCATTTATTATATTAATCATAATTTATAACAAACTTTGTTTCAGCTACAGAACTCTTTCGAAACAACAAATGTTTCGGGCCAGTCGACGTAGCTAACAAGCGTGTTGGTCGAAACTTTGCTCTCAAAAGTGTCGATGTCGATTTTCTCAAAAGGCATGACACTGTTAGTTCCACCCGCAGTTCCGCCGATAAGGAGCAGTTCTTGACTCGTGTACTGGATCACCCGCGCGCCATATCGAGGAGCAAAGAGGTTTCCAACTAGAAAAATTAAGCTTTTCGATTTCAAAGGCGATTTTTACCATTCGACCAGGAAGAACCATCAAAACAGGTGATCTCGTCCGAAGCCTCTCCAGTCGCAGCCATGTATCCACCGAAAGTACACAGCTTGTTTCCGAGCCCGATCGCGTCAAAGACTCGCTTTTCCGAAGGCATATCCGGCAAAGCTGACCATTTTGAACCGTTGAAAGTCTCCACCGAGGCGGTATCCTTAGCTTGATAAACAAGGCCGCCAAGAACGACTGGTTGACCGTTGAATGCGGCCATTGCTCCCCAAGAATGCTCATTTCGAGTCTGAAAATCAAAATGAAGCTCCTTAAAGTTTAAAAGAAAGAAAACTAACGGAGGTTTTCTTGCCGAAAGAAGTTCCATCAAAAGTAGTGCAGTCTTTCGTGTGCAAATCCATCTGACTCCCGCAAATGTGCATGACGTCATCGATAACGGTGCAGGAATGAGCGCTCATGTACCACGGCAGCTTGAAAAAATTTTCGAAATCAAGGAAAAACGAGTTTTTTGATTCTCACTTTGATGTCCGTTTCCTTGACGCCGCAATCAGCGACTTCGTAGACAATGTCGGGCAAGCCACCAGCGATGCCTTCAGCGCCAATGATGTACATTTTCTCGCCAATGACGCCGGAGCAGCCAAGTTTCAGCTTGTAAGTCTGATCAGAATTGCAAATTATTCAAGAGGCTTTCGAAGTTGAGCATAGATGAAAAAGCTTATTCAGAAAAATATTTCAGCTAAGCAGAGCTTCGCCCTTCTTTCTTAGCTAAGCCGGCGACTAAGCCAGCTGAGCCTTGGAAATTTGCAACCCTTAAACTGATGAAATTCAAAATTCGAGACTCGGGTAAAATCCTCAGTGTTATTTTCGTCCCAAGAGAAGGAAATGGCTGGATTCGAGGTGACCCATTGGTTCAAAATCAGTACTTAAAAATCTGATTTAGGAGAAGGCTAACGGGGTTAATTTTTACAAATAGTCAAAATAGAAATAAATATAATCCAAATAGAAGAAATATATTTACATCGATCGTTTGCTGCTACGAGCGGAAGAAAAATTGAAAAATGCATTTTGTGAAAATCTCTCTTAATTCGAATCTTGGTTTTTGAATTCTTAAATTTTGACAGCAGCGTTTTTTCTCACTAAAATGGAGCTACAGATTATTTGACCTTTTCGGCCGATTTCTGATCAAATTTGACAGTTTTCGGTTTTCGATCAAAAGCGCAAAATTGAAGCATTATCTATTTTAATTGAACTGACAACTGGACTGATTTCATTATTAATACAGAAGCAATACAGCTAAATCATCCAACAAGCCGCGAATTCGAACCTTTATCAAAATGAAGCTCTTGATTTTTCAGTTATTTTCAACGATTTTTGCCTTCTACGATGGTTTTTTCTTCCGCAAGTTTTTCGACGAGCAAGATGGCCAGAAAAGAGAATTTGATCGAAATATCAAAAGGGCAAGCAAACGACTTCTTTTTGGCAGGGTCAGCTTTTTCGAGCGAAATTCTCGGTTTCGACCATGAATTCTGACGATTTTTTGTCGAAAATAAATGGATTCCTTCGAAAATAGCAAATAAATCGGAAAACAAAACTGACCCAAATGAACGATATGCTGACAGAAACACTTGAACCAGAAGACGAGTATGGCATTTTGTCTGGATATGTGAAATAAAAAAAAAGATAAAAAATTTCAGTTTTATTCTCAAATAGTCAATTTATCAGCTGGAAGGAGGAATATTCTTTATTCGAAGAATCAGCGCATGAAACACACAGCATGTAACATGCTGCATGTTACATATTCACAAATAACTTAAATATTTCTTCTCGTACTTGATCTTTTCCCGGCTAAATAATTAACAATGAAAAAAGCCTTCTCATTTGTTTTCTCGTCTTCCTCTGATGGCAATCTGGCTATTTTCTTCCACGGTTTTTTTTTTAATGACGACAGTGGATAACAAATTTTTTGTTTTAAATTTTATTTTTTAAGGCAACATTTCCATCTTTAATGGAAAGTTCTCCCTGGGTTTGGATACCTGAGTAGAAAACTTGGGTATTATTTCAGACAAACTTTAATACCGACCCATTATATTTGCGTCCACTTTTTTTAAAGTCATTTTAAGCCTGACTCAGGTTTCCCTCACAGGTTGTCAAGACTAGAAATCGGAACCTTCTATCGACAATGAAAACTTTGAAATTTAGGACTCATCAATCAAATCATCAAAAAACTTCAACTAGCTCATCAATTTTTCGACAGGAATCACCATTTACGGTCTGCTTACGACACGTTCCACCTTTGGTAATAATGATAACTCGTTATTATACATCCGCTTCTGCGTACGTTTTTATGCGCTAATCACCTCCTGACAGCGTCGAAAATTATTGAGCGCGACTCAAGTTGAATAGTCAACATATGGAAAGAATCGTAAAATGTTTCCTTTAAAACCGAGCTGCAAATCCGACAATTATCAAACTAAGTTCAAATCCAAAAAACGAGAGCCAAAAACATGAAGCTTTCGAAGTCTTCCCTTTTCGCGGCCGCTTTCGCCTGTCCCTGTCAAAAATCGGCGAAGATGGCTTCGGAGAAGTGAGACCTGGAAACAGCCACGAAGATGAGAGTTTTACCAAGTTCTACTTTCATGTTGATACGCCAATCGGTAACGAGCAAATTGACGATTTCAAATTCGTCCTCAAATTTGGCGAAGACATAGAGGTAAGCTTTATTCAAATAGCCTTCTTTAAAACTGACATTGAATGAGATTGAGTAAACGAATTTTTAGAGCTTCACTCAATATTTCGCCGTCGACGATTTCAGCGACTCCACTTCAAAAATCGTCAACATCACTCCCGGTCAAAACATGATCTCCGGCGACCCCTACACTTTCAACTTCGAAGCTCTGGCCGATTCCGACGAACTGGATGTTGATGTCTGGTTCTGCCCTTCCGTCAACTCTCTTGATGGAGAAGAAGATTTTTCAGCCTGCGACGAAGACAACTCTTCTTCCCAGGAGCCCGATCATACAGAAGGGCCCCCGACTGATTTGCCAGAAGTAAGCTTTCCAGATCTTGAATGGACAGAAGTCGCAGGCCGCCGAGTCGCAGTTTCTTCGACACCTTTGAGTTACAAAAATGCGCGAAAAACATGTCGATTTTTAGGCTGGGCTCGGAAAGCTGAGTCAATTTTCTTCCTGATTCAGTCAGCAAAGCTCAAATTTTTAAAATTTCTTATCTTTTTTTCATCAGGTTTCTGAGCCCATTCTAGGCGGATCCCTACCCTGGCCAAAAACTCCGGAAGAGAACGAATTCATCAATTCTCTTGGCTCAACATGGCTGGGTTTCTCGATCAATGATCACGTGATGATGTCGTTTGAAAACTTCCAGCCGATTAAGACGCGGCCGTTTATGAATCCGAATGGGTTCTGGTCCTATGGAGACATGGAGGGGGAAAAGAACTTCATTTGCGTGGAAGGGGAAATTGAGGGCTGTCCGGACATTTTTCGCGACTTGAGCGAGCTGAATGGAAATTGGATGATCCGAGAAAGCGGGGAAGGAAGCTGGATGTCGTTTGAGGACTGGTCTTTTCAGGGATTCAAGGCGAGGTCGCAAGTTCAATACTCCTGTCCTCAGAAGATCAAGACTTACAAAAAATGGAGAAAAGCAGTAAGTTTTTAAAATATACTTATCTTTTCAAGATATTCAAAAATTTCATGAGCGATTAAAATTCTTTTTCAGTCGAAAAAAATCCAGCTCACGTGCGTAAAAATGCAGAATGGGCAGTTTGACTGGGCCGAGTGCAACAACAAGAAATGCAGTTCTTTCAACCGGTGCCCTTGGCTAGATGAACCGATGAAGAGACAAATTGACAGCATGATCTGTCAGTAACCCCGCGTTCTTTACCTTCTTTTGTTCACTAAAAATTTTTTTTCTCTGCATTGGAACAATTTTAAAAGTACGGTCACCGGTTTAATAAACAGAACATTCATTCTTCCGTTTTGACAGCAATTGATTTTGATGCATGAAATGCGATTCTTTTAATGTTCGTGATACAGAAAAAAAATTAGATTTTGTTATCAGCTTCTTTCCGATTTGGAGAGTCTCATTTTTTCAACAAATTCTATCGCTTTTGGACCAGCATTTCTGAATTTTTTCCTCAAAACGACGCGTTTTATTTTCAGCAGTTCGTCGATGTAATTTTCGCAAGAATGAGGATTAAGCGTAAAAACCTCGTCTTCGCTGATTTGAAAATCCTGCGACGAATTGTCATTACACGTGTGGCTCTTTTGGTTTCCATCATGCTTTCAAAGTATTCAAAAAAATGAAGAAGAATATTGTCAATATTATATTGACAAAACCAATCCTGAACCAGGGAATAAGCATCGGCACCCATGTTACTGGATCTGTTGTTACCCTCACTCTCAGATGCTTTTTCACCCTAGAATAATTTTGAAGCAAGAAGCATTATAAAATTTTACCTCTGTTGAAAGAGTTCTCTAAAATCAGAATTTCCAGGCTTTGGGCAGCCAAAAGTAATGACTCGAAAATTTTGATCTTCAAATTCCACCGCCAGGTAAGCACCAAACATCGCTGCCACAGCACCGCCCAGCGAATGGCCGGTTATCAGAATTTCATCGACTGAAGTTTCATTCAAGACCAGTTCGACTCTGTTTCTGATCTTAGGCTTGAGCGCCAGGAACTGGTTGTAGAATCCAGCGTGAACCCTTGCCTCCGTGTCTTCGAACTTTCTCTTGAAAATGTTGAGATCTTGGACGATGTCGCGAAAGCCATGAGTTCCGGCGATCGAGATGACTAGGTAGGTCTTTCGTTTCTCGTTTGGTCGGTCGGGAATGCCTCTTTCGTTCATGAGGAAGACCATCGCGTCTCCACTAGATTTTTCGTCCCGGAAAAACTACAAATTTTATTGTTCATTATCTGATGTTAAATCAAGTTAAATTACCTTGTATTTGATGCATTCGAATCTTTTAAAAACCGTTTTGATCTCCTTTTGGAGAAAACTGTCATTTTTACCACGATCTTCAGTTTTTTCTTTTCTAATCTCTTTTTTTCAATTGCTTCAAAGTTTGCGCTGTTTCGTAGCTGCAAGTTGCGAATCTGGCGGACATCAGAATTTTATTGATTCTGTCCAGGGACAGGTGTTCATGTTGTTCTGGCTTCATTTTCAAAAAAGCTTTTTCTCAAAATTCTAAAGAAAATGCTTATTAAAATAGGTAAGAATAAAAGCCTCATCAAAAAGGCCTTATGTTTCATAATTTTCCGGATATTTGAAATATCATATTTCTAAATTCTCTTTGCGGTTTAAAAGTTGTCTTTTCAGACTCATCGTTCATTTTACGAGTAAAAAGGAAATTGATCGATTATCCTTAAAATTAGTAGCCTCTCATTAAAAGGTCATTAAAAGGAAACTCTATCGTCGATAGACTATCGACTATTCATTTTTATACTAATCGAGTATCATTAATTATTTGATTGGCCCTAAATTTATTACAAGAATATCTTGCTCAACAAATTAGTTTAAACAAATCGATGATCTTTGAGTAGGTCTTTACAAAAGATTTTTTTAATAAAATTTTTAAGTTTAATCATAATATCATGTCATGATTTTATTAATATCTTTATCATAAAATCTCAAATTTACAGTCGTCTCAAGTTTATTTATAATTTTTCTTAGACAATTTAATAATTGACTATGCAGTTATCCATCGGAAACAAGTGCAGTATCCCCAGCTGCAGAAGTAGTTTGCGCATTCGCGGGTTGAAGACTCTTAAAAAATTAGTCAGTGATTCTGGGTGATTAATCATAAGCCGCGGACTACACTTTTTCTGCTCCCACACATTTTCATCTCTCACCTCTATTTCTATTGTAATGATGACGAAGAGCCGCACATCGTCTCGATCGACCGCAGTCTCTGCTCGCCTTAAAATGAAAAGAGTAAAAATGATTCCTGATAATTTTAATTGCATTAAAGCCATCCAACTGTGATTTTGTGAATTTTTACCGTATCTAAAGGAGCAGACATCGCCAGAGCAAAAGTTGAAAAATCTTCATCGCGCAGAATGTTGTGTGTATTTTCGAGAGGGCAAGGTCGAATTGTGCGATGAAAGATATCTTTGCTGAGGAAAAGAAGTCTTGATGGTTGCAGTTGGTGTTTGAAGAATTCGTTGAAAAATCGGAGAAATTTATATTTTAAATTAGTTGCGATTGATTTGGGTTCTCAATTGTCTGCTACTTAAATAGCTGCGAGTGAAGAGAATTTAGGTGGTAGGAGAATTTTTGATGACTAGGCTCTTAGTTGCCTCTGCTAATTTATTATTCTATCATTTCCGGAGTGGCTTATTCTACCGCTCGTGAAGAACAATTTTGCTTCCCATTAAGAGCATATATACTTACATTTTTCAGCGGGAAATACCATCGCGAGGAAGCCCGTAAAAGTACCATGTGCCTATGTGGGGTTTCCTAACATGGTACAAAAATTAAATTGTACTATGTAAGGATTTTTGTACCAGGTAAGGAAATTCGAAATAAAAATTTTCAAAAACAAAAATTGACACATTTACTCAAAACATTATTGTACTCGACCCCCAATCGCGCATAAATTTTTATACTGAAAATTGAACTCTTCGTCACTCGTTTTAAAAACCGAACATTATTGCCCAACTGGGCGTTTGAGGCACTTAAGGGTACGGGTGTCGGCGAGGCTCTAACTAGGGCTCAATTCCTCATGATATAGAAGTGGTGGAAAAAATTCGCCTACATTAGTGCAAAGATCCATCCTAGTTCTACATTTTGTCAAAAAGAAATTTGGATTTATAAAGATTTTTTGTTTTAAAAATTGGCTCGAAGTCGTGATCTCGACCTAAAATGGTGAAAATGGGCCTAGAAGAGGCTTCAATTCCGAAGAAATGAGCTTGTAAACATACCTTCTTTATATTTTTATGTGAAAATTCAGACTCTTATCTTTATTTTGTCAAGAGATTTTTGAGATTGAATTACATTTCGTATGGAATTTAATTTTTGAAAAAAGTATCCTTGTTATTACACCGTAAATTAGCATTTTTTGAAACTGAGCGACACATTTTCGGCTCTAAAAATGTTTTTAGACAGATTCATGTAAAACCGAGAATATCATGATGATCCTCATTCTCTAAGCTTTCTAAAAGCCCCGGATGAAAAAATCTGAGCCGAAAAATTTTTTCGGTAATTTTTAACGAACGCATAACTCGTAAAATAACAATGATAGCAGCTGACAATTAATTATGACTCGAGCTTAAATTTTCGGTTGATCCTTACCTGGACCAAATCCTTACCTGGAGCAAATCCTTACCTGGACCATTTTCCTTACCTGAACCAAAATCAAAAATGGTCCAGGTAAGGAAATGGTCCAGGTAAGGATTTTGGTCCGGGTAAGGAGACAGGAAATAATTTTTTCAAAAACAGAAAAATGAACAAGCCAACACAAAAAAATTTTACTAGACCCCCTCTCGACTAAAAATTTTTGAAAAATTTTTTCTTGCTATTCGCCTAAATTCAAACAATAATGCACAAGCTTTAAGGGGTTAAGACCAGAATTGGTAAAAGTGCACTTCAAGTGTGCTTCAGAATGAAGTGCACTTCTTGCAGTGAACTTCAGATTTGCAGCACCTTGAAACGCATTCAGCAGTTTGAAGTGCACTAGCGTGCTTCTTTCCAACTAAGATAGGGGGTGGCCTAAAACCTCGTCCAGTTGATGCATGTACGGCCTAAATCGTCGCTCTTATTGCCTGATGTCTTGATCAAAACGTCGCTCCTGCTGGTGCCATTGTTGGCCAAAACGTCTTTTTGGCCACGTCGCCTTAGTCAAAATTGAATCTGGAAAGTCTTAAAACAGTCTGGTTGCGCTGATCATAGTTGCAAATTTGCTGAGCTAAGTGAGCTGAGCTGGCTGAGTGAGCTGAGCAGTCGCTCAGCTCAGTGATTTTGGAAAATGATCTGAGCTGCTCAGCTCAGCTCAGCTCAGACAATTTTCACTCAGCTCAGCTCAGCTCAATTATTTTCGAACATGATCTGGTCTGCTCAGCTCAGCTCAGACAACTATAATTTAGCTCAGCTCAGCTCAATGAATTGAATACAATTTTACTACTAAAAACAGTAAAAACAGCTCAGCTCAATCAGCTCAGCTCTAATAAGGGTCCGCTCAGCTCAGCTCTGCTCAAGTCTCTTAAACAAAAGGTCTGCTCAGCTCACCTCCGCTCAATGACCTCTGAAAAGGTCAGCTCAGCTTAGCTCTGCTCAGTTACCTCCGAAATAGGCCAGCTAAGCTCAGCTCAGAGAAATTTTTCTCAGGTCAGCTCAGAAAAATTAATCAAAATTTGCAACTCTGGCGCTGATTAGCGGCGATTCTCATAATCTTCTAGATTCTTCAAACAAGACGTTTTGGGCAACACATGCACCAGCAGGAGCGACGTTTTTAGCCACATTTGCAGCAATAGGAGCGACGATTTAGGCAACAAATGCATCAACACGAGTGATGTTTCGGGCCGCAAATGTAGCGACTGGGCGACGTTTTAGGCCACTCCCTATTTACTGGCGCTCTGGTTATGTCGCCGAATGTCGCAATTTTCTATTTTGGAAGCAAAAAAAATTAAGTAAGATTCGGACAATTCCGGAGATTTGATACTTCCGGAATAGTCCATTTTGCCTGTATCTATCAGTGTGAGTCCAAAAATAAGATTTAAAAAATTTTCAAAATTCAAAAAATTTCTCAGAGGGGGTCGACTAAAATTTTTTAAGTACAGTTATTTATTGAATTTGTGGACATTATTTGTCCTCTTGTTTTCTGAAAAATGTCCACAAATTTGATATAAAGCCCCCAAAAAATGTCCCAACAATCTTGCTTAAATTTTTTTTGAGAAGGAAAAATTGCTGATTTTTTCAAAAAATAATAGGAAAAAGAACACAAGAAGGAAGCTTGGGACAGGGATCTAAATTTTTGCCGAAAATCAATTGCGATTGCGAATTTTCTGCGAAATTTCGCATCGCAATCGCAAAATATTCGCAAATTGCGATTTTCGCGAAAAATTTAGATCCCTGGCTTGGGACGTAACTCTTTACAAAAGTAGATTTTTGACGAAAAACAGCTCTTTGCATATAAAATGGGCTTCAATAACTAAAGTTTGACCATTTATTTAGGAGTCGAAGATTTCAATTCAGGGATCCCAGATTTTTCGTTTTGACGCGCGCCCCTCTGACGCGAGCGCAAAGGATTAGCGGCCGCGCGAAAATGATTTGCGTCTGCGCGCGCCCAGCCGATTTTGAAAAGTCGCCGCGTTATCATAGGGCGATGAATCGAGTGCGGCGCCCCGATTTCACGCTGAAATGGGCGAGCGGCGTGCGAGCGCTCGATGCAGTCAGGGCGCCGAGCTCAAACAAAACTCGTGCGCTAAATTTAGATTGTTCAATTGAAGACTTAACTAGGATTAATATAGTACTGATCTCCCAATATACCATGGAGTTTAACTCTTTTGGGAGAAAGTCCCTGGTCCCATTTCCCTTTCCCGCGCAAATCTCGAAAGTCTGAGCGGAAGAAAAATGTCCGCTGATTGGCTAGACACAGCTTTCGCGAAATTAGGCGCGCTCAGAATTGGGGTTCGCGCAAAGCCCATGATGATTTCAAAAAACTTTTGTGGGGCCGGAAATCGTAAAAACTGCAAGTGCAGTTTTCTTCAGCTCGTCAAGACGAGTCGAATGATGGGTCTAACTCCTGATAATTCTAAGGATTTGCCGGTTTACCGGCTGGTTACCGGAAAATACGTTGTCACCCGCCGTTTTTGTTCTAGAAGTGATAGACTAATGTTTGACAGCGGAAGTTGTTCCTTATAGTCAGTTCTCCTGCAGCCTAAAATATGAAGGTTATATCAATTCTCTGAAGAGAGTTATCACTAAAAATAGTAATTTTTACTAAAATTTTGTTGTCGCTGCACGTTCCTAATTTCTAGTCCCATTTTCGCCAAAAATTGTATTTTAGTGATAACTCTCTTCAGAGAATTGATACAACCTTCATCTTTTAGGCTGCAGGAGAACTGACTATAAGGAACAATTTCCGGTGTCAAACATTAGTCTATCACTTCTAGAACAAAAACGGCGGGTGACAACGTATTTTCCGGTAACCAGCCGGTAAACCGGTAAATCCTTAGAGTTATCGGGAGTTAAACCCATCATTCGACTCGTCTTGACGAGTTGAAGAAAACTGCACTTGCAGTTTTTACGATTTCCGGCCCCACAAAAGTTTTTTGAAATCATCCATGTATTCTCGCGAACCTCAGATTCCCTTATCTCCACTTAGAGCTCAACTCCATGGTAAAAACGCCCAAAACATGATTTCATACTCATTTCGAAAATGTAAAAATGGCTGAAAACTCGGAAAGGTGTACTCCACTGCACATAAGAACTTTTCAGCTAAATTACTTCCAAACAAATTGAAAATTAAAATTGTTGTTCCTTCACTAATTTGGAGCATATGTGATAAGTTTTAGGGAGTTATCGGTAACCGTTACTAACCGCCGTCTATACCAGATTATATGCGGCCAAGTTACCCTCCCGCTGAGTGTTTGCACATAGAAACCAAGCCAATATCAAAAATTTAGCGCTTTTAAGGGGATTATATATGTTTTCAAAATTAAAATTTATTTTTCAAAAATCAAATTTAGAAATTATTTTTGAAACCCTCAAGAGAAGAATGACACTTTTCTGCAATAAGGATAAGTGGTATGCAAATTTTGATAACAGTTTCCAAATCTCTGCCCCAAAGTTAGTATTAGGTAGAATTTTCAAGTTCATCCGATCAGTAGTTTTTTTAAATGAAGTGGAATACACCTTCTGTCCAAGCGCCTATTTCCCTCGACCTGTCCAAAGCGGTTAATTTATTTCAAATATATAAACTCCTATAATCTTATTCAAAGTATGTGTTTCTTCTCATCCCAAAGCTACATTCGGATCTTGAATATCTCATCTAGTTTTCAAGAGATCACTTTTGAATGAGCGCATATTTGGGCGCAGTCCCGGGCGAGCGTCTCAAACTCATCGGACGCGCGTCTCGATCGAGCGAGGCGACAATTTTTCATCGTCTGCTTGCGCCGCGGCGCGCTCAATTCATCGCCCGCTATCGGTGGTCATTCATGGGGACGCGGCATTTTTTCGCGCGCGCTAGGATTTTTGCGGCCACTGCGTGAATCAGAAAGTGGGCGCGCGTCAAAACGAAAGAATCTGGGATCCCTGTTTCAATTGACATAAAATGTCCACAAATTTGATACCCTCCCTGTTGAAATGTGTCCCAAGAAAATCCCTTAAAATCTAAAAAGTCCACAAATTTGATGTCCACAAATTCCATAAAAAACTGTAACGTTTTTGGATTTTTTACTTTGAAAAAATCTCTTTGAATTTCCTTACCTGGACCATTTCCTTACCTGGACCAAAATCCTAACCTGGACCATTTTTGATTTTGGTCCAGGTAAGGAAATGGTCCAGGTAAGGATTTGGTCCAGGTAAGGATTTGGTCCAGGTAAGGATCAACCTAAATTTTCTGTAGAGTTCGATAAAATACTCTGTTTTTATCCACATTATATTATTACGGACGATAGAAAGCCGAGACCCGTACCCTTAAGGGACTAGGCCGAGTGAGCGCCGCGCGCCATTTTCTCTTTTCTCACTTTCGCCAGGAAGCCCGAATTTTTTCGAATTAAATGAAATTTGGCATACAAACTAAACTTTTATTCTCTTTCCTCTCCGACTTTTAGAATTTTCCTACCTTGCCGACGAGCTGAGTTATGATCGAAAAACAGATGCTTGAATTCAAGTGTACATAAATACTGAAAAATTCTGATTGACACTTTGAGACCAAATCCATTGAAAAGCCCGTGGTCTCTTCTACAAGGTCTACTAAATGAGATTTCCCTGAAACGTCTTTTTACCTTATTATCGAGGGATTACTGTGAGTCAATTCCTTACATGGTACAATTTGATTTTTGTACCATGTAAGGATTTGTACCATGTAAGGAAACCCCGCCTATGTTGGCAAGCTGGCCTAGCCGGCGCCGGCGAATCGTAAAAAGGCCCGTTTTATTTATGGAGAAAGATCTATATATTATTCGATTTTCGGAATACGAATTTATTGGACATTTATTTATTGGACATTTATTTATTGGACACCAGTTGGGCCATCTGCTCGAGTTCAGCAAAAATGGCAATCCATAGTTAATGTTATTGGGACCGAAAATACTAAAACAAGCATTTGCCGGGTTTTCTTCTGATTAAATTCCAAGGAGAAATTCCAAGTTTGTGTGTTATTATTATTAACACAGTGAAGAAATTCCAACGAGGTGGAACAACGTGGCGATTGGGTGGAGAAGTGATTCTAATCCCGTCTTTAGTCAATCTTATCACAAATACACAAGTCCCAGTTCTTTAAGTCCTTTTTATCGGAGAAGATGACGATCGAGTTCTTCCTCAAAAAATTTTATAAGCGGTTTGGATGGGATTTGGATTTTTTGAGAAAATCGCGCGACAAAAAATGTCCAAAAATTCCATAATTAACTGTAATAAACATGACTTCCTTATTATATTCAGAATTTATCTTAACATAATCCTAAATATTTAAAGAGAAAAAGGCAATAAGGCAAATACTAATGTCTAAATTCATTGTTATTTCAACCTGCTGCCTATTTTCCCTCTTAGTCGGCAAGGCCATTAATTAATTAGTGGTTTTCAAGATTCTCTTTATCTCTCGGGCTCTTTTCCCTTATCCTATTTTACGAGCAGGCTTATAAAAGAAAATGAAAGCAAGCATTTGTCAGTCTGAGCAGACCAAAATCTAAATCAACAAGAGATTTTAATTTAAGCGGGAGCTAACGAAGCCGTTTAAAAATAACAAGAATGAGACTTTTTCCTCTTTTGCTTTTTCAGCAATCCTTTTCAAAGCCAAATCAGGAAAGCGAGACGAGCTCGCGACAAGTCATCTGTCACTTTGATGAGCCCTGCACTCAAGCCTGCACTGCCAAGGTCTGCGAGTACTTCTGGAACATTGAGTACCGACTAACCAACACTTGGCGGACACGTGACTTTGGGCGGCGAACAAACGTAGCCAGAGGATCTCTTCGTGATTTCTCAGTTTCTTGGAACGAGACGAGCAAAAACCTGGACATTGACCAGATAGGACTTGCTGCCAATACTCCGTTTCTCGTCGATGAGAGAGGTAACGCTCTCAACCCCTCAACGAGCTAGAAAACCTCTTCTTTACCGACGGACAGGACCAACGACGAGTGATCACGATTAACGGCCATTTTCCCGGCCCGAGCGTGATCGTCAATAAGGGCGCCAAGGTCATCATCCACGTAAAGAGCCTTCTCCATGATCAGTCATTCTCACTCCACTGGCATGGTCTTCACATGGTCGACAACTACTGGATGGACGGAGGAGCCATGTTTTCCCAATGCCCCGTCAACAGTTTCAACGAGTTTACATACGTTATCGAGGCCGACAACACCGGAACACACTGGTATCACTCGCACAAAGGCCTTCAACGAGCAGATGGACTTCACGGCGCATTCATCGTCCTTCAGCCGGAAGAACAAGAAGACCATTCCAATAAAATTCCATTTGTGATGACCGACTGGTATCGAGATGATTCTGACTTTTTGGCGGCTGCAGATCCCTACCGCTTTGGAATTTCTGGCGGGGACCGATTCACTGGAACAGGGGCGCGGACATGCACCACCCCGGAAAAGGGATTTCTCAACGGAGCGAAAGTGAGCAGCTACTGCGTCGATTCGATTCTTGTCAACGGCCATGGCCAGTTCCGAGACAAAAACGACTCGGCTGTGTTTTCTGTCGGCGAGCAGTTCGTTCTTCCCTACGAAACAGAAACCGTCGAATTGAAAGCCGTCCACGCTGGTTTTGAAGTTCCGATTCTGCTCAGAAGAGCTGATAGCTTGCCGATTTACGCAACTGGAACCGATGGCCGAAAAATTCAGTCAAGAGCTGGACATGGGCTGATCTTTGGCGTCGGCGAGACGTGGAATATTGAAAGCGAATTTAACGGGCTCGACGAAATCATTTTCATAGCCGAACTCATGGTGGAAGGATACGGACACGTGGTTGATGCAGACTACCAGCTTAGCCCGCGACCCTTCGTTAAAGTCTCTGTCCAAAGATCTTCTGCTCCGTTCCGAGGAGAACGCGTTCGAAATCTTGTCCCTCTTCTTCCCTGGAAACAATCGCCAGCTCCAGTGAGACCCCATCATGCTTTGGATTTTACTGACTTTATCGACAATCTCGACCACGACTCGGATTTTACTTACCTCAACTGTCCACTTGACAACTACCGCGGCTTCAAATGCGTCGGAATCATGGATTTTCAGCGCGATGAAAATGTCGAAACTGAAGCATATCAATTCGACCCCGCAGAAACGAACGAAAAACCGGATCAAATAATCGAACTGAATTTGAATCTGGCTCGAGGATCGTCAATCAACGGCATCAAATTCGCCTATCCATACAAACCCTTTTTCGACGGAATCAAGGACGAGAATATCACGCCCTGCAGCGAAGAGATTCTCGGAGACGAAGGAAACAGAACCTGCACGCAAATTTTCACAGTCCAGAAAGACGAGCTTGTGGAAATCAGAATCTCCGCTGCTCATGAAATGTCGAACGAACTCTCGCCATACGAGTGGACTTATCACGCTTTCCATTTGCACGGCTACGAGTTCTTCGTCCAGGAGCTTGGCTTTCCCAGACTCGATCAACATGGCAACATAATTGGACTCGACGACGCTTTGAGCTGCACTGGTGGAACGCGCTGCCCGAAAGTGGAATACAGAGAAGACATTTTGAAGAAACGAAGAGTCCATAATTTGAACACTGTCGCGAAAAATACGATTCTAGTGCCAGCAATGGGCTACGCGATTGTCCGTTTCAAGGCGACGAATCCCGGAATCTGGCCGATGCACTGTCATCAGCTTTTCCACAATTCCCAAGGAATGGCTGTGGCTTTGAATGTAGAAGACAAAGAGGAGAACAAGCCGTTTTCTTATTTGCCGGAAGATTTTCCAAGATGTGCAGACTATGATCCAACGAGCTACTCAACTCCGAAAAAAGCATCGCAGAATCATTTTCTTCATTTCATCACGCATCACATATTGTTCTCTTCATCGATCTTGGTCGTCTTTTTGTCTCTCGTGTTTATCTTCGTGAAATGCTGCTTTTTGCCAAGATTTAAAAATGGGTACGAATACGCACCGTTGAATGGAGGAGAAAAGGGAATTCGTTTGTATACTAAGAAATTGCAAGAATTCGTCAACCAAAGAATTACAAATCGCCAAAAATCTGAATCGAGAAATGAAGATAGGGAACCACTTATTTCGAATGATGAGTGTCAAGATTCAAACAAGATGGAAGACGACACTGACCAAGAAATAATTGATTCTCCAACTTACAATCCGGAAGAGGATAATGATGACGAAGACTTTGCTTGTGAACACAAAGATAACTTTCCAAACGGTCATTGGGACAATGACGATTCGAAGTTTTCATTGTTCAAACCTGATCAATGATCACTTGAATTCTGCATCAAATTTTATGATTTTGTATATTTCTCGTCAAACACAATCATTTCTTCCAAACGGTCTGCATGTTTTCTGAGGATAATCAAATAAAACTCAAATATCGATGACACTATTTTTTCTTTTGCACAATTTAAAAACACATGGCATCGCAAATAAGTAAGAATCCCTTGCGCAATGGAAACAGTTTTTTCTTCTTTTAGTGGACCTCTTTTCTAAATTTTCTGGCAGAAAAAATTTCGGAGGCAAAATTGCATATTTACTTGAGACATTTGAAATGTCACATTTCAAAATACTAATGAGCATGCGCCAGTTTCGATGGATTGTTCTAAAAAACAATTTCCTCGAGTTAAGTGGTCAATTCTAGCGCAGTCAAAGTAATTTTAAGAGCATGTTTTCTCTATATTTTTTGCGTGAAAATATTTTCAACCCGCATTAATAGGTCAGAGGGTCAAAATATTTAAAGATCTATGATCATAAATCAGAGGCTTAAATCCGTGACTCCAAGATCGTAGCAACGCGGCTTTTCCGAATTATTAGGTATAAATTGCGACTGTCACTGCCACTGTCTGCCAAAACTCTGCATTATTTGAGATCTATCAAAAATTGCACAAACGGCCAAACCCAGCGTTTGAAGATATTGGCTGGAGACTCATGTAATCATTGTATTTTATTGTGATTCCAGTTTCTGTCAATAGAGTATCGGATAAAATTTTCGTATTTCCTCTGATCAAGATGATGAATTTCCACAAGATCGTAAAAGTTTCTTGGATAGATTCGAATGGTCGCTTGAGCAACGCTGCTGGATCCAAACATCGCGTACACGCAAATGTCTCCGTGGCACAATCTTATCGGCTTAAATGACTTAAAAGAATTGATAAAAGCTTGAAATTGAAAACGATCTTACGTCTTCGAAGAGTTATTTGGCCATTCGACGAGTGTCAGTGGGCCTCCAGCCTCGAATCCATTCTCCGACGTTACATCCCGTTTCTCCCGGAGCGCAAATCGTGACTCGAATGCCATTTGACGACCACATTTGTGAGTACGGAGAATAAATCCCGAATTTGATTTGATAGCCTTTCATTTGCCATCGGACTTGACTGGAGACGCCCCTCAATCGGCTGTGCCATTCTGTTTCGCCTGCAAACTTTTCACTTGTTCCCGGCTATGAACAAACTAAGGAACTTTTCATCGGATAAATTTGTCGTACTTGAACCATGTGGTATGGTGTTGACAGTTCTCCGCTGTAGACCCTCGTGTATTCGACCGTGAGAGGATACTTCATGTAGTTTTCGACAAGTCCGAGATGGCCGACAAGAAAAAGCAAATTTCAAATTATATAATAATAAAATATAATAACCTGAAGTGGTGACCATTGCACCTCGAGTGGCGGATCCAACAGTTATAGCTGTGGAAATCATATCAGAAACCGTTCCGAACGTTTCGACAAACCCCTCGGTCGGCTGGAAGCCGGCGAGAAATAAAAATCCTAAAATCTTCATTTTCTGAAGAAACGAAATTGCAAGTTTGCTTAAATAGGGAGTTGGCCTTGAAATTTTTTCTTATTTATTTACTTAAAATTTCGGTTTTTTCTCTTTTTGTAGTTTTTGAGTGAGGATTTCCCGGCCAAGGGTCAATTTTCAGAATAAATCAACGATCATTGAACGTAAAAAGCGTTACAGTTGGCTTCCTTCTTTCCGGACTTATTTAGTCCCCCGATTTCCGAAAAATGTCCGGAAATTTGGATCACCCGAAAAAATGTATGTCCCCCCCAACATCCTTAAAATTTGTCGAAAAGTAGTCATTTTTCATGATAAATATAATGATGGGGTCCCCGTACAGGCTCAAAGCAAAGAGACTCTCTAAATCTACCAATGCTGGGAAGACGTGTTATAGCTCAAAATAAAGTTTGATCCCAGATCTTGTGATTGACAAGAGCTTTTTTTTAATTCAAAGAAAAAAGTCACGTGCTCGTCGCTCAAAGTTGTCGACTCAGCGAAAAATCGCAAAATAATTGAGTTTTTGGTCAGAATTTCATGAGGAATCAGAAAGGGTTCAAAAACAGATTCTGAGACTTGTCCCTGTACGAGGTCCCTAACCTTTAAGGGTGTCCCCAGCGATCGGATTCGACTAATCTTAGTCTGATGACCAATTTTATTTGAGTTAATTAAAGGAAGCTGATTCTAGAGCTTTTTTCAGATCTGAAATATCTCATCTGATTCTCGAGATATTACTGTTTCTATGACAGCGCTAATGCATTACGGCTCGATAGAAATGCACTGTAAAAAGTGTCATTTTCAAACTTTGATTTTATATATCGACCTGTTTATTTTCTGAGAGCTTGAAAAATTCTCTATTCAATGATACCTATATCAATACGATAGCACAAATTTTTCACTTTCAAACAGTGCGCCAAAAGTCGCAAACACCTGCACTTTGGCGCCGGAAAAAGGGATTAAGGGTCTTATCAACGCAAAATCTGAGCGTACCGAGAGATTGAAAATAGATCAAACTATTATCCCTGTAAAAATGAGAAAAATTGAATTTCAGGAACAGCGCTAGAATCGAGCTCAAACTGCAGCAAAATCGTTACTTCAAAGAATGCATCGTATCTGATGCATACAGATAAATTTTAAAAATCCGTCAAATTTATGGCATAGAAGAGCGTTCAAAGAATCAGGATCTGGTCGAAATTTAAAAATTGAATTTGTAGAACTCGAGAAAAACGATCTCAAAGATTGGTCAGAATAGAAAAATCAGAACTCTTTGAAGAAGCGGTAGGGGATTAAAAGATTATAATTTTAAAATTCAGCCAAATTTATGGCATAGAAAAGGGTCTTAATAATAATGAGTATATTTCTTTTAGCCGAAAAGCCTTCAGGAAGTCCTATAAAAAATAGCTCAAAGTATAGCCTGTTTTAAAAAAATCGTTGGGGACACCCTTAAAAGCTGAAAAATTTCCTGTTCTTGAATGCATAAACAAAGCTAAAATTTAGCTGCAGAAATTCAAGGGATTCTTGTCGATAGTTTCAATGCCTCTGCAGCCATATATTTGAAGAATAGACTGTTTGGAGAATGTTGCTGCCCGTCACCATGGAATTTGGCGAGGCTCAACGCTTTTTGTAACATAAATTATGTTGTCTCGGTAATCCGATTTGATACGACCAATTTCGATAAACATCAGCATCAGATTCTCCATGCAGAATTTGTATTTACACAAATAAGCGTAACAGATCAGATGCATAATCTGAAATGACCTTTGGCTAAAGGGGGTGGTGGTTGAGAATTATATAATGATTTTCAATTTTCGGCGGTAAATTACAGTAAGTCCATGGAATAACATTTTTCGAACAATCTTTTTTTTACCGTCAAAATCATGTTGGAGGCAAATTTTTTGGTTCTCAAATACGATAATTTTGGTCAATCAACATCAATTTTAGGAAAATTAAAGACTATCCCTTTTTCGCTGAAAAGAATGAGATTTGAGTGTCAAAGTTTCACTTTCTTCTCCCCCTCTGGATCACCATTTTCCTCACCTTTAGGACTTTTCGGCTGATTTTTAAACTCTTTTATCGACGACGGCTTTAAATAAATAGGAGTCTTATTTTGGGGTGGTGTCTGGAATCGACAAAAGAATTCCGACAAAAATTTTCAAAAAAAGACACTTCAGAAAAAATACTCTTGAAATTTTTTGAGAAGAATTTTTTTCTTAAAACTATGCAGAAATGGCTTTTTCAGGCCACAGTGGACATTTCTAGGCAGTTTTGAGAAATTTTCGCTAGCGCATCAGGTATTGGTGGGCGATTGAAATTTACATGAAAAAATTGAAAATTTTTGTCGGGATTTTTTTGTCGGTTCCAGACACCTCCCCCTTATTTTTATGACTAAAAAGGAAATAATTATAATTATAATGAAACAACCTATGAAAATGAGCAAGATAATAGTGCTGTTGCCAGATATAAGTATGTTCTAAATATGATGAATAATCAATATTCTCAAAGCCGAAAGACGGGGTGGTATTCCTGTCCTGAACTCGCGTTTCCTGATAGTCGAGTACAAGAGTTTTCAACAGTTTGGAGCAACTTCGGAGTTGTGATTTCTCCTGGTTGGACTGGAGGGTTATTTGAACAAGACGAATGTCTCATTTAAAATAATTAAGCGATCATCGACAAGTTTGGCGGCTCTTCAATGATATTTGGAGCCGCATTGGAGTTTTAAAAGGCTACCCTCGACAATATGGACGAGCCATTCTTTTCCCAAAAAATGAAGTGATGTTAGTCGGTGGTACTGCACAACACTCAAAGAAAATAATGTTTAATGATAACTGGAGCGCCTTTGACTCGTCTGTCGAGCGCATGGTTTACTGTATTATACTCTTGACTCGATGGCACTTTTGGTATCGAGCGATTATTGCGTTTTATGATAAACTATGGTATAACGTTTGATATATCTAAAAGAAAAGTTTTTGTTTTGTGTTTTTGATTTATTAAGTTCATTAAATCCTTCATAGTTGTTGTTGCCAGTAAAAAAAGTTGATTGTCGAGCGGAGAGATTTTTACGAAAATAAAGAGCTGAAATTTTACTCGAGGTCAGCGATGATTTCTTTGAATTCGATTTTCGGAATACGAATTTATTGGACATTTATTTATTGGACATTTATTTATTGGACACCAGTTGGGCCATCTGCTCGAATTCAGCAAAAATGGCAATCCATAGTTAATGTTATTGGGACCGAAAATACTAAAACAAGCATTTGCCGGGTTTTCTTCTGATTAAATTCCAAGGAGAAATTCCAAGTTTGTGTGTTATTATTACATGTATAAAAGAAAAGTATTCTTTGTGAAGACCAACTCAAAAAACATCGGTTTGTTAAAACAAATTAATTGAGCAAGAGAATCTTATAATGAGTTCAAGGCAAATCAAATGATGAGTTATACAGTATAACTTATACTCGATTATTATGAAAAATGAATAATCGATAGAATATTTTTATTTTTTAAGGAGAGGCTACTACCATGGAGTTGAGCTCTTAGGGGAGATCGAGAATCTGAGCTACTGAAAAATGCACTTACTTTTTCAGTAGCTCATTCTGGGCGTGCCTAAATTTGGGGAGAAGCCGCGCAAACCCTTCTCGGCTCTCTCATTGGCTCGGACTTTCCAGATTCTGTTCTTCAGAATCTCGAGATTCTTCTAAGCCGCCAAGCAAGCGTTAAAGAAAATTTCTAGACTTCCACAACAGTGATTTGCGCTGGATACGGGGAAGGGAGCCAGGGGCTTTCTCCCAAAAGAGTTAAACTTCATGGTAATTTTAAGGATAATCGATCATTTTCCTTCAAACTCGTAAAATTAACGATGAGTCTGAAAGGGCAAATTTTAAACGGCAAAGAGAATTTAAAAATATCCGGAAAATAATGAAAGTTTAGGTCGTTTTGATGAAGCTTTTCTTATTGCCTATTTTAATTAGCATTTTCGTTAGAATTTTGAGAAAAAGCTTTTTGAAAATGAAGCCAGAACAACACGAACACCTGTCCCTGGACAGAATCAATAAAATTCTGATGTCCGCCAGATTCGCAACTTGCAGCTACGAAACAGCGCAAACTTTGAAGCAATTGAAAAAAGAGATTCGAAAAGAAAAACCTGAAGATCGTGGTAAAGATGACATTTTTCTCCAAAAGGAGATTAAAACGGTTTTTAAAAGATTCGAATGTATCAAATACAAGGTTGAAAATTCAAGAACGAAAAAATAAACAATAAAATTTGTAGTTTTTCCGGGACGAAAAATCAAGTGGGGACGCGATGGTCTTTCTTCTGAACGAAAGAGGCATTCCCGACCGACCAAACGAGAAACGAAAGACCTACCTGGTCATCTCGATCGCCGGAACTCATAGCTTTCGGGACATCATCCAAGATCTCAACATTTTCAAGAGAAAGTTCGAAGACACGGAGGCAAGGGTTCACGCTGGATTCTACAACCAGTTCCTGGCGCTCAAGCCTAAAATCAGAAACAGAGTCGAAGTGATCCTGAATGAAACTTTAGTCGATGAAATACTGATAACCGGCCATTCGCTGGGCGGCGCTGTGGCAGCGATGTTTGGCGCTTACCTTGCGGCGGAATTTGAAAATCAAAATTTTCGAGTCGTTACTTTTGGCTGCCCAAAGCCTGGAAATTCTGATTTCAGAGAACTCTTTCAACAGAGGTAAAATTTTAAAATGCTTCTTGTTTCGAAATTATTCTAGGGTGAAAAAGCATCTGAGAGTGAGGGTAACAACAGATCCAGTAACATTGGTGCCGATGCTCATTCCCTGGTTCAGGATCGGTTTTGTCAATATTCTCCTTTATTTTGAATATTATGAAAGCAAGATGGAAACCAAAAGAGCCACACATGTAATGACAATTCGTCGCAGGATTTTCAACTCAGCGAAGACGAGATTTTTACGCTAAATCCTCATTCTTGCGAAAATTACATCGACGAGCTGCTGAAAATAAAACGCATCGTTTTGAGGAAAAAATTCAGAAATGCTGGTCCAAAAGCGATAGAATTTGTTGAAAAAATGAGACTCTCAAAATCGGAAAGAAGCTGATAACAAAATCGAAATTTTTTTCTGTATCACGGACGAAAAAGTCGAATTTCGTTCTTATAATTTCATGCATCTGAATCAATTGCTGTCAAAACGGAAGAATGAATGTTCTGTTTATTAAACCGGTGACCGTACTCTTAAAATTGTTCCAATAAGGAGAAAAAATTTTTTATTGAACAAAAGAAGGTAAGGAAAGCGAAGTTACTGACAGATCATGCTGTCAATTTGTCTCTTCATCGGTTCATCTAGCCAGGGGCACCGGTTGAAAGAACTGCATTTCTTGTTGTTGCACTCGGCCCAGTCAAACTGCCCGTTCTGCATTTTTACGCACGTGAGCTGGATTTTTTTCGACTGAAAAGAATTTGAATCGCTCTTGAAATTTTTGAATATCTTGAAAAGATAAGTATTTTTTTAAAAACTTACTGCCTTTCTCCATTTTTTGTAAGTCTTGATCTTCTGAGGACAGGAGTATTGAACTTGCGACCTCGCCTTGAATCCCTGAAAAGGCCAGTCCTCAAACGACATCCAGCTTCCTTCTCGGCTTTCTCGGATCATCAAGTTTCCATTCAGCTCGCTCAATTCTCCAAAAACGTCCGGACAGCCCTCAATTTCCTCTTCCACGCAAATGAAGTTCTTCTCCACCTCCATGTCTCCATAGGACCAGAATCCATTCGGATTCATAAACGGCCGCGTCTTAATTGGCTGGAAGTTTTCAAACGACATCATCACGTGATCATCGATCGAGAATCCGAGCCATGTTGAGCCAAGAGAATTGATGAGTTCGTTCTCTTCCGACGTTTTTGGCCAGGGAAGGGATCCGCCTAAAATGGGCTCAGAAACTTTAGTTGAAAACTGATAAAAAAGATAAGAGATTTTAAAAATTTCCGCTTTGCTACTGAATTTAAGAAAATTGACTCAGGTTTCAGAGCCCAACCTAAAATTCGACATGTTTTTCGCGCGTTTTTGTAACTCAAAGGTGTCGAAGAAACTGCGACTCGGCGGCCTGCAACTTCTGTCCATTCAAGATCTGGAAAGCTAACTTCTGGGAAATCAGTCGGGGGCCCTTCTGTATGATCGGGCTCCTGGGAAGAAGAGTTGTCTTCGTCGCAGCTTGAAAAATCTTCTTCTCCATCAAGTGAGTTGACGGAAGGGCAGAACCAGACATCAACGTCCAGTTCGTCAGAATCGGCCAGAGCTTCGAAGTTGAAAGTGTAGGGGTCGCCGGAGATCATGTTTTGGCCGGGAGTGATGTTGACGATGTTTGAAGTGGAGTCGCTGAAATCGTCGACGGCGAAATATTGAGTGAAGCTCTAAAAATTAGTTAACTCAATCTCATTCAATCTCAGTTTTAAAGAAGGCTATTTGAATAAAGCTTACCTCTATGTCACCGCCAAATTTGAGGACGAATTTGAAATCGTCAATTTGCTCGTTACCGATTGGCGTATCAACATGAAAGTAGAACTTGGTAAAACTCTGATCTGCATGGTTGTTTCCAGGTCTCACTTCTCCGAAGCCGTCTTCGCCGATTTTTTGGCAGGGACAGGCAAAAGCGGCCGCGAAAAGGGAAGACTTCGAAAGCTTCATGTTTTTGGCTCTCGTTTTTTGTATTTGAACTTAGTTTGATAATTGTCGGATTTGCAGCTCGGTTTTAAAGGAAACATTTTACGATTCTTTCCATATGTTGACTATTCAACTTGAGTCGCGCTCAATAATTTTCGACGCTGTCAGGAGGTGATTAGCGCATTAAAACGTACGCAGAAGCGGATGTATAATAACGAGTTATCATTATTAGCAAAGGTGGAGCGTGTCGTAAGCAGACCGTAAATGGTGATTCCTGTCGAAAAATTGATGAGCTGGTTGAAGTTTTTTGATGATTTTACTGACGAGTCCTAAATTTCAGAAGTTTTAATTTTCGATAGAAGGTTCTGATTCCTAGTCTTTACAACCTGAGTCCCGTCGGGTTCAAAAACGGGGCCGAGAGAAGACTTCAAGTCCATCAAAAAAATGGATCACCAGAGGCGATCTTTCTCGGCGATTGAGGCGCAGAAATAATTGACGCTCTGCGGCTAAATTTGCTCCCTTCGCAAGATTTTTTAAATATGATGAACTCCAGGAAGAGTTTTTTTAAGAAAATTTTTGCGTCCTGTCTTTGTAAATACTGGAAAAGCTCAGATAGAGACTTTCCTTTCTCTTGATCAATTTTTCGGTTCTCAAATAGGATAATTTTGGTCAATCAACATCAATTTTAGGAAAATTAAAGACTTTCCCTTTTTCGCTGAAAAGAATGAGATTTCGAGCGTCTAAGTTTCACTTTCTTCTCCCCCTCTGGATCACCATTTCCCTCACCTTCTGGTCTTTTCTGCTGATTTTCAAACTCTTTTATCGACGACGGCTTTGGCGGACGAATCGGATTCGGCTTGTTTTCCGAAGAGCTGCGGAACATGTTGTCGAGTTGGCTCGTTATTTCATCAGCGAGGCTCGTATCCCCCACCCGAGATGATTCCGCGGGCTCGGAGGAAGACTGGATAGGATCTTCTTCCATGAGACCGAATCCTGCATAATCGGTTGTGGCGCTGGGCGATTTGACGGGACGGCGATGGGATGCGACAGGCTGAGCGACGTGGCTTGCAGTGCCAATGAATTCCGGGGCTTGGTTCTGATAGTTTTCGTTAAAAATGACTCGCAGGGAGGATACTTACCTGGGACGGGCGGATAAATTAGGAGTTGAAGAATTTAAAATTTGTACTTTTCCAGGCGTTTGCGTTGAAGGAGAATTCAGTGGCGTGGAATGCAGCGAAATTCCATTTGGCGGAGTTGGCGCGGCCAGGGTTTGAAAAGACACAAAGTTTGACTGAGCATGAGCACGGCTGAGCACGCGAATGCTCAGATTTCATTGAGCTTGAGCACGGCTGAGCACGACACGCTGGAATTAACGTTGAGCTTGAGCACGCTGAGCATGCTCAGTGCTCATGCTCAGTGCTCTGAGCATGCTCATGCTCAGACTTTTCAAACCCTGGGCGCGGCCTTCTTTCTAGCTTTGATTGGACTTGGATCACTTCTCGTCGGGGGGAGGAAACTATAGTCGGAATTTTTGACGTTCTCTTTCTTTTGCTTCTAAGATTGTAGGAAAGCAGCGCGCTCGGAGAAACCGAAATCGAGGTTTTGGTTCCGAAGAAGCGGGTAGTCCTCATCGGGGAAGAAATACTGCGCTTCTTCAATCAGCCGCTGGACGAAAAGTGTCCCGAGGCCGGAGGTAGTGGTGCTGCCGATCAACGTCGAGGCCCAACAGATTGCCAGAGCATGAGCTGTCATTAGGTTTTCTCGTGATTCTCCATGATTTCCCCGCAAAAGCGGCAGAGATACGGCAAGTTGTAACGGTCAAGACTGGCCATTTTCGAGATCAGTTTGGAAATCATGACAAACTGCTCCGACTGATCCAGGATTCTTTCTGCTTGTTGAATTGCGCCAGAATCCATGAAATTGCGAAGAAGAGGGTATTCAAGGTCGCGGAAGAATTGCTAGAGAGCAGACGCCAGCGTCTGATTGCAAGGAGAAAATTCATCTTAATCTGCTTCGTTGTAGAAGGGCGCATTGAGGGCGGCGATCAATTGCTTGACCTTAGAAATCGCTCCTGGAAGGCGAAAAATGCCTTCTTCATCCAAACCTTCGTTGCCCAACAACAAATCGACTAGCACTTCGAGAGGCTTGGCAATTGGGAGCGCTGATTCTCGGAAGACGATGCCCATTCAGAATCCGAAGTTTTTGCCGAACTTGCCCGCCAGCTCTGGATTCTAGCGCTTCTTGAGGAAGCTCTTTACCGCTTCGTAAAGCTCTGAAGGCTTCGTGCTCGGCGTCATTTTCTCCATGATATGATCCATGCACTCACTGAGTGCCACTCAGTGACTGTCGTGTAGATCTCTTCCTGTTTCTCACTGGGGTTGACGAAGATCTCGCGCGCCATATTCGAGCAGTAGTTTTTGTGTCAAATGTCCAACTGTTGTAGCAAATGATCGTGCCGAAGTGGATGTACTCCTTGTCTTATTGAGCGGAGTACTTCAAACTAAACTTAGGTAAATTGGCCAGCCAAGAAGAATACGACGAAGGTCTTACTTGTAGTTTCCACCAGACTGGATGATCGCCGTGAAGCAAGGCTCCAAATGCTGAGCTCGATTCTGAGCAGCTTTCGCTGGTTCTTGAGCGAGTCCTCAATCCAAGCAGACATTTTCACGTGGCGAATCTTCTTGTCAATCGTCGATCGTTTCCATCAAGCTGGTTTGGTTAACTTCTTTGAAGATTTCTGTCGTCAATCGCGCCGCCTTCTTCATCGAGTTCAATTTGTCCTCTTCCTTTGCTGCGCAAATGATGCCGAAATCGACTGAAAAAACGCAAATAAATAAGATGAATAGAATCAAATGAAGTCTACCAGAGATGCCGACAGTTTTCTTGTTCAGAACTTTGAAGGCCTTTTTGTACTTGCTGAGAAATGGGTCCGCAAATAATGGCGCAAAAGATGAACCTCTACCAACAAGTTGTCGGCAACAACGATTTACCCGCAGAAGTGGTAAAGAAAATATAAGATTCGCTCCCGTTATCACTTATTTCTGAAATGAAAACTCTTGAAGATCCGCTTTTTGTAGGCGTGGAGTGTTTATTGAAGTGAAAAATTAAAATGTTAAAAAAATCAAAATTAAAATATTTTAATCAGTTACAGTGTAAAGAAGAGTTCTCTCTTCGAACTTTATAATGAGCTCCATGATTTTGGTGAGGACGTTTTCTAGCACGATGCAGAATGGAGCCATGTTCGCTTTTCTTGTGTCTGAGGAAACGATTTTGTTCGCGGATAAAAGAAGCTTGACGATGTCGCTCGTTTTCGTCGCTGTCGAGAAAGTCGTTTCCAGCTTCTCTCGCATTTTCGCCGAATATTCTCGCCTCTAAAAGTTCATTTTAGCTCTGGAAATTAATGAAAGACGCTCAAAGAAAGGAAATATTAAAGAAACCAATCAAAATTTCGAATTTCGGTCTATATCTCCAAGTATTTATGTATAAGCGCCTGTTTTATGCCTTTCAAGAAAGGTAAAGCTACAAAAATCAATAACAAATTGAAAAAACCTGAGTTAGTATCTGAATTATTTCTATCTATAAGCCCTCCGCGGCTTTTTTGATGATGGGAGCAGGTTATTTTGCGAAGCCGCTTTGCGGATTCACTTATAAGAAAGCGGCCACGCGGCTTTTCATCCAAACTATCTGGGGCCCTGACTCAGGTTTTCTTAATAGGTTGTCGAGCCGAGCTTTATCCGTCATAAAACGCGTGAAACACCTGATTATTCAAAGAACGAGCCCGAAAATCGATTAATTCAAAGCGATTTTGTCTATTTTTTTCTTATTTGAAGATGATTCTTACCTTTTTTTCATATCTTCAGCTTTGAGAGGCTTTGCTTTGCTTCCCTTACGGCTCTCATTTTCTCATATCACTTCTGAAAAATGCAAATAGTTAGTTATTATCATAGAAATAAAATAAGAGAACAATCACAACCTAATAACTGCTAGATTTTAAGCTCGAGTAAAGTCTGTATTAAAAATATCGAGAAAAAGTAGGAACCAAATGACGGAACCAATTTCAAAAATCTCTTAAAAAAGTGTTCTTTCGTTTATTTAGGAAATTCTTCTAGTTTTCTCTTATTTTTCAATTTGAAATGAATTTCACGCGCAAAAAAGCGAATAAAGGCGCGTCCATTGGCTGTTTCTTATCGAGGGAATTTTGGAACTTGAATCGAGAAACCGAGATTTTCTGATAAAAAAATTTCTGTACAAAAACTCTGAAAGAGCAACAAATATATTTTAGGAGAACCATTGAGAAAACTATTCTATCGCGAGTGAGTGAGTTTTATTCGAAAAATTCAAAGGATTCTGGAGTGTTTGAGCCGTTCTGTGCAAGATTTGCGGTGTTTCACATATTGAGAATTTTTCATACAGGAAAAGTCACAGTCTTCACAAGCGAAACCATCATTATTGTGCGTTCGCATTTTATGCTCGTTCAAACGACTGAGAGTTGCAAAGGAACTAGAGCAGATCTCACACACAGAATCTCGGATGTTGAAGTGCGACTTGAGGTGAAGAGATAATTTTTATGCTGGACTGCTCTGAAAGGGCAGAAATTACAGGAAAACACAATATTTCGGTGAATGTTAACATGATTTCTCAAATTATGGGAATCCTTGCAAACACATTTGCAGGAAGAATAAGGGCAAGAGAGCCGTGCGTCTTTGGTTGGTTTCTGTTCGTGTCCATGAAATTTGCTATGGTGCATTTTGAGAGTCTTTTGAGAGTTAGCAATGAAGGCACAGTCGATTTTACCACAAGGAATGTCTTTATAATCGTGAACAGAGATCATGTGCTCATTTAGACATCCTCTAGCTTCGTTAACAATCAATTTGCAGCCACGCTCGCTGCAATGAACGACGAATTCTTTCTTCATTTCCCAGTTGAAGGAATCACGGTGCTCGTAGAAGAATTCGAGGTGATCTTCCGGCAGTCCAAACTTCTTGGCAATTTTCTGAAATTCTTTTGGTACTTCAACAGTCTTCCGCTCTTCAACATCCTTCGTTTGTTCTGTTTTCTTCGGTTTCGGCGGCTCAATTTCGATTTTCTTCCTCTCCGGCGCTTTCTGGATCGTAAAACTCAACTTCACCGGCTTGGCCTCAACTAAAAATATAAAATGACGGGAGAAATTGGAATTTCTTCAAACCTCTCTTTTCATTTTCAGTCTTCTTCAAATATTTCTTGAGCCAACGAACGTTGCGCCTCACCCTTGCCATTTCTCTGAAAACTGAGACATTTAGAATTTCTGCTGAAAGAATTCAGCCCTTTCAAGACATGTTTTGAGTGGATTCGTGAGTGAGTTTTATTTGCAAAAATCAAATAATTGACACACATATAATAGTAATATTCAATAATAAGTGATTTGTTAACTTATCGAACATGTTTCATGGAAGCGAGAAAAATGGGACAGGAAGGGGATGAGACTTAATAATATTGAACTTGATTAATTTGAGGTTAGGTTGGAAGGGAAGCTCGTGCGGGACGACTTCTCTTCTGTCATTTCCAGCTGATTCGATGGGCATTTCCGAGCGGTTTTCTGGAAGTAACGGGCGTCGTAGGCTTTATTGAAGAATTCGGCATGGGCGCGTTGGTGTAGAAAAGGACGAAGATTTGGAAGAAGATCGAAAGGCAGAAATGAGGTTCTCGTGACCGGAGCGAGCGAGCACCTTGTTGTAAGCATTGAAGAGGTTGAAAAGCGCGCCGCTAGAGCCCTGAAAGTCGGACAACTTCGAAAGTACTTCGGAAACGTGGGTATATTTGAGTTGCGCTGCTTTTTGGCGGCCGACTTCCAAATTTTTAAACGCTAAGAGTTGGCTAGTTAAGAGTGTTTGTTTGACAGATAATTACCGAGTACAGCTCCGACAAGAACAATTTTGTTGAGAGCTTCGAAGTCCCAAGTACTTTTGTCTAACTGGACAGTGACAAACTGCTTCTTATTATCAGCAAGTACGCATGAGGAAGGTGTAAGATGAACAACGATTCCGACGATGTCAACCTCTTTCGTGGTCACAGGGATTTCGTGGAGGATTTTTGAGTATTCTGCGGGCAACTCAGGTTTCACGGATTCGTGATCAAAAACACGGACGGTCCCGTTTTTCTGGATTACGATTTGGCCTCTATATCCGATGTTTGCCATTTCAACGATCACTAAAATCCACATTTTTGAGATTGGGACTTAAAACGCTCAAATTACCGATAGATCCCGCTTTCAAAGATTCGTCGCGCAGTTTGCTCTCGTCGATTTGCAGAATACTTGTTCTATTTCCCTCCTTGACTTTAAATCTCAATTTCTTCGTCGTTTTTCCTCTTGATTGTCGCAGCTCACGTTCGAGAGATTCGTTTATCTTGAACTTTTGCTCTTCGGCGAATTCTGAAAAAAGCGTGATTGGGAATTGTTGAACGTAAAAAGGCGTGCTTACTTCGGTATTTCTGCCGTTGCTCTTCAGTCAAGTTCGAAAATGTATGTTCTCGGTCTTTTGAAAGTGTCACCGCGGTGTAAATCTCTTCTGGATCTTCTAGTACGCGGATTTCTTTCATTTTCAAGTTGGATAGATCTTCGTTGAGGCTTTCTCGATGTTTCTTCCTTCGAAAAATTGAATAAAATCCTCTATTTTATCGTAATAATACCTAATACTTGCTGCTAGCGATTCTCTTTGCTTGTCCAGATCTTTTTCTTTCTGAGCAAGCCATCGATCTCGCTGTCTTTTTGAAAAAACTACTCGTCTATCTCCTGGTTTGTCTTGAAGCCAAATATCTGGGTACTTTCTTGTTATTTTCAGCTTCAGCTTGTAAATACTCCCGCCAGAGGAGGAAATGGAAGATAATGTCGAAGGCGGAACGCTTTTAAAAAACGGCCCAAGTTTCGTATGCCATTTGACGCGCTTCGTGGAATTGGCGGTTATTTGAATTTCGGAAATATTCTTCAACGGGTGTGAAGCTTGAGCGTCTCTGGCAAGAGTTGCACCACAAATGAGGATTTTGGAACCGATTGGTAGTTTTTCAAGACGTTGCTTTATCAAAGCATCGCCATCGCATTTGATTTCGTACCAGCCGTCTGATAGTCTATTCAGATTTATAAAAAGCGTCTTAAGGGAAACGAAATACCTGAGAGGTTCTTTGGAAGAAATGTAAAGAACAGCAGGCATAGCTGGAGAAACTTCATGCTCGGAAATCTTCACAATGAGACTTCTCTTTCCGTCGATAAATTCCAAGTCAGCCCTCAGTCGGAGTTGGTCGACTAACGCGTCGGGGGTGAAGACCTTTTCGCGCAATTCGTGATCGAGATAGTTGTTGTATCCAGCGAGCTTTTGCTTGACGAGTTTTGCGTGATTTTCTACCCAGTTGATTGACAATTTAGAGTGGAGCGATCTGTTGATCGTCGAGCTGTGAAGAGTGCGCTGGATATGTCGCGAGCCGAAAGTTCCGTCTGCTGCGCAGCTGAAAGTTCCATCGTCGGACGTTTTCTTACCAGCTAGAATATCTTCCTTTGGCCAAAAGTCGAGCAAGTTGAAATTTCGCACTGGATCAGCAGGCTTATCCTCTGTATTTACTTGAGGCTTGAACTGACTCACAGGAATCGTCTTGCCTCTTTGGTTGTAGTGTTTCTTGCTTTGGAACAGCACTCCGTAACGATTTTCTTGACATTTCTTCCGACAATCGATCTCCTCGTCGATCTTTTTGATCATTGCCTTTAATTGCTTGATTTCTTCCGCGGTCATGACACGATCTTCTGTTCCTTCGTCAAGGTCCATATCAAAGTCTTCATCTTCTGCAGTATAGTCCGCAATCATCGGACAAAGAGCAAGATCTGGAGATTTGACGGATTTGTTCCTTCGGGTAGGGATGAGAGTACTGTGCTTCGAATTGTTCTTTGCAGCCGATTTTACTGGAATGACGAATGAAGAAGATCTTTCGATGCTGGTCAATTTTGCTTGCGTTTCTTCTAATTGGCTTCTGAGACGCAGTTTATCCGCAAGAAGAGCGTATTTGTGCATAATGGAGTCACTTTCCGGATGAAAGAAATTAACACAAGGCTGATAGCAAGGCAAATTTTCATTCACTTCTTCTGGCTTCGGCTCTGGTAAGCGTTGAATATAGACGTACAGTGGGTTGCGCAGTTGGTTGCCCCTTTGCGATTGCAGCTTTGGTTGCCCCTTTGCCCGCGCTTTTTCTATTGTTCCTTTCTAGACTCGCTCAAAGTGATTGCAGGATTGGTTGCCCCTTCACCCGCACTTTAGGGGGCAACTACCTGCGCAACCCACTGTACTTGCGTGGCGGCTGAGAAGGTTGACGATCCGATTCTTGTGTCTCCGCGGTTGGTTCGTCTGGCAGATCTCTATACTCCTCCCACAACGATTCAAGAGGAGGATGACGCAGACTGGTGGGCAGATGAATAGAATTTCGACAAGTTTCGGAAACAAATTTCGCCATGAATTCATCAAGTCTCTTTCTCTTTGCTTCTTTTTGTTCTGGAGCTTTCGGAGGAGGAATTAACGATCCAACTGCCAACGACTGTGAAAACAAATCCTGACTTAACTCGCCGTCAACATCGGCAGTCTTGGCAGAAGCCGCGGGCTCGTTAGATGTATTCAAGAGCTGCTGACTTGCACCAATTGCCGATTCATCAATTTTCGCCTTGATAGAGTTCTGCAAGCCAGTGTTCTTGCTTCCAGGGCCAGCAGCCCGGACTGCTTGCAAGGCAGCTTCAGGGACTCCGAGTCCAGTTTGGGATCCATTGAATTCGAAGGAATCGTCCAAACCTCGAAAGATATCCTTCCTCAAATTTTCGGAGGATTTCTTTGGTTTATTCGTCTCTTGGGACTTGTAAATCGGACTCGCTCCATAAGGCGAATTGGAGAAAAGGGCTTGCGACGGATCGAACGAAAGATCCAAGCTCGTTTCTCTCGGACTCTCAGGAACCATCTGATTCATATCTATCTCAGAAAGCGCTCCTTTCTTTCCGTCCGCAGCTGCAATCGCTTTCTCACCATTTCTGACTTCCTTGAGTGGATTTTTCGGACTGGCAGATACTGAAGGAAACTGGATATTGTTTGGTAAAGGAACTCCAGGAAGAGCAATGCTAGAACCTGCTCCTGTTGTGAAGAGTGAAGTAGCGACAGATTGATCAAATCGTTTCAGCAACTCAACTGAATTTTGGATCTTCGATGCGTTCTTCGAGGGAGGTTTGAATGAGCTCTTTGGTGGAGGCTTGTACGCGGAGAAATCGAATTCATCGTCTTCGTCACCGTTTTGAACTTTTTCTTTCGCTTGAATAGCATTTTTTTTCATTGATTTTTGAGTTTGAAGTTTGAGGAAGTACTGCGATGTCAGCTCTTGACTGAAATCGTCGTCAGGGTCGTCTTCATTAAATTTCTGTCTCCAGTATTTCTTCCCATATGTGACTGTTCGTTTATTTCCAGTCGTCGGAAGGCCTCTCGACTTGTTTCTTTGGTTTTCTTTTGATATCATCGGGCCATCGAGATCCGCGAAAAGGTCCTTATTAAATTCGAGGCTTCTTGTGGAAAGTTTACTTTGCAGATCTCCCGTTGTGAACAGCAGCTTCAATTAGGGCTTTTGTCGAGTTCAATACAAAAACACTAACTCGTTACTTTTCCTTCAAACTCATTCAAGCCCTTTCCTGTGGCGCTGGGCCGGGTTCAGAAACACTTTCTGAATTTAATTCTGGAATCGCCAAGCTGTCATCGTCCAGTAGTCTCTGAAAAAGTTGACTCGACGTCGTCACGGAGTCGTCACAAGCGGGGAGCTCGCTTTCTATAATCGCGATCTCGGAGTCGTTGGGCTCGAAGACATCGTTCGGATGACTGTGATGTGCTTTCGGGTGTAAAATGCTGTCGTCCGATGCATCCATGAAGTTGAGTCCCGTCTCATCACCGAGATTTTCTTCGCTTGTTCGCGGCCTAAAGTAAGCGTGAGATAATGTGATGTTCATGAGAAAATACTTACAGAATTTTCGGCTCGTCGTCCTTGCTTGTTGGAACAGGAAGACCGGGAACTCCAAGAGCTTCGAGTGTTTCAAATCGTTTTGTTCTTCGTAAATATCGAAGAACAAATTTCATCTCTTTCGTTGTTTCGGCCATTTCTAAAAAAGAAAACGATAAAGTTGCAAGTTATTAGAAAATATAGTAAAACGTTCTATGTTGGGTATTTCAGGGAGTATTAATTGAACTGCTAGAGATTCAGAACTTCAAAAAAGAAACAAAAGCACAAGTAAAATATAGTCGGGAAGATGAGCCTTATGGCAAGGTCTGACATGGCCCAAGGGGCTATAAATCTTTCAGTCGTAGTAGTGGTCGTCAACTCGATTCTGTCGCTCTTTTTTGATCTGACGATGCGATTCTTCTCGATTCGGCCGGGGATGACTAGGCGGTTGGGCTTGTCCTTGGGAGAAAGATAAGAACAAGTGTTGGTTATTGGAAACTTACGATGGCATCGAGTTTATCGAATTCGGTGACTCGGGGTACAATCGATCCGAGTTCGAACCTGTCCGCGTTTCGTAAAGGCTAGTTGTAAGTCAAGTGCATTTTGATTCCGCCTTCCAAGCACCAGCGAATTCCCTGTTTAGATTTGATAAGACCTGTGTTTATAAAGAGATATAGCGTAATTGAATATAGAATCGTATTGAAATTAAACCTGATAACAAGTAATGCCACAGTAGGTATCGCGCACGGGAAGTTCTTGGATTGGCACTTGAACTGTGCAAGCAAAAGGAAGATAAAAAAAATGAAGAAAAAAGGGAAATATCCGGTACAGGTTCACTAGCTGCCAACAGACCTCCACAGACGCTGAGCGGAAAATTCCAGGAGGCTCTTGGGAAAGCTCGTTGACTTCTTTTTCGATGAGTTGACGACAGCTAGAAATTATGAATTAACTTGAAAAAATCGAACGAATAAAGATTATAATGAGCGAGAGAATACTTATTTCCGCATTTATTGAAAGAAAGAAAATGTCAACTAAAATTAAATAAATAAAGGACCTACCCTCCAATGCCTCCATCATGTGTAGAAGCAGCAAGAAGATAAGTCCAGCTCTCAAGGCAGGCTGTAATAAGCGTCGATTCTCTTCAATAAATTTCTCGGACAGGTCTCGGATGGCCATGCGCAAACGGCGAGACGTTATATGTTCTCCCTGGAAAATAGAGTTGGCCAGTTGCCAGTTAATTCTACACATCGTATAATATACCTGAACGAAACATACCGCGGAGTCAAGGAAAATACACCGTTTTCTCTTCCTGAACTCAGGCTTTTTGAAATACTTGGACAATGTATTTTGTACAGTTATATTTTACGATGTGTAGAATAAGCAATCGAAACATATCGTTCCTTCTTTAAAATGGCTAACTCTAGCTTGATACTGTGCTTGAGCTTATGGCGACTATCGCCGGAGAGGACAAGCAGCGAGCGGGGAGGAATCGGGACAGGGATTTCAACGAGTCGCCCTGGCGAGACTTGACGAGACAGAGTCATAACACTATCGCTCAGCAAAGACAGACACATGATAGATTCGCCCTTTTAATGAAGATAGAACTAGCGCTTTCAATTAATTGAAATTCACGATCGGCTACAACCTAGCCAAAGCCAGTTTTCGTCGAAATGGGGATCGATATGAGCGCCCTTCGTAGGCTCGTACTCAAGAAAAAAGCACTCCGCGTGCGCGTAGTTCTTCAGAATCGGATGCAGTCCCTTTATTCTCTCGTCGAGCGGAAACATCCAACTAGGCATCCCCAAGAAGGAGCCGAGCTTATCCTTCTTTTTCTTAAAATTTCTTTCTCTGATATAAGTTTTTAACATCATGAATTTTATGAATAGTTATTTGACCAATTATTGCTCAAACGAAAGAATTATCATGAACTTTAAAAGGCGATAAATACTTTTTTGCACGAAAAAAATAAAAAGAGTTCAAGTAGAGAAACAATAGTTTATCCCAGTTACAGTAGTATTTGATGAAGATATTGTTAGAAGAGTGAAATAAGGATTTAAACGACATGTAAAAATTCATGTTTTTTTTAGGAAGATTCGACGATATCGCCCGGGATGCGGCAAATAACGCAAGGGTAGTAGTCGCCTGTGTCGAATTTTAGACCTACATCTCCCGTTTGCCGTGTTGCTGAAATTGGCGGAATCCAGCTCCGAGTAAATCTGAAACAAAGAATTGAGAATTCGGAACGAAGACACAATGTTATATGATAAGGGTATCACTCTGCTGACTTTCTACGCTCTGCCCTACCTTATTTAATCGCTCACGGAGCTTTCTGGGCTTGGCAGGGATAAGTACAGCGGCTCGGAAATTCACAGGCAGACCATATCTCAAAACGCTTTCGACGAAAATCGCGTTCTGGTCGCCTCCTTCGTGGTTGTAGAAGATGCAGTACTCTGAATCGGGCTCAAAAGAAGCCTATCAAGAAGAGTTGTCTTACGGTTGGAGCGGAGATAATCCATCAGTGCTTGTTGGCCTTTTCTCCTGTTTTCTTTGATAAGTCGGACGATGTAGTTCCTCTCCAGTCTCGGAATTTCGGGCTTCTTCCCGACGATCATTGGAAGCTGCGGCAGAGGGAGACTCAGCAAATTGCCCTGCAAGATCAAAATTAAGCTCAATTTTGTGGTTGAATCAAGTACCTGTAAATAATGCTCTGCAAGCCAGCAAGCGCGAAGAGAAAAACGTACGATTTAGGCACGGTTAGATCTAAAGAACGGGAATCAGGTGGCTTGAAAATCAAGGAAGAGTACCTCGATCAGCACCGGTACGATAGTTCCAGCAGTATAACTTCGTCGGGGACATCGTCGAATAGACCATAAGTAGCAGTGACGATTGTATCTCCCTAGAACGGCAAAATTTAGTTGAATTCTATTTTTTCTCTTTTTGAGCCGATGCCTAATTTTTACGTACAGGCTGTTATTGGCTGATTCAGATCGAACCAATTCGACTGTATTACTAAATCAGTAATTTAAAATCAAGAAATTCTTTTTATTTTGGATTTCTTGCTCGAGTTGAATTTTATTGTGGAATGGTTAAAAATGCGGCTGGAGGTATTTTAGCTGTTCTAGTATTCTGCGTTCAGTTTCGATTCTTTGAATTTTTGCTTCAAGCCTGAGCCGCTCATTGGAATTCATCTCTTTTTGCTCACGATTGTATTCCATCATTTCTTGCACCATTACAGTAAACGTCCCTCGTTCTGCGGCAAAGATTTTCCTCTCCGCAACAATAACTGCCTTGAGCGCATTCCGTGAATGATTCCGGAAATTCCTTATCAATTGATGCCTTTGTAGTTTCTTTTTCGACTCAAATAGCGGATTCTTTGAGCGGTTTGTTGGCTACTGTAACCGAGGCTAGAAAGTCTTTGAGATGACGGGTAATTTCCGTGGCAGTTTTCTAAGCTTCGAACCTTTCGTCATGCATTTTTGTATTCTTGCGATTTGTGATTCCTGTCAAAGAAAATCAGCAAACGAATAGTAATAAAAGCCTACCTGTTCATCTTATTATACTCGACACCTCCATTTGCGCTCGTTTCATCCTACTTACATGTGCCTGGTGATAAACAAACGCTTCATCTTCTGTAGCTTCTTCTGAGCCTCGATCAACTTCTCCTGCAGAGCGACGTTCGCTTCTTGTCATGCCAAATTAGGCTTCTTCCAAAGCCGGTCATTAGGCGCTTTTCAGTTGTTGAATATCGATGCGAAGGAAGTAAAGCTCTTCCAGGGGATTCTGAAACTTGTTGAGCGGCAGAGGTAGTTAGGACGGCGGGATAGTTTGACAAAAGATCTGGAATGAAAAATAGCTTTTGGGTGGGTGACTTCTCCGGCGGCGGCGATGGAGGATTGGAAAGTTGAGGCGATGCTTCAATAATAGGCGTGTTTATCGTCGTTAATATCAACCTCTCCGTTTTCACTCCTACCAAGACTCACGGGCTTGGATGCAGCTCTTTTAGGCTTTTCGTCGATTATTTCTTCAGACTTTTTGGTTCCAAGCAATCCGGCTAAAAAGGACTGTTCATCATGTGAGACCTGCGGTGGTGAAAGGTCTCTTGTGGACGATTTCTCTTGTGGTGGCTTTTGAATTGAAATTAAAGATTTAGAAATATCAATGTCAGAGAAGCCTGCTACAGAAGTTGTGCTAGCGAAGATATATTCATTCAATTTCGAGAAATTACTTTTTTCTGGGTTATTCAACGATATGTGACATACATGTATCATATGTCTGACTTTTTTCCTAGAAGCGACTGGCTGCATTTTTCGGGGATCAGTTGGGGCTTTTGATGGCTCGGACTTCAATTTGAAGTCTTCAACAAGTCATAATCGCAGAAAATTCGAATTCGGGCATGGAAGTCGACAACTACTGTATGTTAATTTTGAGCCGAGAGGCTGTCAGAAAACTCGAACTCTTTTTCTGTCGGAGGTGATTTGGCCTTTGGGAATGACTTGGTTACTTATGCGCTCGACGAACATTTCTGTACTACCATGACTATAAAAAGAGAGAGTTTTACTCTCATCAACAATATGAATCGGTACCGAGCGGAATTATTCTTTAGGCAGTCGATGATCTCTCGCACAACTTGCTGGATCTCGATTTCGTTCTTTCGCTTCTGACCACATGAATACTGTCGTATTTCTAAGGAAGAAGCAGGCTAATCATTCAATTCCTGGCTTTGACGGAATTCACAGACTGTGACATAGTCTATTATTTATAGACCTCCGTCATTCGCTGAATAACAAAAAATTTTGATCCCAATTCCTACTAGGAATTTCCTAGTTCCTCACTTGTCGCCGTCAAAATCATCAGATAAATAGTTATTTTCATTCAAGTTTCATCTCTAGTTCCTTTCGGCATGGATCTTAGTAATCTGGGACTTTCAGATCGTAGCTTTAGTAACTCGAGATTTACACATAGTCTTAACAGACTAAATCTCATCATTTGATGGTTGGCCAAAATTTCTTTAAAATGATATTTGCAAAACAGATAACGCTCTTAAGGTTTCTGTTTCTGATTAATTTTCAGAAATTGACCAATTTGGCTCCTTTCAACCTATTGAGAATCCTTACCAATTTGGGCATTTCTAGAAAGTCTTTCAGATTCTGAAATTCAGAATCGGAAGAAGTGCGGCGATCAAAGCCTCGAGACTTGAGTAAATTTACCCAGTATTTATTTTTAAAGTAAGTATTTGCTTCGTAAGTTCGTTTTTTGGAAGAGAAAAATAAGGAGGTAGAATTATTTAAAAAATCAAAAAGTATTAAAAGTCAAATAAAGGGCTTAAAAGAGAGAATAACTGTAAAAAATAAGGAGGAATGAACCATTCCTCCATTCCGAATGGCTGTTCAGTGATAAATTCGGGAAGAGGCGTCTTCTAGCGGAATCGGGAGAAACGGGAGGCGAAAGACTGCTGCAAACCCTTGCGAGTGTCCACATTGATTCACTGCGGCCGACTATCTTCAATGATTGCCGCAGGAGCTACAGGGGGGTCATTCAACAACGACCGGGGCGATTCCCATCATGAAGCATTATTCTGTGCTCTGATTGTTCAATCATGTAAATCAGCCCGGTCGTTGTTGAAAGACCCCCTTGTAGAAAATAGAGTTGAGAAAGGTCAAAAATCGGGTCGAGCGGCGTACCATTCATTGAATTAGAATTGGCATTTCTTGTTGCACGTCTGGATGTTTTTGCGGCAGAAATTGTGCTCGTTTGTTTGGCACAGGTAGGAAGATTCATCATTGAAAGAGGAGAAGGCAGTTGACAAAAAAGGGATGGCTCATCGTCCAGGTCGATTTATTTGCTAGCGGTGGGCTCGATGATGTTCACTCTTTCGAAATCTTCGCCGCGAAGACAGTTGCTTTTTTTCAAAGAATCTAGCACGGACACTTGGAACTGATTTACCGACCTGGAACACAAGAAAAATCACTCTCAGTCGTTGTGGACGGAAATGGTCGTAAGACCGTTGAGTGTTAGAACTTGGAAAGCCGTCCGCGACTTCGTAGCTGAGTTCGGGTTTTGTCGCTGAGCAATATCGTAAGCTTGTTTCATTTCTGTGATCATCATTCTGTCTTTATGATTGATAGATCGATTAAGGATGGGTTGGATTTCTTGAAGAAGGACATGCACTTCTTTTGTTCTCTCGTTTAGCTTAGTGTCGAGCCCTTCTTTTTCTTCAAAACGACGGCTAGAATTAATCTCCTCCTTGATTTCAGATGATAAACCGATAATTCGAGCATCGACGTATTCTTACATTCCCTCTTTTACGGCGTTGGGCTTTTCTCTGTCAAAATGCTTGTTGATGATGTTGACAAAGGCGTCGTTTTCTTGCTGGTTGGACTGTTGCTGATTCAAGCTGACCTCAGCTCTTGAATCCCATTCCAATCAGGTTATTGCGAATTATAATTTGTGCAAACTCAAATTAATTGTATATTTCTCAAAATCTTGCACATTTTTTTATTTCATTGTCAAAATATATTATCCAAAATTCAAGTTTACGCCAAATTATCTCTCTAAGGGGGGTACCGGATGATGATTATATCTACGATGCAGGGCAGTTTACGCTATTGATCCGCCGCACTTGCTCGCATCTGCACGGTCCCGAGACAACGAGGTGTGATCACCTGTATATTTGGACTCCTCACCTTCCTGAACCCCTCCCATTTTAACCTTGAACTCTTGAATTTACGTAGCTTTTTCTATCATCATCGAGGCAATGGACATTTCAACTTCAACTTCCTTTTCCAATCGCTAAAGTGATGCATTGTCTTCCTCTTTCACCATCGCTACCATTTGAGCCTTCTGAAGCGGAGTGACTCAACAGCAGATCACGCTTTTGCATTTTCTGGAAACATCGAGGAATAAGTCATGATGGTCCTAAATCGCGAATCCGCGGGCCTGGGCAGTTATGACGAGGCCATAATCGCCGTGTCCAGAGTCCAGTTCTTTCTTCATTTGATCGAGGGTCGTTCTTACTTCTTCTGTTGTCTCCTTCGAGACTTCAAAGACGTTTGTCATTTCATTCGCTAGCAAATTGCATGAGTACCCGCATTTTAGCCGAAACAATGTGAGCTCATGGTCGCCGCGATAATGGGTTCTGGTCAAATTTGTCTGGAACAAAATGCCGAAAGTCTATTCGAGCAGTTCCACATGAAGCTACGAGAGCAGCAGAGCCAAGAGTATCTGATCGACACTCATCTGGCCGAAATAGCATTTCACGAGGCCATGTTCTTGTCTGCTGTTCCAAGCCAATGCAATTCACGAATTCGCGAAATCATCGACTTGCTTAAATATGTGGAAACAATTTGGACCGGGGAAAAATACGGCACCGTCGTCCTTGTACAATGCAGTGTTTGAAAAAATAGTGTTGACGTAAAATATGCTATTTTCAATAGCACTTCTTCAAAACAGAGAAATTTCTTATTGCAGTTCTAATTCTTCGGGCCGTCTCAGCCCCGTTCCTTGATTTTTTGATTTAAGGGGCTTGAATTTTGAAATCGGCCCCCGCGCCCGCGGAAAATGTTGCGGGTTTTCAAACACTGGTACATGGAAACATCGTCATTAAGCGCGTCAATAACTCCATCGACAGACTTCAAGATCAAGAAAAAAAGATGTTCTCTATATGGTTTGCATCTATCAAAAACGATCAAAATCTTGAAAACTGCTGATTCCCGCAACGCTGTCGTCGCTAATATATAACTCACGCTTGCTCTTTTACTTGCCAATGTTGTCAGCTTAGCTTACAGAGATAAGATGCAAGAAGCCGCAAATTTCGAAAGACTGTCCGATGTCGAAAAGAGAATCGAAGAATACGGCGAAGAATACAAGAATTTGGAAGGCTTTGCGCTTGATTAAAAACAACTGGAACTCAAACGAATATGTCAGCAAGAAGTTGCGAGCTCGTGCATCGCTCAACATGACGAATCTCCCAAGTGACATTGGCAACGTTGAATTCAATCCATGGCCAGACGATTTCTGGATTACAAATGACATGTCCGAAATAAACTTAAAGGCAGCTGCTTACGAAGTTGACCATGACGAAGACGGTGATTTCTCAATGATGCGTCCGTCGATCATGAACTCGCGTTCCGTCTTTTCTATTTTGAATGTGAGCCGTACAAATTTTGGAAAAGCGCAAGAAAAACCACGCCCTTTACTGTCCTTGCTCAACTCCAAGGCGCCCAGACTTAAGGATTCTGCTAGCGACTGCTCTCACAAGCTTGCAATGCTTTTAATGCTTCTCGTCTTGCGTAGTTCATCCGACATCTTTTTTTCTTAAATCTATGGCGACAGCGACATGAATGAAACGCTCTGGTCATCGATCGACAATTTGCAGTCGTGGAGAAACTCGAAATTATTCTTAATTTCTCTGATTGAAAAGATGCCCTATTCATGTCTAATTCTTCAACATGTTGATGGATATATTTTTGCTGGTCTCTTCAACGCAAACGCTAAAGATGTGCGAGTTGTAAGAGCAAGAGCGAACTTGGCCGATCTGAAGAGCCTCCAAGACGAAGTACAAGATATCCGACTTCCATCTTCTGGATACACCGCTGGAGTTGATTCCCGAACTTGCTGATCGCCCAATTTCGCGAGACTTTTCTTTTCAAATATTCCTCAATAGACTGGCTCTCGAGAAGAAAAAGACCAAAAGTCAAAAGCTGCCCCGAATTCGAACATGACTTCGCTTGGCAACACGGTCTGTCTCATAACTCCTGGAAGATGCGCCGACTCAGTTACGAAAATGCGACAGAACTGGAAAGAAAAGTCTGGTCTCTCGATTGGCGAGATTGAGTCGTTCATGGCAGCGTCGAATGAACTCGCTAACTGTGGACGCAAAAGATTTTTCTCTTCGATTCGGCCCTCGCGAATTGCTGCACTCGATTTGAACTATCTCAACATCGTCTTCCTTGTTGATCGCAGTCCAGAGCCCTCTTCATTCATTCAACAGAACAAGTTGGATCTTGAGCGAGATCGAGTCGTCATTCAAGCGGAGAGTTACCTCAAGTTGAGGTCCTCAACTGAGTTGAGTCAACTCCGTTGCCCTGCTTTCGCTTTCTGGAGGTTCTTCTTTAATCCACAACCAGTGGAGTTGCGACCAGGAATCCAACGAATGGAGATTAAAGGTAATCGTCAATGGAATGAGCTCAGGCACCTCTGCTATTGACTGCATTCTCAACATTCGAAATCCATCTTTGAAACAAGTCAAAGAAGTGAAGAAGCCTGCGAAGAAGGGCAAGAACATGCCAAGTCCTGAACCAGAAGGCCCTGCATTTGAACCGAACGTTTGTCAAGCTTTCAAAACTGTTATTTACGGAATTCATGCTTCTTATCGTACAACCTGATGTATTTTTGTACAAATAAAAATTTATCTTATTTATAGTGATGTGTTTTTATCTGCAGATTGTTATATTAAATGCGGCATTCGAATTCCCTTTTGAACTTAAAAATTCGAAGACGTTTGTCATTTCATTCGCTAGCAAATCGCATTAGTACCCAATGTCGATTGCAGTCTCCAATTTATCCCCCGTCAGGACCCAAAGTTTAATACCCGCCAGAAGAATTTGCTTGATGGTCTCAGGCACACCATCCTGTAGCTTATCCTTAATCGCTCAGATTCTTTTACCTAGGGCAGAGACTCTGCCGCAAAGTGTTCTCAGACTATCTTCAGCGAATCGAGTCAGAGCGTCATCAGTGATCTTTCGCAAATTTTCAGTCGTCGATTTCGTCAGATTTGAGAGAACAGAACTACCAGCTCCTCCTGTATAAATAATAATTTGACCGTCAACATTTTTCTCTTGGACAACAACGGACATTTGCTTCCTTTCATTGTCAAAGTCCCCATTATGGAGCACCTCGTACGTCATTGTTTCATCTAACGGAGAGACCTAAATCGTATCAGTAGTTCTATTAGTGAGAACAAAGCGAAAAGCGCGTGGTGCTGAAACAAGTGCTCCTTCATCCGGCGATTGTGCTTGATAAACCATGCTTTTTGGACTGCCCATTCTGTCAAGATACATTTCTGTATAATCGGGCGTAACAGTCTGATTCAACGCCCGTACCTTCAGAAAGCGGTCGACGTGATTTCCCTTTTTTTAAAATCATCGATCAAGCTCTGATCCGTGAAAGCAAACTCGCCATTGTGATGCATATTTCATGAAAAATCAATTGGCCGTGAACCATTTCCGTAGATTCGCCCGCTGATATAAGCTTTTTTAAGCTCTAGATATTTTGCATCAGTGTTCCGGTTTCGTCCGAAAAGATGTAGCTCACTTGCCGCAGCCCCTCGTTTTTTGTCGTTGATCGAGCACTTGCGGGAGTGTCATTCTTCTCGAAGTTCATTCCCCGGTCCCAGTTGATGATCATACTTTGTCCGAGACGAACCATTTCTACAGAAACATACAGGGAGATCGGGACCAAAGTGTTGAGCAGAATTGTATAGGACCAAAAATAAGCGCTCCTGATTTCCACGGCGTCCAAGCCAGGCTACTCCAGTCTTCCACCTCAATCCAATCATCGTTCTTGTCTCGATCCCAGGGGTTGAATCGTCGGAAATAAATCCAACTGTTGAATTCGCTCAAAATATGGCCGATAAAAGAAGATTGCCAGTCATGACTTCTTTCCAAGGAATGATTTCTAGCTGACTGTTTTTGAGAATTTTTTCGACTTTCATATTGTTCAAAAATCTGTCTTGGCGATGGGGCTGCAAATAATCGTATCCTTAAACAAGATTGAGTGCTAGCATTACCTCGTTATTACTTGCTAGTAATAAGTTATTACTAATTATGGGCCATGATTCTATTGAATCTATTGAAGAAGGACATGTACTTCTTTTTTTCTCCCATTTAGCTTAGTATCGAGCCCTTCTTTCTCCATAAAAAACAGCTAGGATAAATGATTTATTATAAATCTCTTCCTTGATTTCAGACGATAAACCAATAGTAAAAGCGTCGACGTCTTCGTACATTTTCTCGAGCATTTCATTCATTTTCGAGGCATTGGACATTTCCACTTCAACTTCTCTCTCGTTGTCAATGCATTTCTATTGTTGGCCTTGGCGATAATTGTCCAATTCTTTATCTGCGAACGAAGTTGAAAAAGAATGTTCTTATGAATGGTTCTAAACGCAGGCTTCCTTTACCTAGGAACCAATAATTGACCTGATATTCCGCTTGATCAAGAGTCCTCGTTGTTTTCGAATTCCAAAAGAGGAAGACGGAGAGCTTTGGACTGGATCGATTTCAGCTACTGGGAATAACTGCTCTGTTCGTCGTGAAAACTTTTATCAACTTAGGCATTTCTAGAAAGCTTTTCAAATTCGAAAGAAATTGGCCGGTCAAAGCCTCTAGACTTGCGAGAATTTTCATTTCCAGATTTATTTTCAGTTTTCTCCGGTTTCCACTGGAAAATTTCAAAATTCAAATTTTTTAAATTCCACAAGGTCCCAGCCAGAGAAAACAATCGTAAGTTCATATCAATTAATATCTAAATTTAAAGGCTTGTCATTTTTGATGGCATTCCTCTCGAGATTGAATTTCCAAAATTTTCTTCCCACATTTTTATTTCAATTTTCGTGAATAAAAAATCTGTTTTTATGTCATTATAAATAAAAAAAGGAGATAAGAAAGTTATTCTTTTGCTTACTTTTATTTCAGAGGATGAGCGAGTTGCCAACGATTTCGAGAGAGGAAAAGTATGTCCTCGACTATCTGAAGAGCACTGGACGCATGGAGACGTACCGACTATTCGAGAGAAAAACGATGAAGAAATGGCTCTTGAAGTACATGGTCGCAACAAAAAGAAAGGACACTTGGATGGCATTGATGGAGCATTCGGACGAAGAAATGGACGAAGAAGAAGAAATGAGAAAGGCGGACGAGGCCAGAGCAAAAAGTAAGCGTTTTTTTTTTTATTTTTGAATTTAAAAAATTTTATTTTCAGGATCGAAGGTGCCGAAGAATATCAGCTGGCGTGAACTCGAGTCGACGTTGGCCTGCCCATCCTGCGGTGCCCGAATACCGAAGGACTTGGAGGGAATGAACGCGCATCTCGCCGCTTGTGAGTACTCCTTCTACTAGCTTATTTTTCACTGTTGTTTTTTTTCTATTTTGTTTGACATAGAATGAAATCTGAATAAACGAATGAGCTCCATGAGCAACTCTAGATCTTTTGATTCTTTTCGATTTATTCGTAATTACGCAGGCTTTCTTCAAGTTGTTGGATTTTGATATTTTATCTTACCGCAGAACTTGAGCATGCATAAAAATCTGAGTTAGAGTTAGACCAGACCTCAGTTTGACAAGTGTTAAATTTTTCAAAATGACCGCTGTTTTAATCATCAAAAATCAATGCTGCTAATGAATGTTGATCTCAGCGAATTCTTCTTTGTTGAAACTTATTAGTTGAGAATAAATGTGGCCGCAAGATGAAGATCAAAAGTAAGACTTATGTTGATCTTTTGTTTTTTTATATTTATTGATTCAGTCGCTTTGGTATCTTCTTTATTTGACAGTGCGGCAGCTTCTGTGCATCTCGTCCTATCTCATGTTTTTTATCATCAAAGCTTCTTGTGGATACAAATTCGAAGTTTTACCCATGTCCTCTTTGTTTCGAGAAGATTTGCTCGATTAGAAAAAGAAAATTATCATTTCTGGCAAAAAAATAAAGCTTTTTTATTCTCCAACAATAACGACTTATCAATTTGAAAGAGATCTTCAATTAATGTATTAGATTCAAACTCAAGTTCCTTCACATACTGACTCTAAGCTTGAAGTTGCCGTAAATCCCTTCTTCCGGGAACTACCGAAATCGACATCAATTCTTGTCTGAACAAGACATGAGACGGCCTTTACGATAAAAAGTGAGCAAGTTTTCTAGACCCGGTATTTGGGACAACATTCTTAAAATTTTACGCTGTTGGGATCTCAACTTCGAGGAATGCTTGGCATGTGTTGTTCCGGAGTTGACGACAATCTAAGCTGCTAAGAGAAGAAATAAAATAATCAGACCCTTGTTGCGATTCTCTCTGTTTTCAATATTGCCTGATCTGGGCTCGGCAAGCCATGCTGAAAATCTGAGTCAGGATTTAAAGGAGCTTCAAATTGAAGCCTTCAATAAAAAGCCGTAAGAAAAACGGAGCGATTCACTCAAATTAAAACCAATCTATAATTAATGATTTTTATCGATCCAGATTAAGGTTTTCTTCCGAGGTTGCCAAGCTCTGGCCCTGATCACCCTTTGCATTTAAATAACCGTCGATCTTTATGCCACCGGTTTTTCACCTTGCCAAATTCAATTTAATTAATTAACAAGAAAACCATTAAAAAGGCTCAATTCACGATTACATCGGCATCGAAAGCTACACATCCGTCAAAAATAATGAGAATATACTTAACTTATTAACTGAATTCGAACGAATGAAATCGTGAAGAACCGCATGTACTGTGCCATCCGCTACTAGAGATCACTGAATTTCCTGTGATTGAATCAGACTCGGAAGATACTTTTCTTATTTAGCTATTTCCATAAGCAGCTGAGTTTCTATCAGAGCTGAAAATAGTTGATAAGAAAATTACTCCCTTTGAAAAAGCGGTTTAGAATTTCGACTTTCAGTACAAGGCTGTTAAAATGTGTTAAAATGATGGAATTAGGATGATGGAATAGGTATTCCATATTCTACGCTTTGTCTACATCTTGAAGTTGTGCGAATGGTTCGAATTCTAGCCCAAAAGAAGTCTCTTGGGTTCTACGGAAAAAATATACCTGTTATCGCGCGCAGACTCGGTTTTAGAGTTACTACGGCTTACACGATTTGAGTAAATCATTGGTAAGTCCTTGTTGTTGGCCCGGTAGCGCTCCAAACTGATTTTTAAGTCTAATTAGAAAGACTTTCATTTGAAAGATTCTGCGAAGCGTCTTTCTGAACACCCAGCTTTACTGATACCTGGATTATCACCAGGCTGTATATTTATGAAACTTCTTTAAAGATTGTTACTTTCAGAAACCGTTTTTTGCATCAGAGGGAGATCCGCCAACTCGTCAAGATTCGAAGTCTGTGAGTTTCAAAAGGAGTCGAAACCTTTTCGGAATCGAGCCTTCCAAAAGCTCAACAGAACCTCGGATGTGTCGGAAGTTGAGGCTGTCGATCATTTGCTCGGCGGAGGCTTAAAAAGATAAAATTTTATTTATGTCAGATGGAATTTTTGTTTATGGTTTTTCAATTTTCGAGAATTTCTTTCAAATAGAGGTGCATCGAAGAGCTCATGGTCATTTTGATTAGATTTATGCATAACATTTAATGATTTTGAACAGAAACGTAGCCACGAATCGTCATGTTTCGGTAACTAAAATATCATAACTATTTGTTGATTAAAGCTGAACTTGTTGGCTGGCGTAGAATCTCTGATCTTTGAAGACCGAGATTCTCTCAAACCCAAAAGCCACTCGAAATTGGAAAGGCGTTCGTCTCTTCACCTTAAGCGTCGCAAATTATTCGCCGCGCTTTTCTTTCTTCTAGTGTCAAGTTTTTATAATTTTGGTATTTTCCGGCGAAAACTATCGCAATTGAGAGACTTGCAACTTTCATTTCCTGAGCAATATGAAATTGAGGCACTCTTCAGTATCACGCTAACGATTTCTGGAGGGCAAAATGGCGTAGGATCGAATCTTAAATTATTCTTAGAAGAAAAATCCGTTAAAATTTGCTGCAAGCCTTGCTGCGAGTGCTATCAGGACATTGACTGCGATGGTGTTCAAGAGCTCCAATTTCCTAGTGAGAAAAAGGCCGAGATTATTGAATTTCTCAGACTTCTTGGCGAGAATTCTTCGTTCTCGAATCAGGTACTTTTTCGAAGACCGCGCTTGCCAGATGATTCTGCGCTCTGGACGCCTTTTGTCGCTTGATCCAACAACCAGTTGTAGACGCCGCTGGACTCGTTTTCGAAAAGATCCAGCGCGTTTTCGTCGTTTACTGGTATATCTTCAACGAAGATTATTTGCTCGGGATGGCCTCGTCTTCTTTCAAAAGCTTTCTGGGCTGCATAGCTGTAATACATCCAACTCCAAGTCGCTTCATGAAATTACAAACGCGTTCCGATTCAAATTGAATCATTCAATAAGAGAGAGATCTGACTGTTGATTTTGACTCCTCGTTTATTTCAAAGGCTTCTTCTTGGAATGTTTTTGCATTTTCGCTGCTCTGAATCTTTCAATAATAAAAGTGCAACAAGAATTTTCAGCAATATATTTCGACGAGCTGCTTAGGTTTGACTTCTTTGTGGCCGAATTACAAAAAGAGAGAGTTTACCTACGGATAGCGATGAGATTTCGCCACTTCAAAGACAAGGCTTCCAATATTAAATAGATGCTATTTTTTTCTATTGCTTTGATGCGATTATCACATATTTCCAAAAGGATTTTTTCCAAAAAATTTTTTCATGAAAAATTCGTAAATGTGAAATCGATGGAGAAAAGGGAAAAACACATGTTTCTCGAAACCGTCGAAGAATTCGAACGTCCTGCATCGTAAGTTCTCACGAAATCATAGACGAGAGTTGTAGAATAAAGGAGCTGGAGAACAAAATCGAAATCAAGGAACGACAGAACTCCAAGAGTCATGAGCAGAAATTACATCAAAGGCAAAAAATAATTCTCAGAATCAAACGACTGTATTTCTCGGCATTTTTAGATGTTAAGGTCTTAGCAGCCAAACTAATGTATAATACAAATAAATTATTTATTTTACGATTTAAAGAGAACCAAAATCCAAATTTCAACTCAGTTTTTATCCCATTTTCTATATTTTCAGCGTATTATCATGTATTTTTTCAGCGTTCATAAAAGCAGCATTTTTCAAATTCATTCTTCACAAATCTTCGCAATCTTCATAATCTTCATGCGCAACTAAAATAACAATTTGATTTCTGTATGAAATATTTCGATGGAAAATACCTTTCTTTCGCTTTTTCCAGCAAGGCCAGTCAGTTTCTCATTCTCAATCTTCAGTTCTTGGACCTTTGATTTCAGCTCATCGATTTCAGCAGTTTGATCTTCAACTTGACTTCTTAGTTCGCCCAGTTCTTGTTTATTGAAGGACAGAATTCTTCGCGCTTTTGACTCGGCTTTCTTTTGACTTTCTTGCTTTTCCTTTTCTCCAAGCTTTGCCTTCAGAGTTTCTTTATCATTTTGACTTTCCAGAAGTTGCTTTTTCAAATCTTCTTCAAGGACGGTTTGTTCGTGTTGCTTCTCTTTCAGTATCTTTGATCTTTGCTCAGCATATTTTTCGCCGTAAAGTCAGAAGTCATAAAGTTTATGAATTTCCTTGCTTATAGTTCTTAAGAAAAAGATGAGCCTTTCCTGAACTCCTTTTTTCAAGATTGCATTTTCCGCTTCAACCTCAGTCTCTTTTCTCTTGTACTTCACTCGTCTCTCAGCTTCCTCCATTTTCTGCAGCTTCGCTCTCGCATCATCAAATTTCTTCTGTAATCTTTGATTAGTTTTATTCATCTTCGAAATTCTTTTTTCAGATTGACTTTTGACTTTCTGTTTTTTGACTCAACTTCCTGGACGGACTTTCTTTTTTTTAAGGACTTTTTTAATTTCTTTGCTTTTTGCACAAGAACATTCACTCGAAATAAACTGTCATTCGTGAGCTTGGAGAAAGTTCTGTTGCTAAGAATATTATATTAAAAAAAAGTTGAGCCTATCCTGAATCTCTTCTTTCAGGCTTGCATTTTCCGCTTCAATAATCAGGTGGACTAGATGGTCTTTGTGGGCTTTTTTCGACTCTTTTTCATCTTTGAGAGCCTTTCGGAGACCTTGGATGATTGAATTCTTGTTTTCGATCGAATGTTGATCTCTGGAGGCTTCTTCTTCTCTCTGCTTTTGAAGACTTTCGATTGACTCTTGCTGAATCTTCGTTTTTTCCTTCAAAAAGACGATCATTTCATTCTTGATTTTCAAGTTCTCTTCGGAAGATTTCAGTTTCTCGTTCAGATTCAAAACTTCGGAATTCTTCTTCTTTAATTCATTCGTCGTCTGCTTATGTTTCTTCTCGAGCGCAACATTACTTTTGCTCTGATTCTTAATTCTTGCCTTCTTCATCTCCAGAATTTTCGTAAGTTCCTCGATTTTCGCCTTTGACGGGTCCTTTTTGGCCTCTTTTTTCTTAGCTCTCTCCTTTTCCTCGATTTCCGTCAGTTCGTCTAGTGCCTCTTCATACTTCTTCTGCAAGGAATCAAGCTGCATTCTCTGATTATTGATTTTAGTCTTCTGTTTCTCTGCAAGCTTCTGCAACTCGTCCATTTTCGGAGCTGAGCTCATTTAAGGAAGGTCTTTATAAAAGTTCTTTCATGAAAATAAAACATTCAAAATAAATAATACTAAAAAAAATAAACTTCCGAACTCTTTTTCCTTCAAAAAAAAACCGACTGCGAATTTTTCCTCTAATCTTTTGCGTGAAATGATTTCCTTTTCCGCGCGAAGCGGCTTCGTTGAGATCTAGAGAATTCCTCGATCGCTGATTTGAGGAATGTTTTTCGATAATTCATGATTCATTAAATCAGGGTTCGAAGACTCGAAACTCCCAAGATGTCGTCACTTTTGCCAGGAAAATGCGAGCAGCTGGCTTTTACTGCAGATAGAGCTTGAACGACAACTGAACCGACGATTTTCAATATATTCGTTGGCGATCAGGCGCGATAGGTCACCCTTGATTCGGTTTTAAACGTCAACGAAGATGAAAATTTGACTGCCAAAGCTGCTGATGTTGGGGACTGCGTCAAGAGCGAAATGCTAGTGCCTTCGGACAAAATGTGAAACTTAAGGTTACTTTGCTTAATGCATCACATGTTCGCTGGCATCGGATCTTTGATCTTTGAAGACCGAGATTCTGACAAACCCAGGAGCTATTCGCAATTAGAAAGGCGCTTTTTGTCTCTTCGGCTTTAGCGTCGCAAAAATTCGCCGCGCTTCTCTTTCCTCTAGTGTCAAGTTAATGTTCCAGTTTAATTTTGGTATTTACCAAGTTTTTGCGGGGACGAAATTTTCAATTGGCGAAAAAGAAATCTGCATTTTCGTAAATCGTGCAAATTTTAGGAGAGCAAAATGGCTTAAGATCGAATCTTGATTTATTCGGGGAGAAAACAGTTGCTAAAATTTGCTGCAAGCATTGCTGTGAGTGCTATCAGGACATTGACTGCGATGATGTTCAAGAGGTCCAATTTCGCAAAGCGAAAAAAGTCGAGATCGTTGAATTTCTTAGAAAATGATTGACTTGTAGTTTTTGAAGAAATTGCAATTAACGCTTGAACGCATATTGCGCATATTTCTGCGCAGAGCACCTTCGAAGCTCGATAACTCAAACTTTACTTCATCAAAATTTAAAATGGACCCCCACTTTTGGGACTCTTTTTCGATGATGAATCTGAATCTGTCATCAGAAAACTTTTTTGGCCTCAGGTTAAAAATTTGGCTTCAGAGCGAAAATTTCCGTCCCTTTCAAATTCTCGAAATTTTCTTTATAAACTGATTCTTCTTTGACGAAATTTGCTAATTTTTTATGGTTAAATTATATTTTAGTATAAAAAATCTCTTAGAGGAATCAAAATGACGATTTATAGTTAGAATAATACCTTCTTTTGTATAACAATCGATAAAACTTGAGAAAATGGCATTTTTTAGGTAATAGTTGAAATCACTTGTTTGCAAGCGTCTGGGCTTCATTTTGGTAGATTCGGTTCTTTCAAATCTCGACCACAATCGTCGCTAGAGCGCTCCAAAGGTGCTGCGCAGAAATCTGCGCAATATGCGTTCAGCAGGAAAAATATTTCGTGCGTTCATGCGTTAACGATTCTTGCCGGGAATTCTTCGTTCTCGAATCAGATGCTATTTCGTAGACCGCGCTTGCCAGATGATTCTGCGCTCTGGACGCCTTTTGTCGCTTGATCCAACAACCAGTTGTAGACGCCGCTGGACTCGTTTTCGAAAAGATCCAGCGCGTTTTCATTGTTTACTCGTCTATCGTCGAAGCTTTCTGGGCTGCAAAGGGCTGGACCATAACTCAGCAGACTCGGCAGACTCGGCAGACAAGGCGGTCAATACAAAAAGCTCGAAAATGGTCCATTTTTCCAACAGTTCGTATTCAATCAAATATAAAACGCACAAAATATGTGTTTCGATAGTTATCTGGCAAAAAAAAATTCATTACACTCGTTTCTCAGTGAAAAATCCAGCGTGAAGTCCGCTTCGCGAGTGAGATGGTAGAAAACCCCATATTCGCTAAAACATCTGAAAATTTTGATCTAAAATTGCAACATACTGTTGTCTACGACTTTGGAAAGAATGTTTCTATCAATTAAATGGTATCTCTTCAAAAAATACAGGCAGAAGGACAGAATTTGATGAAAAAATTTTCTGCCGAGTCTGCTGAGTTTGCCGAGTTAAGGTCTTTCCCTGCAAAGCTATAAAACATCGTTGCCGTCAAAATATCGCCGGAACTTTCTTGGATTTTTGCGAGAACTAGTACTGCGAGAGCGCATTTTTTATTCGCAGCGACAATGGGATGAAGAACGAATTTTACTTCATTTCGAAGCCGATGCTTTCAAGAAAGATTTTGCGAAAAGTTCCTTCACATTGAAGACCATCGAATGACTGAAAAACACTCTTTATTCTTCTCCAATTTTTTCCAAAGAGGTGTGGGGCGGTTTGGTGAAATTTCGAATTTCAAAGTTTTATTTCTATTTACAGTGATTTAAAGTGCGTCTGTTCAAGTCGCTCCATGAAATTGTTTTCAATTCGCGATCGAGGCAGCTAATTCTATCCATGATTTTTTAGCAGTAATCTAGCAGTTAGCGATTTAGCAATAATTTGAAAGTGGACTGCATTCAAATCACAGACTGTGAATTGAGTTAAATTGTCGGAGAAGGGAAATTGTTCCCTTTGAATCCGTGGTAAAACCAAGCAAAAAGAAGGATTGCATCGCTATCTCAATAACAAACGCGTTCCGACTCCATAAGAGAGAGATCTGTCTCTTGATTTCGACTCCTCGTTGATTTCAAAGGTTTCTTCCTTAAAAAATGGCTTCTTTTAAAGTTCGTTTAAAAAGGTCTTCTTCTTTTGAATTTTTGCTGCTCTGGTTATTTCAAAAATAAAAATGCAACAAGAATTTTCAACATGATTTTTTCAATTTCCCATTCTCATGAAAAACTTGACATTATTTTTCTTGACGAGCTGCTTAGGTTTGACTTCTTTGTAGCAGAAATACAAAAAGAGAGAGTTTACGAACGAAAGATTAACGGATCGCGATGAAGTTGAAATAAACACTTTCCCATAGCGTGGAGACGAAGAGTAGAAAATGCTGAACAACTATGCTAGAATTCCAAGGATCGACGAAGACATCAGATTTCAAATCTGAGATTTGGCTGTGCGGTAGCTCTCATGAGTCGTAAGACTGATTTCGCCACTTGAATGACAAGACTGTCAAAATTAAATTGATGCTGTTTTTTTTCGATTATCACATGTTTCCAAAAGGCGACAACCTCAATCATCATTCAAGTCCAAAAAATGTCGAGGACAAATTTGAAAAGGTGAGGGATTTTGTTAAGCGAAATAAAAAAAAAAAAAAAGATTTTTGTTCATGGTGACCGACGGAGGAACTTGGGCCCAGTTACTGGGCCGATTCATAGAAAATTCGTAAAAGTGAAATCGACCTAGAAAAATGGAAAAACTTATGTTTCGAGAAACCCTCGAAGAGGAGCCGGAGAACAAAATGGAAATCAAGGAACGACAGAACTCCAAGAGTCGTGAGCAGAAATTATGCATCAATGGCAAAAAATTATTCTCAGAATCAAACGACTGTATTTCTGGGCGTTTGTTGATATAAATGTTTTAGCAACCAAACTTATTTATTATCTAATTAACCTTATCTTATTAAACTTATTTACTATCTTACGATTTATCGAATTCTTCCCAACATGAACAATCAAAGGCAAAATGAGCCGGAAAAAAATCTTAGAGCAGATTCCTTTTAAATTTCAAACAAAAATAAAAATTTCAACTGAGTTTACTCCATTTTCTTTTTTTTCAGCGTTCATAAAAGCAGCATTCTTCAACATTACTCTTCACAGATCTCTGCAATCTTCATAATCTTCATGCGCAACTAAAATAGCAATACGATTTCAAAATGAAATATTTCGATAGAGAATACCTTTCTTTCGCTTTTTCCAGCGAGGCCAGTCAATTTTTCATTCTCCATCTTCAGTTCTTGAACCTTTGATTTCAGCTCATCGATTTCCGTAGTTTGATGTTCTACTTGACTTTTCAGTTCGACGAGCTCTTGCTTTTGGAAGGAGAGAACTCTTCGCGCTTTCGACTCGGCCTTCTTCAGAGTTTCTTTCTTTTCCTGATCTGCTAGCTTGGCCTTCAAAGTTTTTTTCTCATTTTGACTTTCCGAAAGTTGCCTTTTCAAATTTTCTTCAATGGCAGTCTGTTCGTGTTGCTTCTCTTTCAGTATCTTTGATCTTTGCTCAACATATTTTACGTTAAAGATATGTTACATATATCATATGTTATTCGGAATCTTCCTTTTTCTAATATTTCTTAAGAAAAAATTGAGCCTATCCTGAACTCCTTTTTTCAAGATTGCATTTTCCGCTTCAATCTCCGTCTCTTTTCTCTTGTACTTCAAGTGAGCAGTTGCTCTCTCCGCTTCCTCCATTTTCTGCAGCTTCGCTCTGGCATTATCAAATTTCTTATGTAATCTTTGATTAGTTTTATTAATCTCCAAAAATTTCTCCTCATTTTGACGTTTCAAAAGCTTTTTTTCAACTCAACTTCATGGACGGACATTCGTTGGGAATGTTTAAAACATAAATCATGGCTTAGAAATTTGAAGAAAGAGTTGTGCCTATCCTGCATCTCTTCCTTCAGGCTCGCATGTTCCGCTTCAATAATCGTTTCTTTGTACTTTGCAGCTCTTGAATTCTCCTCCAGCTGATTCTGTAAATTTTCGATCTTTTTTTCTGATTCCACCTTGCATTTATTTGATTCACTTAGGAGCGACTTTACGTGGGCCAGGTGTTCTTTGAGGACTTTTTTCGATTCCTTTTCATCTTTGAGAGCCCTTCGGAGACCTGAGATGATTGAATTCTTGTTTTTGATCGAATGTTGATCTCTGGAGGCTTCTTCTTCTTTCTGCTTTTGAAGTTTTTCGACAGAATCTTGCTGAACCTTCATTTTTTCGTTCAAAGAGTCGATCATTTGAGTCTTCATTTTCGAGTTCTCTTCGGAAGATTTGAGTTTCTCTTTCAAATCCAAAACTTCGGAATTCTTTTCCTTTAATTCATCAATCGTCTCCCTTTGTTTCTTCTCGAGCTCAATATACATCTTGCTTTGATACCTTATTCTTGTCATCCGGCTCTCCAACATTTTCGTAAGCTCTTCAATTTTCGCTTTTGACTGGTCCGCCCCTTCTTTATCAGCTCTATCCTTTTCCTCTATTTTCTTCAGCTTTTTTTGCAAGGAATTAATATGCATTCTCTGGTTATTTATTTTGATCTTCTGTTTCTCAGCAAGCTTCTGTAACTCGTCCATTTCCGGAGTTGAAGTCATTTCCAGGAATAACTTTATGAAAGTTCTTTCGAGATAAATAAATTAGAATCAAATACTTTTCATATTTATATGCTTCTATTTTTTAGATTTCTCAAACTCTTTTTCCTGCACTTATCAAAAACCGACTGCGAATTTTTCCTCTAATCTTTTGCGTGGAATGATTTCCTTTTCCGCGCGAAACGGCTTCGTTGAGATCTAGAGAATTCCTCGATCGCTGATTTGATGAAGGTTTTTCGATAATTGATGAATCATGATTCATGAAGCACCATCGTCGATGGTGCTTTACAGACTGTGTAAAACGATATCTGCACAAATAGGTCAATCTAAGCAGGAAGTCAAATTTTCTCGGGACTTTTTTATTTATTGTAAAGTCGAATAAAAAAGATGAACAGAAATTTAAATCTATGTTTGATTTCACTTTTGAACTCGGATGCCAGACTTGCCCCAGTTTCTGCCGGCTAAATAATATCATGATGATAAGATCGAATGAAGTTGGGCAGTGGAAGACGTCAAAATCTAACTGCTTTCTGACGATGTGATGATGTGTTTAACCCACCTGGGAGAATCGGATGCGATCCATGCCAAAGTGCTCCATCGCCCAGATGGACGATTCGTGACGGAAAATATTTGGACGTCGAGCAGTGTAGTTCACATGGTGGTGAGCATCGAAAGGCTCGTGGCCAAATGTCGGGGAAGTTTTGTATTGAGCTCGGGCCATTGAGCTCAGTTAGAAACAAGAGAATCTTTCTACGGGCTACAGTGTGCATGATATTTTTTATTTAAAGAGGCCACCAAAGTATTTGCATTTGTCGGGAAAATAGACGGTGTCACGCATTCCTAGACCTAACGGATAGGATTAACGGCACTGAGACAATCCTCTAGTTTATGGAAAAAGTGCGACGAATCTAAAAAGAATACTAACAGCGACTTGACGGTCCACTGCTGCTTTACGGCAGCCTTCGAGCATTGGAATGTCTGGGAGGGCGAGAACTGCCTTGTTCGAGTATCCGGCGAGGATGTTGTTCGTTCGGCCGAACATATTCTTGTCAGCTTGGTCAGCCTCCCAAATACCCTGAATGTTTTTGTTACATAAGAGCGGGGGAAATAATTTTTTTCAATCTTCTGGTCGCCATGGGAGCGGAAAGTAGTCGATGAAGGTAGTCCCGGGAAACCGAGATTGTCCCCGCGCATTTGCGTGTACACCTGACCCATTCTGACTGAAAGAAAGTTTAATAATCAGTTTTATTGAAAGGCTTTAAATTATTTTGTTTGCACAGATAAGATGCCTCGATTACGATAGAAAGAACACGGCTAAACGGCTCCAACTTGATTAATGGGAATAGAATTGCGCCTCGAAAGAGTAAACTTTTTCTTCAGAAAGAATGTGCTTGTTTTGAAGTAACCCGACATTTTAAATAAAAGCATAGAAAACGCAGTATACTGAATCGTGAATAAAAGGAGAAAGAAAAAGAAGAAGGAATTTGGAACGTATGACACAGTTGATTCGTCAGCAATTTAGCGACCGCTTGATCGCTTCTTGCAGTGCCTCGTCCTTGTTCATTCGCATGTTAAGATCATGTTGAGCTGAATCAGAAAGTATGAGATTAAGACACGATCATGTTCAACTTTCTTGTTTCGATTTTTTACCTTGCCGCTGACTTTCCATAATCTGTCTTCTCGTCGCAGGATCATTCGCCACGCCCAGCTCTTTGAGACTTTCTTTGCTGGCAGCATTCAGCTCGGGATCCTCAAAGTAAGTTTGTCGGCGCTTGCGCCTGTGCTCAGCTTTTGTGAAGACTTCGATACTCTTGTTGGTATTCGCCGGGATTGCGGAACACTTTGTCATCGATTTTTAGCTTGCCATCGGTGTCCAGGGAAGTTTTAATGTGGATATTCTATTCCTCAGATACAGGATGAGCCATTTTACCTTTTGCCAAAATTCCTGTTCTCCGTGAGTGTTCTGGAAAGACACTCTCGCTGTAAAAACATCAAATAGTGGAACGTCCAGCCTGCAGGGAAAGCCTTTCGGAATAAGTTTGAGCATCTCTCGCAGCGACTCAAACCAAGGAATATCATTGTAATATCAAAGAATATCTTAATGCTTCTTGTACGATGAATCACACGTGCTCGAGGGAAAATTATACTTGACCGTGGGAGAAAAAGTCTCGCTTACCTAATATTGGAATGAGCCCATCGACCAGAGAGATCGGACTATTTTCCGTAATGCAGGCAGAGCCCTTGAAAGATTGACGCTTTTCTTTCATAATTCTCGGACGACAGATATCTTTATTCTCAGTTTCCGGAGCCGGGTTAAAGTATTTTTCTGGAGTTGAAGCGTCTGGAATTCTGTTTTGCCTGTCTTGTATTCAATTATCAATTTGTTCCTGGATTGTACGCTTGTTTGAAAGAACTAGTAGTTGTGTCTGTAAGTTTCGTTCCCTTATCGACGCCTAAGATTTGTACAAAGGTTTCAACCCCAGAGCTACTACTCGAGGAGCGTTTTAAAGCTGTTCCATCAGTCTTTGGATTCACTTCACAGTGTTTTGTCCTCGTCCTCTGAAGAGGTTCTACTCCATTTATATTGTAAACATCGCAGTCGTATCCAGAGACTTGTTCATTCCAAGCGGAGTCGCTGGGCCGTGGTGAGACTGACGAATCGTGGATTCATAGGAGTAACTCTAAAAAGGAGTATTTCCTTGAAATATTTTATCTAGAAACCTATCAGTATTTACTGATCCTTCCTCAGCGGACCAGCTTTCGAAAGATGCTGTTTTCTCAACGTGGTCGACTTCTACAATGTCTCCGCTTGGAACTTTTGACTTCTCGTTCAGTTTAAAAAGGATACTCTTGAATCCTCTTTTGAAGGACATTTTCTCCATTCCAACAAGGTGAAAGTCGGCTCGAATGTTTGCTCCTTTTTTTCCAAATTTTCATCGTATCCGATGGACAAAAACGATCAACGAGCGGGATCATGCTCGTGATCTCCCACTTCATCTCGGGGTATGCTGAAGAAGCGCTTCAAAAACGCGCTGCGTCCCTGAAGCTCGTTGATTTTTCGAAAACTTGCGCGATTGACGAGAATGACATGAGTTTTGCCTTGCTCAATGTACTGGACTCTATGTGACTGTAGCATATTTATTACACAGTGGGTAAAACACTGGGCTTTGCTTGAGTGTGTGTTTTGTAAAGAAACTATTGCATGAATGAGTGATCCTTGCGGATCGTGCACAGAAAGGGCGAGGGAAAACGGCTGATAGGAAGTGAGAACAGTTGATTCTCGGCGGAAACGGCCTTATCTATCTAACCTCGACGGGAGACCGATTGAGGACATCATGTCACTCACATCAAGAATTTCAATAACAAACTCAGGAACGCCGATTGACGTTGCTTCGTGCAGGGCGGACCAGCCTCCTGCATTTTTCGAACTCGGATTTACACCTAAATCAGTTATTAATTTCCCATAGAGTCAGCTAGAATCACACGATGATCTCACAATTTCAAAATGTCCTAGGGAGATAGCAATATGCAGCGGCGTGCGGCCTCGCTGATCCACTCTTTCGAATTCGAACATGTCGAAAGAAGAGCCTCGAATGTATTTTGCTTCGTCGTCATAGTCATTTTCCTTTAAGTCTTTTTCACTCAAGCCCGAATGAAATGACTCCGAGTCGGATAACAGGACATCTTCGGACATCTAAAAGTGGTGAATTTCTATTATTTTGAAGTAATTATTATAATAAAATTATTAATACACGTGCGAGTTTCGCTAGATTTTCCAAAATCCAGCAAGCTAAGCAGAGCAAAGGAAGAGTTTTCTCCTCTCTTTCTGAAAAGATGCTTTGATATATATGATATAATATATCATATACCGTATACCGTATAGTTTTTAGGGTCTGAGTCATCACCTATGACATTTTTGGAGGATTGTTTTTGGATAGACAAAAAGTAAGAAAATTTAGAATTTTTAGAATAATTGAGTCAAGATCGGAAAACTGGTCGGCTGCACTTGGACAGAAGAGCCATCTCGATTGATCAATAGATTTTCGTATGGCTCTGCGGCGCTTACGCTCGATGATGTACAAAATGCATTAATTTGCTTTGCTTGGGAGGATTACAAGAGATGTGAAGATTTTGATGGAAAATTTTCAACGGAAACTTTCTCTTCAAATTACGGTCATTGGGGAGGAAAACTCGGCTTCTATCAAGGGAATCCAACTACTGTTGACGGTACCTACGGCGATGGAAAGAATAAAGTGGAGACTTTTGGTTCTTCGGGCTGGACGACTTTAACTGATTTCCCGGAAAGGTATTGAGAGAAATTCATTCATTTACTATAATTATTATAGTTTAATAAAATGGGATGTTTTGATGGGCCTTCCGAGTGGAACTCTTTTGCTCGCCGGGGGATGGTATGAGGTCGGAATACAAAAAGCAATTTGGCTTCTTGAAAACGGCATTTGGAAAGAAATCGGCAATCTACAACACGTGAGTTTCTAAAGCTGTCAAAGATTTTGATTTGAATTAAGGGCTGCACTTCTGCATCTGCAATCATGATCAAAAACTCAGTTTTCATCGTCCCTGGCTTCGGAGGTCAATATGCAATCGAACGACTGGATTTCGAAGGAGATCGATTGATCAGTCGAAGAGTCATTGGAAATACAGAAGGAAATTCGATTCCTTTCCAAAAAAATAGAAGAAATTATTTTTAGCTTTTCTCTTATTTCTTTTATCATTAAAAATTAAATAAATCATTTATCTGTGCATTATTTATTTCATATTTTTTTTAAGGGGGTAGAAACAGCTTTTTTCGAAAAAAGGCGATTTTTGACTGGCGGTACAGCCAAGAAAATCTTAGATTTTCAATTATCCTAGATAGAAACATCTTAGATCTAGGAACATCTTCCTCGAAATTTGTTTTAGTCATCAAATTTTTGAGTAATCGGGCTCAGAAGAAACTCATCTCTCCGAAATTCTCGATTTTCGCGTATTTTCAACCTCGAATATCTCGAGTCACGTGATAGGAGAACAAATTCAATTCAAATTTTTGTGAAGCTGAACACCCTTTTTAGGAACATTTATGAGGAAATTTGTTAACATACATAAATCTGATGTTTTCTTTTATGTAGCTACAGTCCAAAATCGAGAAAGCTGTTTCTACCCCCTTAAGGGATCCCCCCCCCAATTTTCCCAACTTTGACCCCTATCTACTTTTTACTCGTCTTCCGTGTGGGGCTGTATAGGGGCTCAAATTGAAGCCCGTTTCTTGACGAGCAAATGCATGCATGATAAGCCCCTAGTTATAAGATTCACTTATGCATTAGAAGCCGTCAAAGTGAGTTAGGTTGCAAAAACGGCCATTTTCGGTCATTTTCAAGTTGTATCTACTTTTTATTGGGCTTATGGATTCCTAATATCTCTTCATTTTTAGGAAGATTGAACCCTTGTCTACATTTGCATGCATGATCATCAAGTTTGGGAAAGTAGAAAAAAATTTTCTTATTATAAAACTTTCAGCCGTCATTTTAGCGATCTTTTGGAGTCTTTTTGCTCTCTATCGCCGCCAAGTGATGAATTTCTTTCTCGAAAACTGTTTATTTCTTGATGAGGGCGTTATATGCTTTCAAATAAGCCCCTATTTGCCCCGTTATGAAGACCTTCAAATTCTGAAAAAATCGAAAATTTTTGCTAAGTATAGATTATAATGCAACTTCAACACGCTTTCACGAGAAATCACGTGATATGAGGGCCTTGACATAAAGGTAAAAAATGACGCTCAGATCACGAGGAATCTAAATATGCACCGCTCGATACTTTTTGGGAAAATTTTTCGGATCGGGGGGGGATCCCTTAAATAAAAATTTATTTCTTCGTGATTTTTAATAATTATCCAACTTTACAGTAGATTATTAGTTTCTAATTTTTTTTCCAGGAATTCAAAGCTGAAACCATTTCTTCGTCTTGAACTGAAAAATATAACATAAGCAAGTCTTCAAAAAACTCCCTTTTTTCACCTTTTCTTTGAGCTGCTTCGCATTTGTTTGAAATTGACTTGCGCTTTCCTTTATTTTTCAGTCTCGTCAGTGCAGGATTGTAGATTTTCCTGACGCTTCAGTACGTTTTGCCGCATTTTTGCCAGCTCCCATGAATAAGAAATTGAAAAATGAGCGATAAATGGATGATTTCGGCTCGGCAGCCTGTGTTTTAAACCTGACTCAGGTTTTAGGGACAATAAATGAAAAGCCGCGAAATTGAAATTACAATTTGGCGAAGCCGCAAAGCGGCTTTTCATTAAGGGTCATCAAAACCTTAGTCAGTGATTATTTTCATCTCTTGAGTTCTCAATTCTCATCGCGCTTCTTCATCGCCGAAAGAGCAGAAATTATCCGTCACATTTGGATCTTCGCTTCGAGAATGACGTGAATGCCAAGCCAGAGTCAAATAATCCCAGCCAGAGTTCTTTCGGTCAATAACACCGACTAGGGGAGCTCTTCCGAGGATTAAAATACCTATTTAACAAGCGGCAGGAGCTGATTTTGTTCACTTTCAGAGTCGACTTTGATTTTATTTTCAAAATGAAATCGAGAATCGAGGAAGAATCAGTGGAAGGGACGCCCCCGCCAAAAATTAAAAAGCCGAAAGGTCGGTATAAAACGAAACCTGCTGAAGAGGAAATTCATCCGATGAGCAATGATTTGCAACAAAAGCAGCAAAAAGAGAACCAAACGAAGAGCAAAAATGATCCTTTGCCAGCTGAGGCGAAAATGTCCAAAAGTCGTAATCCTGTAAGGATTCAAAAAAGTCCGATGAAAAAGACTACCGCCCAAAAAGGCCCGAAATCGAATGAGTTGGCAAATGTTAGATGCCTCGAATGCCACGCTGTCGGAACAGTGATGAAAACGATCGACGGAATCGTCCTTTTTCCGAATAAAGTCAAGAAAACGCTGCTAGAGCTTGGAGGAGGCATTTTGATGCCGAATATATAGAAGGTTAAGCCCACTGTCAAGATAGCCAATAGGAGGGCGAAGAAATTCGTGGAAGGTTTCAGTCAAGTTGAAGACAACGAAGAGGACAGAGAAAACGACGGGGTTTTTCAAAGATCGGTTAAAAGCATCCGAAACTTAAGAGAAAAATTCGCCAGTGGGGTCAAAAATGCGAAGGGCGAGAAGAAATCTGAGCTTGTAAAAATGTTAGAGCGACTTGAAAAGGAAAAAACGAAAACGCCGGCAAAGGACGTTCCTGAACGATTCACGGGCTTCTTCTCTGACGAGTTTGAGAAGGACAACTTCTGGAAATCGAAAAAACGCTTCTCGCTTCAGTACGTACTGGTTAACATGAAAATTTTGGTGGCAGTAGTATTCGACGATCTAGAATGGGCTATTGGTTAGGGTTAGGGACTGGGAACTCTTATCGAAGCACCCTGGCTCAGGTCCCGGGGAGGGGGGAGGGCGCAGACCCATGGGTTAGATTTAGGGTTAGGGTCCCTAACTTAGGGGCAGCTCGAATGATAACCCCCTACTACCTGAATTCTTTTTCTCAAGTAGAACAGAACCTAATCGTTGATTATCGTTACTATTTTTCAGCGGGAACGCAACGATGCCTCAATTCGCTGTTTACATGTTGTTCGGCTGCATTTTCTGGGGCACCGTCGTCGGAATAAGTATTCAGATCCGATTTACCTCAGTTAAAGAGTATTTAAAGCTAACTACTATTCGATGCTGGCATCTCGAATCCAGCCAACATATTTAACGGGTGTTTGCCAAGTAGGCTTCAAGAATTGCACTGTTACAAACGATATGGACTACTGCGCGCACTTGCTTCATGATTGCATAGGAACTGGCAATTTCACTCAACCAGCTGCAATCAAAATTCAGGAAAGACCAGTAGAGCCACCTCTAACCTTCACGGACAAAGAGAATGCAATCAATCAAGTGCGATGCAAAAAACAAAAGTTCTATGCCATGTTTTTCAAAATAGCTCTTTTAGTTTCTTGTCCCCTTTAAAACATGAAAAAAGACCGATTCGTTTGCCGCCATCTTTGTTCGGAAACTCTCGTTTTGGAATCAACAAGGAATAAAACTGCTTCGCGCTGCGATCAAATCTGCGTTCAATTGTCAAGATCACATGATTTTGCGGGAGAAGTTTGTCCTTTCGAGAAATATTGCCGAGGAGGATGTCCTTGTCCTTTTTATCAGTGCCAGAAGGTCTTGAATGAGCAAACGCTTGTTCCCGTTTGGGATCTTAAGAATGGCAAAAGGACTGAAGGAAAGTTGACATATTTGAAATGCGGAATAATAACCGTGCGCACCTTATGCCAACCTTTTAAGTCCAAAATGGAAGAGAACTCATAACAAAGAGACTTTACGATCGCGAAACGTTTTACAAAGAATATCCGGTTATTTTGTCAAATTTCCCGGCGGCGAACGAAACAACTGTTAAAAATTTGAAGAATTTAACCTTTTCAGAAAACTTCTTTTCCCATGAATGTTTTTGTTCGATAAAAGCAAAATTATTGTATAAAATTAAAAAACAGCAAAAGTCAATCGGCGCGACTTTTCTCAATGGCGAGCATTATTTGGTCGATGCAGGAGGAAACTTGCTCAAAGTTAAAGAAATCGATGGTTCTTCAGTTTTAATCGAAAATCAACACAAAAAAATGTAAGTTTACACTCGTAAATTTCATTAAATTATCTGTTAGTGGCTTCTTCGTCTTTCATTACAGCTCTTCGATCGGGACTCATCAAATTGAAATAGAGAACAAAGAAAAAGAAACTAAAGTCTTTCCGGTCGTCGTTATCTGAAAAGGGTCCATAAGGATGATTTTTATGATTAAAAATTTTAATATAATTTTTGACCGAGTGGTCTCCGTTTGCCCAAGTCGCCGTCTGCCCAAGTCGCCGTTTGCCCAAATGGCCGTTTGCCCAACTTGGGGAAACGGAGATCTTGGGCAAACGGCGATGCGAATTTATTTTGATTGATCACTAAACATTATTTCGAAAAAATTATTTGGCTTCTCAAACGTCAATCCAATCTTGGAGAAGCCATGATTGAAAACTGAGAAGCCGGAACTGATGTATGTGAGGCTAGGATTGAAGTAAGTGACGCCCGGATCGGCGTTAAAGAAGCCGGGATTCACGTTGGAGATGCCAAGATTGACGTTTGAGCCATTAGAATTGACGTCTGAAAAGCAAGGATCGAAGTTGTTGAAGCCGGGATTGAAGATGGTGAAGTCAGGATTGATTGTGGGGAAGCCATTAAAATAAAGTTTTATGATCAATGAATTTAAATTAATTCACATCGCCGTTTGCCCAAGTCGCCGAAGACCACTCTTTTTGACCCTTGAAAGTCGACCAACTGGAAAAGAAGACAAATGCTACTACTACGCCCCCGATTTCAATGCGAGGAAATTCGAAGAAGCGCAAGGTTATGTTCCCAGCAATCACATTAACGGCAAAGTTTTATCGATCAGCTTCAAAGGAGTGTTTTACTTGATGAGCGTTAAGCTTGGTGATCACTTCATCAGGTTGTCGAGAACTGTCTCTTTGAACAGAATAAGAAAGCGCGAAGAGTCGGAGAAAGGCTGGAAAAAAGGGGAATTCGGAGTGTCGGCAGAGCTGAGAGATCTTGATCTTGTCCACGTGGTCCCTTTGGAACGAGTTAAATTTTGTTAATCACAGATCGGGACCAAACCAATTTTCGGAAGTGAATTTTTTGATTACCAATAAGATTGCTGTATTTGGCCTACCGGCCAATCAAAACTCTCTTCATAAAAATCTGTTCCAAAAATTAGTTTAACCCACAGATCGTGATAATTGAATTTGATAAATTTAATTTAACCGAAAAAAGATTGACTTAGGTCGACTGCTGTTGATTCTGGTGGCAAGAAGTATCGATCTCTCAAACACACTTTACTCGGTGTTGTTGGAGGCAGAAGGCAAATTCGTGACCCTCGGTCGCGAGTGGATCGGTTCGCTTGATAAATACAAAGAGAAATCTTTCTGTTATTCGAAATTATTTGCTTTTGATGGCTGGTACACGGGTCAATCGGGCTATAACAACGACGAGTGCGAATACTTCGGAAACGGGATCATTTACGAGGAGAAAATATTCATTCAAAATTACGTTTTCGATTTTTCTTTTGAAGTGAAGTTCTATTTAGGAAAAGATTTATTCTTATTAAAAATTTTTAAATTTTGAATAAAATATTAAATTCTATTGAAAGACTTTCTCGAATTCGAGTTCGTCCAGCAACCGGCAAACGAACAAATGTTCGTCACGAGCAATCCATTTTTTGCGTTTCACGACGATGTTTTTCCTTCTTTTGCCAAGAACGCTGTCGGTCAGCCGCGATATCCGCGGAGTTTCGGACAGTCAACGATTATTCCGGATAAATTCTTTTTGTCCCTCGCAGAATTGAATAACATTTCAACATTCGAGATGAAATTTAATGGAATAGAAAAATTTGGATTCGAAATGAATTTTTCAGAGAAATCAAGCATTTCCCAAGAAATGAAAATATTTGAATTGAGTTTCTTTGATGGATCCACTTTTCTCAGTTTCGGAGCTTATTCAAATTACTCTCTCTGGATTGATTCCGATTATTTTGAAGCTCGATCATTTTTGGCGACGAAAATCACTCAATTGTCGAAATTAAAATTACGTTTCAAATCATCAAGTTCAACGGGAACTTCTTTGCAAATTATCAAGGAGAGATTAAATTAAAAATAAACGCTTTGCTTTTTTGACAAAAATTTAACTAGAAAAAGAATCAAAACAAAAAGAGAGACCTATCGACAATGAAAATGAGCGGTTTTCAGAATTTAAAGACTAAAAAGATGCGGATCTTCAAGCTTGATGATCGCGCGGAAATCAAGAATTTTTATTTTTTTGATGGAACGGCAATTTTGGTTATGGGCGAGAACTTGAAAGCAGTTTCGATGTCTTTCGATGGAAAAACAAGAAATAACGCGGCAATTGTGGCTCCGTGCAATGACTATATTGAAGGGGCTCCTCATGCTCTTGTCAAAAATGTGCTCTTCATTTTTGGAGGATGGTGGGATAAACAAAAAGTAAGAAAATTTAGAATTTTGAGAATAATGGAAACAAGATCGCGAAACTGGAAGGCTGCACTTGGACAGAACAGCCAACTCGATTGATCAATAGATTTTACGGTGGCTCTGCGGCGCTTACGGTCGATGACGGCCAAAAAGCATTAATTTGCTTTGATTTAGTCCATGAAAACCGATGTGAAGTTTTCGTGGAAGAAGATTGAACCGAAACTTTCTCTTCAAATTATGCTCATGTGGATGGAAAACTTGGTTTCTATAAAGGAAATCCAACTACTGTTGGAGGTGAATACGGCAATCGAAAGAATAAAGTGGAGACTCTTGGTTCTTCGGGATGGACAACTTTACCTGATTTCCCGAAAAGGTATTGAAAAAAAATCATTTATTTATTATTATTACTAAAGTAAAATATTTTCTCATTTTTTGATGGGCCTTCCAAGTGGAAGTCTTTTGCTCGCCGGGGGATGGGATGAGTCAAGAAGACAAGAAGCGATTTGGCTTCTTGAAAAGGACATTTGGGAACGAATCGGCAATCTTACAAACGTAAGTTTCTAAAACTGGCAAAGATTTTGATTTGAATTAAGACCTGCTCTTCTGGATCTGCAATTATGATTAAAAATTCAATTTTCATCGTCCCGGGCCAAGGAAGTCCTTCAATTGAACGACTGGATTTCAAAGGAGATCGAGTGATTAGTCAACAAGTCATTGGAAATACTGACGAAAATTGGTTTCCTGTTCTTCTTGAAGTTCCCGCTAATTATTGCGTCTAAAAAAGCGATCAAAAAAACAAAGAAAAAGAAGAAATTATTTTTAGCATTTCCCTCATTTTTATAATCATTACAAATTTGATAAATCAACCATCCGTGCATCTCTTATTGCTTCTTTTTGTTCTTCTCAAAAAAATCAAAACCGATTCCTTCGTGTTTTTCGCGCCAAATTACTACAACTGAGTTTTGTCTTTCTTTTTTATTGACGGTGAGCCTTTCTAACTGTTTCAGGCATTCGAGTCTTTTAAAAACACGGGAAGAAGTGATGGCCTAATTATCGTCAACATTGAGAAGCTCTTATAATGATGATTGAAATTTATTTTGGGACGCGTTTCGGCCTCAAGGGGCCTTCGTCAGCCCTAAGTGCAGATTTTAATGAAAGTTCAAAAAAGTTCAGAAACGCGTCCCAAAATAAATTTCAATCATCATTCATGAGAGGTCAACATTGACAAGCTCTTATAATAAATTATTATAAATCTATTATAGAAACTCTTGATGGTTTTACCATTAATTTGAGTCATAAAGTCAGTACAAAGTTCAGAGTCTCTGTATTCAAAGTGAACATGATTGTTTATTTAAAATAAATTATTTTCCATGCAATTGCCAAATCATTTTTCGCCAGCGGAACTTTTCATGCCAAAAAATGGTGGCACCACCATCATTCAGCGATTTTTTCCAAATATGACCCAAACAGCGCGTCCTTGAAATGGACCACTTATGTAATTTCTGTTTGCTTCTCTGCATAAAAGTAGCGAAAGAACAAGCAAGAAAACAAAATCCGGCAATGGAGCTTTTGACCTAGATTTTGGGCGGTTTCGTCGTCGCGAAATTTTTGTACAATCAATTGAAGATTTGCTCGTTGTATTATTTCGCCAGAGATTTCGATTTCAAAGGCGTCGCTGAGGATGGATATGCTTTGATTACCGGCGGTGCTGAAGGGATTAGAAGACAGTGTGCGTTGTATTTAGCGAAGAGGGGCATCAACTTGATCCTTGTTGATTTCAACTAGAAAAAATTGGACGAAACGGCAAAGGAGATCGAAGAAAATTTTGCCTAGAAAGATGCGAAATCGCGTCTGTTATCAAGTAGAATCAATATGTTTTAGTACTCAATTTCCCTCATCACCAAAGTCATGGACCTTACCACCCTCCACGATGCAGACGTGTACGCTTCTTTCGAAAATGAAATGCTCAAGCAGAAGATCAGTATTCTCTTCAACAACGCGGGAATGTCTGAAGAAAAGAAAGCCTTCTGGAACTACGCTGGATCGACTCCTTCCAAAGTTACCAAGATTATGTATTTGAACGCGGAGGTTCCTGTCTTGATGACCCGCATGGTTTTGCCAGGTACTTTTATAGCAAAAATTATTTTTTGAATATTTCGAAGGGATGCTTGAGAGAAAGAAGGGCGTCTTGATGCACATGGGTTCTTCTGCTGGGCTGACTGCTTTGGATGCTAATCCTATTTATGCTGGAACCAAGTCTCATGTGGTACGTTTAGTAAAGAGTTCTCGGTCTTATTTCAACCTGTTATTCAGATCAACTTCTCGAGATCGATTGAGCAACTCTTTTATAACCCGGCTTTTATCAGGACAAGTTTGACAACCTTTCTCACTAAAGGGATCAAGAAGAAGGGATACGAAAACACGATGGAAAAGCTGAAAGATATCGTCTTCCCGAAAGTTGAGACCTGGTTTGCTTCCGCGATCAAAACAGTTGGAACTGGAAAAAATGAATCTGGTGGATCGTGGTTTTTCGAACAGTTTGTGAATTACATGGTCATGCACTTTGATAGCAGAGGCTTGAAGATGCTCACTGATTTGTCCGAATAGCCTTTCTTTTATATTTTATGAAATAAATTTTTCAACTAACCTTTGTTGTAAAATTTTGGCTTTTAATTTGAACATGTCTTATTTTAATAAACAGTGAAGAAAAAAATGTGTGGAAAATGAATTAACAAGAGATCCTTTTTTTGGCTCTTTGACAGGTTGAAGCGAAGTTTTTGGCATGAATCCTCGTTTTTCCATGTTTCCAGCTTTGTATCCGTAGTACCAGTGCTCTTTACCGCGAGTGATGATGATGTCGTCTTCTTCTTCGATTGGCAGAAGATCGGAGAGGATGGGAGTGAAGATCGCGATCTTTGGAAAGGAAAGAAACGGGCATTTTCGACCAATAATGATTTTACAAGATGAGAAGCGTAAGTAAAAGTACCTGTAGGACTTGATGCACTTGAAGGGAACGCTTCTCACTTCCTTGATCTTCTTCTGCAAAAGCTGCTCGATTGTCAGACTGTAAATATTGCACCCCTCTTTCACCGGGAAATAAAATCCATCAACTTTTTCGTCCTTCCCGAAAACTTGCAAGAAGTTTACGCTTCTTCCCAAGTCGTATGGATAATTGAACTGTATTTTTTCTTCATCTTTTTTGTCTTCGTTCAGTCTCCAGTTGGATTTTTCGACGATCCAAGATTCGATGCCAGTCATGTTTGTGAAAACAATCTGCAGTTGCGAGTACAGTAACACACCAACGGCAATTACTGAAAAATAAATGTTGATGATTGAGCTTCAAATAAAAAATGAAGAGGAATTAGCCCCCTTCGGCCTTGGGGATCGAAAGAAAGCTGAGAGACCGAATTCGAGAGCTTTTCTTCAAATAATCTACCTGTTCCAATTCCGAATCCGGAAGAAATCAAAACCCCCAGGACGAGATTCGGCTGAAGAGTGAGTCTAACCCAGAGTTGTTGATTAGAAAAGAAGATGATATGGAATGTTCCGTGAAGAGCTCCGAAAACGGCTCCGAACAAGAAGTACATGAACGACGCTTGGTTGCGATAACTACAAATATAGTAAGAAGGGGGTGGAAACAAAAGCGTACCCAACACACTGGCTGAGCCAGATGCAATGATGGTCCATTTTCAAGAAGCAGCGCTGGCATTTTCGGCAGTGATGGGCGCGCGGCGGCTTGAATCCTTGACACACTTGGCAAAACTGTAGGAACTGCTCGTCTCCGAGAACTTTTGGCTCCCAGCCCTTCGGCGCGTAGCCGGGGCCGAGGAGGATCGCTTTGAAGAAATTGGTGACGGTGAAGGGCAGCCAGCAGAAATAACAAAGAAAGTTGACTTTGTTCGCGATCGTTTTCGATGGCGGAAAGTAACTGAATTGATTTGAAGTCGGTAATCATACATGTAACATGTTCGTATACTCTCTCTTTTTGTATCTCGGCCAAAAAAAAGTCAAAAGTAAGCAGCTCGACAAGAAAAATAATCTCAAGTTTCTCATGAAAATGAGAAATTATGGCTTGTTGAGAAAGAAAATAAAGATGTTTACCTTTTCCATAAAAACTGCGCAAAAGATATCAGATGCTCTAGAAATCATCGCGAAAGTGGGAAGAAAAATCAACCGATGAGTCGTTCTCTCTAAATCGCCACTTGAAGCAGGTAAATAACAAAAGCAAATTCCGGAACATTAAAAAGGCCAAATAAATTATTTATTTGAAATTATCCTGTTGAAAATTCTTGCTGCACTTTTGTTATCGAAAGAATCAGAGCACCCGAAAAAATGGAAGAAGCCTTTGAAATCAACAAGGAGTCGAAAGTAAGAGAAAGATCTTACCAATAACGACCGGTTCTTGTTCCTGACGGAGTCCAGATTGGGACGAGAAGTTCTCTTTGACTTTCAAGAAACATGCGCGGAAAGCTCTTATGGAGTTGGAACGCGTTTTTATTTGAGAAAGCGGTGTAATGCTCATTTTCCCTCGATTTACCACGGATTCAAAGGGGACAACTTTTTTTCTCCGACGATTTTGCTCAATTTACAGAATCGAGTCCACATTCAAATTACAGCTAAATCGGGAGTGAACTGCAGTCGAGGTTTTTAATTCTCTCTAAAAGTTCAGTCGTTCGGAAAGTCGTTATAAAATACTGGAACTTTGAAAAACATGGAATGAATTAACTGCCTCGATCGCGAATTAGAGAACTATTTCATAAATTGACTTCGGCGGACGCACTTTTAATCATTAAAACAAAATCGGAGAAGAATACAGAGTGTTTCCCAGTCATTCGATGGTCTTCAATGTGATGGAATGCTTCTCAATTTCTTTCTCTTTGGGCACAATTGATTTTTTTTCGATGGGTCATTTAATTTTGCCAGGGAATTTCATCTCTTGCCGGATTGAAGGAAAATTTGTTTGTCTTTCGGAAAGTAAAAGAAGATCTATTGTGAACAATTTAATTGTAAATTCTTCTTCGAAAAAGCACGTAATTCGAGAACAAAGACTTCTCGGCAAGAATCGTTAGTCTTGATTTCTTCAACAAAACTCTAAGTCAACGCTCTTTTAGAAATTGGGTTTGTCAAACTTTTTACTTCGATGATCAAAGATCCTTTGCCAGCCAACATGTGATGCATTGAGCGAGTTAACCTTTGGTCAACAAATAGTTAGGATACTTCAGTAACCCAAATAAGACGATTCGCGGTTCAAAATCATTAAATGTTTTTTGATGCACATCCAATTGAAGGAAATTCTCGAAAATGGAAAAACCATAAAGAAAAATTTCACCAGCTAAATATAAACTTTTATCTTTTTGAGGCCTGTGCCGAGCAGATGATCGACAGCTTCAACGTCCGACAAACCCGAGGTTCTGTTGAGCTTTTGGAAGGCTCGATTCCGAAAAGGTTTCGACTCCTTTTGAGACTCACAGACTTCGAATCCTGACGAGTTGGCAAATTGTTCTGATGCAAAATTCGGGAGACCTTCGGTTCGCCAGGAAATGCCCAATTACATACGGTTCGCCAGGAAAGTAAAAATACCATTTTTTCCTGGCGAACCGTATGCCATTTTTGGACACTCTAGAACGGTCCTATAGATCTTGTTTTTTGATGTCTGTTCAAGATTAGGACGTTTTACAGATATTAGAAGACGAAGAGAACCTTAATACAGTGCCAGACGCACTGTTCTACGAAATACTGAGTCCCTCGAGTTCGCCAATGAGAATGGGTCGTTGGAGGTCAAGAGATACTATCATCGAAGCAGCATTTCAAGCTGATAGTGATGAGTTTGAGAGTTGTATCGTTGGGAATCAATTCAACCCTAACCCTTTTTATAGAAAAAATCTATCGATGAATGTCAAAAACTTAAATCGTTGGGAATCAATTATACCCTAACCCTTTTTTCAGAAAACTTCAATGAATTTATTTCATAAATTTTGCCAACAATCGAGTTTCTAGAACAGACCTACGGTTCGCCAGGAAAGAAAAATACCTTCCTGGCAAATCGTAGATTTCCTGCGAACCGTAGGTAAAATTCGGTTTTCAAAGTAATCATCTTTAAAGAAGTTTCATAAATATTAAGGTATCAGATAATCTGGGTGTTCAGACAAAGGCTCCGCAGTAGACTTCCATTAGATGAATTTAAAAAACTTTTTGCAGGCAAAATCCTGACTTTGCCTCTTTTTATATTCATTAGAAAGCCCGTAAAATTCTGAGTCGACTGGACTAGTTTCAGACCAAAACAGTCAGACGATGACGTCATAAATGACGCTAGAAGTTGGCAAAAATAGCCATTTCGGGCAAACTTTGAGTCGTTTTTTCTGGGCCTTTTTGACGGAATTTTCTCATGTTTTATAGCTCAAATTGATCCCTATGAAAAACTGTACTAAGGTTTTTCTTGGATTTTCATATGCTTGAAATTTTTTTTCGGAAAATTCTAGAGCCAAATTTTTCAAAATTTTTTTCCTTATCCTTAAAAACCTTAGTACAGTTTTTAATAAGCTTTCATTTGAGCTATAGAGCACCGAAAAATTCGATCAGGAACGCTATAAAAATAAGACTCAAAGTTTCGGCTTTTTGGAATTTTCTGACGTCATTTGTGACGTCATTCTCTAGAAAATTTCAAAAACGACTTGGTCGAATCGACTCAAAATTTTACGGGCTTTCTAAAGGGCTACAGATCAGACCAAGTCAGAATTTCGCCTGCAAAAAGTTTTTTAAATTCATCTTAGACTTGAATATTTTTAACAAAAATTCGGGACTCCCCGAGTAATCGGGTGACCTACGGTTCGCCAGGAAATGCCCCATCACCTTCGGTTCGCCAGGATAGAAAAAATACCATTTTTTCCTGGCGAACCGTAGGTCATTTTTGGACACTCTAGAACGGTCCTATAGATCTTGTTTTTTGATGTCTGTTCAAGATTAGGACGTTTTACAGATATTGAAGACGAAGAGAACCTTAATACAGTGCCAGACGCACTGTTCTATGAAATACTGAGTCCATTGAGTTCGCAAATGAGATATGTAGTTGGGGGTCGAAAGATACTATCATTGAAGCCGCGTTTCAAGCTTAGAGTGATGAGTTTGAGAGTTGAATCGTTGGGAATCAATTCAACCCTAACCCTTTTTATAGAAAAAATCTATCGATAAATGTCAAAAACTTGAATCGATGGAAATCAATTATACCCTAACCCTTCTTTCAGAAAAATTCAATAAATAAATTTCATAAATTTTGCCAACAATCAAGTTTCTAGAACAGACCTACGGTTCGCCAGGAAAGAAAAAATACCTTCCTGGCAAATCGTTGATTTCCTGGCGAACCGTAGGTAACGGTTCCAAGTTTTTCTACAGTTGGTTTTACTTATAGAAATTTATCGACATTTTCGACAAAAATCAGTTTGGCGCGCTACCGGGCCATCCACAAGGACTTACCAATGATTCGCTCAAATCGCGTAAGCCGTAGTAACTCTCAAACCGAGTCTGCGCGCGATTACAGGTTTATTTTCTCCGTTGAAGTAAAGGGAGACTTCTTTTTCGTTAGAATTCTAATCTTTAAAACAATTTTTTGACAGAGTCTTCGAAAGTTATTTTTGAATATTTTTTATAGAAAATGGCTTCTTTACCGTCACTGATCTCATACCTGCGATTCTTCACGATTTTTGAGGAATTCTGTCAATCAGTAAATTTAACTCTCATTATTTTTTATTTGGAAAGATAAAAGTGTATTATGCATAACGTTGGAGTTGAGCGACGGATGTGTAGCTTTCGACCCCGAAATTTGAGTGAAATTGACTCGTTTTTCATGCAGTTTTTTTATGGAAGCTCCTTCAAATCCTGACTCAGATTTTCAGCACAGGTTGCCGAGCCCAGATCAAGGCAATATTGAAAACAAAGAGAAACCCAACTTTTTTTTTCTCAATCATATCTTCTCGAAAAGAAGAGGACAGGGACAAAACTTCAAATTCGTATGCACAAGTTGCCTCTATGATAAGAAACATGAGATAGAACGAGATGCACAGAAGCCCAAGCACTGTCAAACACAAAAGATAACACAGCGACGGAATCAATAAATATGAAATAAACAAAAGATCAACACAATTCTTTCTCTTGGATCTTGCGGCCACATTTTCAATCCGAATTTATCATCTAAATCGTTTCAACAAAGAAGAATTCGTTGAGATCAACATCCATTAGCAGCATTGATTTTTGATGATTTTAACAGCGGTCAGAAATTTTGAAACGCACTTTATAAATCCACAAAAATAAAACCGTTTTTCTTTCTAACAAGAAGGATTAATAAAAATAAAATGCAGCTAGTGTTGATATCATCTCGCGCTGCTCGAAGTCTGTTTAAGGATAAGGGCATTCTGTTTATGGCTTGGCATTTAAGGCTTGTCGCACCCGCTCGGTCAATCAATCTTACGTTGGATACGGATTAAGTTGCTGCAAATCGCGTTCTTTCTTGTTCATTTGATAATATTTGATTATAAGTGCGTTTATAAGTTATAAGCTCCAACTCTGACTCAGATTTTTAGCCTGCGAAATAACGAATTAATCGAATAAAATCAAAAGATCTTGAGTTGCTCCTTGAGCTCATTCTTTTATTCAGATTTCATTATATGCCAAACAAAATAAAAATCAAACTACAGTGAAATATAAACTAGTATAAGGAGTACTCACAAGCGGCGAGATGCGCGTTCATTTCCTCCAAGTCCTTCGAGATTCGGGCACCGCAGGATGGGCAGGCCAACGTCGACTCGATATCACGCCAACTCAGATTCTCCGGCACCTTCGATCCTTAAAATAATTAGTTAAAATTTGCAAATGAAGAAACACTTACTTTTTGCTCTCGCTTCGTCCGCTCTTCGCATTTCTTCTTCTTCATTCATTTCTTCGTCCGACGAATGTTCCATCAATTCCATCCACGTTTCTTTCCGTCCTGTTGCGACCATATATTTGAGGAGGAATTTTTTCATCACTCTTTTCTTGAAAAGTCGGTACGTCTCCATGCATCCCGTGTCCTTCAGAAATTTCAGGACGAAGGTGTCCTCCTTACTGATTTTCGGCAATTCGCTCATCTCCTGAAATAATTTTCAAGCAAAAATGGAATGAATATATTTAAACAAATAAATCAGGAGCTATTAATGACTTACAGTAAAAATTTAAATCCCTTCTGGTACCGATATCAAAAAAAAATTTGAATTGAAAAAAAACAAGAAGAGGAGAAACTTCTCATTTAAAATGAATAGGCCTACAAAATATTCTCTATCTTATCAGAAATGAGTAATCTGAATTTCAGCTTTAACTTAAAGCCTTTAAGCTATTGTCTAAGAGAAATTGAAATTAACTTACGATCGTGTTCTCTGGCCGGGACCTTCAGCAATTGAAAAAATTGAATTTTGAAAGTTTCCAATTGAAACTAGTTCAAACTGAAAATAAATCTGGAAATGAAATTTTCTCAAGTCTAGAGTCTAGAGGCTTTGACTGGCCTATTTCTTTCGAATCTGAAAGACTTTCTAGAAATGCCCAAGTTGACAAGGGTTTTCAGTGGGTTGATCGGAGCCAAGTTTTCTGAAAGCTCATCAGAAAATGGAACCATGAAAGTGTTATCTGATGGGCAAATATGATTTCAGTAAAAAATCGAAATCAACGAAGACTCATCACTCGCCGTTTTCAGAAATTATGTCGGAAGAGAAGGAAGTTAAGCTTTGGGAGGACGACACGGAGAAGTCTTACGATCAACCAGAAACTGCCAGAAGTCAAGAACAAAAACGACGAAAGAGACGTAGACGACGAAACCATCAAGAGCTTCAAGAGAATCGTGGCTATTTGGTAACCAAATTTTAGTTTGAAGAAATCAGATACGACAATTGACGCTCAAACACCTTCCTCTTCGAAAAAAATGAGCCGGGCAGTGCTTGTTCTATTTACACATTTGTACACAAAGCGCGAATATAACTGAAAAAGGTCGACCAGTCGAAGAAGATTTTCTTGATATTTGGAAATTCAAAATTTAAATTGAAAGCTTTGGTCAGACTCTTTGAAAGGAATATGAGACTCTTGCATACAGGGAGGAAATCGTGGAATCTGAAGCCGCTGTTTAGAGAGTCGACCTTTTTTTATGATACAGGAATACACGGTGTCAAAGGTGGAGCCTTTTCTGTGGTAGGCCAAGTAATCGTCCCGTTCGACGGGCTTACCAAAGTACGTCTTCGCAACAGGAACGGTAGCAGCAGTGATAATTGAGGATCTGACAGGGATCAATTCTCTCGCAAGCAATGAGATCTCGAGTTGATATCGGACCATATCGACGATAAAGGTTTCATGAAACAGTTATTTTCTTTGCAGAAAAGCATGAAAAAACCAAAAACAAAAGCGGAGATTCCCAGTTTTTCTCTTAAAAAATGCCCGATGCTCGATTTTTTGTCGAAATCTCCGGAATTGTGCGTAAGGACTGTAATTCAATTTGCAAAAACCACAAAACTGTCTCTGCTTGTCCCCTAAACACGCCTCGCTCGTGTTACAATCTCAAATCACTTAACGGTCGTTTCTTAATATTTATTTCTAATTTTGAATGCAGAGAACTCGATTTTTTGAAGGAAGGTCTCTCAAGAAAACTCTCAGTTGCCAATCTTCTTGATCCAAGTGATTTACCCCTGAAAATTTCAAATAATCAAATATATTATTTTTCGTACATAGATCTGGAAAGCAAATGGGCATCTGGTCTTGTCCTTGTTTCCAAGCTTCAGCGAGAGTCCAGCCAGAAATACTTCTGCTGTATCCAGGCATGGTCGACGCTTTCATCCCACTAGCTGAGAAATGGGTCTTTGATCTCAAGGTTTAAATTTAAGCCTTACTGTAGAGAAACTGCTTGTTGAACAGATTGTTTTCAAGGACAAAGTCTCTCGTCAGCTTTTTGACTTTGCAGTGGATCATTTTTGAGGTTCAAACTTTCACCAGACCTAGGTCGTTAAAGGTGTCATTATCATAAACAAAGCTCTTCGAAATTTTTTCTAAATTTTATTAAGGTTAGGGTTAGGGCTGAGTTATCGAAACGACTTTTGTTTGACAGATAGCAAACCATAAAGGAATTCCCTTGTGCGGTTCTTAGTTTGAATAGTCTCCTCAAGAATCTTGACACTCTCATACTCTCGTTGCAACTTGAATGATCGGAAGAGGGACAAGTTGAATAATGCGCTGTAAGGAAGACGATTTTCCATTGGAAAGGTGAAGTTTTCGAGTGAGTTTTTTCGGGCAGAATGGATTGAAGAAACTGAATCATGAGTCAAAAAGTGCTTTGAAAATAGCCTGTAGAATCTACAGTGTAGATTGTCGAGTCCTTAATTTCCACGAAAGTACTTAAAGAACAAAGGAAACAACGCAAGACTATTTGAAAATTTTGAGCACTCGTTTCGCTTCTTTTAAATAAAAATTCAATTCTTCAAAATGTTTCAACTTCATTTCAGGGACTCAAAGCTAAGTAATCAAGCTCCTTCACTAGTAGATGCTCTGAAAATCGGCAATCTGATGCCAACTGAGTCTGAAAGGACGATGTTATCGTCCCTTCCTCTCTTTCCGTCGCGATATCGTGCGTAAGTATATTTATTTCGATAAATGGGCAGTGAGTCTACAAATATATCGAGCTAAAAGAATCGGTCGGAAACGGAGCCGTATTTTTCTGTGTTTGCTTCTGAGTGTTCCTCTGCGACGGAGTCAGTGTCTGATCCGACGATTTTGTAGCCTTTTTTGCGGCTTTATGAATGGCCTCGTTACTTTTTCCACAAATGCTTCTCCCTAAATGAGTGTGAAGCAACTGAAGTATTTAATTAGAATCACCATTATTCCGCCTGTTTTCTTGAAAAGCAAAAAGCACGGGCAGCAGATGGCGCTGGAGGAACATCGTCAACGTCTTCAGAATCCGCGTCGATTTGAACGGAGATTTCCATGGGCGGCTTTTTGGCCGGGCCTACGCCGATACCGGCGGATTTGGAGGAAATCGAGGATTTTCCGTCGCCGCTGTTTTTCATGTTTTAAACCTAAAGCATTATAAATGCAGTTTTTGCTTTTTTAGTCATTTTTCTGCGTTTTTCCTGCAGCAGTACTTGCAGTAGCCGAACCAGACGACGAAAACAACGAGCAAGATATGTTATATGGATTCCAAAAAGACGAATGCTTCCAAAATTGCAAACAGAGAGCTACAAAAGGTAAATTTGAGAGAAAATTCAATTTTCGACTGGGAAAAAAATTCTGAATTTGGACGGAAGCTACTTTCGTGAAGATAAGTTTTTCTGACTAGCGATGAGTACAGCTCTACAAAAAATAGGACCTAAGTTTCGAGGCATTTTATATCGCTGAATCGACGTTGAGGCTTGATGCTATCGTCAGAGAATCTTGCCAAAATATCAGCCGTGGTACCACTAGATGCACCGAGTAGAGATAACTGAATAAAATCCTTTCTCGGAGGTTTAATTTTACCCGAAGAAAAAATGATGCATTTTATGCAAGTTTAGACACCGATATAAATCCAGGAGATACTTTAAAATCGAACTGTTTAAATTCCTCATGGAAAATTTAATGTTGGAATAAATATATTCACATATCTGGTACCATGTTAAATTCTTGTTAAATTTAACTCCGAACGCAAGAAATCTGAGGATTTCAAGCAAAAGATCGCAACTTTGAAAGAAGAATTGAAAAACTTGCAAAAACGCTCAGACGAAAAATCGAAGCAACAGGCCTCCGAATCGAACGAGAATCTGACCAAACAGTTCGACGAAAAACTAGAACAAGCGAAGAAGAAACTTGCGGAGAAAAACGGAGAAATTAAAAATATCAAAACTCGCGCAAATGACAAAATATCCGAACTCACGCAAAATAATTCTTCGCTTCAAAAAACAGTCGAAGAACTTCGAGAAAAATTGAAGTCGACGGTTGAGGCAAATGAGACAAAAGTTTCAGAACTTGAAGATAGAATTACTGGAGTGACGAATCTTTGCTCAGAGCTTGAAAGGGAAAAGTCTGTTGAGGTTCAGAAAACTCTTGCTCAAAAAGAACTTATTGAACAGGTATTTTTTATCTTTATTTGGAAATTTTAAAATGTATCTCAATTTCGATGGTTTTTGTCAGTAAGAATCTTCGTAGATGTAGACACGGACTGAAATTTAACGATATTTTATAACGATTTTTAACGATTCATTATCGTTGTAAAATGAGGTCAAATGTCCGACATCTTTTAAGATCAATCTGGATAGTTGGATGATCACTTGACCCCCATCAAAATTGGCCATTTATTTAGCCTAGTTTCTATCTTTTGTGTCCTTGGTTGACTAATTGTTATCTTTCCTTGTTATTTTTAGCGTTCAGGTTCATTTATAGCTTCGCGAATCCCAAGCCATATCCTCGACAAACACATCAAAAGACTCGGTCCAAGATGAGAAGCAAGACTACTTCCGTTTATTTATCCAGGCGTAGGACGACATCAAACAGCTGTCACTCGAGCTCGAGGAGACTAAAATCAAGCTCGTAAAAAAGGATGTAGAGGAGAAATCAGCGCCAAAGGCTCAGCCGGTCGGATTTGCGGATGAGCTGAAGGACGAGATCAAAAGTCTCAAGGCGACGCTTGTCACAGTCAGGAGGGAGAAAGAAAAGCTCAAGCAGCAAATCGACGCGAACAACGAAGAGCACAGGATAAAACTAGAATCAGTAAAGATTTCAGGTTCTCTTCCTTGATTTCGAACGCCATCTCCAACTTTTCCTTTAGCGGATCAGCAAAAAATCGACTCCGAAAACCGAGCCAACGAAAAAATCGCAGAATTCGAAGCCGAAATTGCCCAAATGCGAGAACGAAGTCAGAAGATTCTGGCTGACAAGGATAACGAAATCGAAATTCTGAGAAAACAAAATGATGGAGCTGAAAACGAGCAGCCGGATTCAGTTGGTCAACTTATGCAAAATGGGGATGCTAATATTGATACTGCCTTGATTATGTTTGCCGAACAGGTACATTTGATATTTCTTATCGTAGCGCCTTTTTGGTAAAAGAAGCCGCGAACCTTTCTATTTGAGTAATTATTTTTTTCGAAGTCTGAAAAAATTCTTTTTAGCTTTCCCGAAAAGACGTTGAAATCAACATGCACCGGAGCCGGCGAAACGAGCTAGAATCGCGCATCCGCGGTCTCCAAGAAAAACTCGCCGAGTCCCAAGAAGAAGTTCATTCTTTCAAAGAAAAGATTCAAGCCCAAGAGCGTGACGACCAGGGTTCGGTATTTTGAATTCGTCGAAAAAATCGCCAATACACGCAGCGAATATGCTCTTTTCTTAAGCGAATGAGCGATTGTTCGCGAATCGCCTATTCGGGCGAATATTCGCTCGAAATTGAGCGTACAGCCCTGGATTGGCTGAACTCCAGGGCCGCGGGCGAGAAAAGGGTGGCGCCCGCGAGCTATAAGGTTATTTGGGCGGTGAAAATAAAATTATAGGCTGCGCAACGTCAAAGCCCGACCAATCAGAGCGCGCGGAAAAGCGAATATTTGAGAAATTCGCTGAATTTCTGAAAAATTCTCCGAGAAAATTCGTTTTCATTCGTTTTGCATATTCGCTCATTAGAGAATATTCGTAAACGAATAAATAGAAATTCAAATGAAAAACGAATAATTTTGCGAATTCAAAATACCGAACCCTGCTGGCGGCGCTGGAGACGATTTTACAGTTCACGAAAGTTGATGTTTTGTAAGTTTTCAACCCTTTTCTCTGTACTTATTGAATTCTAGAGCGATGAAAAAGCAGTTCAAGCGCTAAACGAAGAGCCTCATACCTTCTTAGATTTTCTAGGCTCAATATTAAAACCAACTGTTATAACTTTTTCCTTCCTCAACTCTTTTCAGCCTTTCAAATAAAGTTCATCGAAATTCAAAGCCCTAAAAAGTACCATCAAAAGAATGAGTTTGTACCAAGAAGTTCGACTTCACGAGAACGCTCGTGAGCGCGAAGAAATCGAAAACTAGGCAGAACTGTATTCAATAATCAAGACTCTGCAAGAGCTCAAAAAGGCGAATATCAAGGATGCAATCAGCACTAAAGAGTATGAGAATCAATGCTCCAGGCTCTTAATGCAGTACAAAACTGCTCTTCCGCAGTCTGAGATAACATCTGGTGAGTAGTTCCGCTCATGAGATTTTCTTGCTCTTTCTCATTAAAAACTTATCGCGTAATTATCGCTAATGAGATTCGATCTAGTGGAAGAGTTTCCACTACCGTCTCGATTGTCGCCTGGCAATGGCGAGAATCAAAGAATACAGACCGATTACGAACAGGGACAATAAAGGAAACCAAAATGTGCTCATCGCCGACGTTATTGCTGGCTTTATCTCGCTGCAAGGTCTGAAAACAACAGGGTCTCTTATTCTAAAGTATTTCTCTCAAGATCGAATTCACTTGGAAAACTACTCGAAAGACAGTCTTTATCCAGAACTCCGCGAGCTCGTTCTCAATATCGATCAAATGACGGACGTGCCTGAGGGAATCAAAGAATCGCAGAAATCCTGGGAGGCTGAGCTTCGACCCATGGCTGCGTCAGATGAAATCACAGCTTGGCCAACCCTTTCGTTTCCAAAACAACCGTTTTTTAGAAGAACAAGCTCGCCAAATGCTCTTCGATTTGAAGCAAAGCTACAACGCATTCCGCCAATTTCTTGATTAACGTTCTCTTCTTGCGTATTTCTTGTCCTAACTCTCTTCACTGTTCCCAGATCATGTAAAAAATGCTCAAAAGATGAGTCACCAAGACTTTTACGATTGCTATTATTGATAAATCTGCTTTTTCCAACTTTCAATCTTCATCAATAAAAACATTTTCAAAGAGAGTTCAAGAGCGAGTTTATCAACGTAATTATGCAGCAATAATGACCAGGCGAATTATTGCGGAAGATGATGAGTGGACGCTTCAAAACTATTGGTTAGTAAGAAAGAAGTAAGGCAAGGAAATGAATTTTTCAGTTGCTAATTTGAATGATTTTCCTCGTTTTTACGAGCTGCCGAGCGAAAAAGAACGATCGGTACTCGTCGAAAAGCTCGCCCTCGACGTTCCACTTGAGAAAGCTGTTTTGATAGACGACAATGCGTACTGGAAACGGCGGGCGGATGAGATTTGGGCACTGGTTCGACTTGACTCTTACTCGATATATTTATAAGACGCTGGAATAGGCAATCGAGCATTTTGTCCCTAATCGAAGCGATAGCGATGAATTGCGAACAGTTGTTAACTTGGCTAAATCGGAAGTGAGGCGACTCAACATTTAGCAAATTCTATCCCCGATTCCGGACATAAAAGAAATCAACGAAGAAGACGACGATGAGGAAGACAGCCCTAGCCACATGGACTTGTCTTCCATCGTCGCGGAATTGAAGAAACTGGAAGAATTCAGCATCCAATTCCAGGTCAAAAACGTCGGCATGAATTTTGAGTGGGGCTTTTTCACGGTAAGAATGGGGAGTAAAGATATTTGCAAATAAAAAATACGAATTTCACGACTTCCACTTTTCTATTGATCGAAAAATAAAAATTGACCCCGGAGATGCTTGAGGTGGCGACGAGGGATGAAATTTGCGGAAAATTACCACAAACGACACTCTCGTGTCGTTAAACCCCTAAATAAACCTGTTATCGCGGCGATCAAACGGATAAAATTTATATGGCGTTGTTTACTGTTTACCGTTGAGTTTTTTATGAAGAGGAGAAATTCCCAAAGGTGTTTTGAATGCATTTTTTTGAATGACTTGAAATTTTCAACTTTTAAGAACCAAAAAATTCTCCTTCAAAAAAGACCCATTTGACTCATTTAAAAATGGCCCTAACAATAGGTTCTTGAATAAGTTCATTTCCAAGCAGTATTATTTTCGCTCAAAACAATCATTTCAATTAATTAAGCAGCCCAGTATGAGTCCGAGAAGGGTGGCTATACGGACGGGTGACCATAAATCAACCAAATGTCATCGATTTGATGCCAGCTCAGGAAGTTATCAGCTCGCATGAAAGAAGTTTTCATATTGATCCAGAATTGCGTAGAAATGCTTAATTGCCTGTGAAATGGCAAAAAGGGCTTATTATGAATTATTTCTTCGAGAAATTTTTTCCCTAATCATATTTTTTAATAATGCTAAAGCTTCAAGAAAAAACGTCATTTCAATAACTACGTCACTCCCTACGTTACTTTTCCAGTCAACTTTATCACCTTCAGGCACAAATTTCCGCTCCCATGCTTAACTTAACAAGACTTTAATTATATTTTTTGAATAAAATAGAATCGTTTATTTACAGAAATATTTAAGTTTACGCAACGCGATGCTCTGATTATTTCTTCGACAATGCGAAAATGTCCACAGCTGAAAGTGCTTCGTCTGACGGAATCGCCACTGGACGATGGAAACGCTCGGATCATCGTAAAATCTCTTCTCAAACACCCGAACCTTCGCGTTTTGGACTTGCGAAGAAATCATCTCAGATTCTCGGCTGCGAGGTCGATCGGAAAGGTGCGTAAATTAGAATTTCTCGGGCGATTAGTGTTTCAAGAACTTCTTCATTTTGTGCGAGAAGCGGGCGCGGAGGGTTTTCTTCTTGATCTCGGTCATTTGTTGACCAGGGCGGAACATGCAAAGACCAGGTCCAGCCTAAAAAGAACTCGGTCAGGCGGAAATAAAGGATGACAAGGGGAGCGGAAATTGTTGACAACTTCCGTTTGCCTTGACTTGTTGATATTTTTGTTGAAGTAAAATTTGAATAAGGATTTAAACAATGAGCTAAGAAGTCTTCGATTTCGGTCATTAATAGATTAAGAATTATTTCTCGAGTAGCAGACGCTTATAATTTTATAGATACTTATGACTTAATTGAACGATTACGGTTTTCATTTATCTCTAGAAATCTTACCTCGCAAAGAAGACATCGGTGGTTTTTAATCTCTTTTGGGTTAGCTTCCATCATGTTTTCTTCGGTTTTACTTTGAGAAGTTTTGAGAAATGAGAAGAAGTCTCTTTTGTTATCTGCAAAAGGGAATAATTGAAAACCGTTTGTCGAGCTGTGATGTTCCTCTGCGGGCCCCGCAGTGCGGGGCGTTTTCGGTTAAATTCGCGACAGATCGATCTCGAGCGCCGCTGGAGCGCAGTGTGGGATGGTGGCCAGGTGTTTCTTGTGCTGGCCGATCGAAGCCTTTGATAAGAAATTACGCTTAGGGTATCACTCGCAGGATCGGCGAAATCTGTCTTTTTTGGAAATTTAATAGCGCGACAGGATGTGAGCAGATGGTTTCGGCGAACTTGTCATCTGAAGATTTTCTTTTCTCAGAAGGCTGAGAAACAGATGGGCAGGGTTAGGCGTGGCAAGGGTAAAAGGTTTGGCGACTTATGTGTAATTTTTCGGAAGGAAGAAAATTTTAGGCAGTGATGCAAAAATATACGAAATCAATTCAATGAATGATGTCAACTTCAAGTGATTTTTTTGAGTTGATTTCTCAGGTTTTTCAGTTGAAGTTCTATTTCTGAACAATAATTGTATCTTTCACGCTACAGATGATTTTTCTCAGTAATCTCCATCGGCGATAATTTTATCCCCTTTTCAGCTTGTATCGACGGTGAATACGCTCGAAGAGCTCATCCTCGAAGACAATAAGATCGGAGACGAAGGCGCTGGGGCAATTGCTAAAACAGGTTTTTTTTTAACGTTGCACATAATTGGTGGAGCGTTTTTGATGGTGTTTGAGTCGAGATATTTCAATTCTCTCTTTTGCACAATGTAGGGGAGGGTCTGTAGTATGTTAAATAAGCTTTTGGTGTCGGCACCATCACTGGTGGTGGAGTAATCACGACATCCAAAGTACACTAAAATCATAGGAAAAAATCTTGATGACGTCATTACTCCAGCACCAACCTTGGTGTTGGCACCAAAAACTATCAGGTTTATTTCGTATACATGTAGGAAACATCCCTGTATGATAAAAAAACATATATGGTGCGTTTAAGGACTTTTCAAATTTTCTCCCACCATTCACGCTTTGCCGCGAATACCCAATGAACAGGGTGGAACGTTGGGGCAAAAAAATTGAACTTGGCCGCCCGATTGCCCGCCCGATTAATTTTTTTTTGTCGGCGCCGCCCGATTCCCGCCCGACTTTTTGCCCGCCCGATTTGCCCGGGCGCCGACTTTTGCCTGGAAATTTCGGCAACCCCAAAACCAAAAAATATGTAAATTTATTGAGGGAAAAGGATTATTTTGTATCCCGAAGGAAGAATGGCGCTCATGAAGAACCGAAACCGGACGTTTTTAGAGAAAATTCCAGTATTTATGGCCCATTAGATGCCATTTTTTCTTTCGGGCGCCGACTATTTTCCCGGGCGCCGATTTTTGCCCGATTGCCCGACTTTGCCCGATTTTTACCTCGTTAAATCGAGCACTGTGCCGCCCGATTTGCCCGCACGCCCGATTTTTTGCCCGGCTTGCCCGACTTGCCCGGTCCCAACGTTCCACCCTGCCAATGAATGACGTCATAACTCCACCACCAGTGATGGTGCCGACACCAAAAGCTTATTTAACACACTACAGACCCTCCCCTACATTGTGCAAAAGAGATAACCAAAATATCTCAACTCTAACCCGCTGAAAAGCGCTCCACAAAAATGGTGCAACGTTAAAAAAAACCTGTTTAATTCGCTTTTGAAGGATCTCACGAGACTCAAGACTTGGGATTTTTTCCTTGATTTTTCGCATTGATTTTCCTGTTTAGGAAAAATCTTAGGGTTAGGGTTATCGATAAGGACCTAGACAGCTTTGTAAACTAGGGCTCGCCATGAAATCTTGAAGTCGCGAGCGAATATGTTTTTCTGATTCCCCATGTTCTAAAACCCACACCCTTAAACTCAGCCAAAAAAATTTTAGAGCGAATTTTCGATAAAAATGGCTCTTTTTCGAGGTCTCATTGCTTAACCGAAAAAATAAACAAAGAAAACCTCTCAAAACTCCTTATATTTGATATAAATATAAAGCTGAGAGTCTGAGCTTTAATCAGCAGTATTGGTTCGGGCTCTATCTAAGAATTTTTAGCGAAAAAAATGGTCTTTTTTGAGAAAAAATCGAAAATTGTCGTAATTTTTTATCAATCATTCAATTTTTTTCGGTAGTTTACTTGGATTCTCCCAAGATTTGAGACAAGACTCTTATAGAATGAAGCCTTGCGCTTCTTTCAAGTACTTTGCCGGGTCGGGAAAACTTGGGGAACTCGAAATATCCAAGGTTTTCTGGTTAAAATTAGGCCGAAAAACTGTGAATTTGAGGGATTTTTAGTAGGATTTTATTGGGATTTCTGGGCAAAATCTTGATCCCATCTTCGTAAATAGCTTATTTAAAAGAGCATAAAAAGTTATGCTCGAAAAATTGAAAAAATATTGAAATTTCCGGAGAAATGACGTCATGGCACGTGATCGAAGTCCCAAAAACAGGATTTTGGATCTAGCTCTAGAATTTTTTCCCGAAGACTTACGCCTGACAGAGACATATCATTCGAATCAGGAAAAAACGGGGATCATTTTAAGGTGCAATTCGTAGGGGAGAATTGACATCGACTTTTTTTTGGCGAGCCCTATTGTAAACAATAAGCAAAAATAAATCCCAATCGGTAGAAACTCAATTTAACGCAAAACTTTATCAACGATATCGGTGGAGAGCTCATTGGCGACGCCCTCGAAAGCAACTCGACCTTGACGAACTTGCATATTGCCGCGAATAATCTCGGAGAGGGCTTTGGAAAGGCACTTTCCTGTAAGTACTATTGATTTTTCAAGTGCCTCATCTCCGGCGTTTTCTTGCTGTGGTGTCGAAGAATGAAACGCTCGAGGAAGTGTTGCTGGCTTCTTGCAATATTGGGGAAGAATCTTGCAAGAATCTTTAACACGCGATGCGGAGCAACACAACTCTGACTTCGATTGATTTGCGATTGACAGGAGTCACGCCTGATTCTGAACAGGCGATTCTCCTCAAAGTCGAGGAAAATCAAACTTTGTAAAAAATTATTAACGACGCTAAACGGGTAGGCTTCATTTCCCCAAGAGCTTCATCTCCCCAGAGCCTCATCTCCCCAAAAGCTTCATCTCCCCAGCCTGGGCAAATGAAGCTCTTGGGGAGATGAAGCTCTTGGGCTAATGAAGCTCAAATTCTACTTTCAGAAAAAAAAAACTGAAAAATATGTTGAGAAATATTCAACCTCTTCATACCTAAAACCCCCATTCGGGGCAATAAATTATTGTCAATAATAGAATTTTATCAAGTTGTATCATTTCTCGAACATTAAAAATTATCTAATAGAGTTTTCATCAAAACTGTTTTTATGGAACAAGTCTGCTAGAGGCCGGATAACGTACATAACTGTATGCGCTGCGCATGTTACCTTATTTTTTATTACATTAACTATTATTATGTACTTTATTTATTACATTTTAGAAAAAAATATCAGATCGAACCAATCTTGTAATCATTCAGCTTGATTATTGGTGGTTGATTATTTAGAAATAAAGAAGGAAAACATAATTCTGATGACTTTGAAAGACGTATTTCTTTCACGAAACGCATATTTAAGACTTTCAATTTTTTGAAAAAATTATTTTTGATGCGCAGCCAGGTTCAGCCATTGACAACAAAGTACAATTTGCCCACGCACTTAAAAGCTTCACTTGCCCAGGGCTTCATCTCCCCAGAAGCTTCATTTGCCCAGGCTGGGGAGATGAAGCTCTTGGGGAGATGAGGCTCTGGGGAAATGAAGCTCTTGGGGAAATGAAGCCTACCCACGCTAAACTCTTTTCTACTGCTTTATATTATTTCTAATAAACATATTCTATTTTGTTATCACTTTTTCACACTGTTCTCATCCCTTTTTGATCCCGATCGTGTTTTAACCGATTTACGGGTGGTAGCTGCGTTTTGGGTTTTAGAGCCTCCCGTGCTTTATATATTTATTTGGATAACCTCATAGTCCGGAACTCGGCAAGTTTTACCTGCAGGAAAAATTGCTAAAAGAAACAGATTCAACAAAATCAATCATTATTATTTCTAAAGATCAGGACTCTTCAGGCGCAATAATCAGCGAAAACTTTCAAAAGAACAGGAATCGAACTGTAAACAGTGTGTCCAATGACTTCTTGATTGACCAGTACATCTCCTTCTAATTCAAGTCGCTCAATTGGATGTGGATCTTCGTAGCCGGAGACGATGAAAATTGAATCGTCGATCATTATACTAGAGCCTCCGGAGTCAGCCTGAGATGAATTTAACTCTCTGACAATTATTCCAATCTGGAGCTTACGTTTTGTAGATTTCCGATCGTTTTCCAAGTGTCGTTTTCAAGAAGCCAAATGGCAGTTTGAGCAACCCAGTCGTCCTCATATGTTTCTCCTCCAGCCAGCAAAAGATTTCCACTCGAAAGGCCAATAAGAACATGATAAGCAATTATCCTTAAGATTTTAATTAAAGAATCAATTTTTTGAAAGACATCGGGAAATCGCCCAAAGAAACCAAGCGAGTAGAGCTCAAAGTCTCCACCATTTTCGGACTAGAAGAACCAAACCAGCTGCTCCCAACTGTTGTCGGTTGTCCATTGAAGAATGCCAGTTTGCCTCCGTAATGCCTCGATGAGGCCGAGTAAGTTGAGATTGCCGAGTCTCCGTCGTATATTTCACATTGAGTAAGGAACGTGTAATCGAAAGTACCTTTGGTACGCCCTTACTTGCGGCTTTCGCCTTGGAATGGCGGCTTTAATTGGCCCGGCGATCTGGACTGGGACTGCAGATGATTTTAGATGTGACACGGTTATATTCGGTTGCGAAAATGCTTGCTCCAATAATTTTATGCCGATCGGACTTGATAAGCTCTGGCAAATTCAATTGGGAAGGATTCAAAGGATCGCACTCTTCCTTGATTTCAAGCTGAAATTTTCAGCCGAAAAATTGAATCAATTTAAAGATTGCGACGCTTTTTCCGAGCTTTGTATTCACGAGCTTTATTTATCTGGAAGATGGAAAACGACGATTAGGTACAGTCAGGCTTTTCGAGTCTAGCCTTCCTGATTTGAAATTTGACAGATGCGAGAAGAAGAAAACTGGAGGAAAAATCGACGAATTTTGGATCAGATCATACTATCGAAGAATCTGTTTCTGAAACGTCGAAGCTCATGAATCGGGAAGTAATGAAGGCGAGAAAGGAAAAACGAAAAATGCAGGTGATGGGTAGGGATGGCATACAAAAATTAAATCGCGATTGCGAGGTCGCCTGGGAAAACCAAGGGTACCATCTTGTAGAGCAGAAAATTCTGATTCTGATAGGACCCAAAAAAGGATTTTCGTAAATAGGTACCTGGATTTTTAGGCACTTTTCTGTAACTCCTCTAAAGGATGCAAAAATTAATTTTTTCGTGGAAAGTAGTGTATTTTTATGCGAAAAATCCATTTCTGCAAAAAATTTAACCGCGTAAGAAGAAAAAACCGAGAAAAAGCTAAAAACTGTCGAGAGAGGAAAACAAAAATCAGTGACGCGGCGGTTACGTAACAGCGCGGCAGCCGCGTGGCGGCGCTGTTCGCCCGCTTGCCAATTTCACCGCTGGAAACACTTTTCATTGCTATCAAATCCTTATCAGCACTGTATTTCAATTCATTTGTTAATAATGATCATACATTTTATTTGAATTCTAAAAGTGGGTTGTTCCTACGGAAGCTCCTGATTCGCGGAAAAGGGATGAAAGGGAAAAATGATTCCAGGTCCCCTTTTGCCGGTTTTTCTTCGATTCAGTCTTTCAAAACGCGATTTAAAAGCTACTGAATTCGAATTTTGCTATCATGAGTCTTGAGGAAGGGTTGAATAACCCTTTTCTCGAAGGGAAAGAGAGAGAAAGAGAAAAAAAATGCTTCCAATTACGATGTCTTGGAATGGCTTTTATCTAAATTCGATATATATTTAACACATTATTAATAAATCAAATATTTTACAATTTAAATCAAATAAAAAGCCAAAAAAGACAATCTCAAGCGAATGATTTGCTGCAAAATTGTTGTTGGCTTCATTGCAGCTCTCGTTATTTTAGCAGTTGGATTTGCTGGTAAGTCTTTTTGATTGAAGCCTTGTTTTTTATTTCGACAATAAATTCTAACTCATAAATTCAGGTTTCATGGCTGGCTACCGCGTCGGTGCTGATTTGGACGTCGATGGAGTTGACGACGATGCTGCCTACAGAGACGTATTCGATCCGTTCGACCCCGACAACGAATTCATCACAAGCAGAGAAGGGCAACAGAATCTCGGATAGAATTCGGCTGGCTCTTACTTGCTACTTGTGCACTTTTACATGTAAAACACGGCCTGTTTAAATTAAGCTGCAATTTCCCAAGAAGATACATTGAAAAATTACAAACTCTTGGCCATTTTTATCTTAGTATTATAAGTCATAGACTGTACGAAAGATCTATTAAATTGAAATAAAGAAGTATGATAAAACCGGCGTCTTAGTACTTTATTTATTACTCTGTATCAACTCGAACCGAGAACCACGACAGTGCAGCGACAGTTTCTCCGGTCGGCGGAGCTCACTTGCTCTCGAAACTATAACAATGCGCGATTCATTAAAACACTCCTCATCTGATCTTAGCAACAGGCCTGATCAGCTGGAGAAAAGGGCCTCATTCAACAGAGCGGTGAGATTTTCAAGATCCGAGTCACTTCTGGGCGATCATTTTTTCTGCGTGAGAAGCCGCTGCAATCCGCAATTAATATTGGAGAGCACATCCGTCGCGATAAGGAGAAACAGGCCCAGAGCTCGCAAACGTCGAACAATCAAACAAGCAAAATGGAGACCCTGGCCTTCAAGCAAATCATCGAATTCATGAACGCTCGGTCTTTTTAGCGATTTTTTCCCTCGAAGATTTTAAGCGATTGAAGTTATGAAAAAATCTCTCTACACGAGGCAAGCCCCTTAAATTCAAAAATCACAAAATGGGGCTGAGACGGCCCGAAAGGCCGGCAAGCCCCTTAAATTCAAAAATTAAAAAATTGGGCTGAGACGGCCCGAAGGGCCGGCAAGCCCTTAAATTCAAAAATCAAAAAATGGGGCTGAGACGGCCCGAAAGGCCGGCAAGCCCCTTAAATTCAAAATCAAAAAATGGGGCTTAGACGGCCCGAAAGGCCGGCAAGTCCCTTAAATTCAAAAATCAAAAAATGGGGCTGAGACGGCCCGAAGGGCCGGCAAGCCCCTTAAATTCAAAGATCACAAAATTGGGCTGAGATGGCCCGAAGGGCCGGCAAGCCCTTAAATTCAAAAATCACAAAATGGGGCTGAGACGGCCCGAAGGGCCGGCAAGCCCCTTAAATTCAAAATCACAAAATGGGGCTGAGACGGCCCGAAGGGCCGGCAAGCCCCTTAAATTCAAAAATCAAAAAATGGGGCTGAGACGGCCCGAAAGGCCGGCAAGCCCCTTAAATTCAAAAATCACAAAATGGGGCTGAGACAGCCCGAAGGGCCGGCAAGCCCCTTAAACTCAAAAATCACAAAATGGGGCTGAGACGGCCCGAAGGGCCGGCAAGCCCCTTAAATTCAAAAATCACAAAATGGGGCTTAGACGGCCCGAAAGGCCGGCAAGCCCCTTAAATTCAAAAATCAAAAAATTGGGTTGAGACGGCCCGAAGGGCCGGCAAGTCCCTTAAATTCAAAAATCAAAAAATGGGGCTGAGACGGCCCGAAGGGCCGGCAAGCCCTTAAATTCAAAGATCACCAAATTGGGCTGAGATGGCCCGAAGGGCCGGCAGGCCCCTTAAATTCAAAAATCACAAAATGAGGCTGAGACGGCCCGAAGGGCCGGCAAGCTCCTTTAATTCAAAAATCAAAAAATGGGGCTGAGACGGCCCGAAAGGCCGGCAAGCCCCTTAAATTCAAAAATCATAAAATCGGGCTAAAGCGGCCCGAATGGCCGGCGAGCCCTTCAGATTCAAAAATCAAAAAAATGGGCTGAGACGGCCCGAAGGGCCGGCAAGCCCCTTAAATTCAAAAATCACAAAATGGGGCTGAGACGGCCCGAAAGGCCGGCAAGCCCCTTAAATTCAAAAACCAAAAATGGGGCTGAGACGGCCCAAAGGGCCGGCAAGCCCCTTAAATTCAGAAATCAAAAAATTGGGCTGAGACGGCCCGAAGGGCCGGCAAGCCCTTAAATTCAAAAATCAAAAAATGGGGCTGAGACGGCCCGAAAGGCTGGCAAGCCCCTTAAATTCAAAAATCAAAAAATGGGGCTGAGACGGCCCGTAGGGCCAGCAAGCCCCTTAAATTCAAAAATCAAAAAATGGGGCTGAGACGGCCCGAAAGGCCGGCAAGCCCCTTAAATTCAGAAATCAAAAAATTTGGCTGAGACGGCCCAAAGGGCCGGCAAGCCCCTTAAATTCAGAAATCAAAAAATTGGGCTGAGACGGCCCGAAGGGCCGGCAAGCCCCTTAAATTCAAAAATCATAAAATTGGGCTGAGACGGCCCGAAGGGCCGGCAAGCCCCTTAAATTCAAAAATCATAAAATTGGGCTGAGACGGCCCAAAGGGCCGGCAAGCCCCTTAAATTCAGAAATCATAAAATGGGGCTGAGACGGCCCGAAGGGCCGGCAAGCCCTTAAATTCAAAAATCAAAAAATTGGGCTGAGACGGCCCAAAGGGCCGGCAAGCCCCTTAAATTCAGAAATCGAAAAATGGGGCTGAGACGGCCCGAAGGGCCGGCAAGCCCCTTAAATTCAAAAATCAAAAAATTGGGCTGAGACGGCCCAAAGGGCCGGCAAGCCCCTTAAATTCAGAAATCAAAAATTGGGCTGAGACGGCCCGAAGGGCCGGCAAGCCCCTTAAATCAAAAATCATAAAATGGGGCTGAGACGGCCCGTAGGGCCAGCAAGCCCTTAAATTCAAAAATCAAAAATGGGGCTGAGACGGCCCGAAAGGCCGGCAAGCCCCTTAAATTCAAAAATCAAAAAATGGGGCTGAGACGGCCCGAAGGGCCGGCGAGCCCTCAAATTCAAAAATCAAAAAATTGGGCTGAGACGGCGCGAAGGGCCGGCAAGCCCCTTAAATTCAAAAATCACAAAATGGGGCTGAGACAGCCCGAAGGGCCGGCAAGCCCCTTAAACTCAAAAATCACAAAATGGGGCTGAGACGGCCCGAAGGGCCGGCAAGCCCCTTAAATTCAAAAATCACAAAATGGGGCTTAGACGGCCCGAAAGGCCGGCAAGCCCCTTAAATTCAAAAATCAAAAAATTGGGTTGAGACGGCCCGAAGGGCCGGCAAGTCCCTTAAATTCAAAAATCAAAAAATGGGGCTGAGACGGCCCGAAGGGCCGGCAAGCCCTTAAATTCAAAGATCACCAAATTGGGCTGAGATGGCCCGAAGGGCCGGCAGGCCCCTTAAATTCAAAAATCACAAAATGAGGCTGAGACGGCCCGAAGGGCCGGCAAGCTCCTTTAATTCAAAAATCAAAAAATGGGGCTGAGACGGCCCGAAAGGCCGGCAAGCCCCTTAAATTCAAAATCATAAAATCGGGCTAAAGCGGCCCGAATGGCCGGCGAGCCCTTCAGATTCAAAAATCAAAAAAATGGGCTGAGACGGCCCGAAGGGCCGGCAAGCCCTTAAATTCAAAAATCACAAAATGGGGCTGAGACGGCCCGAAAGGCCGGCAAGCCCCTTAAATTCAAAAACCAAAAAATGGGGCTGAGACGGCCCAAAGGGCCGGCAAGCCCCTTAAATTCAGAAATCAAAAAATTGGGCTGAGACGGCCCGAAGGGCCGGCAAGCCCCTTAAATTCAAAAATCAAAAAATGGGGCTGAGACGGCCCGAAAGGCTGGCAAGCCCCTTAAATTCAAAAATCAAAAAATGGGGCTGAGACGGCCCGTAGGGCCAGCAAGCCCTTAAATTCAAAAATCAAAAAATGGGGCTGAGACGGCCCGAAAGGCCGGCAAGCCCCTTAAATTCAGAAATCAAAAAATTTGGCTGAGACGGCCCAAAGGGCCGGCAAGCCCCTTAAATTCAGAAATCAAAAAATTGGGCTGAGACGGCCCGAAGGGCCGGCAAGCCCCTTAAATTCAAAAATCATAAAATTGGGCTGAGACGGCCCGAAGGGCCGGCAAGCCCCTTAAATTCAAAAATCATAAAATTGGGCTGAGACGGCCCAAAGGGCCGGCAAGCCCCTTAAATTCAGAAATCATAAAATGGGGCTGAGACGGCCCGAAGGGCCGGCAAGCCCCTTAAATTCAAAAATCAAAAATTGGGCTGAGACGGCCCAAAGGGCCGGCAAGCCCCTTAAATTCAGAAATCGAAAAATGGGGCTGAGACGGCCCGAAGGGCCGGCAAGCCCTTAAATTCAAAAATCAAAAAATTGGGCTGAGACGGCCCAAAGGGCCGGCAAGCCCCTTAAATTCAGAAATCAAAAAATTGGGCTGAGACGGCCCGAAGGGCCGGCAAGCCCCTTAAATCAAAAATCATAAAATGGGGCTGAGACGGCCCGTAGGGCCAGCAAGCCCCTTAAATTCAAAAATCAAAAAATGGGGCTGAGACGGCCCGAAAGGCCGGCAAGCCCCTTAAATTCAAAAATCAAAAAAATGGGGCTGAGACGGCCCGAAGGGCCGGCGAGCCCTCAAATTCAAAAATCAAAAAATTGGGCTGAGACGGCGCGAAGGGCCGGCAAGCCCCTTAAATTCAAAAATCAAAAAATGGGGCTGAGACGGCCCGAAAGGCCGGCAAGCCCCTTAAATTCAAAAATCAAAAAATTGGGCTGAGACGGCCTCTAAAATTCGACTGATTAAATTTTAAAGGGGCTTTCCTCCTTAAGTTCGTTGGCCAAAAACTCTCAAAAGATGAAGACACAATTTGTGACTCATATTCTCTCGCTGAAAACTTGGCAAAAACCAGCGGTTAATTTTGGAATATTTCCAAGGTCATATTTCTAAATTTTAGAAGCGTTCCCATCAATTTTAAAATCGAATTTCTTATTGAAATGATATTTGTTTTTTTTATTCTATTTGTCAATGCGAGCGCCGCTGATAAGAGAAAAGACGGATGTCCATTAAGATATGAAGATATTAAAAATTTCATGATTCAAAACGGTAAATTTTCAGTGAGCGCAAAAGAAACAAAATTTAAAGGTTATTTTGAAAAAGAACTTTGGGAGAAAATGGAAAATTACAAAAACTCCCGAAAATTAAGTGAACGAGAAATGTGGTACAATTTCTTCCAAAGACCTGATCGAAAAGCTCTTCATGAACTTAATAAAATTCTTGGTGATAAAATGAAAGGAA